GTTTTCACCGGACGGCCGGCGGGTGGCATCGGCATCAGGCGACGGGATGGTACGGATCTGGGCCGTCGATACGGGTACTCTGCAGCGCACAATCGAAGCCGAAACGCGGACATTGAGTTTTGATCCATTGGGCGACAAGATTAGGACAGACTCGAGGATATTCGATCTTCAAAGCCAGTCTCGGGCGTCTCAAGATCCACAGGATGTCCCTTTTGGTCCAGAGTATATTCAAGAGACTTCTTCTCTTGTCGCGAGTTCCGTAGCGCTTGGCATTTCGAATGATCGCACATGGATCACTCACAACTCTGAACGTGTTATGTGGATTCCCCCAATCCATCGCCCGGAATCCCACGACGTGTTTGAGTCTACCATAGCCCTCGGCGGTGTCTCTGGGCAAATCACTATTTTGCGCTTTTCGGAGTCTCATTTGAATGCGTTCCTGTCTTAACATCTCATAAATACAAATCAATTCTACCGAAGCTTTTGGCAATGCGACTGGCCTGCAATATAGAAATTCAATAAGTATCTGTGAAATGAGGAGATGATGATACACTCATGCGTAAACCTCAAACCTTCTCGGCGTGAACGTGTTGTGCCTTTCCTAGCTCATCGTCTTCGACGGGACGCACAGTCAAGTCTTCGGGCTTGGGGTAGGCTACTCGCCACACAGTGTACCACGATCTTTCAAAGAGGCTGTCGAGCGACTCAAGCGAGCGACCAGACGTCTCAGGCATGGCAAAGAAGACATAAATAATAGAGATGGTGCAGATGCTGGCAAAAAAGGCAAATGCACCATACCTATCCGTTGCAGCAAGGAGAGAGGGCATGGCTAGTGAGCAACCGAAATAAAAGGCCCAGTGAGATGCCATGAGTACCGACACATTTAGAGACCTGATTCGCACGGGAAAGACTTCAGCAGAGATGAGATATGGCATCGAGAACCAGCCTAGTGACCAAGCCACCGCGTGCAGGTATATTGCCACGATGGCGCCGACACCAGCCCGGCGAGAGTCGTCGTTTGCTGCGATGGCATCTGCTGTCTGGCCATTGGTCGCGCCGAGATAGCCTCCAACATATACCAGTGTGATAATCTGAAGGAATATTCCAGACATCAGCGCCCGGCGTCGGCCGACAAAATCAATGATGAAGATGGCGCATAGCAGAGTCGATGTGAATTTCACAACGGCGTAGAGACCAGTGGCTAGAAATCGTGACTCTTCGCCTTGAATACCAAGATATCCAAAGATAGTCGGACTGTATTGGGTGATGGCATTGGCACCAGACCACTGTGAGAATAGGTGGGTCAGGAACACCAGGACGAAGCGACGTCTGTTGGGCATGTCCATGAGCGTTTCTTTCACGAGGTCGAGAACTGATGCACCAGAGACGGCTTCCATTTCGTGCTCAAATTGGACATGTATGCCTCGCATTTCATCTTGAACGTACGAATGCTCTTCTGGCAGACCTCGGAGTTTGGCAAGAACTTGCAACGCCTCTTCTTTCTTCTGCCTCGAGATAAGGTATCGGGGAGACTCGGGTGCAAAAAAGGTTCCGATGCCCCAGACTAATGCTGGGATACATTGGAGGGCTGTCGGGAGTTGCCACTGGATGTCGGATCCTGCAAAGTGCTTGGTGATTCCGTAGTTGATGAAGAACCCGAGGACGACGCCGAGCTGCTGGCATGCCGTGTATTGAAGAGTGATGAGGCCACGTATAGAACGGGGTGCAATCTGTTTTGGTCAGAGGTTAGAGAGCGGCTTGTACGAACACGAACAATGCTTATTTGAGCTTACCTCGGATAGATAGATTGGCGGCAGCACAGTGGTCACTCCGATGCCCACACCGGCGATGAATCGACTTGCGTAAAGACCCGAGAGATTGCCATTGCTGAAGGTTTGACCCAAGACTCCGACGATATAGACGAGGGTGAAAAGCTGTAGAGCCAGTCGCCGGCCAATCTTATCGGCGAGGGAAATACATGCGAGACATCCAAAGAAGGCACCAGCAGTCGCAATAGCAACAATCCACCCCTTTGTGTTTGCGTACTGATCGTCGGTTTCTTTTGATAGCCCGAATCGGTCTTTGAACACGGTCTCTACCACAAGGGAAGCAATATTACCTGAAAAGGAACAGTCAGCATATTGATTAATGATAATGAGAAATGAAGACATGAGAAGTAGCATACCCTCATCAAAGCCCTTGGGTATTCCTGACAGACTCCAGATCAAGACACAGTACAAAAGATGTAAGTTGAAAATTTCGCGAGGCGAATTCTTCACAGCGGCGATAGTGGTTGCTACAAGAGATGATTTGGCCATGATTGATCAAAACAAGAAGATGGAAGATGAAAGGAGGATGGTAAGGTTTCGTTTCACTCTTTTCCCTCCGACCCTGGACAGATGAAAAGTATTATCAGAAACATATATATTGCCAAATCTCTACAAGGAGTTCTCGTCCCAACGGGCTGGCCACCATTTCCCGGGCGGGCTTGGCGGTCAACAAGGGGCGATTTCTGGTTGTACATCCGGGGCCCCGCAGCGAAGACATTGCGCGGGGAACGGGTGAGTATGGTCCTTCCAATTGATACCAGCGTGTGCGTTACACAATAATTGGCGGGCTCTTCCCTAATCGTATCTGTCAATAGACGACCGGTACGTACCTAGAGAGATGGTCTAGGTAAGGATTTGGGTCTCCAACCTGGCCAAATGTTGCCCGGACGAAAGCCGTTGCGTTGCGGACAATCACCGAAGCCCGCGGCACGAGTCATACTGGGTCTAGGTGAAGCGTGTGACAAAATTGGAGACACGACTAATGGATGCTGTAAGCGCTTCGAATCGCGAGGTCGAGCACTTTGTAGCTTAGTCTGATTAATTACTAGTTGCTCGATAGCTAAGCTATATGGAAGGTATTCGGACTCTTACTGAGCAAAGTCATTGACGACAGGCCTGCGGGTACTTACTACCTAATTGCCACTTTTATTTCCACACGACCATGAATTTCTATCCGGTACCCCCTACGATCAAGGCCGAAGTTTACTTCAGAATCCCAGATGCAATTCGGTGCTTGAACAAGGATTCGGAGTGGCGCGGTGGCTTCGCTCGCCAGTTCCAGTGGATTTTCCTCGAGGGGCCAGTCGTGGACACTGAAGGCAACCTCTATGTTGTAGATGTGCCCTATGGTAGAATATTGAAGATTACTCCCAAGAAGGAGGCCAGCGTCTATGTTGAGTGGGATGGAGAGCCAAATGGCTTGGCCGTCACCCGACAGGGTACGATAATCATTGCAGATTATAAACAAGTATGGCTCAATAGATACAACTATGAACTAATTGGATCGCTGACAATCGGCAGGGAATCTTGGAGCTTGATCCTTCCACCAGATCTATCAAGCCAAAGATAACCCGACGACATTTGGAACGATTCAAGGGACCAAATGATTTGATAGTCGACTCCAAAAACAATATTTACTTTACTGATCAAGGTCAGACTGGCATGACGGATCAGACGGGCAAGGTTTACAGATTAAGCCCAGACGGCAAACTCGATACATTGATCGAGAATGGTATTTCACCAAACGGCCTGGTACTATCTAGAGACGAAAGGTTTCTCTTTGTCGCCATGACCCGACAGAACTCGGTGTGGAGACTGCCGCTGCATGAAGACGGCACAACGACCAAAGCCGGCCTGTTCTTTCAGTCGTTTGGAAATGCTGGACCAGACGGCCTTGCCATGGATGAGGAGGGTAGCCTGTTCATTTGCCATCCTAGTCTTGGCTCCGTCTTTGTTGTTGATTCTGATGGAGTGCCAAAGGCACGAATCATCTCGGGGAGTGACGGCATCAATTTTACCAATTGTTGTTTTGGGGGCCCAGAGAACAAGACCTTGTTCATCACTGATAGCTTGGAGGGGAACATTCAGACTGTCCAGTGGCATTGTCGCGGTGCCCAGCCTGCTCCAAAGCTCGGTGCATAGATACAAAATACACCAATTCCCTGTATAATCTCGACAGCGGACATGAATAAATTAAGGAATGTAATGTGATCGGTATAATGCGTGTTATATAGAGAAATTTCGTCTGTTACTCGTTGTAGTCTTGGCACAGGACTTGCAGGATCCATAATCCGGGTTTGGCGCTGCAATTCATATGATAACGTCTCCTTGACTCATGTATCATTCTACATTTATTCGTATCTATGCGCGATGAAATCATGATGGCAAGTCTCTAGATTTTCTTGTGTATCTCAGCAACTATTGTTGGCTCTTTGCAAATTCTAGCAAATACTTTGCCGCAGCCATTCCGGTCTCCATTTGCGTTTGATCTGTCGCAGCACCAATGTGAGGAGTGCTCACAACGCCCAAATCCCACAACCTGCCATATCTCTCCGGAGATGGGGGTTCTTGCTCATGGCAGTCAAGGCCGGCTCCCCAGATCAACTTCTCCTCCAAAGCTTTTTCCAGGTCCTCCTCATTGACGATACCGCCACGCGCGGCATTGATGAGGATGGCATTTCTCTTCATTATCTGAAACTGGGGATATGAAATGAGATGTCGGGTATCCTTGGTGAGTGGGATGTGTATGGTTATAACGTCAGAGTCCCGTAGCACCTGCTCAACGGTCTCTGCCCGGGTGTGTGGGATGTCGGACCATGCATCTGCCGATAGGAAAGGGTCATAGGCGATGATCGGGGCATCAAAGGCACCCCTAAACATCTGGGCCACGCTTTTGCCAATGTTGCCCATTCCGAGAATTCCAATGCTCTTCTTGTGCAGTATTATACCGTTGCAGGTCTCCTTGGGAACGGGCGTACCCTGGTTCTGAAGCCGGCTGATGCGGCCAAGGTCCCTCGCGACCGATGTCGCCAGCGTCAGCACGACCTCGGCCACTGCCCGCGCATTGACACCGGGGGTGTTGAAGATCTTGATGCCCTTGGCTCGGCAAGCTTCAGCGTCAATCTTGTCAATACCGACACCCTGCTTTCCAATGGCCTTTAGACATGGACTGTTTGCAACATCTTCGGCCGTCAGCTTGGAAGATCGCATTAGGAGATATTGTGCCTTTTGTCTCCACTGAGCATGTTCCGGCATGTCTGTAAAAATGGCGTGAAAGTTCTCCTTGGCGAACTGCATAACATCTGGGTGGAATTTGTCCATTACGTAGACCGTGGGCTTCGAGGCGGCCACAGTGCCCGAGGCATCAGACAATAATCCTGGAGCCATGACGAAAGATACTTGATTCAAGTGCACTTGAATGCAGTTTTGGATTTAAACGGCCTTTTTTGTTGTGCTGCTATTCGCACGCTTTGAATAATCGGCAGACTTTCAAGGAGCAAAAGATTTCAGGAGACTGCAGCAGAGGAACAGGTTGGTATATCTATGAGATGAAACTATCTCCAAGCGCCTTATAGAGTATGACAGTCATGCCGCATGCAAATCTTTGGGTCCCATTCGCAGCATTGATGCCGCAATCACGCAAACCAGAGACGCCTCGGACAATATCCGATAGCGACCAGTTGGGCTGAGCCTTACGGAAGGGTTGGACAAGCCAATGGCTCTTCTTCAGTCGTTGCTGTGGTTCTGCTCAAGTGTATATTGCCACCGGGGCGGATCCGGTCCGTGGTTACACAGTGTTTACATGCAGTCGGTCATATATGGAGCATGGCTACCATGATGGGCCATACTAAGGCAGTCCTGTGTAGCAGCACGAAATCTCACCTTCTTTCCGGTTATTGAAGTTTCAAAACGTGGATCCGTTCGTATCTATGTACTTTATCGTGCCAAAAACTTGGTACCTATCAACCAATGCTAAATCTTTGTTATACACATGTGCAGTTGGGGGGCACTTAGAGACACCGCTGTGCGCTGCAATCGAGGTGTTGAGTTTTTAGTGGATTTTAATGCTGTAGTAGGCATGTCGAAACGCTAAAAACCCCCCACAACCGGCCAAGCAGCGTGGGGAGATGAAAACGAAATGATACTCCAAACTGGAACATGTCGTGATGATCAGCGGAAATTGTCCCTCTACAAGTCGAGGAAATGATACCAACCAAATGGATCTGCCGTTCGAAGTCAACATGGAGGAGTCTTAGAAAATCATGTAGCCCAGCTGCCAGATAGACAGCAGACGGACACTCGGCGGCCGCTCTGCTTCCGTCTTGAACAGCTTAACCCTGTGCAAACGCACTCCAGAATATGTCATATACATGTTTTCTTGTGCTCTGGTTTGTTGCTTTTGATGCATGAAGGGTCGCGTTGCATATCCCCAGATGGACTTGAGTGCAGCATTGATCATCTGGGGAAGGTTTGACGGGGCTGCAGGGCAGTAGAGACGCCAGCAGCTGACGCGCATCATGTGGTAACGGGTGGTTACCAGTTATCTAGTATGTGTATATGGATGCAGGTTGGTGGGTGTTCATGGCCATAGATTCGCTGTAGATTGACTTGGCCATTATGGGTTGACATCCTCGATAGGGAATCGACAACCTGTACGTTCATTTGCAATCCATTATGATACTTCTTTGTAATCTAAGACTTCTTACCACTGCGTGAAGGAGCACAAGATTTCTGCGGTAGGCCTAGGTGTTATACGCAGGCACTACTCCCTTTTGGAGATGCTCCACCCTCCATAATATGTGTCAGTGACAATCGCCCCAATTTAGTGGCGTGTCCCCTAGCTTGTTGGAAACTACCCCAACTATTAGCTGCGGGCTCGGCGCTCCCCCAGAGCCAAGACCTCAAGAACAGTTGATTTCTCCGCATTTTTGGTCCTTGACCTGCCAGCCTAGCATGCCCCAGATGCAGATACATAAAGGCGCCCAAGGCTCGGCCCTGTTCCACAACGTCGGAAATTTCCCATCTCATCTCAAGGTCTCTTTCACCGCCTGAAAGCCGATGTCACCAGAACTTTCAACCTGAGGAAGATACAAGACACAGACTGGAGTCGTCTATTGCTAGGCGAGAAGCCCACCGCATGGTCTCCATAACGTCGCCTGTCCGGCCGGAACAGGACCGAAGTGTGTCGCTAGAGATTGCCCCGGCATCTGCGCAGACCAGGAAACAGGCGTGTGAGAACTGTTGGAAGCGGAAGAACAAGGTAGGCAGATCTAACACTGCTTCATTCTTCTGTCTGCGTCTCCCATCTGGTCGGCTGTGAGACCTGCCTGTCGCAATGCTGATGGTCGGCAAGTAGTGTGACAAGCAGACTCCATGCTCGAGCTGCACAGATCTCCATATCGAATGCAGGCCGCGTCAATGGAAATGGGACAATAATCCAGAGGAAGTGGCAGTCACCCATGCCTCCGTGACCAGCTATGTGGACACCCTCTTGAAGCGCAAAGCTGCCAACAGCAGATCGCAAGAGCCAGGGGGTCGCCGAAGCAAGAGAGCTCGTACAGTTTCTAGCAGACAGGATCGACCTACATTCGACACCGAGGCTACCCCCATGCAGTCTGGCGTCGCCATTGATAAGCCATGCATCAGAAGCAGGTAACCCGGCCGAGAGCCCGTCAGTACAGGCCACCATGGGCGAGATCGGGTTCCTATCCCGGTCCGCCATGGCAGAGCCACGTTCTGACCGATTTGAAAGACTCCCAACGAACCTAACATCAGAGAGTGTTCTCTTAGCAAGCTTGGCTCTCGATGGTTCCGACCCGTCAAAGTCAAACTTGTCAGATCACCAGGCCACCCAACTGCTGGCATCTGAACCAAGCAGGCTTCGTATGGATCGCGCTTCAACCCTTCCCCACATGACTCGTTTTGTCGAAGAGATCTGTCCCATTATGCCGTATCTTGTTGCGAGCAATCTCACGGACCAATACGAAGAGGTGCTCTCGCAACACGGCAGAAGGGGCAATATAGAGAATCAAAGCTCTAGTGCGCTAAGCCGTTTCAATGTTTGCATGGCGGTTGCAACTGGAGCATTGTTGTCATCACGATCTCCGGGTAAATCTTTACTGGTCATAAGGTTGCATGAAGAAGCTATAAAGCAGCTATCCATGATTAAAATGAAGGACGAAACCCACCTGGTATCGTGCATTTTGAGCTTGACAATATTTGCGTTATACAGCCCTAGTGGAGGCTCTTCTTGGCACCTTGTAGGTTTGGCTCTCAGAAAATGCATTTCTCAGGGTTGGCACCGGCACCAAGAATGTGTTGGGCAGCTAACAGAGGGCGATTTGTTATCGAGAAAGCGTCTGTTCTGGAGTGCGTATATGATTGATAGGTAAGTACACATCAGCGATGACCATTACCAGCTGATTATTGATCATCATGAACACAGATCATTGAGCCTAGTCATTGGGCGGCCTTTCAGTATACAGGACCGAGATATAAGCATCTCCGTAGGTTAATTATTATATCAAGATTTGGAGTTTGCGCATTGATGTAGTCTCCCTAGGTTCTCAAGCCAACCGAAGCCACAAGTCTGCACTGTCACCTAATCACACAAGCTCGACTGGCTACAGATATTCAAGTCAGCTGTCGGACCACACTCCTTCATGACTACAGCAACATTTGTTTCTGGAAACAATGGACTGGAGACCAGGATCGTGATTCAAATGTTAAACCAACCGTTCTTGACCATCTCTTGCAATTGGAATGCCGGATGCTTGCCAAGATAACTTCGACGCAACCAGGTCATCAGAGCCCGGGAAGACACTCTGCAGCAGTGGTGCGTGAGGTCGAAAGAGAAACAATTGAGGCATGCGCTCGATATATAGACCGCAGCTATGAACGGCTCCAGGAGAACAATTTCGTTGGGTCCTTTATCGAGGCCTACGACATGTTTACAGCATCGCTGACCGTCGTACATCTCAAGCGGCGCGATGCCGCCTGCAACACACAGCAACAGCTCGCATCAATGATGGACCTCATCAATAAATCTTCGACCCTGCTAACTGCAATAGCGGAACGCTTCTCCGTGTTTCGCAGTTTCCAAAGAGTACTCTTGTCCCTGTCGGGGCACTTGATGGCCAACCCTATACCTACAGCTCAGGTGCGTTACTAAAGATGGTGTGCCCAAAGGATGCCCGAGCTAAAATACGTAGGGTATCCCAAACATTGAAGAATTATTGCCAGAGAGTGCTTCTGAGTCTCTTCGGTCATTGATCAAACTATGTGTACAATGAACAGCATCCGAAGTTACTCTAACCTATTCCTACACCTGATGACTAAAGCTGTAAATCGATTCCAGTAAACATGCCTTGGATTTCGCTTGGGTCTCCATAGGCATAGTTTCCAATCCTCCACCACGTGTCGTCGGTGAGGAAAGACCATTGCGACACATCCATTCCCATGAGATTGTTGGACTCAAGAGACGTTCCCTGAGCTTCAATACCGGCTCCGAGTGTTTCCTGATTGCCAATCAAGCTTTCTACTCCATCCGCATTCTCTATGGTCATTGCAGGCAGTGCCATTTGCCAGGGTCCCGCTGCGTGAGGCGGTACGCCAGAAAGCCCAGACATGTGTTGATGCATGGCTCCCAGGGGGCGGCCAAGGCTTTCCCCAGAGTCCAATTTTTCTAGTATGTACCGATGTAGGGCTTCGTACACGGCCACATATGGAGATGAATCTGGCATTACCTTTGCCATGGCTTTGAGATTTTCCTCACAGCGAAGCAAGCTGTCGTATGCTTCAGACACATCGATGAGATCAATATGAGCCGAGACTGAGACGCAGAACAGAACCGAGAGCCCAGCTGCAAACATCATCTGGAAATAACTCCTAGTATATGTGGCGAGGCCTTCGTTGTACATGTTGGTATACATGGATATGACCCGAATGGCATGGTCCAGGCATAGAGACAGGATATAACGGACTGGAAGCTCGCCGCTCTTGGGCGCGAGGTCGACTGCCCTGCGTACAAGTTGAAGCGCTTCACGCGCTTGGAGAAGATCGTACCATTCCTGCCGCTCGAACAAACATCGAGGTTGGCTAAAGATGGGCGCGGACTGCCGCCATTGATCTAGCTCGTCAAGAAAGCTCTCGACCGAGGTACAGACCTGTCCTGATGCGAGGTATTTATCTCCGTTGAGATCAGACGAGGGGGAGCGCGCTATATGGGAGAATTCAAGGTGGATTCTCGATGATATTCTTCTCAATTTGGTGCACAAGATGAGGACTGTTGTTTCGCTTGGCGGCGACAAAAGGTGGCGAGGGCAGATGTCGTCCAGACTCGGCACAAACCCAAACGAGGACGTAATGTCTTTATCATCGGCGTCTACTGGGAATCGAACAGTGATATCCTCATCGGCTATGGCAAAGGGACGATCCAAGGTGGTTGAGCTGTAGCGGTCCATCACATAGCACACCCAAAACACTCTGCGCTGCAGCTGTTCGTCCAGCAGATACAAGTGCGTCCTCGGCGGTCCGTGGAGTCCTTGCTCAATGCACATCCTCATACATAACTGTACAATGTCCCACACCGATGTGCCTATGTTATATTTGGTGAGACATCAGTATTCTGAACTTGGGCTGGTGAAATGGAACAAACCTATATGATGATAAATGCCAAAACGCCATATAAGTAAAAGGTCTTGTATGGCGGATAGGCCGCGGGCTAGGAAAGAGGATTCAAAATGACGCATTGCAGCCAGATAGAAGCCAAGGGGGTGGCTTTGGGAGAGGCCCCTTCGAAACGGTATCAAGGACCCTATGGCCAGGATCATGAATGTGCGGAATAGGTCATGCGCCGAGATATTCTGCGATAAGATATTTTGCGATACCGTGTCCTGAGGAAACACGCGCGTAAAGAGGTCCTCGACATCCTGTCGAAGGATAAAGGGATTCTGTCTGTGCTGACCCTCCAAACTGCACAAGGCTTCCCGTCAGCGAAATGCGCTACAAAGCCATGGAAGGAATCATGTTGTGGACTTACTATCGATCGAATTTCCGCCGCGCTTCGTCTGTGGGTGGGAGCTCGTGCGGTTCCAAGCTTGGTTCTGCTGGTCTGGTGGCACTAGCCAGCATTTGCAAGACATCTGCGTTTTTGTTCCTCCAGTTGGTGTCGTCGAAAAGTGAAGTCATGAAACTAGACAGACCGTCAAGTTAACAGAAACACAATGGTTTCATTTGGTCAGAATATACCTGATTCCCCGCTCGCCCAGCGGCATGGAAGCTGGAGTCCCCTCCCATGTTGTGCTGTCTTTTCGTGTGGTTCGAGGTGATATAGGCGAGTTGGATGACTCTGCGTGGGCAGTTTCTCGGGGCTCTTCTGTTAATTCTGGATCATTATTGAGTTGCTGTTCTAGCTCATGTATATATCTTTGATAAACTGCATGTCAGTAGAAGCTTCTCATAAATTCAGAAGTAATATGAGATGGCAAAAAACAAATGTATTAGATTGATCTCATTGGCGACCATATAACATACTGTCTCGAAATTGGGGGCCCGCCTTCTAAGCTGACGATCATACAATCGGTGCCCTTCTTCGTACATGGCGCACATTTAGGGCGCTCACTATCGCACTATCAATGCAGAATCAGCTTAGAAATGCAAAAGAAGGCACTCTCTTTTATTTCTATTTAAAAGTCCACAGAAAAAGAAAGAGAAAACAACAAGAAGAAACAGGCACGCAATAAAATCGAGTCGCTAAAGTGTTGTTTTCCAACTAACCTTGATTTTTTTATCCCGGCATAACTGGCACGCGGGTAGGCGTGGCAGCTTGGACGTTGCACCCCGCATCCTTTCTAGGTGGAGGCACTTTTTTCAATGCCTGTCCAGTGTTTTCTAGCCTTCTTCTTTTATGAATGTTCTTCACAACGAACCCACAGTGCGCAGCGCGGCTCCAGATCGTATTATAAGTTTCTCGTCTATTTGGTCTCTCCGTCAGTCCCTGCTGGATTCTGATCTTCGGTCTCGCAACCGAGGAAATGGCGTAGATGTCTTCTGAGCCGATGCCCTTGCTAAGACGTTTACTGCTTGAGAGCTTGGGGTCTGTTGGGGAGCATATGCGGGGTATACTCGCAGGGCGTAAATCCTGACAATCAGCAAGCACAGATGTGTAGGTGACTTTGGTAATAAGATGGCCTTCCAGCATCAGAAAGAGAAAGCACAAGCCCTGTAATGAACATCGCATTGGAGAATCAGCAGACGCAAAAGCTGCTCTTGTTTTGGTAGCTGGAGAATCCTTGCTGACGCCAGATGCTGCATGGGAGGAGTGTTAGGTTGGCATGGTTTAGTTCCACTGCCCACTGCTCCGGAAAACTTCCGGGTGTCTGTCTCCATTCGAAAGACGGCACTACCTCATAGTCGATCGCATGGCAGAAAGCACTTGCCGGCATCGCCGCGAGTTTCGACACTAGATCATGAACTCCCGCTACCGGTGCATCTCTGGTATGCAGAAATCTATTGTCTGGACTCTGTACATGATAACCTCAGGATTATATCTACCAGGAACCAGCCAGGACCTCATTTGTAGGCCAAAATGCAGTGTACATCCTATACATAGCAACTCCAACACTCGTTAATATTAATTTCCGCACTCACAAAATCCCTTCCCTACAAATCAGACATGACAAATATCATGGAGCTTCCAGTAGGATCCTGGGATTGTCATCTACACGTATTCGACCCGACACGATTTCCCTTCAGACCTGATAGAGCATACACGCCAAGCCCAGCCACTGCGGAGGACCTCATTGCTAACACGAGGAGCAAAGGCTTACTCCTCGTCCAGGCTAGCCCCGAAGACGGCCATCATGGCTTGCTAACACAGCTGCGTGAGGCTACTGAGAAATATCCTGCAAAACATTTCCGCGCCTCAATCATCACGGAAGACGTCGTCGGCCACGACATTTGTGGCCTCGACAAAGAGTCCATTGACGCCATGCATGATTGGGGCGTCCGAAGTATACGGCTCCAGGGCAGCTTTGGGAGCTTTGGGTCTCAGCTTGATCGTCTAAAAGAATACTTGAACTCGTTGGCTAGATCATACGCTGTTCAGGGTCGAGGCTGGGTCATCTCCATGCAAATGCCGCTATCGGTATGGGCTAACCTCGGGGACGTGGACTTTGGCTCCGCTATCGTTGTTGCTGAGCATGGTGCTTGCGCTACTCCCAAAGACGTGGATAGTCACGAATTCAAGACCTTCCTCGACTTGCTGCACACTGGCAGGTTCCATGTCAAGATATCGGCTTTGCACCGAAGGTCGCCGGACAACTTCCGGAATATGAAGGGCGTAGTCCAAGCTTTCGCTAACACGGCGCCAGACAGGCTTCTGTGGGGAAGCGACTGGCCACACGTCGACACCAGGAGAGGAGGACTCGAGCCGACGCCAAACAATCCGGACGCAAAGTGGGATGAGGAGCTGAAAGCCATTCAGTCGTGGCTGACGGACGAGCAGTATCTGCAGATGATGGTGTCGAATCCATCGCGCTTGTTCTTGTGAGCGACTTTCGTCGCTGCTGTGCCCATTTTTCCACTCACGGTGGAGCAGCCAGCGGTCGGTGTAAGTCAAACACCAAGGAAGACCATCGCCTGATGCACGGCTTTTCTCCGCCTGCAACGGGACGCGTGGAAACGTCCAATGTGCACAAACAGCCCAACACCTTGACGCAACCCCAGTCCCACCTATCCTATTCCCCAGAATACCCCAGCCGGGGAAGGGGCTGTTACCAAGCCCTTGGCCGACTATAACAAGCCACCATCCAAGGCCCAGAATCTTGGCCTGCTTCTTGCCTTTGCTTGGCTTGATTTCTAGCCATCTCATCACTTTTCATTTGAATCTAACACTCAAGTACAATGACCGACATCAACAATTCGGGCAAAGTCCTGGCTGAGCAAGACGAATGGGTTGAGCAGATCGACAAGACGAATCAAGATACTGAAAATGGCACCACCATCGATGTTTTGCGGGCAAAGGAGCTCGAGAAGAAACTTTTGAGGAAGATTGACACTAGAATTCTTCCATTTCTCGTTCTCATGTGAGTATAGCCTCGGTCGTCATATGATCGCGTAGATTAAGGGGGACCAGCTAACCCATAATCAGCTATGTGTGCAATTATCTAGACCGCAACTCAATCACACAAGCCCGTCTATATGGCCTTCAGGAGGACACCCACGTCAAAGGCGCTGTGTACAACACCGCCATCTCCATCTTCTCGGCGGGCTACATTGCCATGCAGTTGCCCTCCTCCATTCTGATGACCAAAGTCAGACCTTCACTCTTCTTGGTTAGTCTCTACCATACTCATTGCCCTTATCCTCCTCTCCATATCCAAACAATAGCATGACTGACCAATAGATCTGCAGCCCGGTTGTATGATTACTTGGGCTATCGTTTCCGGTTGCACCGCCGCGACAAATAGCCCTGCGAGCCTCCTGATTGTTCGCTTCATTCTCGGTCTTGTCGAGGCGCCCTTTTTTCCCGGTGCCATCTATTACTTATCATGCTGGTACACAAAGAAGGAGCTAGGAATACGTATGGCCTTCCTTGTTAGTGGCATCTTACTCTCTAACGCTTTTGCCGGTCTCATCTCCGCCGGCATTCTTGATGGTATGACCGGAGTGACGAGACTGGCGAGCTGGAGATGGTTGTTCATACTTGAAGGTTTGATGACCATCGTCATCGCTCTAGGGGCCATCTTCTCCCTCCCCGACTACCCAGCAACGACAAAGTGGCTCAGTGACGAGGAGAAGACAATCGCACAGCGCCGCCTGATTGAGGATGCTGGCGCGGAGGGCATGTCGGAAGAGGAAGACAGTTCATGGAAGAAGGGTCTCCTCTTGGCCGTCAAAGACTATCGCTCGTGGATCTTTGCCTGTTTGCAAATGTCCGTCACTGCCAACATTTCTTACTCGCACTTCTTTCCGACTCTGATCAAGGAAATTGGATTCACCGACAACATGACTGTTTTGCTGCTAACGTCGCCGCCCTACGTTTTCGGTTTCCTATGGTGCATCAGTCTCTGCTTCTATGCCGACCGTGTACAAAAGCGGTCAATTCCCGCCGCGACATCCATTTCCATGGCCATGGTGGCGACCGTCATCCTTATTGCGGTACCCTACAGCGACCAGTGGGTGCGCTACGCCTTTACTTTCCCACTGACGGGTGGTGCCTTTGGTGTCTATGCCACGACCTACACATGGCTCTCGTCCACCTTGGGCCAACCGCGCGTCAAAAAGGCGGCAGCAATTGGTATCGCCAATACACTGGCCAACATTGCGTCGCTCTACGCCAACTACTTTTGGCTTGACAAGTACGAGCCCACGTTCCAGGTCTCGTGGGGGATCCTCCTAGCGTTTGAGTGCCTCGCTCTGACGTGTATCCTCACCCTCCGGTATAGCTTGAAGAGGTCGAACAGAAAGTTTGATGAGCTTAGTGCAAGGATATCTACCAGTGATGAGGCACAGATTTCAGTTCTGAAAGAGGTAGAGCAGAGGGCAGTTGTCAACGGATTTAGATACGTGGTGTAGCTCGATAATCTGGCCATGAATATACTTTTCATGTAGTACATATGAGGAGGCTTCAAAGTTGTCCATTGTGTTAATTGAAATTGACTGATTAGCCAGAAATCGCATCTACTCACAAGTAGATGCCCTCTACCGTCAGGTCAGGTCCATTCTGCATGCTTGATTTCAAAGCGTTCAACAGGCGCAGCATCTGCTTCGACAGCTTGCGCACGGCTTTCTGCCCTTCCATTCCGTTGGGTACCGGTATAGCGTATGTAGTGTTAAACAATGCGCTCACCACATCGATAGGTCTCCAACAGATTGAAATAGATTCCGTATGCCATTCTACTCTCACATCAAGTAATGTCACTAATGGATGTTAGGGTGGAGTATACACGCATGTTTCCACGCAGCGGTCGAGTACCTCTCTAGGCAGATCCTTTATTGAGCAGTGTCTGGGGCCAACATGCCTCAGATTGAAGTCTCTGTTAGAGTTTCTCTCGTTGCTGACAAGTCACCAGGATGCCAACCGACTTCCTCCATTGGCCACTGGATCCATAGTCTATGTTGCGCATCGAGGGCTTGCCAAATATTCTCAATTAGGTACGAGGGCCACCCTTGCATCCACCAGCAGCCATTCAGTGACTGGAGTAGTACGCAATAATGAGCAAGTATCACCATTGCCACTCCTTGACGTTGGCCTAGCATCTCTATGTATTCGTTTGAGGCCAAATACGGCCATGCAAGGACTAGAGTCGTCTCCTTGGCGTCCGATGTGGTGCTGGAATCGTTGGCATCAAGTGTGCGCAGGTCCATGGTCGGTAGCCGATTTTGTGCCTTGGCGAAGCACATCTCCAGTGTGTCAATGGTGTCCAAGTACAAAGTCAGCAGGGTCTGGGACTCGGCGACGGCGACGGCTACGAGTTGCCGGAGCGTAGCCAGCTGCACGGACGCGACGGTGGAAAACCAAGCCGACGACGGCGGCAACGTTGAACGCAATGATTGGCACTGGTCAAGTCTCATGCGCCCGAAAGCAAAGGCGGCAGCAAAAGGTCCCGCGAGCAGTTCGTCGGCGGCGGCCTCGGAGATATGACGCAGGCCACGCAGCAGAACCAGCCAGTCGGGTACGCCGCTGCCGTCAAGGAGCAGCATGTGTGCCGCTGGTCGGGGGGATGCCATGGTGTAGAAAAAGGTTATGATGGAGAAGATGAAGAGAGGAGCACAATTAGCCGCCGTCACATTGCGCAGCAGCTCCGTCGCCGTGCGCAGGGCCGCGTCGTGCTCGCAACGCGCAATGGAGAGATAACGCTCGGCGCTGGACGGGGTGCGCGTGTTGTGTGCCATGTGCAGCGCCGAGAGGGCCAGGATGGCGCGCATCACGAAGCTGGTCGAGAAGCCCAGCTGTGGCACGCTGATGCGCCACATTGTGCGCAGAGGCACGTAGCTGGACAGGGTATAGCATGTCGAGGTGCTGTAGTTGTGCAATAGTTGCAGTTGGATGGGATCCAGACTCAGAGGGGACGCGTGGGATAGACTCCCGTTCGCGGGTGAGGAGCTGGAGTTTAGGTTGACATCTGGGCGAGCCACGGCGCCAGCAGCAGTGGGAGCAGCAGCAGCAGCACAAGCAGCCGTCTGTGTAGATGTGCCTACGTAATCACATACAGCCGAATGCTTGATGCAATTGCGACATGAAGGTTTCTGTTCGTCACACTGAGAATAGTCTCTACATTAACATCAAGGAACCCAGAGGAAAGAAAGGGGTTGGGGTCGTTGCGATACCTTGATCTTGCGTCTCTTGCACACACGACATCCACTGCGGACTTTACGCGATTTCCGTCGCGGCGTCGTCTCTCGTAGTGACGAGGTTGTGGTGGGCTCAGATTCCATGGCTACCTCTGTACCTACACAACCTACAATGGCAGCGTCTGTTCACCATATGCTGACCGAGTCGCTTTCCGAAGAAGATCAGCATATGGTGCAGGAGTGCGAAATCCGAGAAATCTGGAAGGTTTGTCTCGCAACAGCTCGGATCTTTGCCTCGCATAATTTCCCCGCAACGCCGAGTTATTATCCGAGCTCGCTCCAATCCACTCGCACCTTGGAGAGGGCGATCGATGCAACTAGATGGGGCATGATGGCTAAAATAGGCTATGGACTCGCAGAAGTTAGTACATCCAAGTGGATCCTGTTACCCTATTGCACACTAGGTTGTATATATGCTGGTACAATACAAGGAGTTCCTTGGTTTGACGGTCTAAGCTGGATACACACGGTCAGTTGTAGAAACACAAGCTTTCAAGACTGCTTTATCTTCGCAACACTGGACTTACTCTTTCAGAGACGACGCTGGATAAATTATTTCCAATGATTTATGTGCTATATATTGGAACTAATATTACAAAAGCATTATCACCGAGCTAGATAGGCACCATTCAATGATTGCCATACCATGTCAAGTCGACCAAGGTGGCTTCCATCTATGCCACGATCTACATTGATACAGTATTTCTCTTTCCTAAAAAGAAATTTGAGCTGAGGGAGTTTCGACATGTTCTTGAATCACACAGGCACCTAGTTTACTGGGTGACGTAATCTGATAGTCTCACCCCATTTGATCAGGACGACGGCTGCAGGAATCATGATCAAGGCAATAAAGCCCAAGCAGCTATTCCCCCAACCCAGGCCAAGCTCACTAAACATGGGCAAGCCAGCCATGGGTAGGAACGCCCCGAAAAGCGATCGAACAACAGTGTTGCTGGCTATCGCCGACGCAGCATAGATGGTGAAGGCGTCAATGAGGTAGACCTGGATGCAAAAGAAGATGATCTGGATACCTAGCCCAATAGGTATGTGTGCGATAATTGGAACAACCCAGTGCACTCGATACTGGGCAGTCCAGCCATAGATGAAGAAACCACAAGGAACAAGCAATGCTCCCACGGGAAGGTTTCTCAGCCGCTGCTCCGGCTTCGCCGTCGATTGAGATTGTGTAGATTCATCAGATGATTCCACAGTTTTGGCCGGTTTCTTCTTGAGGTGCCGGTCAGATGTCAAACTGGTGTAGACTACTCCAATCATACTACCGACACCGAGGCCGAGGTACGCGAGCCCAACAAGGCCCGTAGAGAATCCATACGTGTCCTCGAATACCGTCGTCATGGTGGTAAACATCAGATAGAGGTACCCGTACGAGATGGCCATGTAAACGGATGTGATTGCAATAATTGGAGACGTGATGAACATCCTGATTGGCCGAATGATACCACGCTTAAAGTGATCGGTCGTCGACAACCCTGAATCGAGTCTCGATCTCAACTCGTAGTCTCCGGTTGCTTTTTGCAAGCGAGCCGTCTTGCGCTTCAAGATGACGTAGGCGTAGCTCTCTCGCATGACACAGAGCATCAGCAAAGAAATCATTCCCGCGACAATGGACAAAACCCAAAAGGTCCAACGCCAGCCGAGCGATTGGCTCACGAATCCACCCACAATAGGGCCAACGATGGGACCGGCCAGAGGTGCGACGCTGTACAAGGCCATGGCAATGCCACGCTGCTCGGGGAGCACCATATCAGCTATGGAGCCACCACCGTTAGTAACAGGTGCGCAGCCAGCTACTCCGGCGAAGAAACGAATCGCTACGAGGCTGTTTAGAGTCGGCGCCAAGGCTGATCCCACCGAGAGAACCACGAAGCAAAAGTCACAGACGTGGTAAACGATTAGGCGGCCATAAATCTCGGAGAGTGGCGCCAGGAGGAGAGGACCGGAAGCATAACCCAGTACGTAAACCGAGACTACGAAAGACGCCATGGTCAGAGATGTTGATTCGAACTCGGCCATGACTTCGGGAACGCTGGGCGCAAAAATAGCTACAATTGTCAGTGTTTCATACTCTGCCCGGGCCCGTCGAGGCTTGAAGAATACTCACATGATCCGAGAGCCGATACCAAGGTCATGATGCTAATCAGCCCGCAGTTCAAGATCTTTTGCCAATTCGGCCAATTATAGGGATTCTCGGGGTCCTCAGGTCCATCCCACCAGACGGTTTTATCGTCTGGGTTGGAGGCATCTCCAGATGCTGACATGTCCTTCGACTCGAGATCAAGAGTGGGCTCTCCCAGGCGAATATCGTCCTCTACGTATTTTGTAGAAGCCATACGAACAGCCGCGGCCGCGCTAGTCGTGGAGGCTCTACCCTGATCGGCATTGCTCAACCCATCTCTGAAAGCCTCGACCGGGGTCTCTTTGTCGTTTTGCTGAATTCTCTCAACCATGACACCGAATTGATTGAAACGATTGATTTCTGGAAGCAAAATTCGTTATCTCAGCAAATGTTCATAATAGGAGCAAAGGTCTTCGAAAATTGTGCCAGTCCTTGGCGTTATCATTTTAGATCATGACTTACAAGAGGACTAGAGATCAGGAGAAAGCCAAGGACTTTGGAACCGTGTTACTCAAAATGTCTATTCGAAGAGTTTGTGGTTGAGATGGGCGGTTGCCCGTATTTGATGGCGGTTTTCTAGGTGGCAATTCTGCTATGGAAACAGAAAGGAACCCGAGAGCCCGAAGGGTACGATTTGTCAGATGAATCTAAAGCTCCGGGAAATGAGGCCAGGGTAATTCGGGCCAAAAAAGCTCTATACCTTTTCAAACAGAGCTTCTGATTGGAATGACCATGCGGACTTGTGCCCATCATTGTACGGCACCCACAACACTAGACTATTGCCCTAGTACAATATTTTCAGCTGGGGTCTTATTCCGACTTGGTTTTTGTATGATTGAGTGGGAAATGTCTTCCATGCTAAAATTTCCCTAAGGTACATACCTACCTAGCAGGTATACAGTGATCCCCGATGGTTGCATTACTGTACGCTTGCGCGGTCTGGAAAAGCGCCGGGTCCACATGTTCAACGACTCGGTGCATATAAGGAGAAAGAGACAGCCAGGATACTCCATGATTACCTCAAAGCCATGTTCTTTTTTTTTTCCTTGTCAACATAAATTCAAGAGGCCAACCAGACAGACATTTGTACGGAGTCGTTCGAAACATATAGGGAACAATCTTTTACGACCCGGCCTTCCCAGTCAAAGCTCGAACCTTGTGAGAAGCGGTTGAATCTACCAACGGCAAGATGCATCACATCATTACATCCAGTTTCTACATCATCGCTGCAGTCAGTCTCCTGTTTTGTTTTTCTTTTGGCATCATCCGAAAGTGTTGACAAATCTAAATAGTTGGGCGCACTTGTGGTGGTCCATTTCGCATACAACCTCTTCTTCCACCCTCTGCGATCATATCCTGGACCGTGGTATGCAAAAGTCAGTATCTTCTGGTTTATGTACCACTCTTTCCACGGCGACTACCCATTTAAGGTGCATGAGCTGCATCTGAAATATGGCCCCGTCGTCCGTATTGCTCCCAATGAGCTGGCTTACACGGACCCGCAAGCCTGGAAAGACATCTACGGGCATCGGACCGGGCAACCTGAGAACGTCAAAGACCCATCACAGAATATCGACGAAGACCCGGCGCATCCCAGTATCGTCTTTGCTGGTCGCGAACAGCACTCGAAATTGCGCAAATTTCTATCCAATGCCTTCTCAGACAAATCCATGAGAGAGCAAGAGCCAGTTCTGACGTTGTATGTCAACCAGCTCATAGAGTCGCTAGGGAAGAGATGTCGCGAGCCACTTGATCTTGTACAGTGGTACAATGTGAGTTTCGCCATCTTGATGCTTGGAATGATAGCTAATCCTCACCCAGTTTACCACATTTGATGTAATTGGCCATCTTGCCTTTGCCGAGCCATTTGACTGCCTAAACAATTCAAATTATCATCCTTGGGTGCATATGATCTTCAGTACTTTCAAGTTTGTTACTTGGATCCGTGCTTTGAATCGCTTGGCGCCGGGCTTTTCGTCTTTCCTCATGCGAATAGCGCCCAAGCGCGTCCAGCGCGAACACGCTGCCAACATCCAACTGTCGAGAGAAAAGGTCTTACGCCGCAAAGCGAACAGCCCCGGCTACGTTGATTTTTTGACGCCTTTACTATTGGCAGAAGAAAAGGGCCAGCTCACAGAAACGGACATTGTAAATAATGGCCCGACTCTGGTCGTGGCCGGGAGCGAGACCACGGCCACCGTACTATCTGGCGCCACCTTTTATATTCTCAGGGATCAGAACGTGTACAAGAAACTGACCCAAGAGATTCGATCGAGCTTCAATCGCGTAGAAGACATCACGCTCATTGGTGCGGGCGGGCTCCGGTATCTTCACGCCACCCTGGATGAAGCCATGCGACTATATCCGCCGGGGGCCAACAACCACCCTCGGCTTACGCCTCCGCAGGGAGCTTTGATTGCCGGCCGCTTCGTACCTGGGAATATGATGGTGGGCATCAACCAGTACGCAATGTTCCGCTCCCCACTCAACTTTTGCGATGCGGACGCCTTTGTCCCTGAGAGATCCATCGATCCGGATGAGAAATGGACCATGGATAAGCGGGAAGCCCTTCAGCCATTCTCTTTCGGACCCAGGAACTGCATCGGAAGAAAGTAAGTGCAAGCTGGAGCTCATTGAGTTGGTTCTCACGCAACGATGCTAACAGTTTACAAGTCTTGCATTTGCTGAAATGCGTCTCATCATGTGCCGGTTGCTCTTCTCTTTCGACTTGGAGCTGGTGCCCGGACAAGACGACTGGCTTGACCAAAAGGTCTTCACCTCATGGGACAAGAAACCTCTTCTTGTGAACTTGCGCCCCATGAAAGAAGCATAGTTCAAATGGTAAACCAGATCGCTGCACGTACTTCTCCTGGCAATGGAGAGATTATTTTTCTTTTTACTTGGCTTCTGCCTCGGTCTGTAACGAGCGCTGCAGAGTGGTTGCAATAGTGTGGGCACAACTCGAGTAATACTAGCTATGTACCTACAACAGGAGGTAGGAGTCAATGAGTCAATTGTACACATCATTACTCGGAGAAAGGCACCATACTTCAATCTCATCTTTATTTCGCATATTATTCCTACTACCTTATCTGCCAGAAATGATTCATCTCAGCACACATGTCCTTTCAACAAGTGAAGCTGACCTAGCCTTACTAATGGCAATCCGATATCTTTCATGTGAGAATCACTCTGGACAATCGACAAAAAGGGGTAGGGGCAAGTTGTTCTGCTTCTCCGTTTGGGACTCACACTGTGCAAAGGCAGAAATTATACAATGAAATATATTTCGTCTAATATACGCTATGGAACCTGAAATTGACGTTGAAGCGGTGGACTGCTGCCCTCGGATCGAGCTCGGACAAAAGTGCGAGAAACTCGCAATAAGCTCGGATTGCCACCGAGCTCATGTAGTACTCTTTTCGGACCCCTCGCTCGCTAAAACAATTCACATCTTGCCGGTCGCTCGCCCAAAATCAGGAGCCCCCCACTTGTCTGTTTTAGTGTGTAACCCACTGTTTCGGCGAGCATCCCTAGTACCTAGGGGTCGTTACTTACTGCAGTTGCAGTGCCCTTGTTAGCGGGCCTACAGCGCTTGCTTTTTAGCAGGAACAGCAGATACTCACTGGGCACGGCCTAGTAGTGGAAAATGATTCCAGGAACGAAGAGGAGTGGTGATATTGACGCTGCAGAGAGAAGGTCCAGCTACAGCTGCTCGTTGTTGTTTTTTGAATACTCCTCATCTAGTACTAGATTCGCACCTTGCAACTGCACCTGCACCTTAACTGGTCAGCTTCTCAGTGCTGGCGCAGCTGCGGCAGTATACATACTAGGTACCTCGCTACAAATTGACTGCTCACAACTCTTGAAAGCTTAGTTGATATGCCCAATTTTACACAATTTAACACACATTATCTCGGCAGCTATTTTTCCCGGCAGTGTTATGACCTGCCCGTCCACGCTTGGTTGTGCATTCAGTAAAGTGTACAAATCGATGATAATAGACTTGTGCGTGACGGCATGATTCCATGTTCCGTTCAACTTTGTTCCGTTTTATGTGTGTATGTCCTGCCTGAGAGTATTTAGGTCGAACCCACCTTGACGAATTGTGTAGTCCCATGCCTTCCCCTTTGCCACGCTGCATTCAAAGTCCATGGATTTCTTTGCAAGAATGACGGGGACCGACAACTCGTCTTTCCAGATTTTAGCCGCTCTTTTCTTTTCAACTGCGACTGCTATACTTCTGGCAATCATCTCTTCTAGTAGGAATTCAAGCAGTGCTTTCCCTACAATAAATGGGAGACGACCATTTGAGCTCTCCGATGCACGCGTGAAAAAGAACTTTATTATCAATGGCCGACAACTACTCCGCAACGGGCTCGAGAAATTCAACGGCAAGCCGTTCAGAATTCTTACGGATCATGGTTCCACTCTCATCTTTTCACCTGCTTACACTCAGGAGCTTCGTAACCTTGACAACCTTAGTCACGTTCGGGCTATCGCTCAGGTTCGATGCTACTCGAATCTCCACGGGCTACGACTTGCTGATTGAAAGACAGATTGTCGATGTGAAGTCACCTGGATTCGAAGCCTTCTACGAATTCGCATACGGCAGAAACATAGTTCAAGACGTGGTGAAAGCCAAGATCACACCAGCTCTAAGTATGCTGTTTATCCTTATGATCATACAATTGACATGCTTCTTTTTTTCTTGTCGTCCTAGTTATACTAATGAGCCATGCCTGTAGATGCTATAACCAAACCCCTCTCGGACGAAACGTCCATGACCCTCAAGCAGCAATTCACCAACAACAAAGGCCAGTCTCCCGATCCGCAAACCAATGTTTTGTCACTAAGCTGATTAGCTGACTGTTGAGTAGAATGGCACGCGGTACCTTTGCATTCAGTTATCCTTCAAGCCGTGGCCCAGGTATCTTCCCGCCTCTTTCTTGGTGAGGAACTTTGCCGCGACCCAGATTGGCTTCGCATTACGACAACATATACACACCACATCACGAAGGCGGCGCTAGAACTCAAGGCTTGGCCAGGGCTGTTACGTCCCTTCGTTATCCGCTTTCTCCCGCATGGCCGCGCACTGATCAGTCTGGTCAAGGAAGCCGAAGAATTGCTTGGCAGTGTGCTCAAGAATCGACGGGACGCAACGGTCCGCGGCACACGACGCAACTACACGGATGCCATAGAATGGTTTGACCAGATGGCAAAGGGCCGCAAATACAACCCAGTACACGTGCAGTTAACGCTATCCTTTGTTGCCATTCACACCACTGCCGATATGGTTACTCAGGTCATGTTTGACCTCGCCCAGCATCCAGAGTACATCGAACCTCTGCGGCAAGAAGCAATCAAGGTCCTGGGCAAGGATGGGTGGAAGAAAACATGTTTGTACGAACTTAAGCTCATGGACAGTGTTCTCAAGGAGGTCCAGAGGCTGAGGCCGATTAATGACAGTTCGTGGATCTCCAACCATTCTATTCTCAAATTTCAACTAACAGCAGCATGGAACAGCATCTCTCCAACGACTGGCCCTGGAGGATGTGACGCTTGCGGACGGCACGCGCATCCCTCGTGGCACTCTGCTAGCCGTGGCTTCGACGCGGCACTGGGATCCCCAAGTCTATCCCGATCCATATACATTTGATGGATATCGTTTCTTCAAGCTTCGGCAAGAAAAAGGCAAAGAGAATACTTCGCAATTCGTCTCGACGGGTCAGAATCACCTAGGCTTTGGTCATGGCCAACACGCATGCCCCGGTCGCTTCTTTGCCTCTAATGAGATCAAGATCATATTATGTCATATCCTTCTAAAGTACGACTGGAGGCTCATCGAAGGCGAAGAACCGGAGATTGTGGTTCATGGATTCAACCTGATCGCAGACCCCCACAGGCGACTCGAGATCCGCAGACGAGAGGAGGAACTGAGTATCGATAATCTGTAGGGCTGAAAACACTCTAGGAGTCATCTCAAATCAGCATCATGTTGACAGGTGGCTTCACTTTCAGTAATAAAGGCAAACAGTAAAAAGGCGACACGGATATGCTGAGCTTAGAATGCAGTTCTCCGCTCAGTCGTCCACTTTGATGGTCTTCTTAGGATGATTGTTCTAAGCACAATAACCCTTGGGTGCTCACAACCCCGAAAGGAGGCTTCAACGTTGTCAATCCTGTCCATTGAAAATGTCCAATCAGTCAAACATGACATTGATTCACAAATACTAGATGCCCTTTACCGCCAGGCCAGGCTCATTCGACAGGTTCGATTTCAAAACCTTTCACAGGCCGAGCATGTGATTCGCCAGCTTGCGCACGTCTTTCTGCCCTTCCGTAATTCCTTCCTCATATTCATCAAATTGTAAAAGTCCCAATGCTTGAAGACCAGCTTCACACATGACGTGCTCCTTCTTCGCACCACAATCGTCATGCTCGTACTCTCTCTCGCCCTTGTGGGACCTGGTAAAGTCTACTGGAACATCGCCGGCCTCGAAAGATGCCCGAGTCGAGACGAGCGACTGCACGTTGTAGGGCGTGAGAGGATTACAGGCGTTGTAAAAGACACTCGAGTCAGCCTGTCCTCGATGGACCTGGTCGACACCATGGACCAGGTCGCAGTGCCAAAAGACGTAGTCCCCCGGCCGCACCGGCGGGATGCCAATGATGGCCTCGTCGAGGGCAAGGTGGGGGTGGTGCTCAGAGGTTGGGAAGAGTTGCGTATTACCGGGGACCGCGCCGGGGAACGTGGGCAGGCTGTCGTCGAACTCCTCCGTCTCAAAGAGCGGGCGCAGCATGATGTAAGCCACGGACGCCTTGAGGTTCGGCAGCAGGCGGAGCGTGCCCTCGCCAGTGTCGGTATGGGAGAGCGACAGCCAGCCCTGGAGGCTTCGCCACGCCGAGCACGCAATGCCCGTCTGGTATAGATCGGGCTTGGCATCAACGCGATGATCGGCCGCCCAGCCGTCCCAGTCCTGCCAGTCGCCCCGGAAGATGGCCGCGTAGTTCTTGCGGTACTCTTCGTCCACCCAACGTTCCGTGGCGCCGCTGTCGAGGTGCGGTGCCAGCGGGAACGCGTCGGGGTCTTGCGACGGGTACCGAATGCGGATACGGTCCGGGTAGACGACTTGGCTGTCGAGATCAATGGGCGTGGAGGGGTCTGATACATGCCAGAGCCTCGAGACACACTTCATGGCCGCTATGACGGACGGATGCGATCTCATCTCCACCTGAGGCCTTGTCCAAAAGATGTTCCACCCGGCAGGTCGGTGCTGTGGGAAGCCGCCGACCCCAGGGTGACGACGCACGTAGTCCTTGAGCTGCGCCTCCCATGTAGACGCCTGTTGCTGGCTCACCACGCCGCGGAGTATGACGCAGCCGCGGTCACGCACGAGTTCCGCAAAGTCCAAAGGGAGAGAGCCGCCTGATCAAAGGTGGGCAGGTCAGTGACCAGCGCGCATACCAAGTAAAGCGAGAAAAGCCAAGACTGACCGTTTTTTCTGACCACATCGAACTCAATCTCTGGTATTAGAGCGGAGCCGTGTTCTTTGATGCGAGCGGTCTCCGTCTCCAAGACCTTCACGAGAGACTGATATGACTGGATGACCTGTTCACGATGCTCTGGTTTGACCAGACTCTGCTTCAACACGGCAAATCTCTTGGGAAGGAGTTGCACACTACATGATGGTGGGGTTTGTTAGCTAATGGATTCCAGACCTGGCTACTTCTGCATCTACTCACGTTGACTGTTGTTGCGCAACAGCAGAAGGCATGATGAGCAAGAGTGACAGAGCAAGTTTGGCATCCGTTTGAATGAAGCCGTCTGATTGGGATATTAGCTCGTCTTGGCTTGGAAGAGTTCAATATTCGTTATTCTTATAATCATAGATGCTTGCTCCATCTCCAAAAAGTGGTGTTCTGGGAGCTATATACCATGACACTTATGGATTCGGTCCCTGATGCGCGAGACGATGCGGCTTTGAGGCATGGAGATTGATGCCAACCGCTCCACTCATCATGTCATAGTTTATACAGTTTTACCGACACTAAATATGTCCTGCTTCACATTTTCACATACCTAGTAGTTATGGGCCTGGATGCGCTCGCACTTTCACAGCCGAGGTCATGTCTCTTAGAGTCTCAGGGATTCAAAACGTGGAATCAATAAACACTCGAAATTACGTTGGGGATTGGTGCAATGGGACAAGCGCAAATCATCATTATCTCAACCGTTGTCGACTCTAGGATCCCTTCCACATATCGCTCTTCACACTCAAGAACTATAATGTACCATGTATTGATAAAGACCTGTAAAGATGAATTAGGCGGTCGGCAATTTCGAGAAACTGCTAGGTAGCCGATGTGGGGAAACAGGGGCCACAAAGCCGCTATGTCTAGTGGATCTTCGGGTACTGGGGGTTTGGTCTCGGGCATATGCACGCATTATCGCCAATCATTGAGTTACCATATCATGTATCCAATTAGAGGCATAATGGTGCTGGCCAGTAATGAAGCATCTCAGAACATCCCTCCATCGTGGCAAGTAGCAGAAACATTTTGTGACAGAATGGCTTTTTGGCAAGTACTGAGCCGCGCCATACCAGTTTTATTTCATAATTGTAATGGCTTCCAAGTCACAGGACTTACAGATCAAGCTACGCTACAGGTAGCAGATGATGTAGAATTGCAGTCTACACAATCACAAATCGATCTACATCATTCTTGGTCATCACATCCCAATAGCTTACTCGCCTCTCGTGGGGGCGCTGCTCGGAGAGGGCAATGCGTAGCGCTTCACGAGCACGGCGATAGTTTTCCCCTTCTACCGCCATCAGCTCGAATTGTTCCACGATCCAACCCCGATGAAGAGCATCGTCAGATTCCAGTGCTGCTATGAACAGCGGCCATGCCATCCGTGTAACCGCCTGCGTCCCTGCATCGCGATGGGACTGGAATGCCAAGGTCATGATTTCCTGCAATGCACGACGTTGCTTTGCACATAGCGCCGCGTCGGCTCGAGTAAGACGAAAGAAGCAAAGCACAACCGCGTAGTAAAAAGGGATGATGAAGCGAACATTCATTACAAACCTCTTATGAGATCCCTCTGCCGGGGTGTCCAGCAAACTCGCTGCAGCAAATAGTTCGCTGTATCTTGACTCGACGTTCCGCATGGCCTTGGCCACCATTTCGAAGCGATCTCTGACGTCCAACTGAGTGGCAGCTTCAGGCCTGCAGAGCTTGGCGAGGAAGCAGCGCAGCTGACTAGCTTCAGCATACAGATAAAAGAGCTGGCTACTCTCCAGATCTTCTAGCAGCTGGCTTTGCGGATATGCCGTGCCCCATACCTCCTGGTACACCAAGTTTGAGTGTTTCTGAAGTGCGCTGAAGCCTTGTATCCGAGCAAGGGCTGTGTCGCTGTGCGCGTCAAAGATGGCCTCGGCGAGCAGGTCGTTGAATGCGCCGCCGAACCCGTTGAGGGCTGCCGCTCCGTCAATCAATGAGATCCACACTATTATCCGCGTGGCGACGGGAGATAAATGTTGCGGCTCGATACTAGATCCCAAACCCGCGGTGCCTGACAGCGTTGGGTCACATAGCTCAGTTTGTTCTAGTATATGTCGGAGGTTCCGCATGCGACTCTGTAGAAGCGACGTGGCGCCATGGAGGTGAGCAATCAGCCCGGTTCCGCAGCCATCGCCATACTTCTGTTCATAGACGATCATGAGCCAGAGGGCGCCGAGGATATAGTCAAAGTCGCGCGTCTCGTGAATGTGCTCCGTGGCAGTAACAAGAAGGCGTAGTCCCGCTGCGTAGTGCTCGACGGCTCTGGCCTGCCGAGTCTGCTTTTCGGCGTCGGGCATATGCTTCTGATTGCACAGATTGCGCCCTCCTAGTGCACAGACTGTGTGCAACACCATCTGATTCTTGTGTGCCAGTGTCCACAGTATGGCGGGGCCGCTGTGCTCCGGCACCTTTGTGTCTATAGCCCCCGACAGTCCGGAGCGGAAGAACCGAATTGCATCGTAATCCGATGGGTCCAATATCTCTAGGCATGCCGGCGACAGCGAGAGATCTGGCAAGGCCACAGACACAGGTGATGAATGGTGCTCATACAGATGCCGACTGCTCACCTGCCCGGTGGGAGTGGGTGTGGGTGTGGCTACGGGTACACTTAGGCGCTGCTCATGAGAACACGCCTGGCTCCTTTGATCAGCGGGAAGTGCATCAAGCTGACTAGAGAACGTCTCATAGTACCCTGTGCTAGACGAGATATCAAGTCGTTCCGCGGGCCTCGAATTTGGTGTCGGGATGTCGTCTTGGCAGTCGTTAGGAGTAGTAGGTATAGGTAGCTGGCTTGACTTCTTCCGCCTCACGTACTTCTTCCGCGAGCGGGGCGCATAGCTGCAGTCTCTGGCCAAGCGGACGCATCTTCCGCATCTCGGGTGTGCCTCATCGCATTTGACCTTTTTCTCCCGACAGATCCAACATCCGAGACGTGACCGCTTGGGGTCGGGTGGGCCTGTCGTCGAGGTGCCATTCGCAGCTGACGACGAAGATGTCGAGCCCAGCATTGCTGATGGCATTTATTTGGCGAACCCGCGGCTAATTCGCCGACGTGAGGTGAAGATGGCAATGCGATAGTGCAACCAGCTGGCATCAACATAACTGGGCAGCAAGGGTGATGATTAAGAGAGGCCGACGGCGACGGCGACGGCGATAAAGTGATCAAGTATCCAGATCTAATTCGTGCCCATGCGAATTAGCCGCGGCTCCAATGTACATTTGCAGGGTACTCAGATAACGTCGATAGTGGATACAGAAGGACTGGGGCCGGACTAGCGCACACTATTAGGCATTGGAGACTGAACTAAGCTGTTCGTTAGGTACTGGTATAGCGTATGTAGTGTTTCCCAGTGCGCTTACTACAGGTCCCTGGCAGATTGAGACAGATTCCGTATGCCACTCTGTCACAGCAAGTCATGTCACTGATGGACGATAGGGTGGAGTATACAATCATTTTGGAAGATCCTCTACTAGACACTTTGACTACCCATAACCATAATAATGCGTAGATACAAAAACGGGAAAATTATAGTAGTGCAGTCCACTACATCACAATCGACGCCTCATCTTTTGCAATCACCATCACGCATTCTTCGAGATTCATCTTCACAATCAACAGTTTTGAGTACCACTTGTGAGAATGGCCAAAAATCAAGCATCGATTGATGACCCAGCAACATGGCATCACTTTGCAACTTTGGATGATGAGTTTGTACAGGTAAGACGTCCTCTAAGATGCTCCTTTCTGGCCGCTACTATAATTTCCCATGCATCTAATCAACAACCCAGATGACAGAGAAGCAGGAGGTCAAGCCACGATTCTGGCAGGACTATAAGTTGAGCAGCCTACCCGCCACACGAGCCAGGTATCATGCTGTATTCAATGCCGACGCCCAGAAGGCTCTAAAGAAGGCAGAGCATCAAGTGTGCCAGGAAGAGATCTTTATTCCGGTCAGCGACGGAGCGAACGTGCGTGCGCTTGTGTATCGGCCCAAGGAGGAGGCGCCCGCCAGCGGCCTTCCCATGGTTGTCCTCGTCCATGGTGGTGGTTTCATTATTGGAAATGCCGAGATGGAGACGCCGACGTGTATCCGAGCAACTCAAAGCTACAGATGTATATCTGTGAGCCTCGAGTATCGTTTGTCGCCCGAAGTCAAGTTTCCAGTGGCGTACGAAGATTGCTGGGACGCGCTGAAATGGGTGAGCTTTGCATATCAAACACGAGCTGTTATAACGGCACTGACAACAGAGTCCCAGCTTTCCGAGCATGCCTCTGAGATGGGCGCCGACCTTACCAAGGGCTTTGTTTTTGGTGGAACATCTGCGGGAGGTCACATCTCCATCCCTCTCACGCATCGAGCACGCGATGAAGGCTTGACCCCTCCCCTGACAGGTGTCTACCTCAACGTGACGCCATCTCTGGTGCCTCAGTCATTGACGGACGACCTGATTGCAAGGTACAAGCATCTCTATCAGAGCAGAGGCGTCCTCAAGGACGGCATCACCTTGTCAAGCATTTCCATGGACTTTTATGACGAAGCCGTTGAGCCCGACTTTAGCTCGCCTCTCTGGAGCCCTCTTCTCTGGCCGACGGGCCACGCCGGTCTGCCACCTACGTTCTTTCAGATTTGCGGCGCCGACATGTTGAGAGACGATGCGCTCATCTATGAGAGAGAGCTGAGAATGGACCATGGGATCAAGACTCGGGTTGTCATGTACCAAGGGTTGCCGCACGTCTTTTGGTATAATTATCCAGACCACTCTGCTTCCAAAAAGTTTGTCGAAGACGCTAGCAACGGGCTGGGCTGGCTGCTGGGCTGTGTGCCATGATAGAACATAGTTTTAGTGTATTGTGGTAGAAATAGACCATGACTCGCACTCAGCATCAGTCAAATTGCCGGTCGGCTAAATTGTGCTCCAACTAATCCTCCTCACAAATGGGTGAGTGGAGCAAACAAGATAACGGTGGTTGAGAAATTTGGGGCACTGATGCCTACCCCCAGACAATAAAAGTATACTAAAGTAGGCAGTCAATGCTAGGTATCAGCAACACACTCACCACAATCTTCAACCAGACACTAAATGGACCCATTTGCTTTTCGATATCCCCAAGAATTACTATCTTCTTGATTCGCTGACCCGACCAAGCTGATAAGGAAACGCCTCGACTAAGCCATATTCAGTTAATAACATCCGTAAGTAACATCAATGAGATCCGATTAATGGACGACAAGTTAAACTCGCGATACTATATAGTATAACCATGTAATAAAGGCCGTCTTCTGCCTCCCAGAGTCCAAGAGCAAGTTGTTTCGCCAAACCCCAAGTCAGAGCTACTCCATCAGACAAAGTTGATTCATCCACCACAACGTTCGTTGAAGATGGGGATCCTGGCAAGAATCCGGGAGGCAGATCTCTGCAAAGAGATGACCTGGAGGCTCTTTATAGCTTCCATTTTCTGTTCGGTAAGCATTTCCTCAGACCTTCATTGTGATCAATTATCAAGATTCTGACTACCATATTCTTAGTTGGGCGGCCTTGGATTCGGTGCAGGTATGTTCGATACAATTCCGCCTCTCTCTCCTATTACCACTGCTACGAGCCGCTTCTAACGTGCGCAACATTCAAGATTATGGTTTCTGGTCCGGAATGCTGGGTATGGCGGAGTTTAAGAAGCAATTCGGCGTTTACGACGAGACTACCGACTCTTATACGATTCCTTCGGTCTGGCAATCTGTGGGCAGCGCACCTCCGACCGCAGGTCTTGCAATAGGCGCGCTCATCTCTGGATTCCTGGGCAGCAAGTACGGTCGGCTCAATACCTTTCGTGGATCATCGGTAGTGTCTGTAATTGGCATTCTCATCCAGAGTACGGCCATCAGCTCGTACTGGCAAATCGTTGCTGGACGAATCGTCAACGCCTTGGCCCTGGGAGTACTCGCCAACACCGTTCCTGCCTATCTGGCCGAAGTCGCCCCATTATCCATTAGAGGCACGCTCATCAACTGTTACCAATTTTCCATTGGCGTTGGTGCAGTGCTCATCAACACTTGTAATTGGGGCATGCATGAGCGTACTGACCAGTGGGCATACCGCCTTACCATCATTTTGCAATTCATCATCCCGATTGTTTATATCCCCGGGTCCTTTTTCATCCCTGAAAGTCCCAGATGGCTGCTCGGCAAAGGTCGCTCAGCAGAAGCCCTAGATTCTCTAATGATTTTACGGTCCAACATGCCGCGCGACATGATTGAGCAGGAGATGAGTTGATCAATGCCTCAGAAGAAGAGAACAAGAGTCGATTCAGTGGGAACTGGATAGAATGCTTCAGGTGAGTGGACAACCCCCAAAATTACTCACGCGATGAGCTAATGCAGTGTCAAAAAGGGGAACCAACCTGCGTCGAACGCTGATTGCTACCGGCATGCAGTGCTTGCAGCAGGCCCAGGGCAGTTCGTTCATGTCCTCTTATGCTGTAGTGTTCTTCCAGGCAATTGGTGTCCAAAATGAGTACCAGATTATCGTCCTGCTCTTGTTTGTCCAGACGATTGCCAGCGCCTTTGCCTTTTACCTTCCTGACCGTTTCGGCCGTCGCTGGATTCTCATCATCAACGCCCTGGTCATGGCCATTTGCATGTATGTGGTCTCCCTTGTCAAAGGCTACAGCTTTGCAAACAACCAAGCTGGAACAAATGGAGCCATCGCCGCCTTATTCATCTGGCAGTTTTCGGCAGCTGTGGGCTGGAGCAGTTGGTAAGTCTACGTTGTCATTTCACAACTCTGGTGTGTTCATGAGCTCGGCTGACTGGGACTGGAAAAGCGTCTGGATCGTGACTGCAGAAGTGCCGACTCTGCAACTTCGAGAAAAGACGATTACCGTTGCCACATTTGCCGGCTTCTGCGTGTCGATTCTAGTCACTTTTGTCAATCCCTTTATGCAGGATGAAGGCTATGGCAACCTACAAGGACGTGTCGGTTTCGTTTACGGCAGTTTCTCCATCGCGGCGGCACTTTGGACCTTTTTCGTATACCCTGAGACCGGCTTCCGCAGCTTGGAGGAGCTCGATGAAATGTTCTACAAGGGCGTCTCCGTTTGGAACTTCCGCAGCTATCAGACGTCGGGGTTTGGTGCTCAATTGGCTGAGGTCGAGCATGGTGTCACGCACGGCCAAGTCGCCGCGTCCAACGCCAAGCTCGCGTACCTGGATACCGCCAAGCAATAATTAGCACACGGTTTGGTTGGACAAGGATAACACAAAAGTAATGTGTAACTACAAACACAGAGCATGCGGAGGATATATGTACCTATAGCTACTGTAATCGTATCATTCGGAACGAGATGCGCCGTGCTATGCTGTCACTTCGCTGGCTTTAGCGAATGCATCGTGTATTTTACTAGCTGTAGGACCCTCTGCCGCCCGCTACGCTCCGCTCAGCACTTCGAGGCTCAGGCCGCAAGCTGCCCCGCTTCCATTGCCTGCTAAACAACCCATCATCGCCAGAAATACGACCCATAGAAGCAAGTGCTTGGTCATTGGCGACGCGATTTCCCCCTTTGAGATAATATTATCTGATTCCCATGCGACCTCCGGAGATTCTTTTATTCCTTCTATGACCCTCTCTGCCTGTTGGTCTGAAATCCTAGCTCGGCTTCTCCCCAACGTCTCTGTCATCTCTCGAGCATCGCAATCGTCTCCTGTGGGAATCATTGTCAATTGAGAGAAGAGCCGCGATTTTCCTGCTGTAAAATTATCGTTTCTGTGACATGAAATGATGCACAAGTGATTTATCTGTTGGTTGGGAGTCCAGTCCTCGAATCGGCAGTGGTTGGGAGAATGATACAAGGCATACCCACGAAGTAAATAGCATGAAAGAGGGTCCAACCAAGACGGTGCTTGTTGACTTGTGGAAGAACAATTACGCGCGACTTCAACCCACGCAAGTCATTTATATGTTGCGCACTCGCCTCATTCCGAGTAAAGAATCATACGAACTAAGATATACTTCAAAGTTGGGGCTTGGGAGGTTGACAGTGACGTTTAGCCTGAAACAGTGGTGCGCTCTGGCCTGCTAACCGCAAGTGGTATCTCCAGTATGTTCAGTTTCTAACAAATTAATCATGCACGTAACATTCAATGATCAAGGCTGAGTTTGAAAGTTCGCTGACATGCAAGTGGCCATGGTCTATCTGCCACGAGTTTTCCATAGGCGAGATTTAATAGATCGTCCCTGAGTACACCAATGAACTCCAATCGAGAGGTTATAACTATAGAAAGGCAACGCCAGTTCGCCGTTAGTGAACGGATCGTTCTCCCACAAACCAGAACTTCAAGGACTTCTTCGAGATATAGACTACTCTTTGTTATGTTGGTACATTTGTTGCTATTTTCGAATCTCTAAACAAACTGCATTCCACCGAAATGAAATCCCTCACAGCACTTGCCTTATTGGCCATCCTCGAGGCTGTCAAAGTTCAAGCCACAACATATGGATTCGGACCCTACTTTTCCATGGGCCCTACGAGCTCTTGGATCCGAGAGGCAAACACGACCCTCGTGCTGCCGGCTGTGCCTAGTCCCGCTGTGGACAGACTGGCACTGTGGCCCGGCATGTCAACCAGCGACGGCGACCTCATTCAGGCTATAGCCGTCGCAACCAAGGACCCAAACGCGTGAGTGTACCTCATCGACATCCATATCATTTTCCAATTCCAGAGAAGCACCCGCAGACTCGTGCTAATCATTTTTCGTAGTGAATGCGGTGGCAGTACCGGCCAGTGGTGTGTCTTCGCCAGTGTTCTAGAAAGTAAGCAAAGTCTGGTCATCACTGATGATCAAAGTCAACACTGACATGGTGGAAACAGGCGAGCAGGAAGAGGGTGACAAGCTCGGCGAGAACGCCGGAACCGCCTTGGTCATTCATTGTACTAAACCCATACCTCTTACGAGCAGTCAAAACGAAGACTGACAAAAAGAATGCAGACAAGTACAATGACTCGACGGAAAAATACGATCAGACTGTCTCGATCAACGGTGTTGTAGTGTCGAGCATTTCGACATGTAAGCCTACTCCTTTCTCATTCCAAGGCCCACATGGCGCTGACATGAGATGTACACATATTAGCCTCAGGTGAGGCCGCAGGTTTTGGCACTGCTGTGGAGTGTCAGGACGACGCATGCCAAGGCAGCGCGGATGCTCACCGTAAGTCTGTCGCATGAGTCAATTGTCGCCCGCGTTAAGGAGCCTTTCCAACTGACTTCTTGCGTTGTATTAGAATATCTTGATACAACCATTGTACTCGATGCAGCCGACACATCGTTTATCAATACTCTGTCCTTGAACGAGGCAACGACCTCTGCCGTCTCTACTACGGATGGCGGGAAGACATGGGTTGTGGAAACCATTGATATTCAGGCCTATACTTTTAATAACTAGACGTCAACGATTGTATGCTATACAAGAGCCCTGAGAGCAGCCGAGAGAATGTTAAAGGCAATCCGACAATACTTGTTGGACAATTTGTTTTAGGATTCTTTGTTATCCAGTTTGCAGAAGGATATCAAGCTTGCGATGCTGCTTTTGATGCCGTGCTGCTTTCACTCTGACTCTTGACGATGTGGGCGCCGCCATGGCAGCTCTACGCCAGAGTCCCCGCTGCCTTCACTCGTCGCATACTCAGTGCCGGACTCATAGTCCAATTCGAATGAATCCTTTTCTGTGCCCTTCTCGAGTGATGGGCATCCGCACTCTCTTATCGCTTCTTGCCGAGAAGGGTCAGCGCCGCGCTGTAAGAGTAGATCCCTGGCCTTTCCGTTGGCCCATGTCAGCGCTGTCCCGACGCTGATATACCCTTTCCTTCTCACCGGCGTTGGGCCCGATTCAAAATCTGCAGAATCGAAGAGCATGCGAGGTTTGTTTCTCCGAAGTCCATCGCGTGTCAAAGGGACTGTGATATGCACATGATGTAAGATAGCCAGGTTCGCGTCCGCGCCGTGGTCAAGTAAAGTTTCGGCCACACGGCAATGTCCCTGGTTTGCGGCCACTGCCAAAGCGGTGAGGGGTGCAATGCAATACGCACCTCTCCTCGGATACCATTCGTTCAAAGCGGCACAATCACAAACATCCGGCGGGGGAACCTTGAGCTGGGCGTTCGGATCTGCACCAGCCTCGAGGAGCGCCTTCACAAGCTCTTGACATCCTTCTTGAGCCGCTAATACCAAGGGAAGGCAGCCTCCAAGGGGCGAGACATTGGGGTCGGCATCATACTTGAGCAGGAGCTTAGCAAGTCTAATGTTCCCCTGAGCCACGCAGGCCATCAAAGGGGTCATGCCTCCCCTGGTAACTGCGTTGACATCTGAGCCATTCTGGAGCATGTACTCCACCAAAGTAGAACAAAGATCGTCCCGTGACTGACATTTATTGATGTCAGTCATGAGAGGTGAATCGAAAGGATTCAGCGCTTCGAGTTTGGAATCAAAAAGTTTGTCAAATGATTCCACATCGTCTCCCATTCTTGCCAATTGGTCAACTGGTAACTTGCAGAAAACAAGGTCAAATTCTGACTTCGTTTGGTCAGCTTAACGTTCACGCCACCAGATTATATCGAATCGAAAGATTGGATGAAGAAAAGAAAGATGACCGGAGGGGATGATGTATTTTTAAGGGTACTCACTTCTGAAACTACTTCATGCTTAGTGGGTTTTTCAATCGACTCCTCGTTCAGGTCTCCCTCAGTCGACTTGTTGGGGATGAAATTGTCCGGCAAAGCTGCACTTTTGAATATGCAACCGAATGTTTCGGTACAGAGCCGTCTCCTATCCAACTCTAGAAGCTCAAAATTATCGTCGGTGTCGGTGACTGCTACATGGAGCGCCGTGCAACCCGCCATTTTGACATGGTACTTATTATATCTTGTCCTCTTCCGGTCTGGAACTTGAAATGCGACATTGGCTTTATACTGGAGGAGAATTGCAGCGGTCGTGTACGCCTTGAAGTATAATGCCACCAACAGTGGGTTCCATGCCAAGTCCGCTAAGTCGTCAGTCTTGTTGCTGCCGGACCCCTGTTGACCCAATGGAGAGTGTGCATCTATTCCGTGCTTATCGGGGTTTGCACCTGCGTCCAACAGAGCCCAACAGAGTCGGGCATTACCAAGCCTTGCTGCTACCGCCAAAGGAACGTTCAAAGTCGAGAGTTCCTGTTTCAAGATATGTCTCTGTGACAGTGCACCGATTGTCGTCAATTCGTGGAAGGCTCTGTTGAAGGAACTGGATCCAGAAGACACATCGAATAAGCCTTTCCTCGCGACAGATCGTGCCCAGTGTCCCAATACTGTCTGCCCCGACAAATCGCAAATCCGACTATCAGCTCCAGCTTCAAGAAGGTATTTCAAGGCTGAAGTTGATTTAGCAGCAGCGAGGCCGTCACAGAAATAGTGCATCAGCGCAGTGCGACCATCTTGATCCTGTGTGTCTGGCGCCGCGCCCTTTTCCAAGAGTATTTTAGTCGCTGTTGCAGAGGTTCTCACAGCGAGCATAAGAGGCGTTACTCCATCTCTCAACGATATCTGAAGTGCAGAGGTATGAGTAGACGATGGCTGTATTAGAGCCTCGATTGACGCAGCGATTCGAGATTTTCGACTGCACTCAGTGCGCTCGCCCGATGCCAATACCCCACGCGATCCTGGCCTAGCGAATTGTCCTTCCCGCTTCAGGAACCATAGAAGCGCATTGAAGCCATTTCGAGAGCAGATAGTTGGGTCTGCGCCTAGGTCCAGCAGGGCTGCTATGGCATCGTGAGCCCAAAATGCGGCTGCAATCTGTAAGGCGCTCCGGCCGTCGCTCCACATTTCGGAATGAACGGAAGCCCCATTATGAACGAGTCGACGGCACAGAGAAGAATCCGTGAACCCCCCAGCTTCCCATAATTGCTGAGCATAGTCTTTGGCGCGCGGAGAACGTTCCATCCAGTCACCGAGTACTCCGAACAACTTGTCGCTAGTGGGCGATGTGCCCGCTGACAATAAAATCGGGAATGTCGGTGGCCACGGTTCCTGCCATGGCTTGATCCATGCAAATGGCTGACCAGAAATTGACACGAAATAATTCACCTCTACTGCTTGATATATAATATGTTCAGGTATATCAGTAAGCCACTCCAAGTCTGTGACGGAATCCAATGTCGTGTTCAGAGCTGTTGGTGCATTGTGCGCAATACACGTCCAGATCAGCGTCGCAACGGTCGGAGACATATGTGCCGACATAACCCGTTTGCGCTCATTGTCGCCTGCTTCCATAGCCTGCACAACCTGATGAGAGCTCAAGAGGTGATACTCTTGGCATCCAAGGAAGAAAGCATCGACAAGGTCGTAGGCACCTTTCGCCCTCCACTGAAGGCCACCAGCGAAAGACCTTCACAGAGTGTTAGCAATATAATGAGAATCCAAGAAATAATAGTCCAAAGTGATACCATGAACAGTACATTGAATGGTGTAAAGATGGCAAGATACTTGAACTAAACTTGTTCAAAGAGCTGCAATAGGTAAAAGGTTGAACTTACACGTCTGTATCAGACGGTGTGACGGCGTCCTTGAACAACGCATGTATACTTTCATCCATGGGAAACACCTTCTCCAAACACCCCTTCGTGAGCATTGATACTGCAGACTTATAGAGGAATCGGGAGGGTACACCACACAACCAAACACTGGACGGAGGCTCTCGAGCATTTCCCCACTGACAATGATGCAGAAGTGCAACAAACCATACCCAAAACGTGATGCTGCTAAGATCCAGAATAGTAGCATAATGAGGGTCTTGAAGCGCCTCCAGAGCCTTTGCGCCACCCAGGACAAAGTGTTCATGCCAGTTTAAAACTGCGTACAGGAACATTGGCCGTTCTGCTAAATCTGTGAATTCCGAAGGGGTGGCCCAGGTGAATAACCTCCTGTCCTTGAGCCTAAAAAAACGTTTATTAGTTGAACCAGGTCTTACAGCCCTGAAGTGACTCACATTTCAAGCATCCAATCACGAGACACATCAAAAGTAAGGATGTCGAAGCAAAGCAGAGAACAAACAAGATTGGCATCCGCCTTGGAAATACATCCTTTCCATGTACTTTCGTTGCGTAGCTTTGTATCGACATTGCCATTTTCCCAGCTTGGTGGCTTTGCAAGGTAAGCAGAGGGTGTCTGCCCAACCGGTTCCTCTTCTCTCGCCATGAGATGTTCCCGCGCAGTCTGATGAAACAAATGTACTGAATCTTGGACAAATGTGATGAACAGTCCGCAACGAGATCGCACAAGCTGCTTGAACTCCTCGTCATCCTCTACCAACTCAAGATCCTTGTACGACTGCGCTTGAGCAATTCCACTGCTTCTCGGCTCCGTGAGAGAGTAAATTACCTTGAACTCATAAAGCTCAATGGTTCGGCGTGCTGCAAGGACGATACAGAACAGTTTCCAGGCATGCTCTCGATCCGAACTTCTCTGTAGCATTTTGTCGAATTGATCGCCCAGTCGATTCGGAATGTCAGCAAGGATCTTACTGATTTTCCGCTCGCCAGCTCCTTTATGCATGTCGTGATGCGAGTCCAAGAGTTCGAATGCCATTTGAACAGCCAGAAATGATCTCGTATGTGCATTTTGGGCTGATATCTTTCTTACCAACATGTCTTCGATGCTCTGGTCAAGCTCTCTTTTCTGAGATAACTCTCGCGCTTTGACTCCTAGCATTGGTGAGCTTTCTGAAACGGTGTCTCACTGAAGAAGAATATAGAAAATTCTGGATTACATTGGCCATTCCTTCGTTCCCAGCTCCCGCATCGAAGAGAGTAGACAATTGAAGAGGGTCGCGATTGAGAATGATTCGGTAACTTACGAATGACCTGGTTGATATCAGACTGAACTTCCGAGTTCTCTCCTGTTATATGCCTGACGTTGCCCGTACGAACTAGGTCTGTGTAGGGATGGTTTTCATCCTCATATGGTCGAGTTGATACAATCAATCTTAAAGATGATTCCGGGTCCGCTCTTCGATGAATGACGTCTGCCAGGTCCGTCAGAAGCTTCTTCTGGTCCGATTGTGCACATTCGTCAACCGCGTCCAAGACGCAGACGACTGGGCGCTTTGCCTGGCGGGCAATCGACAAAATTATCTGCCACATTTCCCCTGATTGATCCCTGATTGCTTCTCCGCACTTTTGATACGCTTCTAGCATATTCAACCAACCCGCGTTCTTGCACAAGAAATTGGCAGATCAACGTACTCAGGGCATCGTTGTAGCTGCGGAGCCGGTCGTTGTCATTGAAGAAAAAGTATGCAACTAAGGCAGCATTATTTGATGCCTTCATATCATCAATCATCGTTTTCATAGTCGTGGACTTTCCACCACCTGCTTCGGCCGTGATGAGCAGGAGTTGTGGCCCCTGAGCACTTTGATAAGCTGCAAACTCAGGATGCTGGAAAACCCAATTTCCAGTACCAGGCACACAAGCGCTGTTTCGATCTTTCTGGCGTTCGTAGTCGATCTTGGTATTGAAGGCATTCAGAATATTCTGGACTTCGGCGGCATTGTGACGGTCACTGTTCTCCAGCCGAATGTTCTCTATGCCTGCTTGGATATCCTGAAGATTCTGCGCCATCTCTGCGAATCCCACGGCGATTTGCCGCTCTTGACGTTGTATAGCTCCCTGAACGCGATGCAATACATGCTGCCCAATCGCCTAAATGGTCGGATCATGAGTTTCAGTTGTTAGCTAAGGAGAATACAACAACATACGTTGATATCTTTGAGATTTGACTCCTCAAGTTCTTGAATGCTCTTCACGAGTGATACCCAGTCATCTGTTTTTACTACGTCGCGTAAGAAGCGGAGGGCCGCGATGTGATCGTATCGTAGTACGAGCCGTATTTGATACTTTATGATCATAGCATAAAGCTTGACAAGGTACTTGTGAAGTAGACCATGCAGTTGCACAATATCAGATCCAGCCAAGGAGTTATCTTGGGAATCATTGAACAAATCCGCTTATGACGCTGTAGCGGCACAGGATGCGAGCGACATCGGCAAACCCTTCGAGTGCAGCGTTTCGTTCGGACCTTGCCGTGAGAAGCAGCTTTTGCAGGTTAGAATTGTCCACATTATTATTACTTGATGAAGACTTACTCCCAGTATCGCACTACACCCTGACCACGCCAGTGCAGCGTGTGGTTCCTGGCTGGCAATGAAGGATATAAGGTCACTTCCCTTGTTCAAAATGGTTACGGCCCCTTCGACAATGTGTTTGATTTGGCTCTCGAGGCTTCCGTCTGCAAGCTTTGCTTGTATTTCTGCCACCTTTGATTTATTCATCCTCAAGAGGGTGTCCTTTTTGTCCTTGCCCGACATCTGATCAAACTTGGCTCCGTCTTGGTAGCTCGGGTCGCCTTGGGCAAACACGTACTTCTGGTACTGATCAACTAGACGAGGATCATCGGATCTGATAGACTCCCAAGCTGTATCCCATGCATCAACCCTGCCATCTTCCCTTTGCTTGGGGATCTCAATTTGCGTATTGTGTAAGGTATCGTCCTTGTGAGTGGAGGGGTGCGCTTCCTCCGGGTGGAATTCTGGCGTCGTGGCTTCCCGCTGACGACTTGGTGATCGCAACCCAAGGAACACGGCTAGCCGCTCGCGCTTGCCAGGTCTACCTCTTTCCTGGTCATCAGTTCTGCTTGACATCGCGTCATTATGGTTGCCCAGCTCGGATGACTAAAGGGCAAGGCAGGTGTCCTTTGGAAGAAATCTTCAAGGTACACTCCAGAATTGTCTGGTGCTGTCCTTGAAGAGTTGGATCAAGATTCGCGCAAGAATATCCTTTGAGGCAGTATCGGCAACCCAGTCCCATGTGTATTTGTGGCCGACTGCAAGCTTCTTGATTACCCCAGACCACAGTTAGAAAATCATTCACATGCCGTCTCAATGCCTATAATGGTGGACGGGCCTAGTTTTCAGCTTGAAACCTTGTGAAAACTCAACGGCTTGTGAAAGAACGCTACTTGTTGACTAGTAACGACAATGGTGAAGTTGTAAATATTATGATTAGACTTGGGCTACATCATAACTCAAATTCTTCTGGCATCGGACACAGGCGAGTTGGTCCATTCTATTCGACCACGAAAGCCGAGCTTTCCGGAGGAAATTGCTTGAGGAACATCTCGCAGGTTGGTTCAGACATTGCGTTACGGCGGTTCAATGTCAATCGCCACCATCGTCAAGATGACCTCACAGCCCCAGGTTGTCATGACCGCGGTTGAGAGTATGCTCAAACTTAACTCAATTCGCTTTGTGCTCTTCAAATGCAAAAGCCAATCGAAGATACGCGACTGGATGCTCGGGCTACAATGGACCAGCCAGGAATGCTTGGATCCGTATGGAAGCAGCTATATTTCACAGCCTGATTGGAACGAACAATGGTATCAAACTTCGTTCATTACAAACAAGCGTACTCAAGAGACAGCAGCCAGACAAGTGACCTGAGAGCATCTGAAAGTCTGGAGAGAGCGCTGTTAGCCCAGTGCTCATTATGGTGAATTTTCTCTCGAACTAAAGACCCCGCCGAAGGCTGAAATGCAGCAGTTGTATAGACTAATGACTGAGCTGTTACGTATCGTCGAGCTCTTGGCCATTCATTCCCTGTCGGATTGCACGATTCATTGAAACGGCAGATCCTCAAACTCGTACTCGGAGCAAGTGTTGATGGAAGCACTTGAGGGTTGAGATAAACATACCGAGTGCCGGCGAACAGAGCTCTTGCGAGCCGTAGATCTTCACCCCAAAAGAGACAAAGACCAGTTAGCTAGGCTCGCAACAAGGCGGATTCGGTAGGCAGTAGGGTAGTGGTCGGACAAAGTCCAGCGGCTTCATCCCAATTAGGCTCTATCTTCTGTTTGGTCAAATCGTGCGTGCCGATCATTTCGGTGTTTGGCAGGTATGAACACATGGCAAGTCGGCCCGCAAGGGTGTAGGTAGTGCGTACGCTAGGATCTCGAGTGCATCTCGACGACTGATAGGTGACAGTGGAACTAGATGGTGATCACTGGGTGTTGTGCAGCAACAAAAAAGCTTAAAGAGGGCTGGAGGCCGGAGTTCCAAGCCTTCTGTGCCCCGCACCATTAGTGAGTAGGATACCCTAGCCATCGCCCAATCTGGCTTTGAAACTTTGCTGCACAGTGATTCCTTTAGTGGGCTCCCCGGCTCTAGTTGACAGCACTGTCCACTGGTTTTCGTCAAATTTGGGTCTGAGCGGTACTGTGCATGTACACACACAACTCCCGAGCGCATGCACCGATGATCATGAAACAAACTGGATCATACGGTCATTGTGGAGAGCCGACGAGTTGCTTACCCAATTTTGATGGAAAAGAAATCAGTCTCCGAATGCCAAAGTACTGTCGCCGCGATTGTGCCCGAATAGGCCGCTTAATAATAGCATGTTCCAATTCGGGATTGTTTCTTTAATCCAAGCACCAAAACGTATTGGCTTGCCCAGGAATAGACTCCGGACCAACTACTCGATTAGGCTGATTCAAGACGCAGTTCACACAAAGCCAGTCAAAATATTGCGAGCAGAAGCATCTAGAGATTATCATTATGACCTTGATTTGTGTACTATGTATCTGGGATGTTATGGATCATCATTCGTAAAATTCCGCTTTATATAGCATTTCAAGCCCGACACATTCTTCCATCCTTGGCGACAGTCCAAGCGTCACTGCCCACGCCCTTGAGAATGTAAAATACTCCAGTGGGATCCCACTTGTTCTTGATGGCCAACAGCTTGTTGTAGTTGGCGCCAAAGAAGTCGACCTTCCAGTTTGGCTGGTTAAAGTCGGCCTCGTTGATGTAAGTACCGCTGTCGGGAGTAATGGCTTGAATCTGCGGCACAAACTCGTCGGTCATTTGCTTCTGCCCGGCCAGGTTGGCATCCCAAGCGTCGGCCGAGTTGTTCCAGAGGGTAATGAGCTGCATCTGCATGGCTGCCGATCGCCACGCGGGGTGTGCCGCATTGGTCGCTCCCTGGATGTTGGTGAAGCTGCCGGCCGATACGCCCAGGATGACACCGTTGGCGGTCAGATTCTGCACCACGGCGTCAAAGCTGTCCTTGTCGTCCTCAATGACGCTGCGAGGGATCAGACGAGAGCCGAACGTATAGGACTCCACGGCCAGATGGCCCTCGGGGAGAGGACCCATGTACGTGGCATAGTGCTCATAGTAGGACAGGGTGGTAAAGCTCGAGGACGAGGGAATTCCGAGCTCCGCCAGCTTGGCAATGAGTGGTGCCAGAACGGTGTCCTCGACATAATCCCCGGTGGAGTTGTACACGGTCACGGGGTTGATCTGGAGGTATTCATCGGTGACAAGGTAGCCCACACTTGCACCCAGGTCAGTCATGTTGGGTAGCAGTGCATGGAAAAATGAAACGGCTTCGTTGAAGTTTTCGGTTGTCGTGTATGCAGCAGCAATGGCGAGAGCGGCTCCTCCAACATTGGCCTCGGGGAAAGCCCGGATGGTCATGGAGGTGACGATACCATAGGTACCGGGGCCGCCACCGGACAAGGCCCAGTAGAGGTCCGTGTTGTTCTTCCACGAAGCAGTCACGACACTCCCGGCGGCGGTCACAACCTCAAACTCGAGAGTCTGATCAGCGGCAAGACCGAATTCTGTAGACAGGGCAGAGTGACCACCGCCCTGAGTAAAGCCACCGGCGATACCCACAGTCGGGCACTCGCCACCGACGACAACGAGGCCGTTATCGTGGGCAACTTCGGAGGCTTTATAACCCAGAACACCGGCTCCGAGCTTCAGGGCGGCACCGGAGTAGGTGGAGTCGGACCAGGAAGTCACCTCGATGGAGTCAAGGTTGTGTGTCCAGACGGCCAAAGCGGCAGCGCCAGTGGAGCGACCAAGGAAGCTGCATCGAACTGTCAATATGAAACGTTTTATTCATGTCCTTGGTGGGAGTGACTCACTCATGACCAGTGTTGCGAATGACGAGACGAATGTTGTTCTTCTTTGCAAACTTGACCGTGGCAACCACATCCGCGGTGCTGGAGACATTGACGGCATAGTGCACATAATTACCAAGCAAGCAGGGCTTCTCCTGGGCAGTGAAGGGGTCGCAGCTCTGATTAGCAAAATAAGGCTCCATGACCGAGGAGGAGGAATTAAGACTACAGATGATTAACGCGGGAACGGAAATAAGCGAACTGCAAGGCACAACGTACTGTGGTGTGGGGAGTGTCCACTCGTCCTGCAGGGCCGCACAAGCGACGGCATCGTAGTTTGGATCGTGGCACGGCGAGCCTATGGGGACCGTCGCTATGAGGCGGCCGCCCACGGTGGCGTTCAGCTGCGACCAGGTAGCAGCAGACGGCCAGGACGAGTCGCCGGGCATGGCGTAGCAGGTACTGGCGTGGGCGCCCATTGCAAAGACGGGGGCTGCCGCGAGAACTATGGAAAACGGTCTCATGTTGAGGAGGCTTCGGAAGCTAGCGGGAATGGCTTTTCGCTATAAGCGGAATCACAATGATGAAGTACACACGGCGGGAAATGATGAAATGAGTAAATGAGCGACGACCAATTCCGCTAATCAGGCCAAAAGAGTGAAGACCGTGAGCAGCTGATGGTTGGACACAGCATCAGATTGATTAGAGGGTGCAGCATGCTGCGAATATATTCAACGTCTATTGCCTACCAGAGCACAGAGGATCATCGTGAGCCGAGGAGCTCGTTGGTTGCCACTAGTCAGGTCATGAGGAGGGGATAAATGAGGTAACAAGGGAGTTGAGAGGCACGGAAATGCCCACTGACATTCTCGGTCATTGCACCGTGAGGGGGAGTAGCCAAGGTGGACAGAACAGGTTACTCAAGACCCTGCTAGTTGTGTCGCTATCCTCACAAGAGGGTTCGGCCGAGTCGCGTTGCATATAACAGCAGCAGTGGTAAGCGAGATGTCAAGGGTTGGCATAATATTGTCATAAAATATGCTATAGAGAAGTGGGCGTTTTGCCTTCGCTAGACTATACCATAGTGCGGGACTATCGGGGGGCTTGCGAATTGCACAGGGCAGAAGGGCTGGTGTTTTCCTGGGGGGTCTAGACCGTAAACAGCAAGCGAAATTTGCCGCGATGTTTTGCTCGGTGCCACTCTGTGCTGTGCCACTGCATAGTCAGTCAACATTGGTCATATTATTCCAACTAATACCACCGTATTGTATTCTGCACTATACCGCACTCACCTAGGTATGTATGTGCTAAGGACACGCGAAGGATCTCTCGTCCGCTCAGGACCTCGGGACCCTCGCTGCGATTCGGGCGGGTCCGATTCCGACTCTGAGGTTTGACATCTCCACCCTCAAGGTCATCCTAGCGTGGCGAAGAACATCTCCCGAGTCTGAGCGTGCGTTGCAGCCAGGGTTCTGGATAGCAGGAGGCCGGGGAATTGTCGATAGTGTCGGAGCATGGCAGACTAACGCGGGCCCCTAGCCGTCGGTTCAACTCCCGAGCAAAGTCAAGACTGGTGAGTCTAGACAAGGGAGCCAGCATTGACCTACTCCTTACTGCACTGCAACAATCAACGACTCAACCCTAGCGCTTCACATGCATCGTATAAGGTTACCCACTCTGTATGAGACATCGGACGACACCAATGAAACCCCAGCAGCCAAGAATGGTCGGACTATAGTCGACGCTTAACGGTTCGAGGAACGCAGTGGAGCCGAAAATCTAGTCTGCCCAGTCTTTTCGTTTCAGCTCCACGCCACTTCTCACACACACAAAGGCCAAATCCTCTCGACTCTAGTAGGATATGGCGGCGATACAATGTAGTAGTGACAAGTAGACAGTAACAGGAGTATTTCCGGGGGAACAAGTAGACCCACTCTTGGCTGCTGGCTGTTGCCCTGATTTAATTTTTTGACATGTCGACTGGGACCCTCGGGATGTTGTTGACTGGGACCCAAATCCCACCCAGATCTGTGGACCAAATAGAGACGATGACCCAGGAACGATTGCAGATCTCTCTTTCGTGACGCTCGTACCAGCTTTGCGACTAAAACTATCGGAGGTTTTTCTCTCTGCTGTGCTTGAGGCATCGCAAGAAAGGCATCACGATGAGATCGTTTATCCATCTCGTCCTCGCGCTACTGCTGGCGGCCCTGCCGTCCAGTGTGCTGGCCCAAAGTTCATCATTGTCCGCCGCAGCTGCCCTACTGGGCACGTTGCCGGAGTGTGCGGTAAGTCGTGAGCCAGTCGCTTGTTCAGCCACTCCCGCAAAAAGGCTAATTCTTACTCTCCCATACTACAGCTCGAATGCTTGAGCGCGGGCATCGCGGACTCGACTTGCTCGCTCACCAATCAAACATGCGTCTGTAGTAACACGCCGCTCCTGACGAACGTTACGCTTTGTGTTACAGAGAGTTGTACCGTCGCACAGGCTTTATGTACGATGCCGTTCAAGTCTCCGATCCTACTCGTTATTATGTGTCTGACTAGGCGACAGTTACGAAAAATGTCACGGAAACCATTTGCCAGGTCCCCGTGAGGGATAAGCACCAACAGTCCTATGTCTTGACGGTGGCTTTCGGAGTAATCAGCGCGGCCGCCGTGCTGCTACGACTCGGCCATCGAGTAGCCGTGACCCAGGTGATGCCTAGTATGGATGACTGGTTCATCCTCATCACGTTACTGTCGGGAATTCCCAGCACGATTGTCAACGCCCTATTGGTCATACCGAGTGGATTGGGAAGGGATATTTGGACTCTGACGCCAACCCAAATTACCGATTTTGGAATGTACTTCTACATCATGGCAGTGCTGTACTTTCTACAAGTTACTCTGCTCAAGATGTCTTTGCTGTTCTTCTACCTGAAGATCTTTCCTGAAAAGGGCGTTCGACGACTACTCTGGGGAACCGTGATATTCAACACCGGCTTTGGAATATTCTTCGTCGTCCTTACCATCTTCCAGTGCCAACCTGTCAGTTACTATTGGACAAAGTGGGATGGAGAACACTCTGGCAAATGCCTTAGCATCAGTGGCATTGCCTGGGCCAATGCCGCTGTCAGTATTGCTCTAGATATCTGGATGCTGGCTATTCCCCTATCTCAGTTGCGAAAACTTCACCTCCACTGGAAGAAGAAGATTGGCGTTGCTCTAATGTTTATTGTCGGTACCTTGTAAGTTCTCACTAAACAGCCTCAGCCACCGCGACATCGGTAAACTAACAAATTGCGATTACAGTGTCACGGTCGTTAGTATTCTGCGCCTCCAATCGCTTGTGTTATTCGTCGACTCGTCCAACGCCTCTTGGGATTTCGTCGGCGTTTCAGACTGGTCCGTTATTGAGATTAACGTTGGTATTATCTGTGCCTGCATGCCGTCCCTCAGATTGATTCTTGTTCGCATCTTCCCTGCCCTGGGCGGCAGCTCAAACAGAAGCAAAAACTATCTACAAACGGGCAGTCTCAATTATGCCAAGGGCCGCAGTCGAGCTGGAACCGGGGGCCAGATGCCGTCAAATATACAATACCCAGGAACGGCGGCAAAGAAGGGCATCATTCAGCAGAGGACGTACACTGTCCAATACGGCGACAATGATGAGGAGAGCTTGGTCAAGATGCAAGAATTGGATTACAAGGGACACAAGACTCATGGGCCAACTAGCCCGAAGAGCGAATTCTCCATATAGCCTATTTTACTAGATACCAATTTCCACGTACGGCTGAATTTACCAATAGATCATTATAATATGGCTCGAAGAGAAAAAGTTTGGATGCACAATGCTCACAATCTACTGTGCAATGTTTGAACCATTCTTCCTGCTGTGGCTTGCCTCCAATTACATTAATTTGCCATCATTTACACATTACACATAGCTGGAATAGTCAAACAAAGTAAAAACTTTAAAAATAGTTATCAACGCTTTGCCAGAGGACCGATCGGTTGGATCTCCTACGCCTAGTCCCAGATGCCTCTAGCTGCTCGCTCTAAAACACCAATCGCCTGATGCGCTATCGGTTGAAAGGGGGTTGTTCCTAGTTGCTGCAAGGCTACCAATGCTGGATGTATTCATCCAAAAGGTAAGGAGTCTCTCCTCCCAGCTCGGCTGCAGCCTCTTTCATGACGAGCGGATTGCCATGTTTAGTAACCCCTGGTAACAGGCACAGGCGTGCCGCGTGGGCATGAGATGAAAAAGAAAAGAAAAAGAAATATTACGCGCAAGGTCCAACGAATGCACCCAGCATACCTAGGAGTAAGACTATAGTGGCCACAAAGGCGGCCTTGAATGAACTCCAATCTCCTCCCAAGCCTCCTGCGTGCCACCAATTTTCTTCAGCTAGGCAAGTGATTGTTTGGGTTTTTTTTACCCATACCATGATTCAAGACCGTTCTGGAACGACTCTGCTCATCTTGTCACGCCTGTCACTTGTGGGTTTTTCTTCTTCCAGGGGCAAAGACCAGGACCGGCGACGTTGTAGTTTGACCGGGGTTACGTAGCATGGCTCCATTGATGTCAATCAAGGAAGACAAAACCTGACAGTCCAGCTCTAGACAGCCCGGCCCACCCGGGGAGCGGCCAGGCTCAACCTCCGGCCTCTGTCTTGACCCCGCCCATTTTGTTCCCTACACAATACGTACACCAATTGGTGCGGGCGGGCGGGCGGGAGGACTCCAGCCACTTCAGCCTACAATTTACTATATTCCGCATACCAGCATTCGTGAGTCGTGATGGTAACTGGTGCCGAGGTTCATGACTATAGAGTGGAACCTGTGCAACTGTCTAGTACGACATGACTTGAAAAATTGGACAAGATGCTTGTGGTTATCATGTATACTATATATCCATTTTCAATTGTGCTAGGGGTTCTAGAAAAGATAAGGCGCAAATCGTCACGCAAGCTGGCAAGCAACGCATCCGAGGAACCGGATTTCCGCAGCTTGACTGCCAAAACTCTATCTTGCTGGGTCAAGCTTGTGCGTGATCAGCTAAAATGTCGCAGATCATTTTATTTTCGGCGGGCAGCAGTGGGCTTGGGCTTACTTTGTTCAGTGTTGTGCAGTGGCACTAGAAGCCTGGTAGCATGTTCCACCCGCTATGCCATCGATGGCCCTTATTAATGCACTATAATGACGGCAGCAGGGTTTCCATGACCAGGTGGCCACACGACAACACCCCCTGCATAAATCAAGCATGTCACTGTGTGACAGGCCCCTCAACTTGATCCCCATTTCGATAGTAAATACAGAAAAGTTACCTGTCTGGGTATGTGCTTGGAGGACAAGATCCACAAACGACAAGAAAAGAGACTCGCTCATGGCAAGATAAGCCAGACGTTGCATTCTCATCAGGAAGCAGAAATTCAGACACAGCATCGGGTAATTCCTAATCGTTACCAGCCCGGCCTCAGCGGTAGCTTATCACAGTTACATACCTACATGTCGCCAGGGGTGACTCGGGGCTCACCACGCAGCGACGCTATAGCAGTGGGGTCTTGTTTGATTCATCGTAAATGGAACCCTTGGTTTGAGTGCGTCGATGGCATATCTATCACTTTTGGTCGTGATGAGAGATGCGAGATGTGACTATTCAGAGTGTACCTCTGATATCTTGAATTGCAGAAATGTTCCTCATCCCAGTCCCCGGGCAACCAGGGCAGGTTGAAGGGTCTGACCCAGCTGGAGCAAGGTCGACTTCTCCAATGGCCCCCAGCAACAATGCCTACAAGCCACGACGACAATGCGCGTCGCTCTGGTCATGGACTCGTGTTGCACCCTAGCCACACTGTCGGCTGGGGTTGTTGATCTTGAACGAACTCTGGTGGCGCCGCAGACATATCGGATCGAGCGTGTCGGCCACCGGCGCTCGGCCAGTAACGACTTCCCGAGTCCGGCTTAGTGGGAGCACAATACTATCGTGGCATCATGAAATTCGGCCATCATTCGGGCACTATTCCTAGGGCATCAACGCTTGAAATTTACTAACGGTTTTTTCTTTTCTTTCTTTTTTTGACTCAATCGTCGATGTCGTCCCACTCCCCACAACGTGTCGGAGAATTTCGTATTTGAGATCGCGCAAGCTGGGAGCTAAAAGGCGACTAGAACCAACAGATTTTTCCGGAAATAGCTGCTGCGGAATTTTTTTTGGGTGAATGCACTTCTTTGTCATACAATCTGACTCGCGTCTTCGGTACGTATATCCCAACGGGCGTGCTCTCGGCGAGTGGCTGCCTCAATTAGTCAACGTTCAGCTGCGGAACAATCAATGCAATGCCATGGTCTGCTCCTCGTTGCGACCGTGCTGGGCCTGGATAGATTCCATGTCTACAGATACCAGCTGTCGTGCTACGAGTGCCGACTCGTATGATCTTTACCGACTGCTCTGTGACTGCCTATAGCACCATACTGTACAACTTTGAGTAGGAGGTTCTTCATATGCCACGACGACATCAATCTTGATAAAAGCAGTCGATTGTCAAAGTCAACATATGGCTCGGGGTCGGTGCCCTTTCTGCTTGCATATCTGCGCAATCTGGGATCATCTGAACAGCAAGGTGCGTAGCAAGGCTGTTGTGCCGAGGGTCTATAACCTACATGTATCGGCCAGTCCATTACAGCAAAGCCTTGTTATAGAGCCAACTACATCAGATAGCCGGCCGGACGGTCATTAAGTCTATATTGCAAACAATTTCAGTTGCTCTGCCTGGCATCGAACCAAATCCTCAAGAAACAGATCACGCTTGGTCTGCATGACACGCCGTCGTTGACCATTACAGGTGGTCGGACGATGGTGGTTGTTGGAGCACTACCGCTTGTGTTGGGAAATGCCAATGCGGGGAAGCGAAGGCAGCTGCATGCAAGAGGCGCAGAGACGCATGGAATCCCGGCTAGGATTCCAGAAGGAATTGTCGAGTACATGCAAACTCTATCATGATCCGATCAGGGGGAATAAGGGACAGGCAGTAGTAGATATCAATTAGTAGTAACAAGGACACAGATACCTGGATGTAGGTAAATACTCTGCATATTTCAGGCTCGATCATGTTGGATGCTTTCCCTCTGGCCGTGTGGTGTTCTATGCGCAATTTCTCATGCGCTGACTAGAACCATTGATTGCTTTGAGATAATATGCATGTCAGATCATAGCGATCTGGACCACACTGAGCCCATTAAACGGTCTTCTGAGAACCTTGGCCCATTCATCGTACAAAAACCTGGCTGGCTCCCGATAAATCCTAACACCAGTTCCTGAACTCTGATCCTATTTTCCGGGGTTCACAATCCTAGTGTCACTGTTCCTCAACTTTTGAGCCAGTTCTCCCGCCATGTCTCCTGTTGGCATCGAGAGAGAGGTTGCGTTCACGGCCCCAAATAGCGGGCGTGCTTGTAAAACGGTATGTAATCCTGGCTCACCAGCTTGAATCGCACATATGCGCATGAGCCGCCTGCAAACCCCGCTCGATACACTTCATATTAGCCATAGTTCTGCTATCAATGCCAAAATCGCTACCCAGGTCAAAAAGGCTTACCAATTTATGCGTAATAGTGGTACAAGATTGTCGGCGACCTGACGACAGCATCTCACCCTCCCCTACTAGCCCTGCACGGAGGTCCTGGTGCAGGGCACGAGTATCTCGAATCGTTGGCGGATCTGCTTGATCGTTATGGCATCCCAATCATATTTTATGATCAGATAGGCTGCGGCCGTTCAACCCACCTCCGCGACAAGATGGGAGATGAGGCTTTTTGGACGTTTGATCTTTTCATTGCCGAGCTCAACAACTTGATCGACCATCTGCAGCTTCGTGACAGAGGCTTCTACGTTCTCGGGCAGAGTTGGGGCGGTATGCTGGCCGGAATGTTTGCCGCCCGCCGCCCGCAGGGACTTGTCAAGGTGGTCATTGCTGGCGCGCCCGCCAGTTTCCCTCTCTATGTCGAGGGTGGCAAGCGACTGCGTGCCAAGCTGCCGGCCGATATTCAGAGCATCCTTGAGGCGGGAGATCAAAGTGGAGAGCTTGAGACTCCCGAGTACGAGCGCGCCAGTGCCTTCTTTTATAAGCAGCATGTGTGCCGAATTGACCCTCTGCCTGGACCGGTCCAGCAGGCATTTACCAATTTAAAGGACGATCCCACAGCTTATAACACAATGTAAGCAAGAGTCCCAGTATTCATAGAAAGCCAAGGGATACTTTTCTAATAGATAACTTTCCCATAGGCAAGGCCCATCGGAGATTGTCATCACCGGTAACCTGAAGGATTGGGATGGGTCAAAGGAGGCACAGAATATTAATGTCAATGCGCTACTTCTGAACGGACGTCACGATGAAGTTACAGAGCTTTGCGTTGAACCATGGTTCAAGGCTATACCAAAGGTCAAATGGGTAGTGTTTGAGAACTCGAGCCATATGGCGCATTGGGAAGAGCGCGACAGGTTTGTGGAACTGGTTGGCACGTTCCTTACCTCTCATTGATGATTTTGACCGCATCATTGGCATTTCATACAATCACATACCTATATTTTTTCATAGTTGAGGGTATAGTGCCAATAACCGTTGTTGATGTCGGGGTACCCCTACAGTGATCACGCAACCAGCATCGACTCTGGTTAGTACCAGTTTTCTGCGCACGTAGTAGGACAATCGTAATCGTAATTGAAATATTACCATCACCTCTCTGCCATTTGCTTGGAGGCGTGAGGTACGATCTATGACCCGTTCTCAGCTCAGAATAGACTTTGTTGGTGATATTCCTCACCAAGTCTACATGTCTGGTTGTATTTTGATCACGACTTTGGAAAAGTGTTCCTTACGATCCAACCTTTCGTAGGCCGCTTTTACGTTTTCGAATTCAAACGCAATGTCGTCCAAAGCAGGCTTTATACCCTTTTCATGTATGAACTCGACAAACTCTCGCATCATCTGCCGTGTTCCTAGCAGAACACCACGCAAAATGATGACCGACGTGAGAACTTGCATCATATTTGGGGCCGAGTCATCCCATCCTCCAGACGCTCCGGTGAGAGCCACGACTCCATTGGTTCTGATGGCAGCGATGGACTCGGCCAGAGTTGAAGGGCCGCCAATCTCCACCACAAAGTCGGCGCCTCGACCTTCTGGAGTCAAGGAGCGTACAATATGGCCCCATTCCGGCGTCGTTCGGTAGTTGACGACGTGAGTCGCGCCCAAGGCCCGAAGACGCGCCGCTTTGGCGTCGCTGCTTGTCGTGGCTATGACGGTCGCACCAGCGGCGACAGCAATCTGTTTGCATTAATGATTAGTCCGATGCTCGGCTGACACCTGATCACCAAGGGAACTCACCTGCAATGCTGCCACGGAAACACCTCCAGTGCCTTGCACCACGACAAAATCTCCAGATCTCACAGGTCGTCCTGGGAGTCCCATCAAGGCGTTCCAAGCAGTAAGGCCTGAGCATGTCAGGGTCGCAGCTTCGGCAAAGGACAAGTTCTGGGGCATATGCGCAAGAGCCGAGTGGTGAAATGTGCCAAGGCGTCGCAAAGTTCCATCCGACAGGTGTCCTAGTCCGTTCTGTATGTCGTCCATGACGGGCAGGGCGTCGTCAGGTATGTGTACAGCAAGATGCGTAATGACCTTGTCTCCTGGCTTGAATAGTGTGACGTCGCGGCCTATCTCAACCACGACTCCTGCGCCATCGGAACTGGGGACTAATGGAGATTTCATAGGTGCTGAAGCTGCGGGCTGTCATTCAAGAAAAATCAGAACCAACTTCATTTCTCCTCCCAGGCTGGGCGATTTTGTTGCATGGAATCTATACTGACCAATCTGGCCCCCTATGTCATGTCAGAACAATTCATAGTCCCAAAGATAAGTCTTGGATAATGGCAGACCTTTAAGACGTATAGTTCTCGGGAATTGAGTGATGCTGCGTGTAGGCGAACCAAAACATCTTGCGGCCCTAGAGGCTCGTTCTCGGAAGTTTCCTCATATGTGAGATTCTCAAAGCCATATGGGCTCCTCAAAACCCATTTGCCAGCGTCCATCATGAAATTCTTGGGGGCCGCGAACTAATCGTCAAACAAGACAGATAACACAAAAGGGTGTTGAGGTCTTTCTTAGAAATATCACCTCTGCACCAATAATTTGGCATATTTGAGAAAGCGAACTAACCTAGAAGCTTACCAACCCGAGGCCGATTTTTATCAATCGACCGATGGCTAGGTGGAACTAACAAGCCGATATATCCACTATATTTTCTAAGCATTCGAATGCCGTCGAACTGTCTCTGTTTGGCGCCCACTAAACTTGTCCCACTCATGGATCTAATGGTCCGGCATGAAATGCGCGCCCTGATACGCGGTACTTTGGCAGTGGACTACCCTGCGGGGAGAGCGTCTATATGGACCATCTTAACACACATAGTTACACAGTATGATAGGTTACAACGACATCACTATGTCCGTATTATACAAGAAGGTCGAGAATGATTTTCAGTGACAGTGCTTCTCACCTTTAATGTACATCTGTTGGCAAAGGTAACGCATTTACTGAAGACTCATTATCTCTCACCCGCTAGGATCAAACCAAGCAGAAAAGAAGTCAAGAATCCCATCTGACATGCAATACCAATTCATTAGAAAACAATAACCATCATGCTGTTTGACTAGACCGTTTCATTATCCGGATAAGTATATTGACCAGGTATGCGATACATGTAGAAATGCACCCTGCTTGAAGTCCCGCCCACCTTTGGGGCTGTCGCGCTAGCCTCATTATTATCGCAATGACCTCACAATACCTGCTCGACTATACACACTGCCAACCACAGCGACGAAATTCACAGCGTTGCAATTGTCAAACTCGCGTGACCGCCAGTTCCACTCTTGAATTCTAAAGGCCAGGATTTAGCGGAGCGAAGAACATGAGTGGGTGATCTTATCCGGAGTAAAGCCGATGATAATTGCCGAGAATTCAAGAACAGCTACAGATACTATATCATGATCACTAGCAATAGTATAGCGCCAGGTCCTGACCGTGGCCCTTCACGGTCTATCTGGACCCTCGTGAGATCGTCAACGAATGAGGGGTATTTAATGGCGGAAAATGAGGGGAAAAGAATGAGGTGATGCATGAGACCCACCAGCTCTTGGCAAGGAAAATGGGCAGTAGATAGACATGTCGATATTTTTTTCTGAGGTTTTTCTTTCAGAGAAAAAAAGACACGAATCAGTCAAGATTGCCGGTATTGGCCATCCTCACCAGCGTTGCAATTGATTAGAAACGTCATCTGCAGTGTGGTCTCAGGTCGTTCAAGTACGCCATGGCCAAGACTATCCAATTCTTGGGCCTCCTTGCCCAGGCAATCCTTTCATTGGCAGCCGAGCAAGATTACACCAAGGATCACCCCTATATTATTCCGCCTGTTCCAAATGGCTTGGCTATCGAGAAGCCGAATATGATTTTGTTCATGCCGGATCAATTACGTTTTGACTCGGTCGGAATCTTTGGAAATGATGTACGTATTGCGCTTTTCGATGCAATGGCGATGATGACTACGGTGGTCTATCATTGAGTCGCCTGCTAAATAGCCAGATAGATTGTGCAAACTCCCAACATTGATGCTTTTGCGCGACAAGGTGTCCGTTTCACCAATACATTTGCGCAGGCTTCCGTTTGCTCGCAATCACGTACTGCCATGTTTACTGGACAGTATCCCCATGTGTCTGGACATCGCTCGCTAGAAAACCTGCTCAAGCCCTGGGAGCCCAATGTCTTCAAGGCGCTAAAGGATCAAGGCTACCACGTCGCCTATCTCGCTCCGCGCGGTGACCTGTACGCCGAGGACTCGACCGAGCTCGGTGTGAATGAGTTTGGATTCCTCACGAATCAGACACTGCCAAGCTTCATGAGCGAGTCCGGGTTTGACTTGAGTAAAGGCGAGAACGATATCTGGAACCGCCTCTTCTATATCGGTTCCCGGCCACAGAATGAAACGCTTGATTACGACGAGCTCCTGACCGAAGGCGCCCTCAAATGGCTAGAGACCCCGCCGGCCGAGCCCTGGGTCCTGTTTCTACCATTACTTTTTCCTCACTGCCCATTCAAAGTGGAAGAACCGTTCTTCTCCATGCACAACCGCTCGACCATTAAACAACCTGTGAGCAGGAGCGATAGGGTACGTCTTGTCGACTGAAAATGACTATCAATTCAGAATATGCCAATGCGAAATACAAATGATATCTAAGTGAACAGAGCTAATTGCAGAGTTAGACTGGCTATACTCCAAAATACATGGATGCGATTCGAGAAAGCTATGGTCTAGATCGCGCGACTCCGGAGATATGGCAAGAAGTCATTGCCGTTTACTACGGAATGATCTCGCGTGTCGACTGGCAGTTTGGGCGAGTCATCAACAAGACCAAGGATCTGGGTTTATGGAACAAGACCATCACCTTCTTTTACACTGACCACGGTGAATTTCTGGGCGATTACGGCTTGATCGAGAAATGGCCGTCGGCTGTAACGGACTCGCTTACTCATGATCCTCTCATCATTGGCGGCGGCGGCCTCCCCGAGGATGTCTCATTTGATGAAATGGCAGAGATGATTGATCTAGTCCCTTCCATGCTTCAGCTCGCAAGCGCAAACACGACGTATGCCCAGTATGGAAAATCATGGGTTGATGGCATCCATGCTCTCGGCAAAGGAGAATTTCTTGCACACAAGGACTACAGCTTCACCGAGGGTGGTTTCTTGCTCAACGAGGAGCCTCTTCTCGAGCAAAGTCCCTTTCCCTATGACATCAAGGCTGGTCTGCAGCACAACCACACCGAAATTGTCGGCAAAGCGATTGCCGTGCGAGACAAGTCGTGGACGTACGTTTACCGCCTCTACGAGGCGGATGAGCTTTATAGCCGACAGGGTGACGATCCTCACGAGGCAAAGAACTTGGCTGCGGATCCAGACTTCCAAGATGTACGAGCTCGGATGCGTGAGGTTGTTCTCAAATGGCTGATGAAGACTACGGATGTGATGCCCTTCTACAAGGATGTCCGTGTCCCAGAAGTTGTTCATCTTGAATCACCCTGGGATCAGTACCAAGAACGGCTACAAGAACTTTGAGGCACTATTTTCAGGCCATTCGCTAGCCTACAGGCTCATGCGCGGAACGGTCAATTGAAAGGACTCGTTTGATTGTAAGTAAAAGCGTGCATATGTTTGGTGGTGATGTCCCGGCAACCGAGGCCATTGGCCAATATTCATTCAGAATATTTAAGAAAGCTCAATCCGCACCGCTATTGAGCCCTTTGTCGTATGTGGCACCACAGCATCGTGATCGTACTTGATGTCCTCAATAGTTGTCTCATATAACTTGGCCTTTGGCAACACCCTAAGGGCCATGGCGACTGTCATGAGGTAAAGTTCGCAATATGCAAGGCTGGATAGATTCTGTTATCATCGACATTCCACTTGAGTGATTCGTGGTGGGAAATAACACTTACTGCATTCCCAAGCAGATACGACTGCCTCTGGAGAAAGAGATCAAGTACTTTTCCAGAGAGTAGTTCTGTTGTCCGTTTTCTAATAACCAACGCTCGGGTAAGAACCCATCAGGATCGGGGAACAAGCTCTCATTGCTGTGATTGATCTTTGAAGTCATGCCGACAGGGGTGTTCTTGGGAATCACGTATTCTATATCACCGGCCTCATTCTTGTAAATTAGTGTCTCCTCTCGAGCGACACGAGCTGACCTGTGATGAAGGGTTAGACGCATCGACAAAACTTGGGCCCTGTATTGAGACTTGCCTGTGTGAGATGCCAGGCATATGGCGAAGGGCCTCGTGGATCACAGCCCACAGGTATGGCTTTTGCTCCAGTTCGGTCCATTTGAGATTGTTAGGGTCGGTGCCCTTCAATTCCTCCATCAGTTTAGTATAGATTGTGGGCTTTGCCAGGAGCCAATAGACAATGCAAGTAAGTGTCGCCTGGAAAATAGGTTAGTCGTAAAAGCAGCCAATCGGAGTATCAGACGTCAGCTCACGGCAGTTGTTTCTGTTCCTGCTGACAAGAGATCAAATCCTTGGCCAGAAAGTCGATACATGGTCTTGTCCGAGTCAGGCAAGAGAGGCGAGCTAATCAGATCCGCAAACACTCTCCCATCTTCCTTGTTATCCAGAGCCTTCTGGATATACCCCGGGATATTAACACCCAGCTCGTGGAAAAGAGCCTTTACGTCTTCACCCATATAGTTGGCGAACATTGGGGCCAGTCCGACCAGACTTCGCATGACTGGAACATGTCTCATCATGTATACAGTGTCGAAGAACGGGGCGACCCAAGTCCCAAAATTGGGAGTCCAGCCCTCCTGGTCAACAAAGCCCATGGGCTCGCCAAACGCATATTGCGAAATAATGTCGGCAGTGAAGCAATCAAATACGTCCTTGACATTGAATGGTCCCTTTGTCCTCAAGACCTTATCAATGGTACGCTGAACAAAATCGTAGACCTCGTGCTCAAGTTTGAGCATCTGGCCCCTGGAGAAGTACTTTGCCATGGCCCCTCTTCTGACACGATGGCTTTCGTGGAAGCGAGTCGAGAAAGTGCCCACAGTGATTGGTCCCGAACTGGTATTGAGAAAGTGTTGCCACTTGTCTCGGACACGGCCACCCCCAGCATAGATTTCATCGGTAAAGTTTGGGTCATTGCAATGAAGTTCATCTGGGTTGATTCTCACAATGGGACCTGTTTGCACGAGTCAGGTCAATGGTTTCTCCAATTTCATTAACGCGCCAGGCTGGAGAGAATACTGATGCATAAGACATGGGATACTTACCATACACTTTGTGCATCCTTCGAATCTCATGACCATATCTGCCGCCAAGCCAGAAATCGTAGTATCCCTCATAGAAATAGCCCATGGCCGCCAGCTTGGGCCCCGGAAATTTGTACAGAGGATGAAGCGGCGAAATATTGTACAGCGCCACCGCCACTCGATATGCCAAATAAAGGCCGGCGAGCGAAATGAGATTCACTGGAGATAGGACAGCCGCGAGGCCATCCTGTGCTGTTCGAACAATCGATCCCATACTGCCGATTGCCGTCTCCTGACGACGATGTATGGTATAAGTCAAGGTTGCATCTGCAGGAGTTGACGTGGGAGGATGCCAAATATCAAACAGCAGTTATGAACAATCGGCAATCGCTAAGGGGTTTTCTTGGTACTCGGAAAATCGACTTTTGACCCGACCCATTGCTTGCTGGATCGAAAGACGATGATGCCCCCCTTCTTCAATCCCGGTCGGAGCTCAGTTTCCTGTTTCAAAGATTGGTGGGCCAATAAGACATAAAACGACAGGGGCCGGAAAAGACACCGCCATCATCCGGTCCCTAGTACGCTGTGCCGCCGGCGGACGTCACGACCTGGCCTTGGCGTATTGCTATTTGCAGCCAATCATCGTGGCCTGGTTGGCATGATATTAAGCAAGAGTGCACCACAGTGAATTCGAGCAGATGATAGAAATGGACCAAATTTGAGTCGCACTTCGTCGTAGGAATTGACAAAATAGGTGCATTATAATAATCCAAATGATGAGGTTGAACTTACCATATAATCTGTCCACGAGAATAACAAGAAGCAGTCAGCCTGTAGCCCATACGTCTTCATCTTTATTACACCGTTGCATTTTTGCCCAGGATCTTAGTTAGCTCGAACAAACTACAGGATATGGGCCCATAGTTGCTTAAGTACTGCGTATAACTGGTTGCGAATTTTTTGTGAAAGTGGAAACATTCCCACAACAATTCCTGGGGTTGGTGCCAATCACCGTTAATCCAAACCAAGCCTGATCGGAACGATGTATCCTGGTCCGGAATGGCCCGCCCGCACTATAGTCTGGCCACATATTATTACTAGATTGCGTAGATGAATACCATTCAAATTTCCGTGAGTGGTGAGCCAGGCAAAGGCAGCATGACAAGCTTATTACGCTACTTAATCGACATGGATTGATCTACGATGGGTTTCGTGTTGGCAATGCGATTGATTGATCATACACAGTAACTGTTCTGATCTTTTATTGTTGAATAGGGGCTATACGACTGAACAACTTCCCGCATCGTTCCCAAGTCTTCTGAAACTTCTTCTCACGTGCCTTGGGTGCCTTGCACAATTTTCATGTTCATTCATTCATTCCCTAGTACAGAGTATATCTGTGTCGCTAACGTCTTTCGTCTCCACCGAAAACCATTTATACTTCGGGAAGACACATTGCCCCATGACTAGTCTCTTACATTCTTGACAGGGTCCGTGACTCGGGGAACAAGGTTGACTTGCTTGTATGTTGGCGAGATCCGTTGCGCAAGCCGGCTCCTAAAACGTAGATCAATGTTGGGGAATTGAAAGTCTTTAAAATCTAGATATTCGAGAAGAGAAGGAAAGAGAAATCCCCGAATGACGAGTCGCGCCATATCTTTCGACTTCATTCCACTTGTTGCTCCTCGTCGTACATTTGAGCCTTTCAATCGTTGGTTCGGCTGAATGTGCTTGGCACACCCTCCTTGGCCAGAATGATCGGCCCTCCAGTCGTGATACCGATGTCGAAAAGTGCTCGTGATGCACTCATCGCAAATGTTGTCCTGCTTTTGGCAAGCGCAATCTTTGTGGTCCTTCGAATCTATGGACGAGTGACGGGTCCCGGGCTTGGTATCGACGATCTTTTGGCCGTTATTGCACTGGTTCGTGTTCAATCTGGACTGCATCGCGTAGAAGCCGCTGAGATTGTTTGCAGGTTGTGACAATTTGCGTCATCGGCATACAAGTAGCTTGTAAGCGCGTCCACGGGTTGTTTTCTCAACCAAAAGCTGATCTATCAAAGTTTCAATATCAGGAAATGGATACGACTATCTTCCGTCGACTCCAGAGTTCGCTGATCGTAAGTCGGGTTTACCCCTCAATATTTGATCTTCCCGCCGTGGATAGTATTTCTAAAAGATTATGTACAAGTTGACTTTAAGTGCATCATTCGCTAATCTCTCTATACCCAGTTACGGCGGACTTGGAATACATCATGAAGGTACAACCCGATCTTGTGCCGTATTAATGTGTCACGCAACTGGCTTGTACTGATTTGTCCAAGGGTCTTTTCGTATGCGAAACCTTATATCTGTGGGCTCTTACTTCATTAAAACTCAGCGTTTTGCTTTTCTATCGAAGATGTTTCGGCGTCTCCAATCACATGGACCGCGCAGCTCTAGTCATGATTGGTGTTGTCTTGGCCTGGGCCATTACTTTTACATTTTTATTCATCTTTCTCTGCGACCCGATCCAGCAACAATGGTCCACCGCACGAATCGGACACTGCATGGACCAAATCACCATCGTCATTTGGCTTTGCGCGACGAACATAACCACAGACTTGGTTATTATGGGCATGCCCATGTACACCATTTGGCATTTAAGAATGAGGAAAACTGAAAAGCTCGCCATGGCTTCCTGTTTTGCACTTGGATTGGCGTAAGTTGTAGACTGACAGAGAGGCTTACCTTTTCCTTATTATTTGCTAATTTCCCTGCAGATGCTGTGTGATTGGAATTTTTCGAATCGTTGAACTTACCCAAGTCGACTTGCTCTCGAACATTACGGGCACCATGGGTCACACGATTCTTCTTCTTGGCCTGGAGCTGGTCTTTGGGATCATGTGCACCAACATCCCGATGATGCGGCCATTTTATGCCAAGTATAGGTCTCGAAAATCATCGTCGAAATTATTAGAAGAGCCAAAGTGCCGTAGTCAAAGCAACAATACTGGTTCCCATGCTTCTGGTGCAAGACAACGCATTGCCAGACGACTTGGAATCCCCACAGACCAAACAATTGGTGTCGAGACTGCTCTTGAGTTGGAGAACTATCATGTGCTGGGTATCAAAAACAAAGCCCTTGTCGAGCACAGCGTTGAAGAGAATGCGAGCAATGATGGAGATTCTGAGAGACGGTTGACGGAAAATAATGCATCAACTCCGACCAATCAAGTGGTGAAGACCACCCACTGGGCTATTACACGGGACTAGAATCAGATTCGTATAGTAATAGTAGCAGATGGTCGATGTTATCATGGATCGTATGGGACCATTCGCTTCACCTGTATTGTGTTTCTTAGGATCGCCGACAGCGTCTCCGACGTCTTCAAATTTCTGGTAAAGGACAAAGGCTCATGCGATTTTGCCATCCGGTCTAGCGGGCACATCAGGTGGGCAGGGGCGTCCAACATTGAAGGCGGCATCGCGCTGGACCACTACGGTCTAAACCGCATTGACATCAGCGACAAAAGCACGCTCGCAAGGGTCGGCCCCGGCTCTACTTGGGACTCTATTTACGAGAAGCTGGATCCCTTGAGTCGCAGCGTGGCTGGCCGACGCGTCGCCAGCGTGGGCGTGGGAGGACTGACCCTGGGCGGAGGCATCTCTCACCTGTCTTGCTGTCATGGTTAGACCTGTGACGCTGTCCTGAACTTCCAGGTCTTCTTGAGCGACTGCGAAATTGTTGATGCAAACGCCAACAAGAACGCGGATTTGTTCTTTGCACCGCGCGGCGGCTTCAGCATTTCGGCATTGTGACACCTATCAGCCAAAAAAAATAAAGGCGATGCTACCTCGCCGGATTCTCACCGTTGACTCAACGGCTGAGCTTCCAAAGTTGACTCTTCAGGAGACGTAGGGTTCAATGGGGGAATTGGCTCTCAGCCACTATTATGGTAGCTTCAAGGGATTTCAATCCACCGCTAATAATTATGCTGACTGGATCAGCGGTACCGAGTTCGAATCTCTGCCACATGTATCCAAAGATAACGCCATTTGCGCATTGCAACTTGGAACCTCCCATGTATGGATTCCCCCTAAACCCCAAACCCTAAAATCCCTTCTTTTTTTCTCTCTCTCTCTCCTCTTTCAAGCTCAAATTAGACGGATAGTTCGATCCTCAGCATCTTCATACCATTTGCTTTGGTCAATTTTGTTCTCGTAGGTTAGAAACCGAATAACCGATATAGATCTCGCTTCGTGCACTCCAAATCGCCTGTAGAGCCCACAACTATCCCCGGTCACCGGAGTGAGGACAAGTGAGACCATGAAAGTGCTGAAGTAATCCTGACCTAACGGGAGGATAAACACCGTATAGACGCCTGGTGGTGGCAAAGTATCCAGGTGAAAACTTCCGCTGCCCAGATCTTTGGTTATCGCCTCTGGCTCGGTATGAGCAGTAGTCTCAAGGACTACCTCGTTGTCGAGTGTCACGGAGCATATGCCTTGCTTATCGCACTCGAGCGTTGCGGCGTATAGCCGTGTCCATTGCAGCCTCAGATAGGCATCTGTCACCTGGGAGAACGGGCTTTCTGTCACGGTCTGCACATGCCAATCCTTCAACGATGTTTCTGGTCGCTGAATAATCTGTAGCTGTGGTGCGATTGCGGCGTCGAGTGCAGCCCACGACCATGATGGAGCACGATAATTTTCAGGTCTCGAGGCCTCTTTAGGCGATAGAACCTGCCAATGTAGATTGTTAGGTATGCTCTCTCGCCAGAGACCGGCAATGTAGTGCCACCCGGTAGCCGCCTGTAAACGCTGGGCTATTCCAGCCACAGCAACAAGTTTATCGTCTGGTTGGGTAATTGCACATTGGGAATACACCTGAAGCGTGGTTCTCCATGCAGATTCTGCCCACGTGTTGATGTTGTGAAGACCGACATCGTCGGGCGGAAAACGGATGCGGCTAGAAAGGCCGAAAACGCTACCATACACCGGTCCCGATGGAAAACTCTCAGAGTACGTTCCGTCGGAACACTCCCAAAAAATCTGGTCGGTGCAGAAGTGGACAGTACGCTCGGCAAGTGTGCGTTCTTGGAGAACCCATCCGCGCCGATGTAGAGGCGCTTGGTCAACCGCCCTACACCAAAACTTTTCATCCCGAAGGAAAAGTTTTCTTTTCCCGATGCCAACCCAATCCGTTTTGATATGGATCGGCTGTATCCTGGCCGGGTCTCGCGATACAAAAAGCCCTCCGTGTCCATCCGTTGAATGCGCTGCGGCAATGTTCAGGTACGAATTGGTGTACACTTGGGCCATCTGAAGCCCTTCAGAGCGCCAGTCGTCGGTAGAGTTTTGTATGATACACAAGGAGTCGATCCATATGTAGCGAACTCCAAGGTTCCTGGTTACAATCACAGCCTCTCGGAACGTTTTGGTCAATGCACTATATGGAATCTCCTTTTCCATGTTTGCCACGTTCTCGGATAATAGTTTAATCGTAGGGATTTTCCCCCAGCAGTGACTGAGGGTAAGATATGGCCCTTGGATGGGCGAATTCTTTGTAATACATAGTCTGATGCAGGGATCAACATCAGTGCCGACGTCTACCAACCGCGTTGGGTATTGAGAGGGACTTTTATCGTGGGCGATTCGAGCGATGCATCCTTCATGGGATGTATTGCATTGTTCCAGCCATCCTTTTAATTGGTCCAAGGCCTGACCAGGACCTGTTGTAAGTCCTATATCAACGTTTTCAGGAATGGGATCCTCGGGGTCTTGGGGGTGTTAGCCGGACATGACACGTGTGACCTCCTAACGACCAGGTCAGTTGTATGGGTTAGGGGAATTTACACATACCAGGAGGACGCAATTCAAAACTATAGATTTCTATTGTGCTAGAGAATGCATAATGCAGTGTTGCCTCGAGGTAGAACTTGATGTCCATAGTTGGGGTTTCCCCTAAGGTGACGATAGTGTATGAGATGAATCCTAGCTCGGGTAGCGCAGGCACTGAAGCTGCCACTATCTCGGCCCAGCTGAAATCCGACAGCTGTGAATGCATGATGTTACAGAAATGGCACCCTGCCTCGACTGCGTCTTGGAAATCATATGCTGTAGCATGCAAGGTTTGTTTCTCGCATGTGCTGGAACCATGATGGCCTGGAGGAAGCTCTCCATGAAGCAAGCGAAGACAAGACTCACAGAGCCGAAAGGCTGGGTTGCACATCTCGACAGCGTGAGCGGGGTTGTGTTGAGTGTAGAATGCTCTGATCCATCAAGTAACTAAGTGTTGAGAGCTTACTTACGATCAAATGAGAGCACGTCTTCATCCTGGTCCCCAAAGCCCCCGCCCCCACTTGATTGTGATGGGTAGGCGAACCCAGCAACTTGCCAATATGTGCAGCTAGTACCGCTCCTCACCTGTCTCTCCATCGCCTTCCGTCCATGTTGCTTTGTTTAATTGCCATGATCGTTAAGCCACGGGATCAATGATCTCATTCCAGCAAGCTGAATGTTGAAGATTGGAGGCTCTAGTCAAATTGTTGTTGGGGGCTGCACTCATTAATTGCTCTCCACGATAAATGTTTTCTGACACTTTGGTACGCTGAAATGCAGGAATGCCAACAGTGCCAAGAAAACAGCCAATCTTGTTTATAGCACATCTGTAGATACAGTATGGTATACAAATATAGATGGACTTTCACTGCGATATGAGATACGCTCCGGAACCTCGAAAGCAGACTCCGCCCGTGACTGAGAACCTCAACTTGTGGATCAAATCCCCACAGGCCGAAGATGTCTTGAGCCTTAGCTCCGGCTTTCCGGACGTAGACTCTGGAGTCTACCGTGCCTGTCCCTTTCGGTCAGAGTGGCAATAGCAACAGACTTAATCCAGCCGATGCAACGCCCATGGCGATAACCGTTGTCTTGTCTAAACAGTTCCCTATTGTGATTGCGCATCCAACCTATACGCGCCTCAACAATCGCTTGATCATCACCGTTGAGTCCTTACGGGGTAGCATACACCAGCTTAGGACAGTCTCGCAAGCCTCGTGGCGATCTGTCTTGTGTATTCGTATCCGATTAATTCGTAATGTGCGGTGCAGGCTGAACCGCATGCCTCACACTGCCACCATCCCCAGCTGAAGCTAGCACATTTAAAAATTGCAGTATACGACAACAACCAGTATGCTACATTCGCCTCCTCAAAGTTTGCCTATCTCTCCATAGCCGGTATTCCAATTGTTGATCAAGGGTGATGAATTTTAGATTGGATTTTCAACTGGGCTGGTTTCGATGTTCTACTTATGTTGCCCCGTTCCAAGGATTGATGAGGTGTGGGCTTATTTGGGTGGCCATGGTAAAACTCTGGAAGTCTTGTGTACATTCATATTTGCTCAAGCATCAACTGAAATTGTTTGCGCACTCCGACATCGCAACCGCTCAAGGTCCTCGGCGCTCTCCAGCGTTCACTGATTGGGCCATGGTGATCGCCTTCCTAGAGAAGGAAGTTAACTGAATTGGACGCCTCGTGTTGAAGCTTGATCAGTGCCCCTGCCTCTTGCTTAGAGCCCTGTCGGTGGTGTCCTGGTCCACTGGCGGGCCGTTTCAACCTTATTTGCCAGCGCCGTGCCCTGTTCTTTCCACTAAGGAGATAGCGGTCCACATAGGTACCTACCTACACCAGTACCCACCAAGGGCCTGGCGCTCCCATCTTCAACAGGGAAACTGCCGTGGGAAGAAGACAAAAAAGTTTATCTGCTAGTCAATAGGGACCCTTTATTACCGGCAGGCTTGTCGCTGGGTGCTTACCAGCAGATGACAAATGATGCTCTGACAAAGAATCACCAATCAAGGTGTGGTACTCGGCGAGACTGTCTCCCCACTTAACATGCTCGAACTGTCTACCAGGAACACCATGCTGCCATCATTCAGGCCTGGTCGTGGGCCCTTATGCGCCATTTTAGTGGTTTGACGGTCGTACTCGGTAGTATTTGTCCGAAGAAACGGCCCTTTATGATTTGAATGTGACATCTTGACGTTCTTCTTTTTCACTGCTTACAGAAGCAGCCATACAGTTCAACGCTTGATCGGAGCCAGATAAGCCCCGGAATGCCTGCCGATTGAGATGTAGTTGCTTGGCGAAGGGAACGCCCTTCTAGCTTGCCCTTTCTCGATGGTTCAGGCCCGAAATCAAAGTTAGATCATCCACTCATCACCACAGCATCCCCGAAATCCACTCGACGGATCGATTTTCAGTCAGACGGTTCGAGTCATCAACCTTGCTACGATGCATCGTCCACAAGGCGCACCTTCTTCATTCTGTATTCTTGACCGAGATCCAGACTTTGCATTGTAGTGGCTCCTGTCAATTTCCCTGGACCTCGCCATCTCGAGAGACCCAATAGAACCAACACTCAACTTGGTGCAAAATACCTGAAGACACCTTCACAAGGATGGACATCATTAGCTATAGCTCCTTTGGCATGGCAAGAGCTCTCGGGAGGAGCATAACTTGCCGCCATGTTGCTCTGCCTACAGTCCTGCGTTGAGCATTCAAAGTATCAATGCTGCAAACGGCGATGCCTCAGTCCAAGTATGCCGGACAAAATCATCACCCGTCTCTCGAGCTCTCAGGCCGTCTCGGAGTAACAAAAACAAAAACATCACCGCACCGCACCGGAAATACAGGCATTTTCATGGCTAAACGTCATATTCCGTAATTCCATTCACATGGCGAACATCCGGACCGACCGGGACCGCAAGGTCCAGATCATATTGAGCTAGTGGAGCGGTACCCTCCAGACGGCGCCGATCGTCCCCGGGGGAGGAGTGGCAAGGATGGCGGTATCTCGAATAAGCATCATGCACCACCAGGACGGTGCGATTACTTGATACCACTCTTTTGGTTCCTGCCGTAATCGGCAGCCTTTCACCATTATTCATGGCTCTGTATGTCAGAAATGCTCGGAGCTGACTAACCTCCTTATCGGGCCGCGAGGAAATTGGCCCCATATTCCCTTTACCTTGGTACTTGGGTGATGAAAGTTCTTCGGATCCACGATACTCACTCTCAAAGACATGATTCCTGACTATGGAGCTCAGCAAAGGCCCAATGGGTATATAGGAGAGTCAGGTATGAGCCAAGCACACAGTCGTTTGGTAGTGCTGCAACATCGTTTCTATGAGCTAGCGAGTTTTTAAGCGATCTAGACACCATGCGCATCCAAATCCTGACGTGCGTATTGCCGCTGGCTGCTGCCGGTGTTGTACAACGAAAGTCTGATGATGTAGTCGACTACATTGTTGTTGGTGGCGGTACAAGTGGTCTGGTTGTTGCGAAACGCTTGTAAGTACTGAAACACAGGAACATTCTTCGGCAACTTTTGAGATGAAACCACTTGCATCATTTTCGAGGAAAAACAACCAAGGCTAACAGTTTTCGACTCCCTAGATCAGAAGATCCGACCGTGTCCGTCCTTGTGATCGAGGCCGGAGACTCTGTCTACGATAACGAAAATGTGACGGACGTAAACGGCTATGGGTTGGCATTTGGCACTGACATCGACTATGCCTTTGAATCGGTGAACCAGACATATGCCGATGGAAAGGCCCAAACCCTCCGCGCTGGCAAGGCGCTTGGTGGAACCAGCACTATCAATGGTTGGTCCTAGGTTGGTTCTGGCCAGTCGCGTATCATGCTAACATGTTGAAAGGTATGGCTTACACACGAACCGAGTCGGCCCAGGTAGATGCGTGGGAGTTGGTCGGTAACAAAGGCTGGAACTGGAACAATCTGTTTCCCTACTACCTCAAGAGCGAGCACTTCCAAACCCCCAGCCAGGCCCGAGAGGCTGCCGGACATCTAAGCTACGAAGCACAGGACCATGGCTACGATGGCCCTCTCCTGACGGGATGGCCCTACAGCGTGACCAACACCTCTCTTGTCAATGATGTTGCCTCCACCTACGATGCAATGGGTCTTTCGCTCAACTCCGACCTGAACGGTGGTAGTATGGTTGGGTTCAGCGTTTTCCCTTACCACATTGACCAAGAACTCAACGTCCGAGAAGATGCGGCGAGGGCATATTACTACCCATACCAGAACGCCACCAATCTAAAGGTCCTTCTCAACACCCGGGCAAACAAGCTCGTCTGGGCATCAAACAGCTCCAACGGTGCCACTGCCGAGGGAGTATCGATCGCTAGCTCAAACGGAGAGACAAAAACTATCAAGGCCACCAAGGAGGTCATCATCTCAGCCGGTGCTTTGAGTTCCCCGAGACTTCTTGAGCTTTCTGGCATTGGAAACCCCGCGATCTTGAGCCAGTATGGAATCGACGTGGTTGTTGATCTCCCGACAGTGGGCGAGAACCTGCAAGACCAGAGCAACAACGGCATCGACTTTGGCCTCGCAAACAACTACACCTTGGCAGACAAGACCGCCTTGGTGGCGTACCCCTCAGTCAGCCACCTCTTTGGCAACCAGACGGCAAGCTTTGCCCAGCAGGTCAAGGCTAACCTTTCTTCTTACGCCGCACGCGTGGCTTCGGCGAATGGCAACGTTACGCGGCCGACCGACCTCCTGGAGTTCTATGAGCTGCAATACGACCTCATTTTCAAGTCACAGGTACCTTTTGCCGAAGTCCTCATCAACTTCGCTTCCACCGAGTGGGCATCCGAGTTCTGGTCGCTTCTACCATTCTCACGCGGTAGCGTTCACATTCGCAGCAGCGATCCAGGTGTGGCCGCCGCCATTGACCCCAAGTACTTTATGCTCGAGTTCGATGGCCGAGCTCAAGCTGAAGTGGCGCGCTACGTCCGAAAGCTCTACTCAACCGAGCCATTTGCCTCTTACAACTCTGGAGAAGTATCGCCGGGTATTGAGACTGTATCCGCGTCGGCCGACGACGAGGCCTGGGTGTCCTGGATCAAGGAGACCTATCGCTCCAACTTCCACTCCGTCGGTACCGCGGCCATGATGCCCAGAGAAAAGGGTGGTGTTGTGGACACTGAGCTCAGGGTCTACGGAACCAGTAATGTTCGTGTTGTTGATGCGTCTGTCGTGCCTTTTCAGGTATGTGGCCACTCTGTGTCGACGCTCTACGCCGTTGCAGAGCGGGCTTCGGATTTCATCCGAGGAAAGCAGTAAGGACATGGGGTGAATTTTTCTTTCATTTCATGTACATGTTTTCCAATACAAGAATCAATTTTGCATTGTTGTCGAAAGATTATTCCTGCTGCGTGTGACTCTGTACCAAAGAAAGTGGTTGGTCATTTTCAGGATTGCGCAATACTGCCCACAAGCCCCTATTTGTCAACAATCAGAGAAGAAAAAAAGGGAGTAAATATTGAATTTTGACGATGCATCAAGCTACTTCTGTTTTGGTCTCTTGTGAGTCTTTCTATCATTTAGGTGAGCAGTCGAGTGGTATTTGACCATCTTAGTCTGTCGTTGCGGACCAGAGTCTGAACCAAGGTCCCAACCAGCTCTATGCTCCGGTCTTTGTGTAATTGGTCTAGATGTCGTTGAGTATCAAGATTTATTTCGCAGCTTTTGCTTCGAGCCAAAGATGGAGAAGTACCAAAGTCCTCGCAAGGATTACACAAGACTTCATGGTCGTCTATTGCTCCTGACTCGGAGAAGCAAAGCTAATGGCGGATATATTCGCCGTTGGTAGATTGTCACTTATCAAAAGAAGCTTACCTCGAGGTCTCATTGCCATCACGGATAGCTCCATGTTCCGGGTGGCTGTGCATGGTAAGTAAGATCGCCTAGGTACGTCAGATTGTCTGACTTGCATACCTGCTAGCGGTTGATTCGACCTTATGGTATATACACTCCCTGGAATGGTCTAGCGTACTACTTGTACCTTACTTCCTTGGAGTGATACATATATTTGTCATTGTGGTCTTCATTGGGATTACATTCTGAATAAACTGAACCGGAGTGTCGAACTAGGTCATCTGCGTGGCTTGTAGACATTGCATCAGAACCAGCCGCTGACAGCCACCACAACGGAATAAAGACCGTGCAGTCGTCATTGGGCAAAACACAATATGATCAGGTAATGTCCATCTCATTGTCTCAAAATGGACATAGACTTTGCTTAAAACTATGGGGCTCGTGTTATATATTGACAGATGTGGTCAGCAGAAACTTTCTTCTTTGGGACAATGAATGATTGACTTGTCAAGTGGTGGGTGCATCGGACAAGAATATATAACATGAGATAATACTGGTATTCGCATTTGCTAGTATAAAGCCTCGCAAAAGCGCAGGCGATTACATGGATTCTGTCTTTATCTTTTCTCTTTTTCCCAATTTTGACACATTTCCTGCTTTCTCATCTACATACCCAGTAAATAAAATGCGTTTTCGTGCTATTGTGAGCTCGTCGCTCCTGATGCTATCGACAGTCCTTGGATCTACATTTACCACCGGATCAAAAGAGGACCTCCCCGTGATTGATTTAGGATATGTGAGTCATGGTCGCTCACTATGTTCAACTGGTGTTGATTGACCTGTCTAGGAACTCCATCAGTCACTGTCATACAACAAGAGTTCAGAGGTCTACTTGTTCCAGAATATTCGCTATGCACAACCTCCAACGGGAGAACGACGATTTCGCGCGCCTGCAGCCCCGAAAATCGACCGGACCGCCGTTAGGAATGGGTCTGAATTGAGAAACTGCCCCCAAGGGATGCCCGTGTGGCAGGCTAAAGCATATGGTCCCATTCGCAAATTTTCCGACCCGCGGAATTCGTTCAATCTCACAGCCTGGGAAGAGGCTATAGCTACTGCGAGAATCCCTGAGCTTGAGCTGAATGCCGAGACTACCGAAGACTGCCTGTTTCTCGATGTCCATGTTCAAAAAGGGATCTTTGATAGGGCTCAGCAGGATCTCCAGTCAAGTCAGTCGTCCGACGGTGCTCCGGTTCTCGTCTGGGTACCAAGCCCCCCTCTCGCACCATTTATTTTACCCGTAGCTGACATGAATCTAGATACACGGTGGAGGCTACACACTGGGATCCAAGACGGGAGCCCCGACACCCGTGTTCTTTCCCGATGGGCTCCTGGCACAAGCAGACTCCAGCGATGAGGGCATGGTCTTTGTCGCTCTCAATTACCGTCTCGGAGCGCTTGGTTTCCTCGCCGGTCCCGAGGTTGCAGCCGATGGAGACTTGAATGCCGGCCTGCTTGATCAGCGGCTTGCCCTCGAATGGGTACAGAAGCATATCCATCTGTTTGGGGGATCCGCCAAGCGAGTAACAGTCATGGGCGAATCGGCCGGAGGCGGCTCCGCGATCTTGCAGACAGCTGCCTTTGGTGGTAAGAAGGGACCGGCACCATTTGCCCAGATCATTGCCCAGAGCCCCGCCGCCATGCCAAACGCACAGCCTGTGCCCAATGCCTTTTCCGACTTTCTTGCCGCCCTCAATGTTAGCACACTCGATGAAGCGAGACGGGCGGCCTCATCGGACGTCATCAGAGCAAACGAGGTGCAAATCGATGCTGCACCAGCCGTAAACTACAATTTCGGGCCTGTCCTGGATGGAACCTTCATGCCCAACACTATAGGCAAGGCATTGAGCTCCGGCGCCTATGACAAATCCGTACAGGTACTGTCCTCCCATAACTTGTTCGAGGGTGGTTTCTTTTATGATCCCACTGTGCGAACCGAAGACGAGTTTAGGGCCTGGCTAGATAGGTCAATTATCGGTCTCGACCAGGCACAGACAGATTATCTGAGTGCAACGTTGTATCCTCCCAACTTTGATGGCTCGCTCGGCTACGTTGATCAGGCCACTCGACAGATGGCGCTCTGGGAAGAGGCGGTCATTCTCTGCCACTTTCAGTCTTTGAATCAAGCTGTTGGCGGCAACAGCTACGCTTGTAAGTCAAACTCTGTTGTCTTATTTCTTTTGACCATTTTTTGATAAATAAAGAAAAAGAAGAAGAAGAAGAAGAACTAATTCCATCGCAGACGAATTCGGTATCCCGCCAGGTTTTCATACTCAGGATTTGAAGTATACTTTCAACGACCCTACGAGCCCGGTCCCATTCCCACAAGCACAGGATTTGATTCAGAGATCGATTGCTACTTTTGTCAAAATTGGAATACCCGTGTTGGACAGTAAGGAACAGACCTACCCCGTTTGGGGTTCTAATCACTCCACCCTCAAGGTCGCGGAGATAGGGGCGCAGGTCGGGAGAAGTGGCATTAACGAGACTAGGTGTACCTGGTGGCGCGATGTTTAATATGGGGGAATTTTCTTCTTCTTTCTCCTTCCTTCCACATTTCCCACTTCACTATTTTGCAAATTTTTGTTTTTTTATACTACTTTTCCTTCCATGAGGAAAAGACACAAAGAAAGTCTAAAAACACCTACAAAAAAGCCCCGCAGTTTTACCGCATAGCCAGATGCGGAGACTTGTACTGTTTTCTTATATACCTCAGCAATAGCATTCAAACAGGGCTGTGCGTTAACTTATCATGCGCCCGCGAATAGCTGCCCTTGTGTATTCATTATCATAGATCTCATGTAGAAATGGCTGATTATTACCCCGATGCCACCACCCCCACCCCCACCTACCGACGGCGCCCTGCACAAGCACTGTTAATGCACATTGGGTATGGCAAAGGCATATGCCCATACCTTACTTTTAGAGCCGTCGACGAATAAAATTGATAGAACTCTCATTATTACTAGGTAGCTTGACTATGATCAATCGTGTGTCCCCGTAAGTTTCCAGTGGGACAGGACCGTCGTGACTGGACGGCTAGTGCACCGGGAGTAGTGGAGATTAGTAGTAGTTATCTGTAGATCGTTGAAACCCCCGGGCGGAGTTACCCCGAGATTGACTATAAATCCAACGAATTCCCCTATACATTCGGCAGTGTCGGGATCATACCTAGTAACCAGCTCCTATAGATGGACACTAATACCTAAATAGTCATCTCATTACCCTTTTGAGCAATCCCACATCCCGAAGTTATGGACCATTTTGGGTCTTCCTTTTAGGTAGGTAGATACAGGTATAACTAGCACGATCATTATCTAGCAATGCACACCAGACAGCTTCATCTCTGCACCAAAGAAGACTCGGAGCAAGACTGACTTTAGTAGCATGGCCTCGCTAGACCAATCACGGCAAAATGCCGTACGTGAATTCTCCCAACAGCACCCCAATATCCCCTACGTCGTGCCGTCGTCGCCCGACTACGCGGCGCTGCGTGCCACCTTTATCGTGGACAACCCGGCGGTGCCAATCGCCATTGCGCGGCCGCAAAACGCCGACGACGTCGCCGCCATTGTAAAGTTTTGCGTCGCGCGCGACGTGCCGTTTGTCGTGCGCTCGGGCGGGAACAATCTATTTGGCAAATCGCAAGTCGACGGCGCCCTGACGATTGATATGCGCGATGTCCAGTATTGTCACGTCGACGAGAGCAAGACCTCTGCCAGGATCGGTGGTGGAATCCTCGCCGGTACTCTCGTGCAGAGTCTTTCCCAGGAGGGCGTCGTGACTGCTTCCGGTACTGTTCACTTCATTGGCTATGTTGGGTGGTCGACCTATGGTGGCTACGGTCCATTTTCGGCCAACTTTGGGTACGGTTTCGAACAGATTCTCGCTGCCAAGGTGGTCAACTCCACGGGTGAAATCATTGATGCAGATAGTGACCTGTTGAGAGGCATTCGAGGTGCTGGTGGTTCCTTTGGTATCATTGTGGAGATGACCATTAGAGTCCGCCCACTCACAAAGGTTGGCATGCTTTGACCTCGAATCCGCAATCGACCCAAATTGCAGAGTGCTAATAATAAATAGATCCTCTCTGGCTTCATGGTATATGACACCAGCAAAGTCATCAACACGGTAGCGACTTACTGCCAAGGTCTTCAAGGTCTACGTGACGACGGATGGCCAGACCCCCTGTGCGTGGCGCCTCTATTCTTATGCACTCCAGACGGTTTGAAACTGCTTTCGCACTTCATGTGGAGTGAGGATAATGAAGCAGCCGGCACAAGCTGGCTAGAGAGAGTCTCGCAATTAGGTCGAAATCTACACAACGGCGTCCGTCGGACGACAATTCTCGAGGCCATGGGCGATTTTAACAGGGCGATCCCACAAGACGGCCGTGGTTCCGTCAACACCGTTAGTCTGCGAAGGTTGACCGACGAGTGCATTGCCGTCATTGCCAAGTACGTCGAATGCATGCCCCGGTACGTGGGCAACGGCTTCGCCATTCATGTCGCACCCAAGCCGGCCCAAGCAAGTGTGCATGACTCTGTGTTTGCTGTAACCGAGGCACACTATATGCTTGAGCTTCTAGCCACGCCACGCTCAGAAGAAGGCTTACACGAGTCTCAGCGTTGGGGGGCAGACTTTGTCAGCGAGCTCTTGAAGACTGGATCGAGCAATATCCTTCCGTCCACGTATATCAACCTGACGCCGCCTGGTCGTACTACGTTGCAACAGGTCTATGGAGATAACTTCACGTCGGTCATGGAGCTGAAGGAAAAATATGATCCTCATGGCGTTTTCAAGCTGGCCACACCTTTCTCATATATCCCACCCGCCGACTCGGTAGAGAATGCATGCTGAGATGAAGGACTACTGGCATTTGCATCTACTTAGCACTGTTACTCCTATCATCGACCCTACTTCATCAATTTGGAGGGAATTCATCTTATTCCTTATTCTGAGAAGGCATACCATCGGAATTGCAGTTGCGGAATGCACATCATAGATACATTATATTGAGTCGTGTTGTAAAATCAATTAATGTCAATCGTTTGTTTCCTATAACTTCTAACTCGCATAGTTCTGTGAAGCTCGCTCTAGTACGTGAAAAAGAAAAAGGATTGCAAAACCCTTGAAAATCTTTTAATGCAGGCCCATCTCTCCTTCCCTTGCCATGTGCTGTTGGCATTGAACAAGGACCTTGACTTGTTCTCCGACTTGTTCTAGCCTGCCGAGCACCTTCTTGTTGGCATCTGTAAAGGTGAGAATGGTGTATGGGATATTGGTTTCCTTGCAGAACTCCTTGACAAACACCTGGGCCTTTCTGAGGTTGTGTCTGGGCACTCGCGGGAACAGGTGGTGCACAGCCTGGAACTGCAGTCCACCGTGGATAAAGTCCAACCAAGCCGGGCAGTCGACATCCATCGTGGTGCGTAGCTGGCGTTGGGGAAACGACTCGGTCTCACCAAGGTCCGAGGTTGGCATACCCCAATGAGACAGGTTGATCTGAATATGAAGAGGCATCGGTACGATGTGCGAGACGAGCACAAATGCCACGCGGATGGTCCAAGTGGGGAGAGCGCACCACACTAGGCAATATCCATAGAGAAACCAGTAACAGGCCATGAACGTAATCTCTGTTGGACGAATCCACCATGCCGTGGTGTTACCGAGCGATGAAGACTTCTTGGACAGGACGTGACCCCATGAGAGAAGGTAGAGATTGAACCGAGCAATGGCCATGACGGGATAGTAGGTATAATGCTGATAGGGGACCATGAAATCGGCCGCAGCGTCCCAAGCGAAGACAAAGCCATCGTAATAAGTCGATTTAATGGACTTGAAAAACTCCGGGCACACTGCAAATATAGGGACATTCTGAATATCCGGGTCGTGCTCCTGGTTGGGGTCAGATGTGGCACAAAATTATATATTCCAGACAACTTACAGGATGGTTTGTGATCAAATGGTGGACATTGTGACTCCTCTTCCACCAGCCCATGGAAAGGCCGCAGCAGAAATCAGCGATGAAGATGGCAATGAGGGAGTCGAATGAGAAGTTGTGCGTAATGGCGCCATCTAAAGAGGATAGGTTAGCAATGGCCTCAACGAGTTGATGCCTCAAGATGGCACTGTGTAGAGAGCAAACTGAAACTTACGTCCTGCATCATGTGCGGTGAACATGATTTGATGCCAGAAAAGGCCAATGAAGACAGCCGAGGTCATGTACCATTCATATCGTAGAGCCACGAGGAATGAGACAAATAGAGTCGTGTATCGAGCCATCTCCTTGCCGTAGTCGAGATACGGGCAGTTGTATAGGCCAGCATCTTGCACCTTCTGGTGTAATTCGCGGTATTTCTGCACGATATCGGCCTGCACCAGCGGGTTCAACGATGGATACTCGGAGATGTCGCGATCAATGTCATCTTGGATGCACTTTTCAGTCCACTCGGCAGCAGAGACTGTGGGGAGTGCAGATGTGCTGGCATCGTTGTCAGCATGGCTCTGGGCCTTTGCTGTTCGTCTTTTTGTGATAGTCTGATCAGCCGCAAGCTCAGCCGATGCATCGCCATCTACGCTGCTGCATTCCGAGGTGAGAGAGGTCCGATCCGAAAGATGCGACCGATCATCATCGGTGGTTTCAGCGTCGGCGTCGGCATCTGCATCGGTGCTGCTGGAATCGCTGACATCGTCCTCAACAGTAGCGTTTGTCGTTTCTTGCTTTGTGTAGACGCCGCCCCGGATGGGTGGTGTCATGTTAATCCAGGGTCCATTAGGTTTCCGGCCAATCCGGTAGGCCTTCATTGTCTTCAGTGTGGTCTCACTGTGGTACCTGCATTAGGGTGATCATATGTCAGCAATTGGTTCGTTGTTCGGATTTAGGGGATTTATGGATGCCCGACGCCCCGCGCGAAAACCGCGACAGCGAGAGCGAAGCGCGCCATGACATTTTATTAGACACGGCAACAGCCAACTCCGTCATTTGCAATCTTTCTCCTCCTTTTTATTTTTATGCGATGAAAAATCGTTGCATTCTTCCCCGTGACATGCCATAAAGGCGGGCGAATGAATGCAACTTTTCTTTTTCTTCCCTCTCGCGCTTGCAAGCTCCAAATGATGATGCCAGGCGATATCGTCACGGCCGAAGGAAATGGGATTTTGGGAAAGAGCACTCAACGGACACTTACACCTTGATCTCGTCTGTCGAATCCCGGCCAACCATGTGCAGGATGGCGAGACGTCCGCCAGGGTGTCGATTGAGCCATGAGTCAAGTCGCAGAACGTAATCTTCAAAAATGACCAGAGTTTGACCGTCGGCGATTTTGCTCTCGATTTCACACCGCGTAATGGTGCGGTCGCGATCCATGGTGGGCGATCGGCGATGTGATGTTTGAGAAGCGCGTGGGTTCCTCTCAACTCGTTTGCAAGGTGATTGTGAAGGGAGTGTTGCGTTGACTTGTGGTATCGACCTGTCGTCTAGGGAATCGAGTCGCGGAGTCGATTGAATGGCTAATCCTTTTCGCCAATGGATCGAATGCACTATGTGTTGAGCGACAGGAATTTACAAGTCGGAAAGAGGTAGCAGCGTCGCTGGGTGCTGATATGCAAGGAAGGAATGAATGATGGTCTGCTGCAGCACCACTCAATCACTTTCTTTGGTCAAACGAATGCCTCGGTCAAATGCAAATAGGGAAAGAAGGAAAGGACCGAAGAGAAAGGCAAGCGAGTAGGTCAACTTTTGATCAAACGGAAGCTGGTCGGCAAAGGGGATGGACAATGGCTCATGGAGACGACGCTGGGGGAAACTCAGCCAAGTAATTGGCGGCGGCGAATCTGTCAACAGGACGACACGTTTTTCTCCATGTCGATATACATCAACCAGGAGGATGGGGACGCAGCTAACCTAACAGTAGGCGTTTGGAGCGCACCATGTCCGACCATCCTAACCTACCTGGCATGCCCGCAACCCACCGCCCGCGGACGGAGGTGGGCATTGTGGCTTTTCGCCTGCGTGCTCAATCTCGCCTCCGTTTCTTGGAAGATTGGACAAAGAAAGAAGAACCGACGCTGGAGAGGGATTATTCGTACGCCTATGCCAAGTAGTGCGCCTAGGCCCCGACAATCGCCAAATCGCCAATCTCCAAGAGCTAGGGAACAAGCTATGCTCCAGCTGCCTACCTGTTTTGCGCACCTTTGCAGTTCAATATCCCCACCCCTGCTGCTCCATAGGGGACTGGCTGGTCTTGGCTCACGGCTATTTCCATGCTTTTCTTGGACCCCTACGAGACACACGGCTGGGTGGTCCAAAAATGGTTTGCCAGCCAGTGCCTTTCGTGGTACTTGGTAGCAGATGAACTGTCCTCAAAGCCGACACAATCCATGCCGATCATAACAGTAATCTTCTCTCAACAAATCGTACATGCATCGAATGGACCATCGACTAAATCATGCCATCTTCAAAGATGGCGGGTGTCCAAGGTAGCACATGCCAAGCGGTTTGGTAGACTGATTACTATGCAGGTGTGGTAGGCGGGTTACAGCACCTTAAGCGACGAGCTGTAGCTCGTAGATTGGATTCATTCTCCATCGCCAGATACGCAGCTGATGAACGAACCCCTTTACGTATTCCATGCATATGACGTCCGTGGAACTGGGACCAAGAAACCAATCACAGAAGCTACTGGCGCTACCCCGCGGGCCTACATATTGGCGTCAACGTGATACGTACATCCCCTGTCTGCGTTTAGCTGCTAGCTCAGCTAGGGTCTTCAACCAAGAATAAAAGCCAAAAAAAAAAAAAATCCGAAAAAATACTTCGAGAACCCGAGGATTAGAGAGGAACGGCTCCATACTGTTACGAACATCGTTACGAACTGACTAAGTTTTAGTGGGACAGGACCCTGAGAAAAGAGGAGAACAAGAGGGCAATGCCGTTATGACCAGCCAAGTTTGTACGTAACCATGCGCCAGTCGTACTGGCACGATAGTAAGAGCCTACGAACTACTGGCCACTTTGATGGCGACGACTCGTGGCTTGCGCACTGAAAATCTCATCATCAGACCTCCTTATTTTATCTACAGAGGTAGTGTACTACTATGTAGGCCACGAGCCCTGCCTGTTTGTACGAAGTATGTACTTGGCATGCATCCTTTGTAGGTACGTACAGAGTTGCATGCCACGTGGTTGAAAAACCAGACGCATCTCAACCGTGAGTGGCCAGTTTCTGTGATTTTCTTGTAAAAAGGGTAACATTGATAAAGGAGAGACAATAGAGTCCCTGACGATCTGGGCGTATTGCAGACGTTTAGAATCTTTTTCTTGATCTCGCCATGAAACAGAAAAAGTTGGACCTTGGATGGAAGGTAGATCTCCCCCTGAGCCATTGGACGAGTCTGGACTCGAGACCCTCCCGATGTAGCTTGGAGAGATCCCATCTAAATTTCACAGATTGGGGCGCAGGCGGAGCTCCGGCTCACTCTAGGACTAGCTCTGCCGTAGCCCCAAACCCCCGCAGCAAATAGGCCGCCTACCTAGCAACAGCAACGCACCAATTGGCAGCATTTTTCCGGCACGAGACCCCTATATCATCCTAGATCGATAGTATATTCTTGCTGCTCCATACGAGGAGATTACCTAATGTTGCACCTGGACCGGTTTGTGTCATGGAGAAAGAATCTCGTCATTAAGACGTAGCATTCTACATGGTTGGAGCGTCCAAAACATTGCATCGGGGAGATTTGAAAAATAATAACAAAAATGAGGGAAACGCAAGAGTGAATGGAAAGTTGAGACTAGCAACCGGTCTGGAATTTTTTCCGTGTCAGTCCTCATTACCTAGGGTCGATCATCGTGGCGACAGTCCGAGAATATCGCATTTCCTTAAACGTCTGCCTAGTTGTCTAATTAGGTACATGCGCGCGCAGGCGCCAACCGGAGACGGCTGATTTTGGATATCACGCATGCATGTGGCCACGGCCATGTCACAGTGGAGGTTAATTGCAACCGGTTTATTAGGTGGTTCTGGAAAACGAAGAAGAACACCTTGTCTCGTTGATACAACTCAGCCTCAAAGATCACCGCCGGAATGTAGATCATGCCACACTGCTCGGACTTTCTCTCGCATCTTTCGCATCCGGGCCGTAAATACTGTGCCAGTTTCAACTTGTGCGCATCACTGGAGCCCCCGGGGAACCTGGTGCCGTGCCGAGTCAACCCTCTTTCACCTCCTGTGTACATTACTAGCAGCCCTGGAGCTAGATAGGGATAGGTACCACAGACCAGACCGCCTTCATTTTAGCGCCCACATACATAGGGAAGTGCAAAGAAGGTGATCAGTGATGAGATCATGTCGTTCTTGGTCAACGTAAGCAGCTTTTTTCTTCTTCTCTATCTGGAAGCTAAATGAGATTCTTTTTCTTGACAGAAATCATTCCTGGTGTCTTGCTGAATCTTGAATGCAATCAAACGCAACAGGTCTGGGTCTTTCGCGGGCATGGTGATTGGCACTAAGAGTCGTGGCCAGTCAGGCGGGTGCAGACCGTACAATGTCCACAGGTACCTAGCAGCGATGCTTTTTTGACGTGCAGGACGTTCAAAGTTCAACTGTACAATTTTCCCATGCAACAGCCCCATTTACTTGTCTGATAACAACAACACATCTCCCCATGAAACATCTTCTGATTTCCTGCCTCGCGCTCGCCAAACCTACGGCTTCCTATTTGGTTTTTGTGCGCTGATTGTGAACGCCGATAGGACGGTCGGGCCAAGCTCAGTCCGCCCTGGCAAGAAGGACCTTTGCGCCACAATCAAGTACCTGTACACTGCAATCACAATGCGCCGACCCAAGGTTTTCATGGCATATATACCATGTCACCGTACTGGAAACCCCGTCTACTGTGTAAGAGAAATCAGCAAAAGTGGGTTTCGCGGCTATGGTGATTGATTGCCTTAATCGACACAAGTGTACTTCAATTGGCAGGATGATACACACGGGTGCTAATGAGTAAACACATATACACAATGCTCGACCTTCGTCATCATGTAGCATTTTGGACCAAATTGGGCCGTGTCAAGTTGAAGTAGAGTTCTAACAAACAACTTGATAGATGTGCTCCAATTCGCTTCCATGTTTGACAAAAACCAATTGCTGATTGAGGACCAGTAAGCAATGAGCCAATCAAAATGTGGCTGTCATGTCCCAAGAAAGAACATCGGTTTTATTATAACATCATGGCATCTTCCACCGTTTTGAGACTATATTTTCCATTAATGACATGGACTTTTGCAGATTTGACTACGAATAAACCTAGAGCAGCAATGGTTATATCCAGGGGCAGCAGCGAGATGGAACAAGGGAAGAAAAGGAAATCAAAAGCACCATCTACCCGCTTCAAGAGTGAACAGTATCTCGACGGAATAGCTAGAGCTCCCTGATATACAGCACGTCTGCCAACCCGAGTGTATTTGGTATGAAACACAACTCAGCAAAGCATGTCCCGAAAGCCACCTCAGTTTTCGCACATACCAACGAAAAAAACACTTCCAAAATAATCAAGTGAGGTATGAATATATGGCACAGAATTAGCAACTGTATGACTTGCCATAAAGACATTTCCGCTGAACGGGACTCTTCTCATGAACCAAACACTCCGCTGGGATCCCGCGAGGCGAAGGAGGCAACGGCATTTTGCAAGACATAACACATTAGTTTCACTAGCGGATGAATACAGTGGACAGAGGCTTTTTTCGACGAGGACTCTTAACTATCTTCCTTGGAAACTCTGCCTTCAGTCTGTTCTCCCAACATAGCCACGTCGCCCGCTCTCCTACTATTTCTTGGACCTTACTCATCTCTTCAGCGTCAGCACACCAGGTCGATAAGGCAAAAGACCGTAATCGCCGCTGCTCGAAGGACTGCGGCCCTGGTAGAGCAGCTGCAGGTTGCACGGATCAATAGTAAATGTCTGGTCCGGGTTGGTGCGGACCAAGTCGCCGTGGCTAATGTCGTTGGTCCACGTCGCACCGCTGTTGGCCTTGCCGGCAAACGGGTTGCTCTCCGTCGCGGCCTGCGCCGTCCAGGAGCCGCCCAGGCTCGTTGCCGTGAACGAGCGGAAGTAGCGTCCGTTGGACCCAATGGCCTCGACAATCATGAGGTACTGGTTCGAGGAGACCGTGTATACCTGGACTGCTTCAAACAGATTGTTTGACGAGTCGCTCATGACGACCGTCGAGGCCGTGCCAAAGCTGCCAGGGAAATTGCCAATGGCCATGCTGGCCCGGTAGATGCTGCCATTGTCTCCGGCAAAGAACAGATACATGTTTGTGGAGTCTCCAATGAGCGTTTGATCGATAGCTCCTGTGCCGCTACCAGAAATGGTTCCCGTGAACAGCGGCTGTGCTGACGACCATCCATTCGCATTGGTCGGGTCGCTTGAAGTCCGGTAAGAGAAAGTCGTCGGACCCCACTGATGGGCGAGGATCCAGACGCTCTTGGGCGCAAAGTAGAAGATGGTTGGCGCCACGGCGCTCGAGGTCATCTGCGTCTGGCTCGCCGACGCCATGCCACTCCAATCGCTAAAGAGACCAAAGGCCATTGAACCCCAGGTAGAGCCGGTGTCATGGTACGTCGCGTATACGAGGTGCTGGCCATTGTACACAACAGTGGTAAAGTCCTTGAGCGAGACCCATCCAGATTTTGGAGTGGCCAGCGCCGCGGTCGAGTTCCAACTGTAGGTTGATGGAAGCGAGCACGACTGCGCCACGACGGTCGTCAAGGACGCGATGCTGGCGGCAAGGTTCGAGAATTTCATTGCGGCGAATGCTTCAGATTGACTCGCAGATCAGAATTGCATGCTAATAGAATGAAAGACGACATCATTAGAAACGCTCGTCGACTTTATACATGCCCTTTTGCTTTGCCACTGCACTAACAAGAAGCAGAGAATCTCTAATTCCCATATGCTCTTGCCTAAGTGGAGCGGTTCATCAAGACGCCTCAAAAAGAAAACAAAACCAAAAATTTCCAGCGGCGGAATTTTATGATTCCATCGAAATCTTAGCATCTCAGCGCGGACCCTACTGCCCCATGGGCTCACGATGAGCATACAATGTAGCATCACAACATCTGAAGACGGGATGATGCTGGATCTCGACACTCATTTGCGGGGTGCATAGTCGACGGCAGGTCCCCGATGGGGCAGTTTTACCATTATCAATCTCGTAGCTGACCTCAGGTAATGCAGGTACCTAGGTAGTCTAGATGCAACCCGGAAAAAGTCAGTCGGAGAATTGCAAGTCTTAGTCCAATCATTTCATGGCCATGGTAACATCGGTCAACTTGGCTCCGTCAATGGGTAATTTCACGGGTAATACGATATGCACTAATTCTCATGCGCGCCAATGGGCCTTCAATTTCGTGTTTCTCGTGTTGATCGTATTTGTCGGATCATTCGGATTGGACTACAAAATATGATTTTCATGAGTGCATACAATGACTGTTCATGGGACATCGTCTATCCCAACGTAAGCTCCTGCGCCATGATGTGGACTACTAGCATCGACGGCATCGCTAGTGGTAAACACTAACCCTTGAGCGTATTCTGGCGCTGGAGAAACATGTCCCATCAGCTTCTCTTCTCAGAGAGAAAGTTTGCATCCGTGTCAATCTGGGTTATAACAGACCGGGTAAGATGTCATATGACATCAAGTCCACAATGCAGACAAGCGGTCGGGTCTCATCCTTCCCTAGAGCTTTCTTTCTCTGTGCCATTGGACCCATGATAAATGACTGCAGCTTGTTGGAGATGCTGCGTGAATTATCCCTAAAAAGAGCTTTTGGTTGTTGATACTTTATCATGTGCGAGCTTGATCTTGAGTTTCCCACTTCGACAACAATTCCTGGCCGAGTGACTTTGTGGGCCAGCCACAGCGGTCTCGTCTTTCGGACAACATTTCTAGCACCTCATTGCGTTCTCTTTGACTTTCAATGTATAGACCAGCTAGCTCAATCAACCTCTGTATTCTTCATAGTTGGCTTCGATCGTCCACTCACCAATGTACAAGCACTGTGATGATAAAACACTGGACTCGTAATCATCTTGCATCTTGGCAATGCCGCAGATCATCCTGATACACTTTGAGAGCAATCTGCGATGTTCGAGATACTCACTCATCCCTCCCAACAGAGGTCGCTCCAGGGCAACTAGTATCAATGAGCAGTAGTATAGCTGCATAGAAATTCCTGTCAAGGTGAGCGGACTGCAGCCTTGGAATGAATATCGATGTCTTACCAAATGTGGATGGATGGATCCAAACAGCAGGAAAAATCGCGTCCGCTTCTGTCTCAGGAGCGGGAAGAGGCTCAAATTCGACTGTGAGATGCTGTCTCCAATCTTCCAGCATTTGCAGTATGTGATCAGCTTCAAGAACTTTTGCTGTCAAGTCGTTTTCGCCGTCTTCATCGTGACCCGTCTTAGAGCAGAAGCCCACAGCTTGCGCGAAGAAATAGACGGACCTAGAAGCCAGCTCATGAGGATCCAACTCGCTCAGTCCCCTAACCGGCCGCCAAAACGTGAATGGTTTCCGCCTTTCTCGGAAGGCAGCCCACACATCTTGGCAGAGCCAAGCCCACCAAACCGCTGCTCTCAAGCCCTTCGAGTCGCCATGTATGGTCTGAGATCGTTGTATCCAAAAGACACCTTGTAGATGGCGCTCCCAGTTGACGCTTTCCCCGTCAAGCATCTCATAAGTTGAGATAACCAACGTCGTCGAGAGGAGTTCCAAGCTTGTTTTATATGTATCAAATTGCATCGCTTCTTGGACGTAACGTAGTGTCTTGTAATAGTACTGTATGGCATCCACTTGCTCAAAAGACTGCGATTTTTGTAATTGCGGAGCCGTGGTCGATCGTACAATGGAATACCGCGCGGCGAGGCAAAGAATAGCGTTCATCAACCCTACATTGTGCATCTTTTGAAGTTGAACATTCCGTGCGACCAATACTACGAGAGAAAAGATGACTTACTGCTAGCCGTGGTACAAATGTTCCAAACGATTTTTTAGGATCAAAAAAGTCCATCTTACATGTAATTGTTAGTCATCGGTTCCATCTGTCCATGTTGCGACGTTGGAACGAAGATTGATTGAATGAAGAAATCAAACATGACGAAATCATATGGCCAACTCACCCAACGACTGATATGCCTCACAAAACTCTGGAGCAGAAGCTTCTCATGCGGGAGCAGTTCAATAATATTTTCTGAGTGCCAAGCTTGTTTCTCTAGCATCTGTTCACCCCCAAGCTTGATGAATCGCTCCATCAAAGCAGGATTGGGTTGAGCCGATGCTTCCGACTGATAAACTCCATTTGGCTGACTGGTGGCTGAGGTCGTTGGAGGGACAGTAGAATTTCCAAAGATGTTAATTCCTGCACCTTCCTCATTGATTTCGGATAAAAGGCCGTTGGCTGTCACATCACCAATGAGAAGCCCAAGCCACCTGGCTGTGGCAGTCTCAACATTGGAGCCATTCGACACGGCTGTGCGTACGGCGACCGAGTCGGTGATCCCATGTTCAACATGAGCAGAGGACCGAGGAGCGATGTCTTCATGGTGCGGCCCAGCTGAGATGCAGTTCGAAGGACTGTCGGTGGCGGATGTAACATCGTAAGGAGCGTCGTGTCCCTTGGGCGTGGCCCAGGTATCTCCTGCCTTACGAGTAGATTCAAATACCAGCCCGTCATTGTTGCGGCATATCACATACTGATTGGGGCTGGTAATTATCGAGGGCCGAGCCTTCTCACAAGCGTCTCCCAGGTTGCAGCACGCGCAGTGGGTGAGGGGCGGTGAACCATGATCTATCGTCAGCTCATCTCCTAAGTGTGAAGCCGCGGGACTTGCTGCTGCTGCTGCTGCTGCTGTCGCGACCGCTTGCGCGGGAACATTCGTGGGCTTGGGTGTGCTCAACTCCCGTATATCCTGTCGGTGCTGCTGCGACTCGTAGGAACAGGTCCGTTTACTCTTGATACAATTGCTGCAAGAGGGCTTGTGTTCGTCGCATTTGACACGGCGCCTGCGACAAGTTGCACTGTTTGTGATCAGACCATTGTTTTCCCACAATCACAGGCGAGCATTGACTCGTGGTGCCAGCAAACTCACCAACCAGTCGTCTTCCGCAGCCCTTTGCCTCGAGACAGCCGACCTCTGGTGAATCGTTTCTCTCCATCCATGGTTGTGTTGGAGCAATTCTCAATATCCACAGGCCAAGAGTCGCCTGTGGCCAAATGATATTGCTGAAGTTGTTGTCCGGGCGCATGACCACGCACGACCTAGGCAACCCTACCACATGCAAAGAGCACCGATGCGAATTGTAACTAAGGTAGCTTAGCGCTCCGCTAGGCCCAGCGTACAGCGATCCCCACACGCCAGGCTGTCACCCTCAAATGTTCTCCGTGGGGCGTGGGGTAGCATTGCCTCTACTTTTTCAAAGGATTGAGCTGTTCTTTGCAATATAAATCTCAATATTGCCGTTTGCAAGTATACGACCATACGCACTAGAATACACATAATCCTATTACAATATGTTTTCACTTGATGCCTAGCATAATGCCAACTTTAGCAAATGTACTAGCAGTTGTGATCGACTTACTCCCACTCAAACTCCGACGATTGGTAGACTCGTCCATAACTTGGCCCATTCATGATAATGAGGGCGCGGGGCTCCGCGGCTAGCGTATTTTTTTGCCCTTTTCTCTTTGGCGATTCGACCTGCCAATTAAGGCGCCCGGGCGTAAAGTGCCTGGGCATCCTCTAGGCGGTCTGTAGCCCTTCACTGGGCAGCGCTTAGGGGCTCCAAAGGGTAAAGTTGCCAAGAGAGCAGTATTTACTCCCATGGATGTATTACACCAGCCCGTAAAAGCAACAGCTTCCCTGCAGATTGCAGGTCAGCGCGACCCTGCCCATAACTCTCTCGCTCCCTAGGCACTTCTCAATCATGGACGTCTTGCCTTGTCCGACAAGTCACTTTGCATCTTGCAACAAATACGTTTTTCGGTCTCTGATGAGATTTGCAGAGTCCTGAGTTCCTGAGCCACGATGAGTACACCGCAAGCCTTTGTCCAGGATCCCCGATTTGACAGGGTCTTTGTGCTACCAGCAGATTTGCCCAATGGCCGCGCAAACCCGTTCACTGTCCAGTATAGCGACTACGGATACCGAAACGAGGAGGCCCCTGAAAACGAGAACGTCTTCCTCTTTTTTGGCTCATTGTTAGGATCGCGACTAGTTCATGTTGCCAAGGACGAGCTTGCCAAGCAGCACAGAATCCGAATCATCAATCCAGACAGGTAAAGATCCGGGGCCATTTCCACCCTCCCTTTAAAAGCTATTACCAGAGTGAATATGTCCAGTTGGCGGCGTTCGAAATTCTTTGACATATATCTTGAAACCCCCCCCCCCCCCCCCCCCCCCCCTCCCCCCACCAAAAAAAGAAAAAAAAAAGAAGAAGAAGAAGCAATAGCTAACTCCGAGTGTTGCTAGACCCGGAGTGGGCGGTACTGATATCGTGAAGCCGGAGTGCTTAATGAGTCTATGGCGAGGTATTCCAACAGCCCGCGCTGTCCTTAATAGTATGGCATGCTCTGACAAATACTTTATGAAACTTTAGAGACTATTCTAGCACTACTCAGACATCTGGATATTAAATACGTATCCATCGGATGCCATAGCGGAGGCACTATATCCGCGCTTGACATGCTGGTTCATCACCCAGAAATACTCCCCCCTGAAAACCCCGGCTACATTGCCATCGGATCACCGTGGATCTTGCCTTCACATACCGGATCAACAATGATGTCCATTGTTGAATGTTTTCCATCCAGTGTTATTGGCCAGGTTGATAAGATCGCAAGGCTCATTAACAACCATGTCGGTCCCATGGTTGGCCTCAGCGTTGGGGTGAGCTACGCCATGGTGAACAAGCTAATGCCGTCGCCAGCTCTTGAAAGTGCTGGGAATTCGCATACCCAGAGCAGCCGCACATTCGAAGAGAGAGTATGGCCAGAAATTATCCAGCGGATTTACGATTCAAACATAAAAGGAATGTCAACCGATGCTATCATGTTCTTGCAAAAGGGCTGTTTTAGCCAAGCGGGATGGGGCGACTGGGGCGACTACGACAAACTTGTTCCACGGTTGAGCCAAATTCTCCGCAGTACCGGCCGAAACCTCAGAATTGATGTGTTCCACGCCGAGAGCGATTCTCTTGTTGGTAATGCTGGTTCAAGGGGATCTCTGTGGTTTGATCAATGTTGGCAAGCAGGAAATGAGGATGTCATTAACTACAGTAGCGCGAAGGTTATCGGAGCAGACCACGATGGAGTATGGAGCTTGAAGTGGAGTGCAGTGCACACGGTGTTTGAAAGGATCAATGGGAAGGTCGAAGATAGGTGATCGGAAGGGCTTTGCTACCGTCCCTGGTCATCTCCATAGTAGTTCATCCTAGACTAGACGGATTGCGTAGGGTATACATGGCAAAGTACATTCTTCTCTGTTGGTGTCAGTGTGATTCGACCATCAACAGGATGGACAACTAGTATAAAATCTGCATGTCTGATTTGTTCAGCGCACGCATGCACAAGTTTTGCCCACAAACATTGTCATCCAGGCATAGATCACACAGGAATCAAGAACAGGCCCTCATTCTTTCTACTCCTGGAATGTGACTAGATCCCATCAAACAGTACACCCGGCTTGATCCTTTTTCTTCTTTGTCCTCTCGATCAGCCGAATCAATCATCGTTCTCCGGCCTTTCATTGGGGCCCCCGGGGTGGTCAGTATGTGCCCTCCAATAGAGCTGTGTATCCCAAATTTGGAACGCTCGGCGATCATGGGCTTCAGGGTCAGCTCCCCTTTCCAAAAGCCATTCGACCCAGGCCCATTCTCGCAATGAAACTGTGTGGGATAAGGGTGTCACCGGGACAGATCCGCCCGCGGAAATAATGCTATATGCCTTGATAATATAATTTCTAACGGCGGGAAGCCATGGTCAGCCACCTTTCCAATAATACTCGTCTGCTACCAGCAGGCCTTTCGCGTTCAAAGTTGGTTCGTACGCATCTAGGAATCGTATGTGCAGTCTGGCACGATGAAAAAAGATATTTCACTCACTTGTACCTAAGCCCGTTTATATCATCCCCGATACTGAGCATGTGCTCGGCCATGGCATAACGGCTCGCAGTCTCCATACTATGGAATCCCCCGATAAGACGGTGCAGGGAACCTCCGTATTCGGGCTTCGCGCCATGGGATACCAAAAGGTCAACCGCCTCGGTCGATCCCATCTCGACGGCCGTGTGAAGTACATCCCCCGATTTGCGCTTTATTGGGGCCATCCAAGGATAGTGCAAAAGCGCCTCCGATACGTAGACTTGACGGGCGATAGTCGGATCGGCGCCGTGCTCGAGAAGGAGTCGCGGTAATTTCCAGGTCTTCTATGCAGCGTTGGTAATGAATCGCGACCCTATTCTTTACAAAGGTTCTTTTGCGCCTGCCCTTTTCCTCGGGTACGAAAACCTGGTTAGGATGCCACCCATTGTCCAGAAACGCTTCAAGGAGGTCCTTCAGCTTCGGACTGCTATAAGAGAATATGCTTCGTTCCTCCTCAGGGGGCTCCATGTCGTCTTGTATCACAAAAGCCCGGGTATGCAGTTGCGTGCTCTGCTCTTATAGGAAATAACGCACGACTGGGATTTGAAAATTATGTGAGGCCTTCTCTAGGCCGTATTGTAGGTTGGCGTGCTGAACCTTGGAGCTTTGGGCGTGAATCCGAACTAATTCGAGGTTTCCGCGAGCGCAATAATCGTAAAACGCCAAGAACGCATCGTCTTTGCTATAGCTGCTTTGCCCGTCAACTATATACTCGGGTGACGAAAGCTCTGGGGGTATTGGAGGCAGGTCATTATATTCGTCCAGAATCCTGCATTTCTCCCAATCGCGCAACTCTTGTTGCGTCATTTTATTGAGCTGTTCTCGAGGGAGCTCCCAAGAAGCGGTGTTCGCCGTGTTGTGCAGCGAGCCATTTCGCACACTGTCTTTCGAGGCAGGCTCCATTGAAATGGCAGCATGATTGTGCGAATACTATGGGTGAGTCGGTGTGGAGATCTACGGGACCCCAAAATATGACCGCGTGATGGAGGGTTTGGAGAATATGCGGTCATAACTGAGAAGAGTCAGAAAAACGAAGCGGGTTGGTGACCCTAGTCGCTTATATAGGGTGAGACGACAATATACTTACCTAGGTTAGGTAGGTAAGTAAGCACCTGCAGAGTGGCGCGCCTTGGCGACACCAACATTCTCTGGCAGTTAATGTAGGATAACTGTTGGTCCCAAGTGGATTTGGACAACAAAACATAACGCTCAATACCATGTAGTCGGCGACATGAAACCAACACTCGAAAGAGGGTTTTCGTGATGGCAAGTCAGCCATGAACCAGCCACATCCCAAAACATATTACCAGGAATACAGCCTTATGGCATCTACAGAAGGTTATGGGGTGATGCTATGTTCTTGGCTATATAAGGCTCGGCAGTGATCTCGAATTTCTCGGCAACAACTTGGCAAAATTGGGATTTGGATTAGATTTTTTATCGACGCAACCATAACCTACCATTTCGAATGTACACCTCTCCGGGCTAGCTCTGGGTCCACATGGCATAGAAATGACTATATTTTGCCAATAAATATGGCTTTGCCCTGGAAGCGTTACTTCGGGAGGGAGTTTCGAAATTTGGAGAAGATGCATTATCTGTCACATCCCCATCTGCTCCGCCCTGTCCTTGCTTTTGAACAAAGAGATGACCAATTTTGTGTTTCCTTGAGCAGAGGGTGGTAACCGCCGCGATTTCTGGAGATCGCATGAGAATGGAGCATCAGTCAAGTGGGTGTTGGAACAGATGCATGGATTCTCTCAAGGTATGTTGCTGTTATATAACCAGAATGGGCGCCATGGCGATATAAAGCCAGAGAATGTCCTGCGATTCCGTGGCAAGACTTCCGACGAGGACACTCTCGTTGTAGCGGATCTCGGCTTGGCAAAGTTCTACGAGTCAGTGACAAACCAGCGGGATCATGCTTCATCGATCAGTGGCAGTACGGAGCGGTACGAATCTCCCGAGATGAATGTTGATGACCCGCTGCGTCCCCGATCCCGTCGCTACGAAATGTGGTTGATCGGTTGTGTTTACTTGGAGTTCATAATATAAAAACCTTCCGTCCGTATTTAATGTCAAGGCGCATCATTACAGGTTCTGAAATTTCACAGACGGGAAGTTCGATGAGTCCGAAATGAGAGGGGGTGCCAAGCGTCAGCGCAGTTATCGCATTAATGCTTTTGCTGGTTACTGGATGTGATTGAGCTAATATTTCCAGTACGGTAGTGATTGTGCTCAATGCTGATATTTCACAGATTGGAGCAGATTGCTTTAATGAGACTTTTGTCTATGGGATGGTAAATCCACCGTCAATAACCAGATTTGAGCCCGTCATATAGCAGCATGCGTCACTGGCAAGAAAGACATAAATCTAGACATGGTTAAAAAAGCCAGAATAACCTCGTCGCCGATTGATGAGAACTTACACCCTTGAGCTCAGCTGGTTGACAAATACGGCCCCCTGGTATCTGGGCCAGCCACTTGCTCAACAGCTCTGGGGGCTGCCTTGTCAACACTAGAGCCATCGTCAGCAGTCTTGTTGCTAGCGCTATTGCAAACCAAAGAGATGTGACACCTACTTTCAGTCATGATGTACCCGGGGGATACGCAGTTAACCCGGGCGAAATCTACCCACTCGACTGCCAGACTCCGAGCTAATTGAACCACGCCCGCTTTTGATGAGTTATACGCGGCTTGCACCTGAGGTGTATTCACCAATGTCGCGCTGACTGATGCAGTGATGATGAGGTTTCCTCTGCCCTGCTTCTTGAATAATTTCCCAGAAGCCAGAGCCGTCCACATGACGCCATCGTAGTTGACGCCGTTCATGTGCTGCCAGCTTTCCTCGGTGTATTCCAAAGACGGGACGTTGGCACACACGCCAGCGTTTGCGACGACAATATCAACGTGTCCATTGCCAAATTCATCAGTTATCTGATTAATCGTAGCGGCGATGCGCAAACGGTCCGTCACATCAGACTGGTACGCCCGTACCCTTTGGCCAGTCTTTGTGGCCAATGATGCAGCTGTGTCGTTTGCATCAAGCCTCGAATGGTATATAAAGGCAACGTCGGCGCCGGCCTCTGCCAAGCCAGTCACGATTTGAAGACCAATACCGCGCGAGCCGCCCGTGACGATAGCGATCTTGCCTTTGAGGGAAAACTGAGAGAGAACGGGAATGTTCACATCTGAAGGCTGATAAAGAACCATTGTGTTACGTGGTCTTGATGGGTATGGTTGAAAGAATGTGATGAAGCGATTGGAGCGATCCCCTTCAAGTTGTTGTTAATTCATGCACTTATCCTTGATATATAATGGTAAGCATCTTTCTTCAACAGCATGAAAAGGCTGGTAAAAGATGACCCAAGCCCTCGAGACGACGGCTTTTCCATCCACGGGTGATTCTATATCGTGATAAAATGGACAGTAATTCTGGCCATAATGAGGTTCTCTAGGGAGACAAGATCCGTACGACCTCTGAGTCCACATGGCATAAAATCGACTACATTTTGCTAATGAATATGGCTTCGTTTACCCTCGAAGCGATCTGGACCCTCGAGCCGGGCGTCACGAAAGTGATAGAGTGCGTTAGGATCTATTCTGAATATCTCATTTGGACAGGATTCTTTGTCGCATGTGAACTAGCCACCATGCTGAAGCCTGTTAGCTCTCATGTGTTTTCACCACACAAGATTGGAGCTAAGTGCTAATGCTGTCGCGCAATTCATCCCTTCTTGGTTGAGCTACTGTACCTACAGAATTGCATCTAGATGATTGCTGTTCATTATGATCTTGATCAGGTGTCTAGATTTTCAATAATGCACCCTTGACAGTGGGCGCTAATTGAGCACGCCACAGCCTATGTTCATTGAGGATGAAGACCTCGCCGTCTCGCCCGAAACAAAAATTTGCACAACCACCATCAACCAGGATCTTGCCCAGGAGAAACCCACCAGGCGACCAGACGTTGAGCCCGTCGCCACACCCACTATATACATTTCCAGTCATATCACACTTGATGCCGTCAGGGATACCGGCATCTGCCATGGCAAATAGCCGCCGGTTCACCAGGCTCGGTTGGCCATGGTACTGCACAATATCGAAAGCGTATCTGCAGACGATTTCTAGTATAAGCAAATCCACAATCAATAATCACGTGGTCACAGTGGCATTACGTACATTGACGACACGCGAGAATCATCAACTGAGCCGTCTCCATGAACTCTGTCTGTGTCTGTTACGTATAGTGTCGTTTCGTCTGGCGAAAAGCAAAGCCCATTGGGCCGACCGAAGCCATCTGCCATGGCGCGTATGCCCTGAGAAGATGGATCGTATCGATAGACCTGACTTGGCAAGGAAGGCGGGGGTCTGTAGCCTTGCTCGAAACCATATATGGGATCTGTAAACCATATACTGCCGTCCGATTGGACGACAACGTCATTGACGGAATTAAAAGGTCGGCCAAGGAAGCTCGTGACGACAGGGGCGGTATCGTAAGGTGGCTTGCTGGCCATCCGAAAAAGCCCGCTGGGCGCGGTCATTGACCCCTGAGCGCAGAACAGGATCCCGTCGTGGAAATTGACGCCGCCATTGGCCATTTGAATTAACTCATTCGAGATTTCTTCGCGAGTCATGCGGCCTGTTGATCTGTCCAGCACGCATTTTGAGATTTGGACCTTTCTTTCCCCCGAGGGACCAGAGAACTGGTTACTGGTGATGAAAAGCTCGTTGGTGTCAGGGATGAAAACGCCAGCCTCGTGAGCAAATGGGTACTCGTCTACCTCGATGAGGACATGCAACTGTGGGCTGGGTCCCAGAATACCTTGAAAAGCGTCGTCATGTTGTCTCACCCAGCTTTGTGCCATGTTGTTTAGTATCCGAATCTTTGAGATATCGAGAAAAGGCGATTCTGCAAATCGTGCGCCGTTGGTCGCTCGGTCTGCTGTCCTAATTACGCGGTCGTCACCACGAGTCGAGCAGAATTTGTACACGGCTGAAACCAGGATGCAAGAAAAGCCCTCGTTGCGAGGCGCAATCAATCAAAGTTCAACGCGGGGTTCGACCCGCATGCGGGTCTCGCCATGCACTATGCCCATCGCGCTGCAAGCGCAGTGACGATTGCTTGATCCGAGACCGAGTTTGTATATTCTTTGGCAATCATACCGGCTGTTAAGCGAGTGGTGTAGCGGCATCGGTAAGTGTCTACGCTATTTCATTTATTGCCATTTATATACTCCTGGATATACTTGGGAAGTAAGATTTCGTCAAATTGGCATCGTGCCGTCCCCTATCAATGTTACAATCAAATGATGGCTGAATTTAAGGACTGGAAAAAACTCAACAAAACAATCCAGATTTTGGAGGCTGCCGAGAAAGGCGGATATGGTGTCATTGCCGCCATAGCATACAACATAGAACATATCCTGGGATTCGTGCGCGCAGCCGAGAAGGCAAAGTCGCCTATCATCATACAGTTCTTTCCTTGGGCCATCACTTTCTCAGATGGACTCTTGGTTCGGACTGCGGCCGACGCGGCGAAGCGGGCTTCTGTGCCTGTCGCCATTCATCTAGATCATGCGCAGGACGAGAACGTGATCAAGCGAGCGGCCGATGATCTACCATTCGACAGTATCATGGTAGATATGTCGCACTTTGACAAGGAGGAAAACGTGAAGAAAACCGCTCGATGGGTGCAATATTGTCACGATCGCCACATTGCCACCGAGGCAGAGCCGGGCCGGATCGAGGGTGGTGAGGACGGCGTTATGGACACGGCTGGCTTGGAGGCTAGCAAAACGACACCTGAAGAGGTTGACGACTTTATCAACACGGGCGTGGACGCCTTGGCACCGGCTTTTGGCAATGTGCATGGTGAATACGGGCCTCAAGGGCCAGATCTCGACTTTGTTAGGTCAGTAGGAACATATGAGACAATGAGCTATGTCAAAGCTGACTGCTTCATACAGATTTTCAAGCATCAAGAACCAGGTTGGAGGCAGAGTCCGCCTAGTGTTGCACGGCACCAATGGATTTAGTGCCGAGACCATGTCTCAATGCATTGCCGCTGGTGTTTCCAAGATCAATGTCAACAGGTTGGTGCTTGACGACTACTATGCTCACCTTCGCTCAGAAGTGTGCAACTTGTCGCACACGTCCTTGATTGAGCAGGGTGTAGACAAGGTGATAAAGCAGACCATGCAGTGGATGGAAATATGTGGGTCAGTAGGCAAAGCAACAATTGAGTGTTGAATATTTATCTAGATAATTCAACCGCTGGTATTGACCTGAGTAGATGGCATATTACGATAGAAATGTTACGAAATCTAATCTGCTCACTGATCTGGGAGTTTTTCATTCTATCCCAAGTCCACATCCGGATCATAAACATTGCAAAATAGTCCAACTCTTGACCTGACTTGTGGTATATCTCCGGTAAGTGAACATGAAATGCTGCCCCCAATGAGTAGTCCTGTCCGTTGCGAAAAGGTCTTGCACGCATTAGTCTGCGATCTATAACGAAACAGAGCTCGACATGGTTGCAGTCACTAGACCGTGAGCATAGAGGTAGAGGTCCTTGGTTGGCTTTTTCTCATAGTGTTTGAAGTTCATGTACACGAGCGTTGGATGAGTCTTGGATCAAAGTAGTGTGGAGAGCTGCGCACCTGGGCAGTCAGCCGCTTCTGAGTAAACCCAAGTACATACCAACATAGGTAATCTGTATCTGTATTCTGTTCATTATTTTTGTTGAACGCATCAGCTCAGTAAAGGTTTCCCTATAATTCGCTGTATGTTTTTCCTTGCCCACGAACCGAAGCCCCTCACTTGATGATATTGGCTTAAGATTCTGGCTTAGCCGGCCAATTCCCTCAACACCATTCGTCACGGTACCTGGAAAGGGAAGCTTGGCTGCATCTAGTTTCAAACCAGTGCGAATACTATATGAACACTTCCTATGTTGCAAGCACCCAAACACAAGCGAGTCTTCGCTTCGAGGGTTGCGAATGGGCGGGAGTACACCACCTTCTAACCCCGCAGTCTCCAACCTACTAGGTTACCTACTTGGTTAGGTACTACGTTATTGCAGATCATTCGTGCGGAGTAATTAGCGTACTCTGTCCAAGCGAAACATGGGGTCTAACCACCACAGCTCAGGACGTGAGCACTGGCCGCGCGTGTCTTGTGTAAATGACACCGAAAGCTGCAGGATATACCCTTATACTCTGCGCTTGAAGCTTGTCCAAAAAAATCACCTTCTCCAATCACGCCACTGTTCCCAGACACTACTTCTATCAACAATCAAGGCAACCAATCTAACGCGCCATGGCTTTGTTACTACACAAACGTGTAGCTCGGTTGCAAGGTCTGCAAAAGCTCAACTTAACGACGAGTATCTCGAAATCTCTAGGCTATGGCTTTGTGCGCTACATTCAAACCCAACCTACCCGATACACCCTGAATACCGGCGACAAGATTCCAGCCATTGGCTTTGGTACTTTCCAAGATCCTGGTGCTCAAGAAGATGCCGTGAGCAGGGCCTTGCAAGCAGGTCTACGGCTCATTGATACGGCTCGAGTATACGACGTGGAAAAACAAGTTGGCAAAGGTATCAAGGCTAGTGGTGTACCTCGAGAGGAAATATTCCTTGGTACCAAGCTTTGGTGTAACAACTACCACCCCGACGATGTGGACGGCGCCCTGCAAGATTCCCTCCGGGACTTGGACACACCCTATGTTGACCTCTTGTTGATGCACTACCCTTGTACATTCAAAAGAGGCAAAGACCGCTTCCCACGGGATGGCGATGGAAAAATGATCCACGGCGAGACCAACTACGTGGATACCTGGAAAGCCATGCAGGAATTAGTCAAAACTGGAGAGGTAAAGGCAATCGGCGTGTCGAATTTCAGTAAAGGGGAGATTGAGACACTCATCAACGAAACGGGCGTGGTAAGTCAACAGCACCCCTAAACGATGATGATAATATAGTAAAACTTACACGTTGATTTCCAGGTTCCTGCCGTACACCAAATGGAGGTGCACCCATATCTTCAACAGAAGGCTTTCAACAAATGGTTAGATTCTCAGGGTATCCACGTCGTCCAATTCAGCCCGCTCGGAAACATGAACGACTTTTACAGAACGACAGGATGGAGCAAGGAAGTCTCCCATATGATGAAGGTCATCGATCAACCCATATTGAAGGAAATTGCGGCAAAGCATGGCAAGAGTGCGGTCCAAGTCGTTTTGGCGTGGGGTGTGAACAGCGGAAGATCTGTTATCCCCAAGAGTACGATTGATTGGCAGATCAAGGAGAATGTCGAAGCCGACTTCAAATTGGATCCTGAAGATATGGAAAAGATTGCAGAGCTGGACATCAAGGCGAGATTCAACGATCCCAGCTTGGACTACCGCTGGAGATTATACAGCGATCTTGAAGGCATTGAGGGTACTGTTGAGGGAAAGACGCATTAGGATCATTACTGATAGCTTCAAATGAATGGATATACTAGATACACAACCCATCTTGTGCTATATTGATGAAATACATATTTGACCAGCAAAGCATTCCCAGAAGGGTATACGCTTTCACGATGGCTCGTGGACCTCGGTGTTTGTACCGTCACTACATTGGGACTACCGGCGCAGAAATTGGTGGCTTGTGCGTACTTGACCAATGTCTAACCAGACGTACATAGTTGGATTGCCTGTCAAATCGATTACTGAGAATGCAACCGTTTACATTTTTCAGAAGTCAGTCTACTCCTAGACTTCGATTGCAACGAAGGAAAGCCGAATAATCATTTGATTGAAATCCAGTTGTCTCCCGCTATCTCGAAATTGGAAGCATGCTAATCAAAATATAGATGAACTGATGTTTGTGTCAGGTTGCATGCCACAAGATGTGTAATTGTGGTATTTATCTCTAATATACATGAACGTACAAAGTACAGTGCGCAGCATTGTATTGCAAACCGGGCTTGTCATCTGGACTTTGCTTATCATGGTCGCTGCAAGTCCCATTTCATTTGAAACCAACGTCAGAAGCCATATTGGATCAAAAGGGCCTTCGCTCCCACACCTTCTCTTAAGCCATGTCCTTGGCTCCCTCGACATGTACAGCATTCATCTTGTTATCATCTCCGCTGACAAAGCCCCGAGCATGAGCATTCTCCTCTTTGAGTTCTCGGAACTTCTTCTCAGCAGCCCATGACCATGGAGACTCTGCAGCGAACAAGAGGTCCATCTCCTCGAGGGTTCGCTGATTTGATTCGGGGTAAAGAGCCCAAACTGGAGGGATTAGCGTCTTGCGAGATTGTCATCTGAGCAGATCACTCACCAATGGGGATGCTGATGACATTCACTACGCCAAAAATGTACATTACCTTTTCGTTGATTGCCTCCACGATGTAGGGCAGAACTAAAGTGAGCGTTCTGGATAACACAGTCAGAAAAGTATCATTCCAAACTTGATGGAGACCTACCCATTTCCAATACTCCAGCCCACCACACCCCAAGCGTTACCCTTAGCACGAACCTGAAGAGGGAAAATCTCTGCAGGATAAAGCCATGGAACAGTCAACCACGTGGCTCCAAAGATAAAGGTATAGATAAAGACCATTGCGGCTGCTGCTGCGCCAAAGCTAGTGGCCGACGCGGTGGCACCTGTTGCTGTTGCATTGAGACCTCCACGGGATAGACCCCCCACGAGGAACATGGCAATAGCTTGACCCACAGATCCCCAATACAAGGTCCAACGCCGACCTATCCGATCGATCGTGAACACGCAGATGAGAGTTGCAAACATATAGAAGATGTTGTTGAGACCAGACACCCACTGGGCTTTATCCGGTCCAAAGCCAGCTATGGCAAAGATCGCTACAAAAGGTTCAGCGAATCGATTCTGGGTCGCGAATATTGTTAGGGCTCTACTCACTCGGGCCGTACATGGTTATACCGGCTATACCTGTCCAGCATTGCAGAATTTGCAGCCAGATGACAAGCTGCACCCGGCGGCCAGTATGTAGCTGGCCCGACTTGAGGCCAAAGAGCATCTGCCAATATGAAGTTCCCTTTGAGGATCGCTCAAGTTCTACAACCTGACGAATCTCGTCTAGCTCTTGTTGAGCCAGCTCAGCCTCTTGGCCGGTATCTCCTCGTAGGCGTTGAAGGATGTAGAGTGCTTCCTCGTTGCGCCCAACTCTGCTCAACCAACGAGGGGATTCCGGGAATAGCCAGCAACCAAAGAGTAGAAACAAAAGTGGGATGATCTGGAAAGCTATGGGGAATCTCCATCGAACAGGCGAATTGCCATTATCGATGAAACTTACCCCATAACCCAGCCAGTATGCCACAACAACACCAAAGATATTCAATGTGAACTCCATGGCGATAAAAGTGCCTCGTGACTTGTGGTCCGCAAGCTCTGAGGCCCAGGCGGGGACGATGGCATTCAAGATACCGGTACCAATACCATTCACGAGTCGCGAACAGATCATCCAGTCCGAGTTCATGGCAGAACATTGGAGGGCAGCACCAATTGTACCCCAGAGAGCACCAAGCGCAACTGCATTAATCCTACCGAAACGGTCGCCGAACCAACCGCCCAGTAGGCAACCAATGAGAGTACCAAGATAGTAGACAGACATGATGCCGCCCTGTAGTAAGGCATCAGTGACTACTGCAGTTCCATCTTCTTTGACGTATCCAAATCGCATGATGTCGACATAGTCTTTTGCGTTATTGACGCCGCCCATCATGCCTTGGTCGTATCCTAGCGGCAGTGTAAGGATTTGTGCAAGGTGTAGAGATACAACGGGGGGAGTAAATCATACCGAAAAAGAAGATGGACATGCCTGCGAGGCAGTTGATGGCTATGAGAAGCTTTCGCTGCTTCAAAAAGCCAGCGACCATCCATCGGTGCCGCTGGTTGATGTCGAGCATCTTGTTGTGAATTGTTCCGTCTAACTGAGCAATGAAAGGGGGCTTTCCAGATATGCAGCTGTATGGACTGAGCAAGGCCATCGTCCTGGGAGGAAATTCAACTCATATATGCCCTGGTTTCGTTGTTTCTAGGGCTGTGCTTATCAAACTCGGCCTTGGCTCCAGACAGCTGACATGTCCCTGTATCTCAAGGTAAAATGGCTTGAATGGCACGAGTCTGGGGGGGATGTGTTGTCCCAGCGGCGCTAGTGGCATCATAGAACAAGGATACTAGTCTACTTTCCCCAGGTTAACTGACTCCTGGCATACTAGCTTACACCCAAGCTATGTCATATCCATTCCACAGTGATCCTCGCTGCGGCATTCACCCCATGGGGATCTTGAACTAACTCTGACCCCAGACAACGCCGGCTACGCCACTATACTGGGGCTCAGGGGATAGTCCCTCGAAGCGAGTTGAGATTGATACTTTACTTGATGTAGCTTGGAAATTCAAGGAGCTTATCTGTTCGTACAACCTGAAGATGCCAGGATTCCCTGTTAGTAAAGCTTCGGCATCATGATTGCTTCATCAGGTGCCCGAGGAACACCCAATACTTTGATTTATCCATATTATTAGGGAACACCTCAAAAAAAAAAGTAACAACATTATCTTGGCATCTCTATCAGTTTCTTGATTGAAGGTGGTAGTCAAATGCTCTCCAATATGGATGATTATATCAATCCAATGTTGGTCACAGATACAACGTACGATGATAATGATAGTATAGCAGAGAAAAGGCATTATCGTCTTCATTAATATATGTTTCGATCTGTTACTGCAAGTGAACAAACATGCCTCCATCTGCCAACAGCTGTGACCCGGTCATGTATCCGCTCAGGTCATCTGAAGCTAAGAATACAGCTGGTCCTGCCATATCTTCAGGCCGTCCTACACGACCCATGGGGATTCGGTGTTCCAGGTATTTCCGTTTCACTTCATTTGCCATGTCCTCATCTGCCAATTGTGTATGGATGGTTCCGGGAAGTAGAGCATTGCACCGAATCTTATCCTTGGCTAGGGCAATGGCCATTGACTGGATCATGGACGAGACTGCTGCCTTGGTGGGTGTATAATGCACCTGTAAACCACCGCCTACGAGTGCGCTAATTGATGAAACCCCAATGATAGAGCCGCCCGTCCCCTGCTTGACCATCTGCCTTGCTGCAGCTTGAAAAGAGTAGAAAGTGCCATTTACGTTAGTGTTGATGGACTTGTCGAAAAAGTCTTTTTCAATTCTGTTATGAGAGACGTCAGGGAGCTGTGTCGCGAATCATTGCGGTTAATACAAGGATTTACATACTGTAGGAACGGACAAGGCTTGAAAATGCCCGCGTTGGCCACAAAAATGTCGAGTTTGCCCCATTTCTTGACCGCTTCTCCGATCAAGGTTTCGCTGCTGGACGGATCAGTGATATCGCCTTGGACATCAATGATTTGACCTGCAGCAGCATGTCCCTTTGGTCCGCTTGATCGGATAGCATCTGCTTCCTGAATGAGACTCCGTCGCAAAGACTCATCTCGCTCGAGGCCCAAATGGTTGACGGCGACATTGCAGCCTTGGCGGAGGTATTCCAGAGTAATGGCGCGACCAATGCCTGTGGTGCCGCCAGTCACGCACGCAGTCTTTCCTGCTAGGATACGCCAGGGAGGTGCCATGGCCGTTGAATTATTACAATGATTTGCAATACCGAAATGCGAATCGTATAAACGTAGCACATATATATCTAGGTAGGGTTGGATAGCGGAGCGTGATTCACAATTCACGCGCTCCAACTGGAAATCGATAAAAAAAGACAAAAAGGCGACATGCAACAAACCATCCCCAGTAGGTCGGTACGTGCATGGTCTTGGCGGCCGCAACCTTTCGGGCACAGTCTGGCCATGTGGTGGCCCGAGCTATGCGTACGCATGACTTTGCATATCACACACTAGATTTCCCTCGAAGCGAGGGCAGTCTGCAACGCACTCTAGAGTTATAGTGCAAAGTATGGGGCTTTCGCCTTTCCCCACACGTCCACAGGTAGTCACCAACTATAGTGACATGCGACCGACATCATGGTGTATCAACTATGACGATCGGTCAGCTCATGATGGCACTCCGCATTCTTTACATATCGGAGTCTTTCTATAAGACCTGCTGTTACGTGTTGTCGAGGTAGTTATATTGTGTCTTAAAACAAAGATTATTGTCTGTACAGAAGGCACACGAACACTCCACAACACTCGCAAGCATATCTTAGAACTGAGAAACACTTTTTGTTTGCCTTTTTCTGTACGATTGACCAAAATGGGTTCTGTCGTTCCGCAAAGCGATACCGCTTCTACCACAATTCCCCAGGTTCAGACACACTTAACCCTCGCGGGCAAGATCATTGCAGGTCAGCTATAAATTTTGCATTGTCATGCACCGCAGCCATGGGATACGTTCACTAACGTCGGCCTCTAGTAACTGGTGCGAATCGTGGCATTGGTTTAGGAATTGCCGAGTGCTGTCTCGACAATGGGGCCGCAAAGGTGTTTTCGATAGATCTCGCCGACCCTGGGGAAGAGTTTGCAGCAGTCTCAGAAAGGTACCCAGGCCGGCTTGCAGCAATCACCGCCAACGTGACGCAAGAAGAAAGCATCACAGCCGCCGTCGACAAAATAATCGAGCAGGACGGCGCACTCCACGGCATGGTGGTAAACGCCGGTCGCACAAACCACAAGGCCGCTCTAGACTTTACTAAGGAGGATGTTGAAAACTTGTTTGCCGTCAACGTAAGAGACAACACCTGCTCAGCAGTCCCTCCACTCCAGACGGTTGCCGCCATTGTACTGACTATATTTGGAAGCTTTTCGGGGCTTTCTACACTGCTCGTGCTGCTGCTAGGGCCTTTATTAAACTGAACATTAAAGGCTCCGTGGTATTTACAGCCTCAATGGCTTCATACCGACCCAACAAGGTATGTCCGTTCTCGTCATAGGGAACGATATGAGTAAAGCTAACATCATGTGTCTCGTACAGCGTGTTCCGTCCGCCCCCTATGGAGCATCCAAAGCTGGAGTGCGCAACATGACTCATACGTTGGCCATGGAATGGGCAAAGTATGGTATCCGTGTCAACTCGGTGTCTCCTGGTCTCGTCAGGACCGCCATGACCTACTGGGTTCCACAGCAACCCGACTGGGAGCAACAGCTCAAGTATTATGGGGGATTCCCACGGCTTGCCGAGGTGCAAGAGCTCGGGGGTGCATATGTCTACTTGCTGAGTGATGCGGCGAGCTATACCACCTCGATTGACATACCTGTCAACGGTGTAATTGGAAGTAAGTCTCTCACACCTCATCAGAACTGGAACTCTTTATGCTCACGTTTTGACCTTTCAGTTTGCTGAGAAGCGCAAAATTGACACCTTTTTGGCCCAGAGACTGAAATGTCGTCCTGTCATTGAGGAAGATGAGTTGGAGTTTATTCGGTAGAACACTCTGATTAGACAATTCATAATGATACTTGCTAGAAATAGTTCCTGTGCAGTCACGTTTAAAACGTAAGGATGCCCGGAAGCTTCTTCTGATTCCGTGAACTAAGCCATCCGAAAAACGCGTTTATCGCCGCATGTCCATGGGTAACCCTATTCAAATTAAACACTCTGGTCGAAGGTTGGATGCAAAAGGGACCGCCCAGTCTTCGAGACCGCCGCCCTACGTGCGCTAGGAGCCATTTGCATCTTTCGATACTCTATTCGTCAGGTCTGTTTGGAACCCGGCGGGACCTCCCCTTTTCACCCTCAGCACCATTGAGATATGGTCCATGGAAAGCGGCGCCTTGGCCTTGGAGGCGAGCAATCTCGCCGTCTTTACCACGTTCTTGATCTGCCGGCCATTGAGCTCATTCTCGGCCAGTTCACTCAGATCGGCCTCCTGGACGGCACTGGTCTTGCCCGCAGAATCGGGGTGGACAAAGGTTCGCCATATATGCAGCCGACTGCTGCGGTCTAGTTGGGGGTAGTGAATCGTTAGATGGATACGCGACTCGAATGCCGGGTCAAACGCCGCCACTCTGTTCGTTGTGAGGAACATGACGCCCTGGTAGTACTCAAGCAACCGGAGGAAGACGGAAACGAGCTTATTACGGTGGAGGTCAGACGTAGTGCGTTGCTCAAGGAAAACGTCACACTCGTCGATGAGCAAAACGGCTCCCCATTTTGCGGCCAGCTCAAGCACACGGTGCAAGTTCTGTTCCACGACGTCTGCATCATCACCTAGCTCGCCCGCACTCATGCTGTACAGCGGTTTCTCCATGGCCTCGGCAACTTTTGCGCCTCTGTTAGCACAGCTTGGGCATCACAATTGCGATTCGGGGACATGATATCACATACCTGATTCCGAAGTCAAGGTCTTTCCGGTTCCAGGCTCGCCACTTAGTAGCATTATAATGCCCTTGCCTAAACAAACCATACGTCAGTCACGTACCATAAAATGGGCATCCCGTCAAAAGACGGCGATGCTCATCAGACATGATTTTATGTCTGAGACATAGTCTGTGTTTTTTCTCTTTTTAGATGGAACCAAAAACATACCTTTTCCCTTGATTACGTCGTCAAAATCATCAACGTGAGATAGTTGAGCATCTACAAAAGCATGTATAATCTGCTTGTAGTCATGGGGGAGGACTAGCTGATCAAAGGCACCCTGATTCCAAATTATATCCCGTATCTGGTCAACGTAGAAATATGCTGTCAATTGTCAGTATTTGAAAAGCCACAAAGAGTCGAGCATGTATATTACCCCACGCCTTCATCGTGAAGCAGAAGCCTCGCACAATTGGAGTGCATAGAGTATGGTGCCGGGAGGACAGATTGCGCGCTACCGGTGAGTAGTCAGTATCTTTCACTCGTTGTCTTTAAGGGGGGATGTGCTATTGGATTTACCCAGATTTTCCTTGTTACTCGCAGCCAATCTCTTTCTGTTTTTAATGATCATGCCTCTCATCAAGTGGGCAATAGGCGGCATCTTATCATCTTCAGAGTCAGATTCATCAAGCAGCGGAAGTGCTTGGGAGAGATCCGTATGCTTTGTTGATGGAGCATCGTCCAGAGGAGCAAGGGTTATGGGCCCATGGCTGTCGTATCTATCAAATGACGAGCAGTCAATCATGACCCTGCCATCGTCAACCTATAGCAACAATCAGTAAGGAGGAAGAGTCAGACTGAAAGATTGCTGGCTACTCACAAACTGCCTGCGAGATGCACCGAGTGGAGGTTTCCGGAGATTGTAACCGCCAGAGTAAGCCTTGTAGTTCATTCCGATGAGACTCTCGAATTTGCGGCCTCTTGACTCTAGTCTGGACCGGATTCCAGCGATGTCGGCCTGGAGATGGCTTGGCAGAATGGCGAGGTCACAAATGGGCTTTACGTTGTGGAACTCGGAGATTGTCAACGTTGTAGTCGCATAACCGAAGCTTTTGCCATTGGTGTCGATGTAGCGACACGAAAGACTGTATATCTGTTGCCCGTCGGGGAACTTCACATAGTTTCCGCTATTGAGAACGAAAAGGCGATCCTGGTCATCGACCTTGGCATAAATCTCTGACCCGGGCTCAAAAAGGGTCCACACATAGTCGAAAGAAATGACACCATTTTTCAAGAGGTCTGCGGCGTGGTCGATGTGTGGCTGTATTTCATTGCTGATGACATTGAACAGTAGTTTGTAGTGCTTTGCTGCCACTTCCTCTTCCTGATCCGGCGCAGCCAAGATGAACTTGTCCCATCGGTAGAAGAATTCGCGGAACGGGGCGCGGAACTCGAGCTTCTTCAAATTCGTGTTGATGCCATGGTATCCGTCGAAGACCGGACCCAACTGCTTCTTGAGAAGCGGACTCTGCACAGTAATGGAATGCAGGGCGAGTACTGGCTCTTCGGTATCTCCGTTTTCTTTCTCACGCCTCACAATCAAGGCGAACTTGGCCGAAGCTGGTGTCGACTTGGAGTTGATGCCAATATCTTCTGGAGCCCACTCTTCCCAGGCGGTGCGGGGGTCTTCGCGGTAGAGGTCCTTGGTCTCAGTGGTCATGCCAATCTGTATGGCTTCCTGGGATTTGCCTTTCTCTTCATGGTCGCTGTCTGAACTCCAGCTGTCACTTGATGCTTCGGAGATCATCCGCGGCGGTGGAGGCGGCGGCGGAACCATGGTACAAGCAAGCAAATTTTCGTGCGGTATAGGCTGCATTGTTTCTCAGCCCGGGGTTTAGTATGTGATGGTGGTTACAAGTTGAAACTGAGATGGGCAGGCAGTTTTCTTCGATTGTATTCTTATTTTGATAGTCAATTAGTTAATGCCAACACCTTGTGCATTCTATGTCAAGGAATCTAGACAAGGCAAACAGAATCAGGCAGAAATGCGCCCTTCCCGTGTCTAGGTACCTAAGTTAGATCACATGCCGCGTGCAATGATGCATCATTCATTGTTGATCTTACATGCCTCTGTACTACCTGAGGCACATATTCAGTGCCGTCCTCCAGCATCCTTTTGTGTGGGGCGGGGCTGTGTGATAGCGGGATATCCCCCAACTTACCGGGCTCAGCTCACTGCTGTAGCGCATAAAGTACCTAGATCACCCACTGTACCTCAGACAAGAGCCCTTCCTCAAGGATTGCCAATCCATCATCTCAGCACAGCCTCGGACTGCCGGGTACAAACGATTGCAAGGAAACATCCCGCGATGGTGATGCATGCATGAATCCAGGCCTACGAAGCCTTTCAAAGGATGTAAAAGCCATCAAGCGGTCAAGACTGACACAGGCATATAGGTGGCCGAATGCCCGAGTCATTGATTGCGAACATATATGGCTGCCTCAGCCAATTTGCCTTCAGGTTGCCTTGCTGTGCCTCAGCGTCTACATCCAGTGGTTCGCAATCACCACCGACCGAGACATGCCTACAACTCTCGATATCTAACAAGCGCCCACATGCTTGAATCAATTCGACCAGGTTCAAAGTCATGGTGTTCCTTGACCTACAACAATGATTGACGATACAAGAATATTGCAAGCGGACGGCAACGCTCCGGCAGCCATTCCGCAGCCATCGCTTTCTGGGATAGTGCAACAGATCCTTACGCACCCCGTGACACGCGACCATGCCGTTCGTTGGGCTGACAACTTGCGCTTTCTGACTTTTGATGACAGCGATGATGAAAGTTCTACAGAGAGTCAGAACAACATTGTGGTTGGGCGGGAAGAGGAGGCTCATGCTCGCGGCCAGTGCGAACCATGCTCCAGACGAGTCCCAGTGCCCTCTGGACATGTCTGCGAAAAGCACATATTCAATATTGGCCATACAGGAGACAAGTCTTGGACGGAATCTCGTGATGACAGGCTTCATCAATTCCGAGATCCATGTGTACACGTCCTCGAGCGTAGCTGCGAAGCATGTCAACACATTCCCCTGTTCCCCAATGAGAGGAAAGCGACCCGGTTTAGAATTCGCCGGCTCTCCGCGAAGGATAAACATACTGATTGCGACCACTTTGTAGCCGTGTCCTATTGCTGGTCCAATGAGGATAGTGACGCCAAAATGGCTCCCTACAAGATAGTCGAAGAAAATGGGCAAGTCCGTGATGCCAGAGCCTCCAACACGACTTTAGACCGAGTCGTGGCATTCGCCCGAGAGAATGGGTACCGTATGATCTGGATAGACCAGGTATGTTCGCGCACTTGGTCGAATTTGATGTTGGATATGAGACGCTAAGTATATTCTGGTCCAACAGGAATGCATTGAGCAAGACAATGAGCAGGAGAAAGAGCTTGCGATACAGGCGATGGACTATGTCTATATCAGGGCGCACACGTCAATCGGGCTGTTTCGTGCCCAGCTGCAGCAGAAACATCTCGATCCTTTGCTCTTGACCTATGAAGCAGAGTTTTCTCAGCGTCTCACGCAGCGGAGAGGCCGCAGACCGTTTAGTGGATGTCGGAAACTCGACCTTGAACACCTGGCTGAAGCTGTGTCTTTGATCGTCAACGATCCATGGAATTCAAGAGCTTGGGTCTTGCAAGAAGCATTTGCGTCGAGCGGCAATATGGTTTTACTTTTCCCCAGGAGCAGCGACTGCGATACACGTGGCTGGCTTTTGCCATGCCATGAGCTGTCACAAAGCGAGCTGGCTATCCGGCTGGACAGTATCCAGGATTGTCTTCAAATCTGTGCACGATTTGTGCTTCCTTTTCTCTCTCAGGCTTTATCAAGCAAAGCTGTCCAAGGGAAGAATTCTCGCAGAAGGACTGGAAAAAAGTCTTCCACTTCGAAGATCTTGGGTAGTGAAGAAGACATCAGGATGACGCTGAAGAGGTTTAGACTCTTCCATCCTGAGGAACCAAAGCAAACGCTCGCGATTTGGGTGAATAATGGAAAGCCTAGGCGCACGTGTAACGCTGCCATGGCGCTGACCTATCTCCAGCTACGCGACTTGATGCGTGTTGCCGACAAGTTAGCTATAGTCGCCAACATATGTGGTTACGACTTTCGTCTTGATACGACTGAACTAGAAAAGAGTCAGAGTAGTCTGGCAATTTGTGTCCTGGCCCTTGCTATTGGCAATGGCGACTTTTCGTTGTTGGTTCCTCAGGTCTACCGTGAGCCGGAGACCACATGCCTTGGTATGTATCCGTCGAAATAAGGATAATCGTATTGTCAAGCTAAAACCACGCAGGAAAAACCAGCGAAGATGGGTCAGAGTTCTCCTGGGCCAGGGGCGTGGCACAAAGCCTCCAGGACCTACAAATGACGGACTGGAATCCATTTGGTTCCAGTTCTGCACGAGTCACTTCAACCCCAGTCAAGCTTTCGCAAAATGGTCTCTCCACACCAGGCTGCCTTTGGAAAGTTGACGAGTTTGTAGACCTTGGTATCATACAGGCGAAGTACGCCGACTCTTGGCTGAAAATCCGCAATGCCAAGGGACCCTCATGCCCCTCCTCCCGAACCATTCGCATGGCGACCACGCACCTCCTCTTTGAAATCATTGAATTTTTAAGCAAGACGGATAAGAAGAGGCTTGCAAACTCAATCCTCAATTCAACATCCTCCTGGATGTGGTCCAACCGGCGAACACGTACAGCGACCGACATGATTGAATCGGTTGACCAGTTTCCATCTGGTCTACGTATAGAAAATAGAAAAGGCATGTTTGCCCTTGATTACGATTCAGCTGGGTGGCCATATCAGTGCTGGTTGATTGACCGAGTCATGAAAGACGGTGGCATCTGGGCAGGACGTCTTGTGGCACATCCCTTTGAGAAAGGTCTTGAAATCCCAAGCACGACTGCGTCACAATATGCTGAGCTGCAGCATGATGGAGTCGACGCATCATCCACCAATGGAGATGATCCAAACCAGGATGACATTGTGCCTCGAAGCGGAATGTCGCTTCCGTCTGAAGATAAGGACTTGGACAGTCTTTCCGCTGAAGCCATTCAGGGGGGTTCAACGATGCAAAATCGCGGCCACGCATGGAGAATGCTAGTGTCGACGATGTTTGTAATGATAAATGATCATCAAATGAACAAAGAAGACGATGATAAAAAGGTGATGAGGCCAAATGGGCCCGGTAAGGTTATTTCAAGTCAAAGCATGGCTATGTTTGGTCTTGCGCTATCCCATGCTGCTAATGATTCGAATGATAAGCTCGAACGAATGGCCACTTTCGACGTTGCAGGAGATCCCGAGGGAAATACACTCGTACTGACGCCTTTTCAGATGATGTTGGAGTCGATTCCGCGTCCGGGCATGCGTGCAATGAGTGTTTCGTGGAGCGTTGAGCCTACCGAGAGCGCAATCATTGCAGACAATGAAGTCACTTCAGGAGGACCGCGGCCTTTCAAGGTCAAAGACAGAGTCCGGGGGATGTGGGAATTTGCTGATCCAAGTCACATCTCTGGCCGATACATCGTGATCTAGGCGAGAATGGGAATGGCAGGAGTTAAGCGTCTGTTCATTCAGCCTCTTCTCCCAATTTCATAACCTCACCCTCAAGCCATGTGATTCATGTCACTCTTTGTCGGACTGATGTCGATGGTTGAATCTGAGAAGGACAGCAATGACGGAGGAAATATGCAAATTCTTCATTGCTCTCCTCTTGGCCTTGCCGAAGCAAAGGCGTAAAATCAGTACCGATAGTCGGTGGCTGATTGGTTGTCAATGATAACGAACGGTCCTACAAATATGCTGCCTCCCGTGTTTGACATTGTCTTGGCTCGTAACAAACTACATCAAGTCCTATGTAATGCCTGGTCGATCAGTCGCATCGCTTTCAGGCACTCTTCGTCCTTGAATGAAGGCGCAACGACCTGGATAGCGCAAGGTGCACCATCCCATGCCTGTGGATCGTCTTATGATTGTCAATATCTCAGTTTCTGACAGGGAGGAATGCATACTCACATTCTGCCTCAAAAGGAGCCGTTGGTTTAAACGGTGTGCTATCCAATTCTTTGGACGACTTTCCGTACGGAATGATTCCAGCAGGGAACTGCACCAAAACGTCAGAGGATGACCACTGCAAACAAAGAAATGGAGACTTGCATTGAGGAGATTCCAAATCATGGTATAGACTGGAACACCGTAAGCATCGTGAGGAACTGCCGTCGTGTTGGCGCCAGGGGCGAGGACAACGTCTAGGTCGTTGTCGCGCCATATCTTTTGCCATGCCTTAGCAAAGGCGTCGCGTGCCCCGTTGAGCTGGTGAAATTTATCCTCCAAACCCAGGGCGGGATCCACCGGGAAGCCAGCCTGAGAGAAGGGGTGAACGCCCTTGGCTACGGAAGTGACTTGCGGCTCCCCAATGATCTCTTCGCGAGAGTCGAATCCCGAGGGCGAGAGGGCGTAGAACTGGTAGGCGAGGCGACCTGCCAGTCCGGCGCTTGACAGCTTGTCTTCTGGAATGTAGACAAGTTTGTGGCCTGCTGCTGCAAGAGATGCGCAAGCTCCGTCCAGACATCGTCGGACTGGCGGCGAGAATGGGTATTCGGGATCTTCAGGCAATACTCCAATAGTCAATGCCTTGTCGGCACTACTCTCCAGTGACCTCCAGCCAACATTGAAAGACGTATGGTCGTACCGCCAAGGCTGCTTGTCAATGACAGTCTTCATGAAAAACTCGAGATCTTGCACAGAGTTTGCCAGAGGGCCAGCGCACGGTACAATTGTGCCAGGGAGATGTACTGCGGGAAAGGGAGTGTCACCTTGCCCGCCGTACGGGATGCGGTCGGCGGTCGGCTTGAATCCATACACACCACAGCAGAGAGAGGGGATACGGATGGATCCTGCTATGTCTGTACCGACGCCCAGAGGCGAAGCTCGAAAGGCGACTATGGCGCCTTCGCCACCACTAGAACCTCCGGCTGTAAGACTCGTCTTGTGAGGATTCAGAGTTCTACCAAAAATGTTGTTCTCCGAGTCTGCTGTCTAAAATTGATAAAGGATTTCAGAAAAGCCGTATCAGCGGGTATTTGGCTTCAACTACATACCATCAACGTCTGTGGGATGTTGGTCTTGCAATAAAGCACCGCTCCATCTTCTAGTAGCATGTCGACCAAAGGCGAATTATCTGCTGCTGCTGGTCGTGAGATGTTGGCCACATATCCCATGGTTGAGTGGTGACCCTTGACGCAAAAAGAATCCTAGAACGCAACGAAATTGGTTACTTGACTCGAACATAGTAGGTTGTTGCTGCTTCGAAATACCTACTTTCATGCTAATAGGTAGCCCGTGGAAAGGCCCAGCCGTCTTTCCCGTGTCCTTGAACTGTGTATCCAGCTCCTTGGCTCGCGCAATGGCTTCCTCAAAGAATATCTCTGTCAAGCAGGAAGTCTGTTTGCGCAATTAACATTTAGCTGTAAAATGAAAAAGTCTAAAGCCGCTTACCAATTGTTGCGCAATGGCAGCTCTTTTGCAAAACGCGACAGTTACATCTTCTGCAGTCAGTTCTCCACTTGCCATCTTCTGAATGAGATCCGATGCATCGTATTTCTCTGTGATCTCCAATTCCAGCGGCGACAGCAAGCCAGATTCTTGGGCGGCTTTCAGTGTAATTAGAGATCCCTCGCTTGGGGTTCCAGCGCCAACAAGCTGAGATATCTTGGAGTCGGGTATAATCCATGCCTTTGGAATCGCTGCCTGTTGGCCGTTACGGTGTTGTTCTGCTAGTTGTTGCCAGGGAGCCATGATGGAAAGTTTGTTTGAAGCCGTATGATTGGATCTTGTGCACACATCAAGACAGAAGAAACGACGGCAAACTGATTATAAGAGAATGTCCCATCAGGTATCCACATGCTTTCATTGAAAACTACCTCCCGGTAAATGTCCTCGGCTATCCCTCATATCTCGCGTGAAGATCTCGGGTTATACTTTTAGGTATCGTGAGGTGTTTCTAAGCGGCGCAGTTATTGCCCAAATACGGCTAGCCTTCTGCGATGCCTCTGTCTTTAGGAGTATTCACACGCTAATAAGTCATGTTGAGGTGCTACAAGCCAGTGTTTGCGGGGTAGCTCCAGCGATAATGGTGATCACCTGTGTCGTCTGGCGGAATCACACTGATATCGTTCCGAGATAGGGACTTTCGGAGACGAGCTGCATTATGTCTTTAAAACGCCAAATGCAATGTAGACGTGGACGCTTTCACGAATTGTCATTAGAATCGCTGTAATTTGGCATTCCTACCTGAAAACACCAACTCAAGCCGTCCATCCAAGATGCCGCCCCTCCATACCGACTCGCCTGGCAATTCCTATTCCCCAGCAGAGCAAAGGATTCCCCCGATGCGGATGCCACACTTTGAATTCATATATCGCATAGTGGCAAATATGAGCTCAGATACCTGGGCGATTCCAAATGTGCAACAATCCGGAGTGACTCGAATGATTCTGCCCATCAAGGGGGGAACAGTCAATGGGCCAAGAATTACAGGCGAAATTATACCTGATAGTGGAGCCGATTGGCTAGAGCGAGTGCGTCCCGACAAGGTCAGTACGGTTACAAAGACAGCAGATTCAAGTCCATTGACTCAACTGGTCAATAGGTCCTCTCGCGTTTGCATGCAATGTACACTTTACGGACCAATGACGGACACAACATCTTAGTCAAGGCAGATGGGATTTTCAAAGAGGGGCCACTGGGCAGTTTTGCGCCCAGCACGAACATGACAGCAACGCAGGATCAAGTTGAATATTTCACTCATATCCGCTTTGAAGCTCCCGGCGATAGTCCGTATGACTGGATGAATGACGTTGTTGCAATTGGTGCAATGACCATGTTTGAAGGAAAGCCCATCATCGACTGCTATAGCTTGACCAATTTTCCCAGAGTCGATTGAGCAACTTCTCCACAGAGACTGGTGACAAGCAGAAGCTTGCCTTAGTTTAGCTATCTGACCATGAGCTGCACCCTAGAATCACATTACTTGACTTTGGCGGAAATTTCAACCTCGAGTAGACCTGATCATATCACCCCCTTCTTGGCAATCAAATTTTCGTAGTGAACCTGGAGTCTGGAGCGGATCTGCTTGCCCCAAATGACGAGAGGCACATATAGCAGACATATACCAAAGGACAACATGCCTAGCATGATGAACATGTTACTCATGCCCATTGATGTCCACCAGGGCACCACAGCCGAAGCGATGCCAATGCTAACGGCGTTTCGAAAGAATGCAACTCCGACAAAGACTTCGGCCGTCAACTAATCGAAGAGCCAGTTAGCAGTGTATTGTTTGGTTCATTTCATTTGTGAGATACTGACATCGCGATAAGTATCGATCAGCAAGGTAAAGGCTATGGCTCCAGTCGAGCCGAAGCCAAACGCAAAAAGTGCACCGCCGATGCTAGGATAAATCCAATGCATGCCCTGCCGGCTATAATTAGCATTTATTAATGGAAAAAGACTTTTGAAGCAATCTCCAACTCACCCGGTCAGCTGTCACTCCGAACATGGCCAGGCCGCCAGCGTATGCCACGGTGGACACGCAAAGGGGGTAGAGACGCATCTCGGGTTCAAAGAGTCCACCATTTCGCTTGGCGCAGCGAACCACGAACCAATCTGAGAATGGACCTGCGTATATACTTCCAAAGATGTTTCCAATCACCGGACCAAGCGTCATGTAACCTACACCAGAGGCATCAAAGTTGTACGGGGGCATGGAGAAGACAATTGATGTCAGGCTCGACAGGACGACGAGGGCGGCAACTCCGAGAGCGAACTGTAATGAAGTGTATATCATGTGAGGGAGCGTCATGGCAGGAAATGGAAGTATGAATAGTTTCCAGAGGGACTCGTCTGTTCGCGTGACCATGCGCATTCGCTGTCGATAAGAGTTGACTTTGTAGGTGCCGAGCCGGGATACGTGAGACTGAGCTCGGTGGATGCCGACACCTTCACCGTCTTTTCCTTTCTTGGTGTCTTCAAGATCATTCTCCGAACCTGGTGCCGCGCTCAAAACATGAGGCGTTCCTACGTGGGTCGGGACATACTTGGTCTCCTCGTACAGGACGCAGAAGGCGAGGAAGAGGATTGTTAGGCAGATTGAGAAAGTGTAGTAAGACCAGCGCCAACCATATACTGTGGCTTGCACACCAGCAGCGAGTGGACAGAGAAAGCTTCCGAATGTCACTCCGACAAAGTAGATGGTGTTGGCAAGGCCGCGTTGGTGTACAAAGAAGAGGTCCGCAATCTACATATGTAGGCAACTGTCAGTCACAAGTTTAGAGTCTTATGAGGGTGAGATGTGCCGCCTACCGTCATCTGACACAGGGTCTCGTTGATGGCACCAGCAAGGCCGCAAAGCAGCATGGATACAATCAGCTCCCAAAAGGTCGATATCCGTGCTGACCACCATGCACTTGCGGTCAAAGCTGCAGTGGATATGATATAGGCTGGCCTTCTTCCGTACTTGACGCTGAAGGGGATGAAGAGCAGACAACCCACTGCCAGGCCGGCCAGCTGTGCCGATTGAGCGTTTGTCAACTCGGTGACGGTCAATCCAAGTTCTTCCTCCATCTGTGCCCAAAAGACCGTTTGAACCATGAGCCTGCGAATCCCGTGAGCAGTCGAGCCTGAAGATGAATGCGTCTCGACTCACATGCCAAAGGCAACAATAGTCAGGCCAAAGATGAAAGCCATGTTGAGGACTTTGCGCCACATTGGCCAATTCTGATAATACGGTCAGGATAGGCGAATAGCTATAGGAGGATTTGCGTCGCGTACAAGGGGTTCATTTGGGTCATCCGACGGGACCGGAAACAGATTCACTTCGGTCGAGTCTGTTGCTCGTTGGACTGTGATTGCGGCTCGTGTTAGTGGAAACTCTGCGTAAAGATGAATGATTAGACGGGCATACACTCGATCAACGGGACTGTTCCCGGAGGATAGACATTGTTGCTGTTGTTGGCCGACATTGGCCTAGCTAAACGACGTCGTTGAAAGTTGACGATGGATTCGATGTGCTGCCACAATACCCGTAATGAGCACAAATGAGAGTGCAAGGAAGACTAGCCCACGAAACCTCCAATGTGCGTAGCCAGCAGCAATGAAAAGTCGCAGCTGGGATGTATATATATCGCGGTTGTCGCCATGCTTGGGGTATACCTCCCGACAAGAGTGATAAGCGTCACGTCGAAAACCTAAAACGCATCTTGCAGCTGGCCATCATCCAAACAAGTTGTGCTTATCATGACCATAGCAGTATGGTCTTGGATTGGCATTTACATCCGGGGTACGGAATATAGCGAGACCAGGGCCCATTCATTGCCCAAACAATAACTGACTGACCAGTGACTGACCACTGATAAGCTCAAGCCACTCGACCATAGCTATCAAACGCTAGCTCGATCGGCACTTCCAGGCCCATGGGCCCCGTCCACACTCGCCTAACCGTATAAAGGCAATAACTGCGACGACCCCAAATCCGCTGGTCATTGTTAAGAAACACTCTCAAGTCTCAGCGACTCAGGAGACACACACGACCATCTCCACTTATTTTTACAAACTCCCCGTTGTCCCAGCCCTTTTTTCCGAGCCCGAGGTTCGTCGGCCGGGAACCTGGTGAAGGGATATTGCATGCGAAGAAGTTATGATATCCAGGTCCCGAAATGGATGTTTTAACTGCAAGAGGCGAAAGCGGAGATGCGACGAGACGCGCCCGCACTGCCACGCCTGCATCGCCCGCAATGTCGAGTGCGAGGGCTACCAGCGACCTGTTCGCTGGGTGAATGGAGTGGCCTCGCGTGGCCATCTCGCGGCTGCGCCCATGGGCAGTCCTTATAGCGAGGCTCGCTCAGTAGGTCTTTCGGCACTGCCAGTCACGGCCGCCCGGCTGCCGATGCCTGCTAGGATTGATGTCCTGGGTTCAACCTCTGGAAATGATGTTGTATTATCTGCACAAGAAGACGAAGAGCGTCTATTATTCCGCAAATGTGAGTCTGCGTAGCCAATGTATAATGCGCTTGACTCTAACCATTGCCCTTGCACAGTCCTTGAAGACGGCATACAACGTGTTTGCAATGCTCAAATCGGCCAACAGCTTGTCCTTTTCTTCAAGGACATATCACGCCGGTCCAGAACCTTGGTCATGGTATTAGCTGCGCTTCAGCTGCTCTTAGATAACGGCCCAGATGTATCGTCCTTGGCATTTATTGATCGTGCAATTGGAGCATTTCGTTCCGAACTTTCCGAGCTGCGATATCCGGGGAGTATTGATCTTCTCTCCTGCGGATTATTCACATGCACCATCTGCGTGAGTGCTGGCTTATTCTGTTCACTATCTAGATTCATATTGGTCTCTGAAATATCGATTGTGCTTCTAATGCCACCCACCCCGCAGATACTACAGGCGCAGCCATTTACCCAATATCTGCGGCCATTAACCGAGATACACAATCTTACAGAGGGCTTTGACAAGATAGATCCGGAGCTAGCGTCCAACCCTATATCCTGGCATCTCGTAGAGGTTCTCAGCGTCATGGATCTTCCCCCTTTTGTCGTCGGTCGACGCAGCCCTTCGCTAGGATTGTGGAAGCGTATCCGCGGCCGTATACCACATGACAACCATACGGCGCATAGCGATGTTGAAATTGTTAGTGGAATGCCCAAAGACTTGCTCGACATCTTTGCCGATATCATGGATTTCCGAGACGAGACTATCATTGCGCGCTTCTGGAACTGGCGGTGTTCGCTGGCTGATCCGATTCAGACTCACCGATGCAATAGTTGGAGGTATGCTGGGATTCTCGATCTCCGCCGAAGACGCGCACTTTCAGCTATGCAACATCCGAATGATCATACCTCTGACAAGCATTTCGCGGATCCTCAAGAACCAAGATCGGAGACTGTACTTACTGGCCTATTATCTTCTTTGGAAGCCTTCTGTCAAGGTTGTGAGGCCGCTGGTTACGACAAACAAATTTTCTTGAATCACGGACTTTTATACCCCATTATGCTGGCGTCTTTGGAAGTGAAAATGCTTGACGCGAACCCATCGTGGAGGCAGCTACTGGACAATGCCAAGGAAAAAATCTCTCACAGACTCCAAATCGACTCCGCAAAACCACTGTTTGACCTACTTGATGAGGCTGCGACCGGCCATCATGATCTATTCGATATCGAAACTGTTGCCTATAACAGAGGCATCGAGATTGCGCTATTCTGAAAATTACGCTTTCAACTTTTTAATTTTTATTCTTTATTTTGGATACTGGTCGTATCACAACAGTTCTGCTATACTATTGGCATAGCGTTCCCGGCCACTGAATAGTTCTGCAAGAAGTCTCCAAGTACCACAAGAACATTTGTCGCGATAAAGTAATCTCGATGATACATCCCGATCAAAAATTGGATCTCTTATTGGTATTCACCATATTGGTCAGAGACTCTATAGACTGCATATTATCTGCATACCAGATTGAGCAGATAGTGGCATTAGCTATCGCGGGCCCAAACAACACCTAGCCTATCAATCCCCCACCCAGCTTGGCCCCAGAACCCTCTCAACGAGAAGCCGGCGGGAGCAGATTCTGCCCAAATGTTTTCGTCCTCAGATAGTCTCGACTTGGCAGCCCAGCTATAGCTCTTACCCTTGTTCGTCCGCAGCTTCAGAACTGTCACCATAGGCTTGCCGAACTCCTTGCTGTGGTTACCCTGTACTTCATACCAGGTGACACGCTCATCGGTGCTCAGGCTGAAAGATTCGTAGGATCCCTCCAAGCGTCCAACCTGGAAGGTGAATTTATTGGCATAGGTTATCATGATGCCTCCGATGGAATCCGACCTCGGGTAGAGCGTAATCTTGGTGGGAATGTACGTGTGCCTGTTTGTGATTGCAGCGGCATTGTTGACCTTGTTGCCAAAGTTGAAGACAGGGGTCTCGTCCTTGTCCTTGGCTGTGAGACTGAGGTTACCACCAATGTAGCCCAATCGCCAGTTTTGAGACCATTTTTCAAAGTCGGAGACTTCCTGAAGCAAGAGGTCAGGCAATCGCAGCGAGCCAAATTGGCACACTCGAAGTGGCAGTCGGGCAATCATGTCCGCTTGCGACTTCAAGTTCCTGATGTCATCTCGCAACTGTTTCAGCTCGGCATCCTTCTTCTTCAGGTCTGCTGTCAGCTGCTCGATATTCTGTTCCTTTTTGGTCAATTCACTGGAGGCTTTCGTCTGTGCAGCCCTAGCTTTCGCCTCTTGCTCCGTCAACGTGTTGACCTTCTTGGTAAGCGCCTTCTCCTGCTCGAGAGCCTTTTTCAAAGCGTCGCTATTGGCAGTGTCGCTCGATTTGAGTTCCTCGAGTGACTTTTGTGCCGCCTTGAGGGCCTCAGACGCGTCCTGGGCCTCCTTGGATTTGTCCCCGGCTTCCTTGGTAAGCCTCTCGACGTCCTTGCGCAGCTTTTCCGCCTCACTCTCGGCATTGCTGATCAAGTCCTTGACGGCTTGCTGAGCATTCTTCTTGATTTCCTCCTCCTCCCGCTTCTTCTTCTCCTCAGCTGCCCTCTTTTCTTCTTCGCGACGCTGCCTTGTCGCTTGGGCATCTGGTCTTAAATCATCAATCTCATCTTGCTTCGCTTGCAATTCTTCATCTCTGTCCTCAAGCTGCTGGTCTAGGGTTTCTAGCTTTGCCAAGCTTGCCTGTTCGAGTTCTTCATACTTAGCCTTGTACTCAGTCTCCTTAGACTTCAATTCATAGTGTAGTCTTTGGATTTCCAACTCCTCAGGTGATGGTCGTGGTGGCAGCGCCGTCGACTTTTTTGTGTGATTAGCTGATGATTCATCTAAGCGTCTGGGGATCGGACTCACAGGAACCAGCATTTTGAACACTACCGGCGAGAGAAAAACGTGTGCCCTGGAGGGATCTATAGCCACCTGAGGGTCAATGGCCACTTCGTCCACCTGCAACTCATTGGTTAGCTTGTCCCCCGTGCAGCCAGAATTGGTCTACCCAGACTGAACCTACCTCTTGTACAATCTTGATCATCTCCAGACGACAGTCCCGTCGCGCCTTTTCCAGGCCCAGGAGACTCTTATGATAGGGTTTGACCTGGTTTGGCTTTGAAGGAGGTCGCACAATTCTCGGTGACTCTGGGCGACTCGCATCGCTAACTTTCACCACGGCCATCCCGGACACGACATTGGGGTCGACTGAGGACCTGCCACCGTCAAGCAGCTGTCGGGCTCTTCTCCCGACCTCGCTCTCTTCATGCGAAGACGTCTCCAGGTAGATCAAAGCTTTCTCTCGGTAATCTGTGTAAATCTCATCCCGATAGCTCTTTATTTCGGGCGTGTCTTCCTTGCCGTAAATAATATGACCATTACTTTGCACGTTCAGGATTGCTGCTCAACGTCAGTCAATTAACATATGCATAAAACCAAATGAACCATACCTTCAGATATGGATGTGTACAGATACTTGTAATCGGTGTATGCGTCCAACAGCGCGCTAGTGTATACACCGGCATTCTCGTAATCCAATGGGCTGCCTTTGTTCTTGGCCACTTGATAACTTCGCAAGGTTGTGTACTTGGACAAGATTGCACTGTCTGGGATTAGCATCACGTGAGATGATTGCTGTTATGGGATATCGACTTACTGCGTTCTCTGGGGGAACTTGGCCACCTTGTCCGGAAATTCAATTGCAGCGGCCTTCAACTCCTTCACCCCCCACTCCTTGATACTCGGATCCTTGATCTCACCACCTCCCGACCAAGACACTGACACATTGGTCTCGGCGACGGCGGATGTGTCGGCCTCCTCCATGTGGACCTGGCCTTGGGCATTGACTGACAGACCCGGCACCTTGTCAAAGTTGATCTCGGCACTGGCCTTGATGTCGCGAAGCTTGGACCTGTCCTTGACCTTGAAGCAGACCAATGCATTGAACTCGCCGCCGGTAATGAATCCAGAGATGAAACTGTCGCCAAAGACGTCGGTGAACTGGTTAGAAGGAAGGTCCTTGATGGGATTGAACTCGGTCATATCCTCTCCTTCCAAGACCTGGTTGATGACTTTGACCTGGAGGTGAAAGGCCAGGTCACTCTCCTTGAACTTGTTACTGTCGATGAAAGCTATCAAGAGTTAGGATTAGTCACTAACGGTCCAGCTGTTGCCCTAGGTCTAGGCAATTGAATGTCTTACCTCCAGCTCCTTTTCCACCTACTGAGCCATATTTGATCTCCAAAGATCCTGAGAAGCGACTGTTAGCCTGACATTATCATGTGCAATGCAAGAAAACGTACCGCTGATGTTCATTGAATTGGTAACTTCGCTCAAACTGTCCACAAACTTGGTGCTCCAAGTCACTGTCTGGCTGACGCCACCGACTGTCCGTGAAACCGATCCGGTTTTTCGCCCATCGTTTCCTGGATCAGTCGGATGCTGAGGTCTCTCGCCAGATGCTATTGCCCGATTGATCAGATCCCTTTCTTGGGCTTTGACGTGATTTGGCTTTATCACGGCATCATTAACACATAGCTGTTGGGTATAGGAGTTGAACCTAAGCAGTACGTCTTATTAGCCATCATTTCATCCCGTTTCAAACATGTGTCGCACTAACCCCATTCCCAAGCGCATGGCATTGTTGTATGGCGCAAGTGTCATGGCCATGCTGACGGCTTTTACGAGGTGGTCTGGATTTTGGCAGTTCAGCAGCTACGACCATTCCAACTCGACATGATATGTAAAAAGAGCGTCAAGATAATCGCGACCATTACCGTGCCTGCACCACAGTGTGTCCAAATAATTCGACTATAGAACAAAAGCCCTGACCACGAAATTGATGACGCATCTCAAGTGCCGGATCGCAAAAGTGCCGCTCTTAGTCTGTCCCCACGATGAGCTGTCTCCAGGCCTAATGTGTGAATGGATATCTTTCTGCAGCATCGTCTCAATAAGCGAGCACTAGAGATCTTGCGCAGGCCAATGATTCTTGATCAACGATTCAGCCGCACGAACTATCAAAGGCACAGTGTTCACCTTCTGGGCAACCACAATGAACCGCTAGGCTGGAGCTCCGCTCAAGGACCGTCCCGACCCGCGCCTATATTAGTCTACTATATCCACCGAGCTAATTCTTCAGCTCCCATCAGCGCCAACAATCTAGACGATCCCCTCGACAACTCATCAATTCCGAGTCCGTCGAAACTCTATTTCAGAATGACGAAAGTCTATGTGGTGCCAAGAAAGCAAAGACATCTCACAGGATCAATTGGTCTGGACGACACGCAGGGTACATAATTGCATGCTCGATGATCTGCTGAATGCGCTTCATTGGCAGAGCCGCAAAATCAGCATTATGCCATCCCTTGCTCAATCTGGGGCGTATTGAAAACCCAGATACTTGACCTCCGGCTTGCGATTCTCCAAATAGTAAACATTCATTACCTCCTGAGTGCCATTCTTGGTCATATTCGTGACGCACCACCATGGCTCTCCTCGCACCTTACAATGCTTCCATGAAGCTTGGATCCGGTTGGCATTATCAATCTTTTTGTACACGCCATCACTGATTTTCATCTTCAGGCTTCAACTCTTATACATAACAGCTCTGCGTTGACCATGCAGTTATTCGAGATGACAAGGCACCCGATGATGAGTTTGCGCCAACAACAACCGAGGGAGGCGTTTCCCAGCAAGTGTCCTACAAGACCACCATGATTGACAAGATCTCGGATGTCACCAATGCATTGAATGTCAGAGCCCCTAGATGAAAACAGAGAATGACAAAGTGACGCGACTAACTTGTACTTGCTAGATCTCGGCCGCCATGTCAATCAAATACGACAGCCAGATTGACGGGACGGGACAGGGAGACTTTCTCAATTCTGACAAGATCAAGTCAAGCACAATATCGTATTTGATATCCGTCAAGGTCGTCAACCAGACCATAACTGACCGCAAACTGAACAAGTTCTGGCCAGTTGATGGTGTCGCACCAGGAGATTTCACTGAAGTCTACGGTGACTGTTTCATTTCTGGTACGAAACCATTCCAAGTTGCCACTCATCCTGTGTTGATTTGTGTTTGTATAGGTTTTCAGGAGGGTGGCGAATTCAATGCTTTGATTTCAATCAAGAAAAGCGACACTTCCAACATCCACAACTTTGGTGTCAAGTAAGTCATGACTATCTCACTTCAAGCAGTGCCCATCCAGTTGCTAACCAATATCCAAGTGCCGAAATAGCCCTCACGGGTATGCTAGATGGCAAACTGGAGGGTTCTGCCAATGGCGATGTCCAAAAGGCTCGCAAGGAGCTCCTCGAAAACAACGAGGTCACAATCTCTGTAAGCTGGAAAGGTGGCGGCCAGAAGCTCAAGGGACGTAAGTGCTTATATAGCCTCGATATCCGATCAGGTTTCGAGTCGATGCACAACTCACTAACCTTTAATTTTCCATGGTAGCTGATGAGGACTGGACATTTGATACATTGCGCAAAGCGGCGGTCAAGTTTCCAGACTATGTGGCTCAAACACCCATGAGAACGCACATTATCCTAACCAAGTATACATCTCTCCGCAGTTTCCTCCCCTTTGCCACCAGATTCTCGCCCATGGTCTATGAGAATGCCGGTGGATACACGACGATGCTGCAAGAGGCTTTTGCCGACTACAAGAATCTAGCCAAGTACATACAGACCTTGGCTATCGATTTTGACGCAGGCAAGACGATTCTCAAGGAGAGTGAAATGATTGGCGCCAGAGACCGCACTGCCTTTTATGGGAAACTCATCACAGCTGCGAATGCACCGTCTGCTGAATCGAAGTCTCCAGCATCCGATACGGGTAATCAGCAGCTAGAAGCATCTAAAGAAAAGGGTGTTTCCGGAGAGGGCAAGAAGCTGGAAAGTGAATCGGGTAAAGCTGAAGAGGTTGCATCCCAAGATGGCGCCGACACCCCCGAAGAGCACGAGGACGATCCAAGCCCCGAGCTGAACCCACCTACAGCTCAGGGCACTAACGAACCTGCGGACAGCACGAAAAGCCTGGCGTTGCGGGGCACTTCTGCTAAAGCCTCTGCTGGAAAACTCCCCAAGCCCCGCGAACCCCTCTACATTCTCAAGCCATATGAAGCCACGCTTTTGGGTCTGGAAAAGGCAAAGAGAGATATTCGCTTGATGATGAATCGCATCGTATCCGAGGTATTTATACTTCATATTATCATCCACGTTCAATTCAGTCTTGATCGGCAGACAACATTGCTGACCATTCGTACTTCTAGGTCGACGTTGTAACTCACTATCCCACGGTCGCTACTGATGAGACCTGGCCAATGCCCTTCATGAGCCCCATACTGTTCAAGCAGTTTCTCCCTGTACGTGTCCTAGAACCCCACGATTGTTGACAAATCAGCTCATGATATATCTTAGGTCCCTAAACCTGTTGAAGACAAGCAAGATGAGTGACAAGAGACCTAATGCCGTCTGTAAAATGGACCTGGTCAAAGGGTTGGTAGAAACAGGTAGCAAAAAGAAGCATACAATTAGTCCCTCGCAATTCAAGAAACTGATTTCTTGCCACACAACAAAGTCTGAGATATCTCGTCATCTTTGTTTATTTGAGCCCATACTGTGAACTATAATATACATTATCAAACCCACAATTTGATTCGCGACTATTCTTTCCTCTAGTGAATTTGGAATCGCACACAAGTCTGCCGCTATTGTTACTTGCCCCTGCTGGTTCGGTGTTTACATACTAATACCTGGGTTGTATTTAGCTTGCAGTAGACTGCATTGTGGGGACGTGATCGACTATGACTATTGAATGCAGCTCAAAGTGACGTGGTTCAAGATCGTTCAGATCATAAGTGAGATCTATGCTCCAAGAGATCGGCGTCTATCTTGCCTCCAGTATTTCAAATTGATTTAATCACCTATGCAAAACAACTCCATCCTTCAAATCGTTAGCAATGGCATTAGCTCCACCAGGAATCGCTTCGCTATCGCAATTGGCAGCAAACAATTCTCACATCATAATCCCATGGACCAAGACGGCTGTGCAACTAGGTGGTGGGTTCAAATCGTGGAACGTTAAAGATGGTGATCCATTTGCGGTTCCAGCAGCGTTTGACTCAAAGTCACTCCAGAGAACTGTGATACAATACACGGATGACGACGGGTTCCGAGGAAGTTCCCACAGGACTTCCTCAACCTCTTCAATGGAAAAGGCCGAGCATCTCAGCGTATCCGCCGGCATCAGCGTAGATTGCGGCTTCCTGGGAGCTTCAGCAACTTGCAACTATGATAAGGCCGTGCTAGAGGACCAAAATGTGCGCGAAATCCGTCTCTAATATCGACTTGTTCCACGTGTAGCTGACAGCATGTGTAGACTACAAAGCATTCGATCAGGGAATCGGTGCGTTCAGGTACTATTTACATGGCATCCACTCCAGACCTAGGCCCCGAAGCACAAAGGATTCTCAGATGCCCGGCAGAGTTGAAAGACATAGCCATTGAGAGATTCAAACGGCGATTTGGCGACTATTACGTCGCGGGTCTGCGCCTGGGAGGCGACAGCAGCGTTTTCGTCTCGGTCGACGAGGCATCAAAGTCGTCGGCCGAGACCTTCAAAGTCAAGGTCAACATACGAGTTCTGTTCTGGAGCACATCAATTGAACATTCGCATGAAGAGAGGGCCGCGTCGCAGAGCTTGTCATTCCAATTTGCCGCCTTTGACAGTTTGACGCAGACTCACGAGACTCTCAGCAATGGCGAACCCTTTGAACAAGTAAGAGAACTCGTGAAGGTATATACTGATCTTGGTGGGTCGCTCAACCAGCGCATTGCAGATCTCCGGGACAAGCTTGGGCTTGAAAAGGACAAAATATTGAACCCTTCGGACATTGCATCTATTTGCCAATCGGGACTGGTAGTAGAGGTCATTTTGCAGCCGTTTATCTTTCAGCGCGACTTTGTAGCTCATTCAAAGCGGCGGGATCCTATCTTCTAGACATATCGTCTTAAGCGGGTCCCTGCTTTTCTGACATTACAGAGCGGTCTATGAACCAAAGTACGTCTGTAATGTTCTTGAGGCAATTGACCTTGAATAATAAGAGATGAAGGAGAAAAAAACATCCGGCTACGTCGGGGGAAAAAACATTGATACTACTCTTCTGTTGTCGCGTGATTGACATCTACGGTGTTGTGATGGGCTACCGGCATATACGAAGTAGCACCCTCAATACCCAGGCATCTCGTATTTATGTGGTCACCGACTGCGCTGATCCCATCACCTTCCAAACATGGTAAGAGCGAAATGGATCACACATCAGAATGCAGCATGACGCTTTATAGTATTAAAGAAAGCAAGATGCAATGGAATTATAAAAGAGAGGTTTCATTTGATCTCTCTACTATCTATACCATTGAACTATAAGCACATTACTGATCAATAAGGTAATAATGAAGTCACTCACTTTTTCTTGTTTCCTCGGCCTTCTACAGGCTGCTGGAACGTTTGCAATCGAGTATCCGGCAAGCCTCAATGACACGACAAGCCACACCAACCCTTTTTTCCTACAAATCTGGTCCAGTGTCAATCCAGCATATGCCTTCCAAGCCATTGGGGTGAAGCCACTCGAGGACGGGAACTGGCAGGCCGCGGTCGGCCAGGACAGCGTGGTTGTCGCATTTCAGCTGGTAGGCGGCTATCTGAGCATCACCAGCCCCGAGGGCCTGCACGGTGCTGCAGACGGGTTCGGCGCACTCTTTGGGCCCAATACGGCGGGCGGTGAATTCATTTCTAGGCAGTTCTACTTTACAAATGCGACAGACCAGACACACGATACATGGGAATTGCTCAACCTGAGTGATGACGGCCTTTACAGTCTTCTCAGTAATGAGCACGGTCCATCAACATTTAATGGTAAGCCCATAACCTTGACGTCAATTGTTCTTGACATACAGGACTCAATGCTGACGCCAAGAAAGGTTTCAAAGTATGCACAGAAAATAACAGTACTGGATACTATATCAAATACGAAGGCAGTGCCGATGGTGCTGTCTCTCAAGGATGCGATGCCATTGCGCTAAGAGTACGTTTACAAGATGCATCACGTGTGTCGTGTTGGTCGCTAATCACGATGTCAGACCTACTTTGGACCACCCTTTTGAGACCTTGGCGCAAGAGGCAACAACACGGATTATTGCCAATTCTTTTCTTCTTTTTATCCTTCTCTATATTGCTAGGCCTACATGTTGCATCTTTCGCTCCCTTGCAGAGAACAGAGGACTGTTCATAGAACATGGCTCAGTGTATCCAGACGCTTCTCAAATGGATCGAGAGGCTCTTGCATTTCGCTTTGATAGAGCGGGATCGGTACGATACTCGGTTTTTGTACCAAATCTATCCGAGCCATTCTGCCCAACTCAAAAGTTCAGTCCCGTCATCATCGTATCTCACAAGAAAGTAATATACGGTAGGGACGCAGTAAAACACAACCCGCAGGCCAGTCAGCAACTTAGATCGAGCACTGTCGCTCACACAAATGGTCCCAATCAGGCCCCGACTAGCAACTAATGCACCGGTGAATACCAAGAGATCTTTCCTCTCAAGTATTGTTGTGGTTTCCCCCGAAGCCCACCCAAGGCAAAGGGTGAAGCTGAGCCGCAGGATTGCCAGCACAGACATCCCAAATATAGTGAAATTAACGATCCCCGAGAAATTATGCAGGAGTGGAAACGTGTTGCTGAAGTCGTTGATCCATATTGGCATGAGGGCAAGGCAATGATATGAATCCGCACGCGCTTTTCCAACGACAAAAAGAAAGGTGCACGTCAGAGTATGACCCAGCACTGACATTGCTCCCAGACTAATTGATAAAAGATCGAGGTAGATATTCTTTTCGGGCAAGCCATCCACGGGCATATTCTGAGCACGTTCGACAGTAGTTCCAGAGAGACTGAGACAATTTGTCGCATCCGTATTGTTACCGGGCCGCGTCGAATCAGAATCCCATGCCCTGCTCAACTCAGTGTCAGGTTTGTCTAGGTTCATTAACTTGGCTGCCACTACCAATGCCTCAAAAATAGCCCAAGAGGCAAGATAGCCAGCGCCACAAACCTGACACCATAGTATTCCGCGGCTTCCAAAGAGTTTGATAAACTGAGGCAAAACTCCGAGGGTGAAACAGAACCAGCGGTAATTCATGGTCTCTATAAGACTCTTGATCGCAGATCTAGCTTTGGTGTGATCCCGAACCTCGCAATCGCCCATGAATCTTTGAGCAGCGATTACCGTGGATTTGAAATTTGACACAAGACGGCTTATCTCATCTTTCTTTGTATGTTGGTTGTTCAAGCCTAACAATAGCCCTAGAAGACTGTTTACTTTGGACTCTTCATCGAGGAGATTTGACAATCCAGCGAGGGCTTTCCTGTGGTGATGGGCGCGACCAGAGGAAATGAAGCTGTTAAACTCGTCACGAACGAGAATGATTTGTAACTGGAGCTCAGCGATGACCCGCGCGGTTTCATGGTGATCAAAGGCAGAAAATGCTAATATACTCCCCGTCCTGGCTGGGATAGTCTGATAGAGCTGTTGTAAGGCGTGCAACACGGAACCAATTTCGGTACGAACTCGCTCTTTGCGCACCCATTGAGTGACTCCGCTGCCGCCCAGAACGCGATTCAGTAATGTCTCGGCCGTAGCCAAACGGTATGACCGGCCAGACTTGTAGTATAACACGAGCCAGGTGCCGACAATATGGATGGCGTCAAAAACCGGTATAACTGGAGATAGGGACGGAAGCCAGCGAGGCTCGTACCCCAGGCCGATGTCTGACCCGGACGGCGCTGCCATTGCATTCAGCGCGAAACACACCATCCAGAATAGTATAGTTGGGCCTGGAATTGGGTCGCCGCTAGCTGGAGCTTCGTTTCTTGCAGCCGCCGTAGAAGCAGCTCCGTCGGTGGGCGCCATCAAGGTGTTGGGTGTTGTCAGTCGAAAGTTGTGTCAAAAGGAAGGTACGTGAGAAGCGAGAGGCGGGCAACATGAAAGTAACATGCATGTATCGATTGACAAGACTTCAATTATGGAAAGATGCAGGCTCAGCCTCATTTGCACCTAAGGCAGCAATTGTTTGCGCGGGAGTACCTACATTATCCCTAATCCATCAATTTTGTCAGCACGCAGCCTGACCTAGCGCAGACTCGCCCAGTGCCCAGGTGTCCTGCGTCGGCCCCTGCCTGCCTGCCTGCCTGCCTCACATGATTAGCGCTCTCGGCAGTGCATAGACGCCGCCGCCACAAGCCCCGATCCGAAGCAAAGGGCTACCTATTGCACAGTTTCCGTAAAATGTGGACAGTCGGGTGTAAATTCGGAAACACAGGCATTCTTCACAGCTTGAAATCCCGTACCAGCTGGTATCTTATTGTCGTCCCAGTGGGTGCCGAGATAGCAAATGTTGCTCGTGTCGAAGAAGCTGTAAGCACATTTAAGATTGTGGTTACAGGCGTCGATGCACATCAGGTAGTCGTCAGCAGAAACAATTGAAAAGCAACTGAGATAACCATCGGAGTAACTGTTACACAGAAAGGTGTAACTGCAGTCACACCGACCACCGCCCTGGTAAATGCATTAATCATGTCAGCATTCTTCAATAACTCAAGACCCGTCTATCCTATGAAGACCTGTGGTGTAGTGCCAACCTGGAGGGTTCTTTTTGTCTACTTTAATTCATTGACATACCCTAAACCATTTCTAAAGAAAAAAAAAAAGGGAGGAAGAAAACAGTAGGCAGGCAATACTCACAGGAGCTCGGGCTTCAAATTGTGTGCTGTGACATGACTGATGTTAGCGTTGAATTCCACGAGTGAATGCTGATTGGGCACTGGCGAAAACGCTCAAGTATGCGGTCATTATTCAAACGCAAAGACTATCTGTACTTGGAGCAGTCACTTTAATTTGGGATATTACAGTGATAATATGCTTAAGCCAGTGAAGAAGAATCAATCAAAAGATGAAGGATAGAAATGAACTCCTTACAGAGTCTGTAGACTGGCATCCGTGGTTGTCGTAGTCGTGGTCGTAGTCGTGGTCCTAGAGACTGTCATGATAACTATAGATTCAGCAGTCCTTGTGATGGTTGGTGTTATCGTTGACGTGCTAGTGCCTAAGATTATCTTCGTCTCAGTGGAGGAAGGGACCGTTTGAGTTAAAATGTCAGTAATGGTTTCCGTCGACGTGAGACCAATTTTAGTTGCAGTCTCTGTGATTATAGAGGCGATGCATCTGCATAGAGTTGAATAAAAATCTGGTTTATTGGGTTTGATTATCGTGTAGGTAGAACGAGGTGGCGGGAAAGTCGGCTCTTTCATGCCCAAAATGAGAGCCTCGGGGTATAACGGCCTAGCGCCAGCGTGGCCACTCTGTGTACCATCTGAGCCGCCACTGTCGACGTACTCAGGGGGTTGATTTCCATACAGTCTATCACTGCTGCTGCCCTCGTTGGGATAGGAAGTACCACCTGGTCCGTATCGCGTTGGCTTAGGGGTGCTCAGGCGTGTACGTGAAAAGTGGCCACCATCGTAGCCACGACCAGTAGGTTCTCGCTTCTTCCTACTCAACCTTGAAGTAGGACACACACTAGGGTCCAGCGTGAATGTATTCGTCTCTGTGGCTGTCTCGGTAACAGTGTCCTAGAAAGTGCATGTCAGGTTAGCCGCCCTGTATTTTTGGCTACCTCAAAATATGATTTCGACTTGACTATTGTTGCTTTGGAAGCAATGCGAGAAACATAGAAGAGCTTTACCGTCTCAATTAATGTCGTGCCAGTAGTGGCTGCGCCGGCGACAGGGTAAGCTGTCACAGTCACGCGTGTTATTTGATCATCTAAGAATTCGTGAGAAATGATACTTCAAAAGCTAGCAAAGCGCAGTGTGGGACGAATGAGTCTTGCAAATTGGAGGACTTCTCAAGAAAATGTCCAGCCTGGTTTTTTTTTTTTTTTTCTCTCGGCAGTAAAGGACATGTCAAACGCTATCCAAAACTCACCTGTACGTGTTGTAACCGGCGTTGTTGTTGAAGTCAATGTTGTAGTGATAATTATGGTCGTTGTTGCTCCGTCCATCACAGCTGCCACGGTGAAACTAGCAGTCATTCAACCAGCATTGTTAAGCGAGGATGTAAAGCCCGATGAGAGCTTGGATGACATGTAGTGACTTGGGTCGAACACAGCTTTATGAATAACTTACTAATTGTGGTAGTGGGTGCGATGCTACCAAACTTCCAAGTACAAAAAGATTGAACAGCTTCATTTGTGACGACTTGGGAGCCAAGGCTAGCATAAAAATGAAAACTGCATGGATCTGCCGATATTACGGACATGGTCACTTTAGTCACTGCCGCTGTGGTGAATAAGTAGATGAGTAGCATGCGTTTTAAAAACCTGGAGCGAAGGATGAGCAAAGAGTGTCAATAACAGTGATGTGCACATGTGTGTGGAATGAGAGAGATATTTATGTTGTTTCAACGGCTAAGAACGACCATTTCCATCTCGTAATCATCATGAAGACTTGCGGTATATACCTACATATTCCCAGCCGCGTACCTAGGCATTCGACAAAACGAGGACGATGCAATGAAACTGAACCTTTATTCGGTTTGAAATACCAGCAAAGGCGCTAGATGAAGTAGGACTAGTTCTAACGGATCGTGATGGGAATTTTTGTTATACAGCCGCGATCACGCTGAGTTTATAAGCTGTCCACCAATAGAAAATTGAAGTATGTTCCGTCTGGAGGGACCCGGATTCCGGATTATAGCGGCGGGTTGCCGTGTCTTAGCCCTTCCCGCGCCTGATTCCTTAGCCGTATTGCCGTAGCATACCGCTTCACGCGCATACTCTGCCTGTTCACCAGACGTTTCTGTTGATAATTCTTTGGGTCGTGATCGGCCATATCTGAACTATGCAACATTCGGTCAAGAATGATCGGCACAATAGTCCCAAACACCTCCTGAGAAGTTTTTAAGAATGAAGGCACACGGGCTTGTCGTGAGGAAATTGGTCCCAGATGCTTGGTAGGTGCACTTTTTGGCATCGTGACATGAACGCCACCAGTAACCAGTGTCCCTGCATCAAATATTACCAATCAACCGCAGCATCGTCTGCCACAATCCTCAGGAGTTGGCAAATTTCATGTAAAATACTCGTTTTCAAGCCTATGGTGATGCCCATCAGTGGCTCTGACTGGTATTGCCATGCTCAAAATGGAAGCTGGCACATCTCTACAGATGTATATATTATGTGGTCATAGCACGTCTATATCACGATTTCAAGACTCTACGGCATGAGAAGAAGCAAGCTGCACTTGCAATGATTGGGCCATACCAGGCAGGGGCTCTTCTCGCTGTCACCAATCCAATTCATTCCGCAGCATGCAAATGAATCCTATCCGACTCAAAAGGGGAACGAAAAAGTAAAAAGATTTTCCCAAGCGAAGAATACGGGTCCCAATTGTGCATTTGATTTCTTGATCGTTGAGACTGGGGATAAACCTTTTAGGAGTCACCAGTGGGCTTCTTGGTGGGTGCAAGCTGAAGCCCCCGGACCTGTCACCCCGCAGCCTCCCGCTAGTGCTGATCGGCGCCGTCGCTGAGCGAGCAGAATTCTCCAACGCCCAATTGGCCAGTTGCTAGGCGTGATAGTCGGGAACTTCCATATCATCCTGCTCGTCATCCTTCAATATCTACAGGCCGGCATCGCTCCGATCTGTCCTCAATTGCTTGGAAGCTTCTAGCTCAGCAAGGATTCCGATAGCTGACAATCTGTTGATACTATTAAAGTGGTGCTGCAGCCGCTCTAGGTAGGTTTGATCCTCCGCGGAGATCGAATCTACCTGTACCACCATCAGTTCGGATATTTACGAGGTTTCGGCATCCATTCACCCCGCACTGGTATTGCTTCCACTGCCAAAACCCTCAATTGACCATACTCAATCGCTTATTTGGCGCTTTTAAGCGAACTATATTGTGACAATATTCAATCATTTTCTTCTCTCCCGCCTAGTCTCATTCACATCACACACATCATGTCTGTTGAAGCGCAACGCGCTGCGTCCCTTGTTGACGCGGAGAAGAAGGCACTCGAACTCTTCAAGGAGATTGAGAAGGACCTCATCCGGCCTGGCATCAGAGAGAAGGAGCTGAACGACCAGATCCACGCCCTGGGCGAATCCCGCCACGGAGTGCGGACGCACTGGCACAAGCGCGTGATCCGGAGCGGACCCAACACATTGGCTCCCTTTGAGGACAACCCGCCGGACCGCGTCATTGAAGAAGACGATATGCTCGTCGTCGACCTGGGCCCCGTATTTGAAGAATGGGAAGCCGATTTTGGACGAACCTATGTCCTCGGCAATGATCCTCACAAGAAGAAGTTGCGCGACGCGCTGGAGCCCATCTGGCATGAGGTCAAACAAAAGTATCAGGCGAACCCCGACATGACGGGCGAAGAACTCTACGAGATTTCCAGTCAAGCTGCCCGAGAAGCGGGTTTCGACTTTGGTGCCCCCATTGCCGGTCACATTGTGGGCAACTTTCCTCATGAACGCATTCCCCGCGACAAGATCTCTCTCTACATCACACCCGGAAACAATGAATCTCTAAACACTGTTGGAAAGGATGGGAACAAGCGACACTGGATTCTTGAGATACACCTCCGGGATACGGCTCGCGGCTTTGGTGGATTTTTTGAGCAAATATTGACTGCCGAGTAATTTTCAATGTCTTCTGTTGGGAAAACTTGCTTCGAGCAGCATCTTGATCGCCACCTATCCGTCAATGTCGGCAGCTGAGCCTCTAGATGTTGTCTCGCATTTACTTTTCACCCTAGACGGACATGGCATAAAGTTCAAGAATGATAAACGGTATTCGGGTCAATGAAAACTATAAGTTGTTTTCGTACTGGAGATATTATAAGGGCAAAATGAAACAGCGAGTTATTTGTTGAAAGCAGTCTCCAGTTCTTGAAATCTGAGCATCTGTACTCAAGGCAGAGGGAATTCATATGTTTTCAGTGATAGCAGCAGTCGGTCGGCGAATGCTGCTGGATTGTAAGCGACGCATTCTCTTACGTAATGCATGTAGCTTCAGACCATCCGAGTACATCGGACGAATATGTCATGATTGCACCTATGGCAAATATGTCACCCTGACTGCTTTGTATCGTTCATGCGGAAGAAAGAAGCAATCAGGGAGACATCCCTTGATTGCGACTGTACTCCGCGTTCAAGGTTCAAAGTGCGTGGGGCATAGTCACGACCCTTGCCGTATCTCCGAGATCGACGCCGATAATCCGAATGGCACTGCTTGGCCGCGGCCGGGGTCACGATGTCGAGCCCCGGATTGATGGTTTCGATAAACGTGTTTCGCCCCATTGTGGCAGCACTAATGCAACGGCATTTCTTGAAAAGAGAATGGTTGATTTGCAGATCTGCAAGGGACCGGTAAATCTTGTCCTTAGTCCGTTCGCTCGCTCGGAGTAACGGACAGTATAAGAAAGTTGCCCAACCCGATTGAAAGAGCTCGTAGAATCGCCCCAGCTCTACGGTTTGAATTCTCAGTGTCACAGACCTACGCTGTTGATCATGAGGTGCACAATTGGTCTCGGCATTTTGGCTGCCATTTCTCCAGCTTTGGCGGCAACGGCAACGCAACTATGGAATTTCACCGAGTATGCCGTCACCATTGAAAACAGTGCCCTGCGCGCCAATGGACAACTTCTCCTCACCACGTTTGACAATGCCAGCCTGTACACCCTGGACACTCTTGCTTCCAGTCCTGTAGCTGAGCTCGTCGCAAAGCTCCCTGGCGCCACTGCCATCGGCGGCATTGCCGCAATCGGCACCGACAAGTATGCCATCGTCGGTGGAATTCGAGGCAACTATAGCTACACCAACGAAACAATCTACACGGTCGACTTTGGCGGAAATTCCTCAAGCCCCGTCATCGAGGTTGTTGCCTCGGTGCCGGATGCCATCATGTTGAACGGACTAGCTTCGCTACCAGCATACCCTCACATCATCCTGGCCACGGACTCACGCCAAGGTGCTGTATTCCGAATTGACACGGATGCTGGAACCTCGGAGCTTGCGTTCGAGGATGATCTCTTCACCTACCCTGCCAATGCAACAACGCCTTTGGGTATCAACGGCATCAAAGTGTCTGATGGGTATGCCTACTTTACCAACACGGGACAGTACATCTTTGGCCGGATTCCAATTACCGACGACGGGTATCAGGCTGGAGACGCAGAGGTTGTAACGTACAGCGATCGAGCTTCCGGATACGACTGGGACGATTTCGTCTTTGATCAGTCCGGCAATATCTTTGCGGCCCAGACTCCCAACGCCGCTGGCCAGATCTTCCTAGATGGAACATACGCGACTCTTGCTGGTGGTGGAAATAGTACATTCTTCCACCGGCCGACCTCAGTGACAGTGACCCCAGATGGGAAAACACTCTATGTCACAACGGGAGGGAACACAGTTGATGGTGTCACATATAGCGGTCAGGTGATTGAGGTCAAGCTGTAGCCAATGCTAGCTAAAAGTTTGTGCCCAGCCAAAGTCTGGGAACGGAACTTGTCATTTAAGTTCATCTGAATCAATCAAATTAGGATTTTTATGAGATGCATCAGGTGTCCTCGCCTTTGGCTGCTGGCATTGATTGTGGCAAGCAACGAGAAGGTGCTCGGCGCGACAAGCATTTCGGCCAGAGGTAATATATGTGAGACAATGGAAACTGGGGTTGAATCTCGCAGTGACGTGGCCGGAAAACCCGAAGTTTATGATGGAGAAGGTCAAAATACCATACAACTCCAACATCAAGTTGCCGGCTGTCCGATTGGGCAAGATACGAGTTCCTCTTCGACATGCACGAAAACCACCAATTGCTCAAGCTTGAGATGGGGTTGCTGGATTCAGAGGGTCTTTTGCGTTTATGAAGTAATGGCATTCATCACTTGCGGCGCACTACGGCAGTGTGCACAGCCGCTGTCCCGCTACCGGTGTCCCCGATCTTAGCCCTGCCTGCAGCCCCAGGGACCCGCAGTGTCGCATTGCATACCCGGATTTCCAGAACATGGCACCAGACCTATTTCGCAAACGACTTCACCGGATGTTAGGGATGGATTTGCCTATGGAACAAGCAACTGAGCTTATGATGATTAAACTTTTGATAAATGTATCGTCTTGCTCGCGGTTGATTCAGGAACCCCAGATCAGGCCCTAAGGCACGTTTAGTGAAAATTGAGTCAGGCAGAGTCGACAGAGAAGAGAAAAAAAATCCTTGGATCGGAATGATTAGCACAGCCTATAAAGTGGAGCACAGTCGCTAGACTGCCAGCAAAGTCAGGGACAAAGTGGAGATTTCGAGTTGGACACTGCGCCTTGGCGAACGCGCGAGCCAGAGGGAACAAACATTTGGTTTCCTTCTCCCAGGTCCCCGTCGCCAGACAGATGCAATGTCTTGCTCTCAGGCAACTCTTCACTCACCATGAGGCTGCGTGGGTTTCTCTTCCATTTACACCTCCAGCTCGGCCTCGGTGCTTATGTTCAATGGAAGCTGTGCGATGACTTCTCGGGCTCGACGACAACGTGGGAGTCTGCGGGCTTGCATGCCTACCTCGAGCCAAATGGGTCGGCAACGCAGGTGACGTTGAGTCTCCATGATTACGCAGACCTCCCAGAGTGCAGCAATGGCTCCGACATCACGAGCGCGACCCTCGACATTACGCTGTTGGGTCTCTCGAAGCGCTCATACACGCCCGCTCTTGACGGGCCCTGCGCTGTAGGCTCGTCCTCTATAGCTAATCAGAGTTCCGACGTCGACTTTGTACAAGCGCTGTCCTTATCGCAGACTATTGACGGCCTGTACCCCCTGTCGTCGTTTCAGCTCGAGCTTCATCTGTACAATTCCACCACTGAGCCCGCCTGCATCTCGGCCATCATCACCCCAGAAATCCCTAGCAGCACGTACAATGCTCTCGTCTTCGGGCCGCTCGCCGTTCTGCTGGTCATCCTTGTGATAAGTTACTGCCGGAGACTCTTTGAAGAACCCTACGTGCCTGAAGAAGATGGCAGCATCCGATTAGCTGACCACGACCCACCCGTGGTCAACGGTATCGGCAATTGTCTTCAGCATCTGCAGTTTGCCTTTCTGACTGCATGTCTGAATTTCTCCTATCCTGGATTTTTCCAACCGGCTCTCAGTTCTCTCAACTGGCTGTCCTTGTTCAGCAGCTCCAACGGTTTCCTAGGAGGCTATTCATATTCTGGCGTCGAGGATGGCATTTATGTGACCAATGGAACCTATGGTGGAACTTATGGCATGGAGCACATGGTCCAGGTCTTGGGTGCGCCCATGACCATGGAGATATGGATCAATATGTTGATTATTGTTCTGATTCTGCTTGCTATAGCTGCCATTCTGGTTCTCATTCACCGGATCATCACTGGGCAACTACAACTCCCAAGGGAGCATCAAACATCGAGCACTACCCAGGAGGTCATCAAGGATACATTGCGAATGGTGCTGACCTATTTCATGGTACCTGTCATTGCGATATCTTCATATCAGCTTGATCATGTCGGAGAGCTTCCGTCATACTTCATATCACTGGCAGTCTTGCTTATTGTCATCATTGGGACAGCGTATGTGTGGTTGTTCCAGACTACATCGACTGCTCGCCTTGCGACGCTCATATTTCCCGTACCACAACACACTCAAGAGACCGAATCCCAACGGCGGGACCTGCGCGTATTGGTGCTAGTACACTTCACGTTAACGTTTGTCCGGGGCATTGCGATCGGCGGCCTGCAAATATCCGGCGCCTCCCAACTTGCGATTCTTATGGGTTGCGAAATAGCCTTCCTATTCTCGATTCTTATGCTACTGCCGAGCATAATGTTCTCAGGCTTGACGATGTGCTCGGTCGGCCGATTCGCTGTCCTCTCGCTAATGATTACCTACCTTGCACCTTCGTCTTCGGCTGCCAAGAGCATTGCATCCTATACCATACTTGCTCTGGAACTTTTCATATTGATTGTGCCAATCTTGTTACTGGAGCTGTGGGGGTTTACCAACATGTTGCTCTCCCGCCGCAAAGCTTCAGGCCAAGCACCGGTAAGGGACAGTCGTGACGGACGCGGAACACATTGATAATCATGCTAACATGCGTATAGGTTTACAATTTACGACGACTTCAGCGACGCAGTTACCATTTGAGACAACTTCCGCAACGGCCTAATGCTAGAGACTATGTACCGATCTGCGTGAACTGCGGTTTGGATCCTTCGATCAAATCAGAGACCTCTGGCACGTTGCGTCCGCCTAGCATCGCAGATAGTCGCGCGAGTACCCTGAGATATCCGAGAACGGCATCGCGTGCACTCAGCGAGAGTTCACGACACCTTTCATTGTCTTCTCGGGATCTGTCGCCTTCTGCCTATGAATCCTTGTCCACTTCGGGAAAGGGTAATCACACGGAGGTTTCAGATGGATTTGCTACATACGACGATTTCCGCAGTCAGAGAGTAGCGTCGAGGGGATCATATCAATCACTGGCATCGGCTGATATAACACCTGCTCCAGGAGTCGACTACTCTGTGCGGGAAATGGATTCATTCTACCGCGAGCCGAGGGAGCGAAACTTTGGCGACGCGCCACCAGAGACTGTAGGGAGCCGGCTGATGGGAGGTCTCGACTCAGTCACAAGCTGGTGGAAAAGACCACGGAAATGAGTGAGTTAAAGGATACTATGCAACATCTAATAGAGACCTTCGAGCAGAACCTAGGCAAGCATTCCGGGATTCCCAACTCTCACCTGAGACAATGTGAAGGGAAAGATGTGATCGATGGAGCTTGTAAGATATGTCGGCATTGATCCTACAATCTACGAAAGAGAGGTGCTGAAGAGCCATCCATTGTACCCAAGCACGGGATCTGCAGTGGGTATTGGCTACATCAGTGCACCACCAACTCCTAGTGAAGTAGGGAAGACCACACCATACATCCGAGATCTCACCAGAGAGATACGTTTCAGGAGGGACTCTTGCATAGTTGCAACAATGCGTGCGTGGTTTCTTCGATTGGTGTTATTATCGCCTACAGCAATCATTCCCCTACGACGATCTATCACTGAGTTTCTTCTGCTTGCGCCACTCCTCGGCGTACTTGACGCCAAATCCGTGCTCGAAAACGGCCCTGATCTCCTCCAGCGTCATGGTAGCCGCCTCAGGGAAGCAGTAAATGGCAAACACCCAGCCGAGAAACGAGGTGCAGGCATAGAACCCAAAGGTGCCTGACGGGGTAATACCCTTCATCATGGATAAAAAGGTGGATGACACAATGATGTTTGGACCCCAGTTGAAAATGTTCATTGCCGTAGTACCCATGGCACGAACTTCCATGGGCATGAATTCGTTGGCCTGCCACGGCACACATCCTAGTCCCGCAGCATAAAAGGCCACGAACAGAATTAAAGCCACCAATACGATGTATGCCGGTGTACTGACGTGATCATCGGTCACTTCGAGGGTATTGAGATCGATCGGAATCCAGTGGAAGGCGATAGCAGCAGCAGCAAGACACACTGGCATTGCCCACATGGTCCAGATCAAAATTCGACGTCGCCCGATGCGATCTATGAAGATGATGGATACCACTGTGAATATCCAGTTTACGGCAGCGATAATGGTACCAACGGCCACGGGGTTTTCGAATCCGACTATAGCAAACAGCGTGCTCGAGTAGTACATCATGGTATTAAACCCGCATATTTGTTGAAAGAACACTAAGGGTATAAGCATTAGCGGATTCATAAATGCTTGGTGTGGACCATAGACGGAGAGACGTTTATGGAGCTTGAAAAATGGACAGTCTTCGACATGAACAATAAATGGGTACATACTCAAACCACATGCTGCAGTGACAGCTCGCAAGTTTGCAGGCACTTTGAAGATATTTTTGGTAGCCGTTCGCAGTGAGATCTCCTCAGACAGGGCCTTTGCCTGCATGACTCCAAGCTCCAAGGATATCATTTTATTTTCGACGTTTCGTTCGGTGGCATGGGGGTAGATTAGACGCAGTACTCTTTCACAATCGGCCCGGCGGCCATGGAACATGAGTTGACGAGGCGACTCTGGGCACCAGAAGAGCAGGACGCCGAGAATGATGGAGATGATGCCACCTACGCCCACCATGTATCGCCAACCGTGCGCTACGTTTGTGAATGCAGCGGCAAATGCGTATGCGAGGATCGAGCCGGTGCCCAGGAATATCATGTCTACCGAGATCATCCGGCCACGGTATCTGGCAGGTGACAGTTCTGCAATGTAAACAGGTACAATCTGATTTGAGAGCGTTAGAACCTATCAATCAAGAATGTGTGCTCAATAGGGGAAAGGGTACACCCAGAAATTGAACTTCTACATACCATTGAAGCTGAACCCACACCCAGGCCGATTAGAAATCGACCAATGCACATTTGGATGATAGAATACGAGAGTGCTTGGACAAGAGCCCCAGCAGTAAACAAGACACTGGCAAACCAGATGGCAGGTCTTCTACCATATTTATCGGCAGTGATACCGGCTATGATGGCACCTACCAAGGCTCCCGCGGCACATAGAGCCGTGATGAGTTCTTTTTCGTTGGATGTCAACGGCCGCCCGTCCAAGTCGGAGCCAATGACGACGAGGACGCCCGAGATGACACCCGTATCGTAGCCAAAGAGCATACCGCCAATCGCGGCAGCGGATGCGCAGAGCCAAACAAACGGTCCGGGCTGCGTATCCTCAATCTCCTCGAGCTGTCGGTGCTCGGCAATTTTGACACTGGCGTCGAGGGCATCTTGGTCTTCAATGTGTTGTGAAGACTCTGCCTCCTTGGTCTCGACTTTGAGGTTCGGGGCTTCGGCGTTGGATGCCATTCTGATTGATCGGACCTTGTTACTGTAGAATTCAAGAAGAAAGTTTGCGGGGCTGGCCATGAACGGCAGTGAGGGAAAATCCCGTTATCCTAGATGGCGGTTTACTTCAACAGTTTATATAGATGAACGGTAACGAGGACAGCGTCGTCAAGTGTTCCTTATCGCCGAGCTTGCGTGCGAGTCTACCAGTTATCAGATTAAAGTTCAACAAGGAGTAGTAGGAGAGGCACGAAGCGCCGCTTGGGTCCTCTGATATAGTTTATTGCATCACTCTCGAGGCGTCTTGGATATAGCCAAGGACTGCCGGACAGGGCAGCGCATCACGCTAACGGTCAGAATCCAGCGCTGGCCAGCGAATAACTCTCCTCTAGATCCCCTCCCCCGCGTCGGCGCCCCAGATTTTCCCCAGGTATTGCAACCCCGGATTACATTAGAATGAGGCTATTCCTAGCCTGGAGATACCAGGCACTGGTCCGGGCCATCATTCGTCAATGTGAACGTGCCTGAGTCGCATTGTTAAGTGGGTGTCGGGTTTTTGTTGCCTGTTCTGCAAGTACGGCAAGTATTTCCGGCCCTGGACGCTAGCGAACCTCTCAGCTGGTCAGCGCCAACAGGAGCCGCCGGAAACTCCTACCCCATTTGCCATTTCGCGCAGGGATTTCCTATCGCCGAGTGACTATATGCAGACAACATGCCTCTAGCACGTCGGCAATGTTTGTTTCAGTATACATGCATCTAGCATCATCATTGCTCGCATCGTGAACATTCTTACGCCTCCACCATAATGTCCAAGTATTATGCATCATGAACGATCATGACCCAAAAATTCAGGCGGGGCCTAGGCTAGTCTCGGCGATTCGTGACCGCATTCAAGAGCGTCTTGTCTGCCGATCTCCGGCTTCGTTCGAGTAAATCGTGGTCCGCGATTATACATTGTTCATTCAGTTCTACCAAGACCGCCGATTATATTCTCAGTACTCGCAGAATGGGGTCCAGTACGAAGTACAAAACGAAACTCGAATTGCCTCTGGACGGTGTCGTGTCTTTGCCTATATAAGGGCAAACCTTCCAGCCTGTGTTGATGTTCTAAGAAAACCATATTCATCATCTCTCCTTCTCTATCACAATGGCACCTCAAAAGCTCAAGATTGGCGCAGCTGGCCTCGGCCGCATGGGCAAGCGACATGCCCTGAACTTTTTGCACAGAACACCAAGAGCTGAGTTGGTTGCTGCCTTTACCCCAGATCCCACCGAGCAGCAATGGGCAAAGGAGAACCTGGAACCCTATGGCGTGACGGTGTACACGGACTATAAACAGATGCTTCAACATCCGGGAATCATGGCCGTGGTCATTGGCACTGCCACTTCGGTCCATGCCGAAGAGTCAATCCAGGCCATGGAGAAGAACTTGCATGTTCTCTGTGAAAAGCCACTGTCGACGAGTCTAGACATTGTAAGCACACACCAACTACCGAAACGTCCATAATATCCTTCTAACACTCTCCTTGCAGTGCCGGGACGTCATCAATGCCGCCAAAGCCAAGCCTCATCTCAAGGTCATGTGCGGCTTCTCTCGACGCTTCGACTCCTCCTACAGAGACGCCTACGCCAAGTCGGCACAAGGCGCCATCGGCCGGCCCACCATCCTGCGCAGCCAGACGTGCGACAAGAACGACCCCTCGGGATTTTACGTGGCCTACGCTGCGTGGTCGGGCGGCGTCTTTGTCGACATGGCCGTTCACGATATCGACCTGACCCTGTGGTTCTTTGGCGACGAGATCGTGCCCAAGAGCGTGTCGGCGTATGGTGTCACAGCCGTCCAGCCCGCGCTAAAGAAATACAATGACTTTGACAATGCCGTCGGCATTGTCGAATTTTGGAGCGGTCAGATTGCGTATTACTACTGCTCGCGCATGATGGCCCACGGCCAGGAAGACACGACCGAGGTCATTGGCACCGAGGGCAAGCTCTCGGTGAACGCGCACCTGGCGCAGAACCTGGTGCAGTACTACCACCCCGGCGGCATCACGCGCGATGTGCCGGCGCACTATTACGATCGCTTCGAAATGGCCTTTGTGACCGAGGCCAACGAGTTTGCAGAGGCGTGTCTGGATAACAAGCCGTTGCCGCTCCAGTTGAACAATGCCGTCAAGGCGGTGGAGATTGGCGCCGCGCTGCAGGAGGCGTTGGTTAGTGGCAAGCAGATACGGTTTGATGAGACTGGTCGGCGTATCGAGAATGCACAGCTGTAATGAATTTGCATATGAGAAAGGAGACTTCACTGCGAGAATTACCTAGACTCGAATAATCAGATCAAAAACAGGTATTGTTCTTTCTAAGTACCAGCAGCAACCAAAAAACGTGTCGAATAAACAATACCAGATAGTGCTGCATTGCTCACTATGATTCAGCCTAGTACCAAGTCCACTTCTTTTAAATCGTGGCTTTCCCAGACCAGCTTGTCAACCCGTCCATTACCTTTCCGATACGCGACACCTCCAATCCATTCGATCCACAAGACACAATATTTCTCCATGAACTGCGGATTCTCGATAATATCACCTTCATTGGCTTCATTCCGAGGATATCTCCGTAGACAAATGGCGACAAGCTCCACATTGATCATTTCCATGAATGCAGACCGAGATTCCAAAGAATCCGCCCAAACGTTCCCAACACGATCGCCAGTGATTCCCAGAATGGACAGGTGGTAGGACTTTCTTTTGGCTCGAAACCATCCACGTCTTGTTTTGCAGGATAAGAATGGATGCTGCGGTCGCTCGTTCATGTTGGAGCTCTCAGTGAAATCAGCTAGAGGAAATGGGAACCAAAATAGTTTTCCAGGCAGTCTTGAATGTTTATAAACAAAGTTGCCACGTTTGAGAAGTCCTTGTTCATGACCGTCTGGCTTGTTACTATGCTTCTGCGGGTCGAACTCTTCTTTCTCCCATCCCTGCGCAAGTGCAGATTGATCATCGAGATCGTTTCCCGGGGAATCTCTTCCACGGTGTAGAAGCGTTGATCGAATTGCAAACTTTGTGCTCGAGTTAGAAGTCTCATGGCTGTACCATTGGGTGATGCGAATTATGATAGGACGGTCGTCATACAGCTCCCCAGAGTTCTCATCTATAAATTCGAGATACGAAGTTTGCCAGCCTAACCATGACCAGGATGGAAGCTGCGACCCCGGAAGGATAGAATGATCTTGCCCCGAGTGGATGCGTCTTTTCGTGCCCTTGGGCTGACCATACCACATCAAGGCAGACTCAAAGCGCATTTCCGGAAGGCCGTAAATGAATCCTCCCACGAAAGAACGGGCCAGTATCGAAATCAAGCCACTAGCGCCTGCCAAGGCATCTCCGGGAAATGTGAGATCCCTGGAAATGTATTCCCGGAACAAAGGAACAAGCTCATCGAAGTTTGGGTTTCCGGAAACTATATCTGGCGTCTGAAACTTTGCTGTCGTGTCGTGCGAATTTGAATCTCTGCCAAGAAGTTCTTCATGGCAAGTTGCAGTAGAACAACTCCAATGGAACTGTTTGTTTCCAATAATCAGACGTCTTTTTGAAAGAAAAAATTCTTGAAAAGTCCAGGCGCGACTAAAATATGGCGAGCTCTCCTTAACCTCCCACCCCCCAGCATTGTAGAGCAGAGGCAGATCGCGCAAAATGATTTTATTTTCTCTTCCAAAAGAGAAGACATCTTGGCGCAGGTTTCGTGACTGCGAGATACCCCTCAGTCCAGGAATTCCGTGATTAGCATCTCCATCTGTCGCAACAATTGTAAACTTCGCCGAAGCATAGATGGCTCCCACTGCAGTATGATATGTTAGCGTTGTTCTCAGCCAAATTTGGTCGACATTGTATTGTCGAATTCCCACTTTCTGTGGGTGTTTTGCTCAAGACATTTGATGGGTCATTGTCCAAAAGCTTTGGTATAGAAAACTGAAATACGTACTGAACAACAATTGTTGCTTGGAATGTTCACTGTCATTCTGGACAATGCACAATGCATCAGCCCAAAGATAACGCTCACCCAGCACGTTTATTAGCTTTGCGGCATACTGGATCATCGGTGAAACAAAATTTGCAAATTTGGGCTGCAAGAGGGCTCCTGGTTGCTGAATTTCATTCAATATGCTTAGTTCGGTCTGGAGAAACGATGTACTGCCCCATCTGTAGCTCAATGCGACATAGTTGACGACTCCATCTCCGGGGACCAAACAGTTGTTGACGACATCTATCAGCCAGGCAGGATGAGTGTGTTGGATTTTAAATGGGTTGCAACATAAATCGCCATGCTTCGACACACATTCCTGTATCCAATGACGAAGTACCTCGACTTCCACCCAATCACTATCAAGCTCACGTCCACGGCATACGACTTGGGTCTCGGTTGACGTTTCGACGAACAGGTACTGCCATGCCTCAAGCCGCTGGCCGAATTGCCGAGGTATTCGTACTCGTTTCATCTGTCCGCCCTCTCCATCACGTGAAGTAACGAGTACTTCGGGCATTCTCCGTGTGTCATTAGGAGAATGCATCTCTCCTATCAGAAATGATATGAATGGATCATGATGATTGCACGGCTTCTGATCGATCAAGTCTTCTATCGGTATCTTCTCTCTGCCAGAGCCTGCCTTGGTCAGTAGCCCCCATAGGCGCCGACAAATAGAGCAGGACTCGACAACCGAGGCAGTATCACCATCAGATTCCTGGTCCCGTGCGTCCACGTCCATAGCAACAGGAATACTCCGGCGAAGGCTCAGTGTTGATTCATTTCTTAGTTTTGGCACGTGATTGCCAGAAAGGTGCTGACAGGGCCAAGGTGGGAGCGATTGTGCCAACAGTTAGGATGATGAGAGGGGGTGTAAGATTTCTTTTCGCTGCATGCTCCTCCCCTCATCTAGGTGCATGCTTCCCCGCCTTCCAGTACGGCTGAAGGGTCTGTGTCACGTAGAGCCGCAGCTTGTTATCGCTGCCTGAAAAGGGGCAAGACTTGGCCATCCAATCAAGACAAATTTCATGGGCCCAGCCTTGCTTTGTGCTTTCAAAGCCGCAACGAACAGACCAGCGACGAGGTTGCGCGTCTATTCTACTTACCATAACAATTCAGCGCTGTTCTTCGTTCTTCAACAATGACGAAAGGCCATCTGAGAAGGTACACATGAAATCAGTCACTGCTGGTAGACGACTACACGAATGCAGCTGGATCCCGTGCATCGAAGTAAACGAAAGCTGAGCGTGTGTTGAAAGAATGACGTTGGGTCTTTCGGTTTTGCACCGTTCCGAACGACACTAAATGATTCGCAAAACATGAGGACTGGATTGCAATGGAGTATCAATCGACGATAAAACACACGAGAGACTAATGACGAAGCTTCAAGATACGTTTCGATCGACATAAAAGGTATTGATATCGTGAAGGCCCACCCTAGGATATTCCACTTGTCTGAATTCGACATGATAGCACTGACGGTGCTGATTGGGTCGCCCTGACCCGACAGAATGGATAACAACATGGAACAAGCAAGGATTATATGGCACCACAGTTGAAATTTGAAATCACGCAACCCCTCTTCGCAACCGCATGTCTTTTAATCACCGCACTCGCGAATCGAAATACACCATATCTTTGAATCGAACCTAATCAGACTGCGGGAAGGAAATCATTTGCGATTAGCCCGTTGGAATCGACGCATAATGTCTCCGGCTGGCCAGAATGGTCGGGATCGCGCCGAAAGTGTAGTGGTAGAAAACGTGTCGTATACCCACGCCATGCTACGGCCACCGATTCGTTTGTACAGCGAATCCATTCCCCAGGTGGACCCTATACTTCGAGAGTTTGCGTATTTGGAGAGAGCGACAACCGATCCTGACTTTGCTGTTCAGGCCAACGAACAAGTCAATGCGTCATTAGGCCGTACCCCAGGTGGGTTATCCGTCATTGATCCCAACTCGGTGCTTGGGGATTCGGGTAGATTGTACCACGGTTACAAGGATGGAAAATATTATTTCCCCAACGATGCTGTTCGTACCATTGCCTACACCATGAAGTTCGCATGCTAAGTTGATCAATCAAAGGCTGAGCAGGACCGTTTAGATCTTCAGCATCACCTGTTGACACTCCTTCTGGACGGGTGGCACGGTCTTGCACCCTTACAGTTCAACAAAAGGAGAAAAATTATCCTAATTTTGCCTAGTTTTCCTCGAGAGACAGTGTTTTACTTGTGAAACCTGCATAAAGCTAGCCTAATTGGGCTTAGCGCCGTCCGTGCACCTGTCTTATGATCAGCTTGCATTGGTTTACCAGCAGTTTGCATATATTATCGTACTCGAGACTCGATATTCAATTGTAATTACTACCTTGATTTAACATGCTACAGCATTCAAACATGCTTTAGCATTCAAATATGCTACAGCACATTTTCCACCTTAAAAGCCGAAGTCAATAATGCAGTTATCAACAGATTATGTAGGTAAGCACCTCTGTGTCAGTCTATCATCTCTCGGTTACATTGATCAGGACCTCATCAAGCCTATTATCCAGTTCACGCCCTCAAAAGGTTCTAACATCAAGTCCTGCGCGACCAAGAAAGTCGGCTAGCTTGTCCTGGTCCACCTTCAGCTGACTGAAGGCCTCGGTGACCTGCTCAAAGTTCCTGCCCAGCTCGTCCAACTGGACTTGAAGCTCTTCCCTCTGCTCATCGATGGCCGTCAGGCGATTGGCGATGGCTGGCTTGTACTTCTCAATGAGGGCAACCTGACGGGCATTCTCGGTTCCGTCGAACTCCTCCGGCATGAGCTTGGTGACGAGCGTTACGAACTCGACTGTCTTCTCAAGGACCAACTTGTCGTCTTTCTTGCTCTGCGAGCCAAAGAACTGCTTGGCTTGGCCGCCGGCGGTCCTGTCGAAGGGCTGGCGCGGCGCAGCCTGAGACCAGGCGCCGCTGGGGCCGGCCTGAGCGCCCTCGGGCTTTCGGAGCGGCGACGGGATGTCTATGCTCATCTTGTCCGGCTGAGTTTGGTCGTCTGCGCCGGGTCCGGTGAGGCCCTGCCCAACGTCAGCAAAAGCCTCTGCGGAGGCTTGGCAAACTTACCTGGTCGTCAGCGGAAACCGGACCGACGGTCTCGCCCTTCTTGTTCTTGACAGATGGCAGGGTACTCAGATCCTTGCAGCCCTTGGCAAACTCGAAGATGTGTGTCATGTAATCTCCTCTGGCCTTGTACGAGGCCTTGCCAACGCCGATCAGCTGCTCGAGGTACGTGGCCATGTACGTCATGTCCGCGTCGGCGAGGACAGAGGCCAAGTCAAAGAGGCGCTCCAGGTCCTCCCATTTGAACTCCATCTCGTACAAGCCCCGCACAGCAATCAGCTGGGCCTTCAGGAGGGCCCTGCCATTATCGAAGTTGACGGGCAATTTTCGGTCCTCGTTGGCCTTGCGAAGTACCGCGACGGTATCTTGCCACCAGGTGCCCACGAAACGCTTCTCCAGCGTCTGGGCGGTGGGAGTGCTGGAGGACATGTTTACGTGCGACGATCAAGATGCAGGCTGAATGCTCAAGATGCTGCTCAGCTTGGTGGAATGTGTCAAGGTTACAGAGAGATCAGGAGCACAGGATGAAGCAAAGATCAACACAGGCAACAGAGATCAGGCAGGCGGCGAGGACCACTCAAGCGCAGGCGTCATCCGGCAGGCGAAAAGCGTCACGGCCGAACAGCAAGTCAGGCTGAGGAAGACACCCTTTGACGGCGATGTTAGAAGCTGGGCCCAACGTCACGTCAAAGCATTTGATTGAGGCTGTATCAGTTGGTCTCGGTGCTCCATGTCTCTGGTCGCAGTTGCGAGACCACTGTGGAGCGACCCAGATGATTCCATACGTGATCGCGGCCAAGTTATCAACCCAGGCACATCAACAAGCCCAAGCCATGTCCTGAATACGGTGCTGTTCTTATGAAAAAAACCATTTCCCCCTTTCCCCCTTGGGCCCGGCCAGCCGATGAAGATTTGCATTCCCAAAGTCCAGTCGCCCACGACACTTACATTTTCCAGGCCTGATCAACCTGGAGATCGTGAGTCCGCCGATGGGGGGGACCAAAACAGAACACCAAAGCGCAGCAGCACACGCCGGCGCTCACCACCCCACAATATCCACGGCAAGCCGCATGAAGCCCGGGGAGAGACTCCCGCATCATTGGTGGGAGCGATACGATGCACGTCGGCTGAACACACCTGGATTTGTTGGAAGGCTCAACGGAGAAAAATATCCCCAAGACCCATCACACCGCCCTCAGCCTGCGACCATCGCCACTCTCACTGTCGTTTGTCCTGGCCAAATCACGCCAGAGAGCTTCTCGACACAGGCCACCACCCTGGCTTCACCGCCTTGGCCATTGGGCATCTGCGCTAGCCATGCGCCGGGCCGGGCTGGAAGGAGATCGGGACTGCGCATGCTGTCCCGGACATAGCGCCATTCCTCCCACTCGCTTCCAGGGCAGAAAACAACCAAACAAACGAATCAGGCGAATTTGAGGGGTAAGGCAAAGACGAGGAGCGTCATCAGCGGCACCTGCGTAGTTGAGGAGTACCGCCAGCGGCATTCATGTCTCGGGCTGGAGATAAATGGTCACAGCATGGCGCAGGCGGACATCCAGTAGCTTAGTCGTAAACACTGCAGCTGTCATCACTGCACATGGCGAGCAAGAAGGTCTGGCCAACCCCATTGCTCAACATGGCGCGTGATCGGACTCAGGGCCTGGCCAGCCTTGCGCCCGCAGCCGCGAGTGGTGTAGAAAAGTTGAATACATGATTTCAAGACACGCCGGGATCGCACAGTGCTAATAGCACTATAGTTCAGCTTCGTGAGACAGCAGCGTCGTGATCTTGGACAAGCATCAGACACACTGGTATCAGACCGGAAAGATGGCATTACGCCAGTCTTTATGATGCGAGGTAGAAGTAGTATGAGAGAAGCCCAAGCACCAGGCCCGCGTCCCGGGAGCCTTCAAGCCCTCTGATGTCCTTGCACATTCTTCACTCATCGCCCAGCACCTGCTCTGCATTCCTAACTCGCCAAAATGACACGAGGCCAGCTCAATACTACCGAGGAGGCGGAGATCCCTGACGTCTTCCCTAACATCTTCTCCATGACGGTCAGACAGCTCGAGAACGTCGCGGCGCCCCTGGGCATAGTTACCCAGAAGATCGGCAACAGCCCCTACAAGGCGGAACTGATCGCACGCATCTTCATGCACTGGGCTGAGCTCGAGCCAGGCACCCAAACAAGATACCTCGGCACCGTCATCATGCTCTGCAAGGGAACTCAGAAAGAGATGCTGGACTACGCCAACGACAACGAAGTCCCCGAGCATCCACACCCACAGCTCAAGGAGCACAAGAGCGGCACCATGCAGCGCATCCTAGAGCACATCCGGCTAGTCGAGGAAGATGCCGAGAGCACACTGAGCAGAACGTCGCGAGGCACCAGATCGCGTGGGGGACTCCGCCGTATACGCCGCCACAACAAGCGGAACTCGACCGCATCTCTGTCACAGGATTCTCGATTTTCAACAGACAGGGACGCAAACCAAGCCAAAGTGCTGGAGGCGCTGGGCGCATTCGTCCAGTCTCTCGCCGTTCTTCTGCCCAGTGCAGACCGCCGCAACAGGCACCGCCGAGGCAGGGGCCGTCCGGAGACACCAGTCTCAGAGATCTCGACGTCATCCTCTCTCATACTTGTCCGCGAGCTAGAGAACGAGCTCGACGAATGGGAGGGCGACATCTACGGCGTCCAGCGGCGCCAGGTGACAGAGGCCGATCGTTTTGACAGGATCAGAGAGATCTTCCAGGAGCTCCTCAGAGACGACACCGCTTAGCACCGAGGATAATGCACCGCGAAGGAAGGGCCTAGGCTGAGGTGGAAGGGCTCTCCATCCATGTACCTATGCAAAGTTGTAGAATTCAGATATTTGTTTGAAATCCAAAGTACGTGGCAACGCTCGAAAGCACCTTTGTCCGTAGTCTGCATTGAGAGCACCCACATAAGGCATCCTTCCACGCGTGCATAGGTGGCAGAACAAACGTAGTTGAGCATCCTGGATCCAACCCAAGTCGTGCCGGTGATCTGGCAGCCTGGCTGCCATCTCCCGCAAACCGGTTCCTTGATGCTAAGAGCCATGCTCAGGCCAGCTGCAACCGAGACATCTTGATTCTTAATGCCTGAATATTCTCAAACGCGCAGTCGTCTGCCTATTAAAGGGCCACGCCGGCGTCTAGGATTGCCGCCACCTCAAGGACTACGCACTCCAGCTCCACGATCATCAAAGATACATTCCCGAGCAACTAATACCAAGCTCCTCCCCAGGTCCAAAATGCAGAATACCAACCACAGTTTCCAGCTCTATATTCGGAGCCCGCCTCCGTATACCGTTGGCTATTGTATGAATGCCAATACAAAGGACATGAGGCAGACCCTGATCTTGCTGGGTATGCCAGAGCTCACAGCGAGCTCCATTACCCCAAACGAAGCAAAGGCGATTCTGAATATGGTCTCGTACGGCCTTGACTATCGCCGGGACGGCACCACCTTCCAGACGCTCGTCAAGATTTTCGCGACGACATCGTCCGCGAGATACCAAGTCTCGGGCGCCCAACAAGGCAGTCAAGTGAGCCTCGAAGGTCACGTCAAGACCTACATGGATGTATGTGCACGAACACGCTCCGCTGTTCTCCAGTCTCTCTAACTCTGATAGAATCTTCTCGTACTGCTGGAGAGCATCGCGGACGAAAGAGCCCGCGTCGCTAGGGAGGACGAGGAGAGACAGCGACCTGTACGTGCAACCAGAAGCACCAGGGGGAGCCCCGCTGTTCGTGAGGTCGAGAAGAAGCCAGTCTCGTCGCCCATCTCAGCCGTGAGAAAGATTCTGCAGCCCAAGAAATCCGGCGATCAAGAGATGACGTCCCCCACCTTTGGCCGACGACATCGAACTTTGACCATTGTACCCAAGGCATCCGGCAGCGCCAAAAGCGACGCTTCTGGTCCGGCGCACGTCCTGAGCGGCCTCTTGAGCTCGCCGCGCACCCCGACCACTCCCAGCGCGGCCCGCCCTGAGGATGCCCTAGCGACTATTCAAAACGCCATGGACCTCTTCAGAGGAAAGCAGATCTCCCGTTCCGATAGCAACAAGCGACGTCGCCGCAGCGCCTCTGCTGAAGACGAAGAGGGCGACGCCATCTAAGTTGGACATGCGAGAGGATAGACCGGTGGAGAAGATTACAAAGGTTGAAGACAGGCTGTGTGGGACTTGCTGGCAAGCTCACCACCATGCTGCAGCATGTACTCTACGCCTCTACCATGTCGGGCGATTCTGGATAGACGGCGACAATTCTCCATAGATTTACCATACTTGAGAGCGGCATAGTGTGTTACAATAGAGCATACGAGGGGTCACCTACATCTTGAGGCCAAAGCCAGCATGCATACATGAAGACTAATGCTCAGATCCGTCGCCCGCGCATAGTCCCGTGATTTTCCCCCAATCTTCGGCAAAATACATTATCATAATATTTTGGCCTTCTTTACGCAACAGCAAACGACAATAAATGCGTGGGGAGCATAGATTTGGCAAATGATGTTGAAATAGGAGCCCGGATTTCGGGCTTCATGCTCCACTATAAAATATATATATATATATACCTCTCCCTACTCCTATAAATACGTACAGATATTCAACCAACTAATCAATCACTTCACTTACCATAACCTCATTCATCTTAACAAACGAGGCCGTTCGAACGAAAAGGAAGCCAACGCTTTTTGATTTTCTCTTTCCATCTTCCTCCAGCTCGTTCTTCTAGCCTATCATTCAGTTACCCTTCTCCGATTGCCTGCATAAGCATTTTGAGCATCACTTGTTGCGCAAACTCCTCAATATGGATGCGCCTGAGCACCTAAAGAGAGAGGAGGGCGGGATCCGGAGCAATAACGGCATTGACGGACTCGATACCCAATCATTTCAAAACGATCTGGTTGATTTCGACGAAAGGCTACAGACGGTGGAGCGATTTCAAACGCGAGAGCGACATCAAGCACAGGATCGCCATGACGATCTGGTTGATTTCGACGCAAGGCTCCAAGCAGTGGAGCAATATCAAGCACAGGATCTCACAGACAATCTAGTCCAGATCAACGAAAGGCTACAGACGGTGGAGCGATTTCAAACGCTAGAGCGACATCAAGCACAGGATCTCAAAGACGATCTGGTTAATTTCAACGCAAGGCTCCAAGCGGTGGAGCAATATCCAGCATATGATTTCGAAGACGGTCTATTTGATTTCGACGCAAGGCTTCAAGCGGTGGAGCAACGTCAAGCGCAGGATCTCGCAGACAATCTGGCCCAGATCGATGAAAGGCTCGAAGCGGTGGAGCAACATCAAATACAAGGTCTCAAAGACGATCTGGTCGAGATCAAGGAAAGGCTCCAAGCCGTGGAAATGATGGAAGAGCATAACTCTGCTCGTATGAATAGCCTTTTGCGCTTGCTGAGCGAGTGCGCCCATATGTTACGTGGTTTTTGATAAGTTAAAAGGGGTGATTGTTACGTGTATAATACCCCACAGGCCACTACGGCTATTCTGCCCTCTTTGATAGATTCATTCCAACATTTCGATCCATAAGCAATTACAGAAAGGCAGAGATAATTTTTGCATATCGCTTGAGGCCAGCGCCAGGGTGTGCGTAGACTAATGCTGGGACCCGTCGACCGCGGCACGTTGTAAGTGACATGTCTACAAAGTACACACCACCGATGTAATACTTTTTACCTGGAAAAAGAAATATCCGTGACAAGGCCTCGTTTCCGTCTGTCGTTTGTAAAGAAGCTCTTCCACGTCTTCACCTTTTCTACTCCCCGCGGCAGCATCTCAGCTTTCCGGGACTCCGCTCAAGATTCATCGCCACCATCTGGCAATACCCTCTGCGCTCGCGATCATTCCCTATCGGACAAGCTTTAATCTACCTCTCAAAAAGACGCCATGCAGTCCAGCTCATCCCACCACTCGCCTACTCCTGATCCTGATGGGTCACCCCGGGCTGACGGCGAGCTCATCGTCCGCAAGCCAATGGAGAAGCAGCCAGACGAAAGCCCTCAGGCCGCAAGCGACAAGCAGCGCCAAGATGACCAGCGTATTTCTTCCCCTAACGGCCCCTCCGGCAACATGGCAGGTTCAACAGATGGTCGCGCCGCACCCGCCCAGGCTGGCAGCTCGGCCACGACGAACAACCCTGGCGATCAAGGCAGAAAGAACAATATGGAGAAGATGGCCTTAGAAGTACAGCAGTCTATTGCGAATGGACTCTACCGAGATCTCAAGAGGTGCGAGTCCGACCTCGACATCGCTCGCCAACAGCTCGAGTTGGCCCATAGCGAGCACGAGCGACTCAAAGCCGAGTTCGATCAGGCATTCAAAGACTACCACCTCGCGAGCACCCAATTCGTCGCGGTCAACAGCAAGATGACCAATATACAGGAGGTTCTGGCCGATTTGGCGGACAGACTCGAGAAGAACGGCTTCGAGCTCGGGGACGACGGCTTCGAGAGAAAGTAGGGCCAATAATCTCGCCTCGACGCGCCCGCCGCTCCAGCTACGATCCTGCTCGAGAGAACCTCATCTTCCTTCGGGCCGGATCAAGTACCGGCATCTAAGTGGGAGGAAAAACAAAAGGTGGATAGACAAGACAGTGGTATTCGCTTTGACTTTGGGGATTTCATTTTTGCATACAGGCCAAACAAGAAGAACGAAGACACCGCGAGGTGGAGATGTAGCCTATGAATAAGCCTAAGCAAGGCTTTCGGTCGGACGGGAATGGCCCTGCATCCCATCTATTTGCATGCTTAATTCTACTTTGCTGCCTGACATCTCCTTATTGAATAGTTCTTACCATGCAACGTTTCCTATGCGTCAAGCTGTTATCTATCTCTCTGGTGCTCGACAGGAGGTCAAAGACAACAAGGGATCTTGCATGCTGCTTTGCCAGCCCGGAGCTGCCGGGTCTGACTATATCAGAGCCTGACATGTCTTCACTCCATTGCTTATACACACTCCTGTCGGATGTGGATGCCTTGAAGCTATAGCGGGACGCGCGTTTGTAGATTCGGTCTTGTTCTCTTTTCGATTGATCTCGCCCATCCAATTCTTCCCACCTTGAAAGCCCCTTTTGTGTGATCTCTTGTCCCATCGCTTTTGATATCATCCCACGACATCACACTTTGCTCAACCGCAAAAGCCCAGTGATCAAAGCAGCGCTGCAGTGTGGTTTGGAAGATGATAGCCCGAGCACTTACAGCTGCGCAAGCTGCATGTCTTGGTGTCAAACATGGCACTTCACAACCTGGACTACTCTGCCCTAATTGACCACACAGCTTTGTTTATCTGCCATTCGATACATAGTCACATGGCCAAAGGCGACTCAAAGGAGCACCCAGCGCTCTACGCCCAGGGACATCCAACGGCAGGCAGGTCCCGATCGCTCTGCTTGTCTTCCTTTCGGAGTCATAACTGTATTTAAACTCTCATTATTTCCACTGCCTCTTCTGACACCGCCCGGCTTATCGGTTTCTGACCACACATCCTCTCTAATCTCGCCTCGTTTGTGCTCTGATCAGACCAAAGGCTCACAATGCCTCCGGCTACCTCTCTACCAGGCCCACCGCCAATGTGCCTCCTATGGGCAGACGCCCTTTGCCATGGCAATGACATCCTTGCGGCCTCCAAGTGGCTGGGGCTGCCCCAGGCCAACGAGTCCAACCACGCCGCCGCGAGGTTCACTCGCGCAGCCAGAATGGCCATGTTCTGCTACGGCATTGACCCAGATGAGTATCCAGAAGAAGTCGAACAGGTGGCCCGCCTTCTAGACCCTGTTCAGCGGGTAAAGAACATCTGCGAAGCCGGCGACGTCCCGTGGGAGCCCGTGACGGTTCGCCAGCTGACGGAAGGACATCTCAAGGCAAGTCGCGCCCACCGTACTGCGGACTGCAACTAACACCTCGCAGCATCTGTCCGAGCGCATTAAGAAAGGTCAATGTAAAATTGAGTCTGCAGATGACGACCACGCTATTAAGCGAGAAGCTTCGCCCCACAAGATCACCGGCGCCGGCGACACGACAGACTCGGGCTCGGAAGGCGACAAAGAGGTCAAACAAGAGACACCACCCTACAGGGTTCTTGGCCCAGACGACACGACAGAGTCGGGATCAGAGGGCGACGAGAGCAGCTCGGACCCCGTCGGACTGCCTGCCACCCCTTCCCACCATGGACAACAAACAAACTCCTCCCCGCCGGCACAAATCGTTGGTCTCACCTTGGATGATCGGTCTGCTTCCATCTTCCAGGGTGGCAAGACCGCCCTGGATGCCTCTGATCCACGACAGGCTGACACTGGATCCTCCTCTTCCGACGACACCACTCTCTGGTCCTTCATAAGGAAGAGAAAGGCCAAAGAGGTCCGTCGCGGCGCCAACGCCGCTCGTCGTCCTGAGCCGGCCGTCGGCGCTGCATCGCCCCCACCTTCGTCTGATCCCAAGAACAACTCAGTCACGCCAGGCAAGAGAGAACGGGAGGCGCAGCCGGGACAAGGCTCTGCCACAAAGCGTGCAAAGACAGAGTAGAGTAGTCAGCTGTCTAGCTGGGCTTGAGCTCAAATCACACACGCCGAGCAACTCGTGGTTGGAGCAATTGGAAATTGAATATCATCGTCGAGTTTGGGCGGTTTACGGTTGCGCTCTGGGATTGATCGGAATTGGGAGTCTTTGCTACATTTGTCGAAATCTCAGAACTTGAGATCTCGGAAGATCAAACCTTTAAAGTAACATGAGACTATTTGACAAAGCAATATTTGTACTTGACGGTCTTATTACGGCATATCTAATTGTGAATATCGAAATAGCAAAAGGTCAAAAAGTTGATCGACGTCGTGTGGTACACTACTACTGGTAATAGGTACCGGACATACTCCCGGATGTCAACCATCTCTGCTCCAGCCCGAAGGGGAACGTCGTAGAATCGTAACAGAGCCTTCGTGAAGAACTTAGGGAATTTAAACCCATCCGACCCGACCCCACTGCCTAAAGGAGTTCTGTGTGATTCCGAGGATTCACGATGTCGATTTCCAGCTGACGAGCCGCATTGACTGGTCGAGACTAGATCATCCGGGAATGCTTGCTCAAGGCACAACCCCGATTTTCATACCGTGGAGCATCCGGTAGTTAATCGTCGTTTTCAGATCTAGAACTCTTCCGAGTCGTTGAAATGTCGTCGCTTTTCGGCGCTTATATAGGGGCAACAATTATAAGTTTCATCTTCTATATCTTTCTATTATAGAATAGCCTTTGGGCGGATATTTCGGCGGCCGGCAAATATTTCATGCCGGCCTCGTAGGACCGAAGCTGTGACACAGCGACGACATATTTGGCGATGATTAAATTTGGCACCATAGTCTAGTTGTTAGCGCGCCAGGTTTAATTTCAAGTTTTAAATATTCCAGATGCTTTTAAAAAGATAAAACTCTTTTTGCGCGCTCGAACGTCAAGTCACCACTGGCGTACCTCAATCGGAAGCTGAGTTGGAGTCTTTGGTCTCAGCATACATAGGTACCCCTTCTTGCCATTCTGCTGTTCCACTCGACAGATTCATCAGCATCGGCGATTATTAAAGCCGATCAGATCATCAGGGTACGTATCTGTACCGGCCCGTAGCATGAATTCGCGGCTATATGCAATAAGTCCCCCTGTTGATGATGACATCTCTCTGCTTGTTGCCATCGGGGTCGAATTCCCCGACCACGTGGCCATTTGATTCCATCGAGCTCGACCCGCCAAGCTGCCTAGTCGCCTCACTTTCTCTCATCCGGTGTGATTCCATCTTGACCGCGGTTACACAGTCTGATCTCCGGCAAAGCTAGAGAAATAAGATGTTGCTTGACCTCAATCTTTTTTGCTCCAGCCAGAGACATACCCCGACTGGTTGTATAATTGCAGGTTGCTCTACTCCGATCGAGCTGAATGAGATGGATGAAAACGAAGCTGGCACAAATAGCATCTATTTTCACAAAGCGACAGAGATAAACCTTTTACAGAGTCTTGATTGCTCCAGCCAAGCTTTCCGCAGGCTAGTCGCGGCTGATTGGCAGACTTGCAGTGTTTGCAGTGTTTGTGTTTTCATGTTTGGCATTGGCATCGGGACCAGGCAGGTCGCTCCGCCTTGATCCTGCTTGGCATTTGTTGGACTTGGAGATGCTACATTTACACGCGTACAATCAATGAGGTACGTACTATACCTGACTTCTATTTATACCTCTCCCCTCCTCTCTAATTCCAAATCCTTCTCTCACATCTTTTCCCCATCATCACAACTCCATTTACCTTTCTTCCCACATCTCCAATGCTTCCTCATGGCTAAACACCAAGACCAACCTACATAGCTGTGGCTGGCTACAACTCTTTCAGCTTTCACAATTCTTTTTATATATAGGTCATACTTGCCCATAATATCTGATAGCCCCTTTCGTGGAGCGAGTAGGACTCGTTTTGGTACAGAAGCCATCATCATCTTCGACGCTTTGTACCTCCACCTCTGACCCTTAGTTAGTGCTCGAGCTCGAGGACTTGACGGCTTTGGCACCTTTCACCCATGTTACTCAGCACCAGTGGCATGACGCCTGCCATAGTAAGTCATCCTGATATCATACCTACCATTTAGAGATGATGATAAGACGATAATGCTAAGACGCGAAGCACCTCCCTCACCACCAGTGGCATGACGCCTGCCACAGTAAGCCATCACAGCTACCATACCCTCCACTGAGAGATGATGCTAAGACGCGAAGCACAGCATTGCTCCTCCCTCAGCACCAGTGGCATGACGCCTGCCACACTAGGTAAGCCTTCCTAATAAGAAATATCGTGTCACCTGGAGATGATACTAAGATGCCAAGATCCGGGCCCACGCCGAGCGTGAAGTCCGAGAGAATGGCTGAGAGCGCTGAGACAGTAGGAGTAGCTGAAGGAAGAGGAAGACAAGAAGCGGGCATGGCCGAGCATCTTTGGCTTCTTTAAGGCCATGCCCGCTGCTCTAAGTAAAAGTCTCTCCCAACCAGCAGCCGCCGACAAAGGCTGTCGATGGCTCTCCCGTTCGACCGAAGGCGCCCATTGTGATGCCCATCACGGCAAGCCCTACAGCCACCTGTTCATCCAGATGATGGCAGAAATCTCTGGCGACGACAGTCACCAACCAGAGTCGCAGCAGATTTGCTGCGGCGAGACTTATATGCGCGCAGGTGCGCAACCCCAGACGGTGCGGACGACCTCTCCGCGCCTCCAGCCTGCGTCTTCAGCTCCTCAGCCTGTTATTACGGATATCTGTTATGAGAACCGGACAAGACTTGGGGTTTTCTCGACAGTGTACAAGTGAGTCTTATCCTTTTCCAAAACTTTGACTGATACTAATATTAAGCAGAGCTCGACGCCAAAGATGAGTAGAACTCGACGACTTGCGACGCCATCCCTCATAAGGCAGCCACGACTGTGGACTGTGGATCTAAGGCTCTCAGAGTTAGCGACCTATATAACAGGTAAGCCCTCTATGTCATCGCCACGCAATATTTGCATATGGCCAGCAAAAGTTCTTCAATAACCTTGACTCTCCAGGTACCTCTAAACCAGCTGCGTCCCGTCCTTCTAGTCCAAGCAACAGCACCATGCCGGCTTTAAAAGCAATATGCCCGGCACAACAGCCTGCCATGGATTCTATGCATAAGGTTGTTGAAGGTCTGTTCTGGAGATACAAGTATCAACTCGAGTATCACAATAAGGGCAAGGAGCTTGAGGCGCGGGACCAGCAGTCGAAGAGATCGAAGGCCGCTTCCAACACATACCCGCATCAATTGAGTTTACTACAAAGAGCAAAAAAGCTCATAGTTGCGGAACGGGGCGATATCCAAACAAAATTCGAGCAGGCTGATTCGAAAATGTCGTCGTGTTTAAGGACAACAGACCCCCTGGAGCACACCGGCCCTCCCACAAGCCAGCCTTTCCAATGGTCCACCTACGTCCACCCATCACAGATATCCAGCATACAGCAGCCACGACCGTGACTGCAGCTATAATTGATGGGCTTTGATATTGCTTCCATGAGCAATGTCACCTCGGCTCTTCCAGCCTGTAGCCGAGCACCGGATTTCAAGACTTTGTATCCAACAAAGGCCCAAGTGGATGATGAAGTGCATGACTATGCACGCATGGGCGCCACGAACCTGGGTTGCCATATGCGACGATGGGAGTCCGCCCCCGACGACTTTAAGAGATTGTTCTTCTGCTACAGTTCCGTAGATCCGGGCTGTTTATTTATCAGAAGATGATCTCAGTCTTCGAATCACCATCCCAATGCTGAGCTTGGAGTGAATGTGGGGGGACCTCAAACGTGCCGGCTGTGCTCCTAGAGGTTTTTAAACCTCAAGAGTGGTTCTCGGAGACCAAAATTCAGGACATACTGTCCAGCCCCCTTCGCAAATATATTAACGGTCAACGAGTCTACTGGTGGAACCAAACTTGTTAAGACGGCCAATTTTGGTTGTGGTGTCTTGATTCCAGGACACCTTATCTTCGAAGAGGGGGGTCTACTCACAGAACGCTAGGCAGTATGATCCTCGACGAGACAGGTCTTTATTTCTGAGGAGTGGGTGAATCGAACGGATTGGCGAGAGGATTATCAAGCTGGCTAGGAAGGATGCTGCCGGGGTACGAAGCTTGTAAAGATGAGCATCCGATGCGATAGTCTGATTCCAGGACACCTTATTCAAACTCTTTAATCAAATAGCTGTTTACTATTGACTCTGTAAAATGAAAGTGATGGGGATGCAAATAACTCTTTGCTCTTGGCTCTCCATCGCAATATTACTCAACACGTTTACCATTCGTACTTTCCACTCTGCTTTCTAATTGACCATCCAAACCATACTCCACTCAAATTCTGCATTACTGTCACCTGAGCTGTCATGCCAGCATTCGCACACTTGATCGAGATGGGTGCCTTTGCGTCGCTTGATCATCTCTTCAAAAACCAAATCCTCGTGAAGACTATGCGAACCATCATTATATCTGAAACGAATAGGGTGCTTTGAGCTTCATCTATTGGCCACAGCTAGTTGTCGAACTCGACGAAATAGATTGTCTGCAAAACAATGGATTGATGGGCACACAACAAATGATTCCACGCTGCGGCTTCTGGCGGTTCCTCTTGTTCTTTTTCAACCATCAAACAAACTCGTAAGGCCCCCTGCCCAGCCCCCATCCTCGAGCCTGGCAAATGGCAAGAAGTGACACAATGCTGATCAACATGCAGATTACGTACAAATAAACATAACAAGCACTTTAACCCCACGATGCCAATTACTCGTCGCACCTCCCGCCGCCGCATCCGCCGCATCCGACGCGCCCGGCCTTTGGCCAGCATAAATCGGAACCACAGACAGCGTGCAGGTGCCGGTTCGTCCCCCCCTCGCGCCGGTGCGCGCCGCCGGGTCCCGTGCCTGGCTTGCGTCGTCGAAGCTCTCGCTGGCCGCTCCGATGGCGCCTGCCTCGACGCAGTTGGTAGGCATTGCTACTGGCAATGTGTACATGGCGACAGCGTCCGGCCCTGTCGCAAAGTGTAAGGTCTTTAAGCATGGTGATGGCTACAAAATTGTCTAACGAGGTCATTACATAGTCCCGCGCGTGCCCGCTCGGCTGTGGCGATCTTTCTGGAAGATCTCCAATCTGGCACCGCCAGTGAAGACGTAAGTGGGTCGATCCAAATGTGCTTGATCATTGATACTAAATTCGATCGCAGACAATGCGCCAGCACAAAGAAGTTGTGAGCCAGCAGCTCGCCCGCCCGCCTAGCGCCTAGCAGCAGCAGCAGCAGCAGCAGCAGCAGCAATAGTAGTAATGGTCTAAGAAGGAAATAACGATATTCGCAATTTGTTGGGGGTAGGCTGAGCACTTGTTTCAGCGGTTGGTTTGTGTTGGTTTACTATTATTATGAAGCAATTCATTATGCATTATTCTGCCCTGCAAACGTGCTTTCTTATGACTCTGGTGATTGTGATTTGCTTATGTTCTCGGTACTATGGCTTGTCATGCCGAGTCCTAGCAGAGCCACACTTGATCAGTCCCAGGGAAAGATCGTGACGTCGTGCCTGAAAGTCGTCAGCGGCGTCACAAGGACACTTGGGCATCTATACTGGCAGCGTGGATTCGTGCTTGCAGAGTCGCTGCGTCCTGAATGGAGAGGTGCAGCCTCTCCCGATGGAAACTTTACAGATACGAGATTTGCCTCGGTGTTTGCATTCCGCACAGGTGAGCCAATGAAGATGGGAAACGAAGCTGCATTATTGTCGCTCTCACGACTGTCGCCGCTGACGTGGCTTGGATTTCCTGGATCGGGGACGAGGGACTCCGGCATGCAAGAGTAGAGGACCTAGGCAAAGTGCAGAAGTCTAGTCTGGTGATATACGCTATAAGGGACTGTGCTTGAGACTATCTGAAGGAGACATGCATAGAGGAAACAGTGGCAGAAAATCATAGACAAACACTCTGCAGCTGCGGATGCGAGAATGGAAATATTGGTTCGGGGCATAATGCCATGTTTGTAAAGTCCACATCTACCCTATCAGATCTTTACTTCGTCTCTTCCCAACTCTGCCACATAATATTCATCGGCTCGGATGTGCGTATAAGCGTATTTTTAAGCGTATTTGCATTTCTGAATCGCTGATTATCATCATCATATCCGTCGCAACATGCTAGGACATGCTGCACGAAGCCATAAGGTGGGTCTCGATGTTTGTCTTGGCTATAGTTGCTCACAGCGAGCCTCCCAATATAATTCACCAGGTGCATATGCCGGACGGGAAGGTGCAGACGCCGAATGCTAAATACGTATATATCGAATTGCCAAAGCACCGAGCACCAATTAAGCAGAGAAATCTAGGCTTATTACAAACGACGCTTGGCGGGCTGTGCCTTCGCAAATGCCATGCGGTCTGGCGGCCTACCACTACATATTATATCACAAGTTCTGACGTCCAAGTCGCCAGCCTGGCACGTTTATTTGGCATCCGCGATAGACGACACAAGTGGAGAGCAGACCAGCCCAAAACAAATCAACATATCGGGAGGCCAGGCCGGAAGCAAGCAGCAAAGGCAGCAAAGGCAGCAAAGGCAGCAAAGGCAGCAAAGGCAGCAAAGGCATCCATCTGCCTGCAAATACCTGACAAAAAATAATAAAGCATCATCAGTCTTATTTGCTAAGTCTTTTTTCTCCACCTAGGTAGGCTACATATCCTAGCTGCAGCAGACGTGTGATTGCTCGCCTCCTCACAAAGCCGTTATCCATCGGTCTGCAAGTGCCTCACAATCAAAAGAACAGACCATCAACAAACAAGGGACTTAATCAAGTCTTCTTTTCAAGGTCAAGGTATGTCTAATAGACTTGTGACTGTGTTGAGATTCTGTATCTTATCTCGTAAAGAGGGTGAGATGATACTCAAATACTGGATGTAGTATTGTAGCCATAATGTAGTCAAATTAGTTTTGAGTGAAAAATTGATGTATAGTGAGGTGCAGCTTGGGAAATCTTCGCAGACAAGCAAGCCAGCCATAGTCAGGCGTAAACAGGCAGTCTATGCGCAGACCTTGACAACGAGACATCTGAAGCCCCAGGCAGAGACATGTGTATATATATCTCAGATCTTTCCTCTTGAAAAATTCACTTGACCATTTCTCCTGACAACTTCAACTTGGCAACTTCACACTTGACAACTTCACACTTGACAACTTCACACTTGACAACTTCACACTTGACAACTTCACACTTGACAACTTCACACTTGACAACTTCTCTCGAGACCTTCACTTGACAACTCACTTGAGAACTCGCTTGAGATACTTTGCCGTGTCTGCAGATCTCTGTTCGCCCAAGTCCTGTTATGCTTGGGTATCGTCTGTCCAAAGATACTAAAGTGACCCATCTCTTGAGTGTCCCGTCTCAGTGCGCCTTTCTGCATACCAGAGAGCTTGGGTTGACCCTGCTTGTAACATAAAACTTATCTCTTGAGGTTCGTTCTCCTTCCCCGAGCTCCACCGCCCACTCCGACAAAACTCTTATCCTAACTTCTTTCTCAGATATTTTTGCATCGCGGCATGGCAGGAACTCGACGTGCCAGAGGCAGGGGCAGGGGTGCAAGCAGAGGTAACGCAACACCTGGGCCCAGCTCTGGTGCTAGTTCGAGAGCCGCTTCGACCGCTGGCTCAAGAGTGGCTTCCCGCACCGGCTCTACGGCTGCCTCCAGAGCCTCCTCTACTGCTGGCTCGAGGTCGAGCTCTAGGCTTAGTTCTAGAGCGAAAGGCAAAGGCAAAGCTATTGCCACGGAGAGCCAGAATAGTGAAGATGACGACGAAGGTGAAAGACCTCAAGAGTTCCCGTCAAATGATGTACCAGACGATGGCGACGACGACGACTATGAGGACGACGACGACTACGAGGAGAATGTCATCCTTGCCTCTGATGATCTCGATGAGATCAAGGCGGAAATGTTGCTACATGGCGACGATGATACAACTCAGGAGTTCGGGCTCGTCACTATTGATGCCACTGATCTTGGACTTGGTACTGCGTCGGGCGCTGATGATGGTAACGCTCATGAATCCAAAGGAACGGACAGTTTGTATAACATTTTTCAGAGGAAGCTGTTGAAGGGTGAGATCGATCTGGCTCTGCTGAAGAAGCGTGGTCGCACCAGCATGAAGCCGCCGCATCCGGCGCCCCGGGCCGTTGCAATTCGCATGATTCCGGAGAAGTGGATGATCAGAAAGGTCAAGAAGAATATCGAGGGATCATTTGAATTTGACCAGAAAATCGACAAAACCAAAATCATCTATAACAGCTTCGCAGACCATAAACAGCAACTATCGGACCACCTCCTCCGTTCATTTCACAAACCAGATCAGGATAAAGACGTGTTCTGCGTGCGTTCGACATACACTGGCAAGCTGTTGCGACTCGATCCAGGACCAACGTCAATATCGATTGACGCCGTATACCCTTTTGGTGTGGCGCCGAGTGGCAAGTTGGGTTACCACGTCGAGTCGAACATCGTGCCCATCGAGTCATTTCTCAATTTGGCGAAAGGCAATCACTCGATAATAGTGCTGCCATTGACCGCCGAGATGATGCGCGTTTCTGCAAATACGATAATTTCTGCCGAGGAAAAGCTACAACGGATGCAGTGGCTGGTTAATTCTGCGACGAATTTGGCAATATTGGAGAGGCAACAGAAATGTCAACACAAGCACAAATTGCGCCACGCGGCATGGAGTTATGCCTATAACCAGAAAAAGGGTCGTACGATTCTGGAGCAGCTCAGGACCGGAACTCCAATCGACCTAGCGAGCGGAAAGCAGCGCGTCCGAGATCTGCTTGAAGTATCAAGTCCTAATAATATGCTGAAGGGTCGATTCTGGGCCAGACATGAAGACGACCTCGACGTTGCCACCCTCCAGGACAACTTGATCAAGATTGCAGCGAAACACGGATTCACAGAAGACGAGTTTTTATTATGTTGTACCATCCAGAACGCCGAGGACTGGGTCTTTTTCCCTTTTAACCCCCTCACACGAGCTACAGCAGAGGCCTTCGGCTGGAGTTGGGATGACCTCCGCGATTGGCTCAACACGCGCTTAGGGTACTACATACATGGGTGTGATTTCTGGGCGCTCGTTTGTGGTCTACAAGAGAACGGCCTGTGTGCCGCCAAGTTGCTATACTGGGTAGCAAATATCACTTGCTTTCGATTGCGAATGAAAATCGATAAGTTTAAGTGCGAAGGACGCAACGTTTCGGATCCTGCAGTGCTACGCGAAGTTGCTGTTGAAGCAATCGTGGACCGCCGGCGTCTACCGATAGTGCCTTGGCGACACCACGCTAACTCCGCTGCGTTTTGCAAATCGACAGATCACGGCGTCGTGATGTATACCGGACTTGCTAACAAGCCCGTTACGGACCCGGGTTTCGACCCAACGGATATTGACTGGGAGAAGTGTTCAATTACAATCGATTGTTCGATTACGAACAATTCTGATTATAACTACCATTTGAGCACCCGGGATCATATGGATCAGGTGTTCAAACGGATCCCATGTGAGCATCCGTTGTGGAAGATTGACCAAGCCTTCGGTAAGAGAGTCTGGACGGTGCCTGAAACCGAGCTACGGGCTACGCGACCCCCGGATAAGGAGTACTCTTCGTCGATACTCCTCGATGTCGAGCCGTGGCTGGATCCTACGAGGTCCCACGAACTTCAGTGCCGTTCTTGCAATGCTACCCTCCAATCTATCGGGGATCTCGCGCGACATTACCAAAACCAGCACTCTCGCCGGAGTGTCGAATCTGGCGATAAAGCTAGCATCGATGTCAATCAAATCGACCAGGCCGATTACGAGGACTGCCTGGCATACTGGGGAAACCATCTTGTTTGTCCTCAAGGGTGCAATTCTGGCCAGTCGTATTCGAGTGCAGAACATTTTCTCAGACATATGCGGTTTTTCCACTTTCGCGGCAATGTCCAGAAATGCCCAGATGAGCACTGCAATAAAACGTTCACCACCTCATCAGTGCTGCAAGTTCACCTTTTTATCGAGCACGATATCCTTGAGGCTGCTGAGAGTTGCCAATACTGCCGGCGGGGGTTTTCGGGGGGTTCAGCCAAGTACAATTGTAAAAGACACGAAAAAGAGGCCCATAATCACGAGTGCAACAATTGTACTCTGAAATTCCTGACCAAAATTGACCTGCATGCCCATATCGTGATGGAGTATCCCGATAGCGACGAAGCAGAGGCCATCCACCGGGGCCACAAGCATTCACGCCCTGCACGCTGTATGAAATGCGGGGTCGTTGTCTGTATGAGCAGACTTCCTCGTCACCTCAAATCTCACGGGGAGGTGAATTTGGAGTGCCTTCTTTGTCAGGAGACTGGCTTTCGGAGACAGTTTTTCGTAGCGGAGCAGTTCAGGAATCATATGCAGGAACAGCATAAGACCGTCTGGTGCAGCGCATGTAGGTGCCTCTTTGGCCAGGCCTCAGACCTCGATGACCATAACCAAAAATGGCACCAGAAACTCCTAAAAGTCACCATAGTCCAGGATAACGCCAATGAAGATAGGCCCAGCGACGCCAGTGAGGGTGGGCCAAGCGACGCCAAGACCATCGATACCAGCAGGATCGAGGATGACTCCAGAGATTATCCATCTTGTGGGATCACAGGGCACTGGAGAAGGGACACGGATCTCGGGTGGATCGTCAAGAGCAAGGATGGCGAAAAATGCATGCTTTGCGATAAAGATTTGTCTAACCTCTCAACGTCAACGAAGAGAGGGCATCTGGGCATGTTCCACCCCCTTTGCACTATCAAAGGCTGTCAATTCCGATGTGCCCACAAAGAGGACCTGGATAAGCACCTTGAGAGCCACTCCAGGTGTGAGACTTGCTCCAAGATATTCTTGGACGACGTGGTTCGCGGACTTCACCAATGCGGCGAGATCCCCCCGTGGGAGGAACGGCCGCCGTCTGCAGATATACAGGCCGAGATCGATGCCATCCCTGAGAGGATGACGCCGTTCCGGCCCAGAATCTCCATGAGTCAGCAAGGTAAGGCGGTAGCCTCCGTTCCGTCGTCGTCGACATCTCAAGGTCTTCAGACACGTGGCGCTGGTGACACCGGGGAGGCCTTATCGCACGCCACACCACCACGCCCCCATCGGCGGGTAAGTTCCACTACTCGCTTTTGTTAGTATTGGTCCCATGCTGACCGTAACTAGAAAAGAAGCAGGACGTCGGAAAACTGGGAAGACGAGTCTCAGGACGTGCTCTCACCACCGGCCAAGACGCCAGACAAACCGAGGAAGACGTCCTTGGCGGAGGTGGCTCTGCCATTGCGGCCCACGCCTAGTCCGCAGTGAGGTGGAAATTCGCAGCGCTTGGGTGAGATTGTGTATATGGCGCGTGATGATATCGTCTTGTGAAGAGGGGTGCTGGATTGCACCTTTGGGGGGCATGGCTTGCTTGACATTTCCAGGAGTTGGAGTTTGGCTGATTTGGGGGTCTGCATCTTTGGGAGGCATGGCTTGCTTGACGTTCTAGATCGGAGTTGGAGTTTGGTTGATTTATGGAGTTTGGCTGGTGTCAAAAGCTCATCGTAATTGACTGTTTTCGGCTGAATGCAAACATTGATTAATGTAACTTTGTGACGAGCAACTAATCCGACTGCGCCTCCCTAGGTTAGCTGAGAATCTCACTATTCAGGTCACTCCTGTTGAGACTTGCAATCTAACGTGCGTGACAAGGACGAAGTATGGAATGGCGAGGGATAGATGAGCTCAAAGGGCCTTCTGATTTACGGATTTACGAGATTTTGCAGAGACCTGTAGCCTCACTCCACCGACAGTGCGCTTTCTTTGAGCTTATGGCAGGGGGTGTGCTGGCTCTAAGGACTCATGTCGGAAGTCGAAGGTTACTATACCAACTCCGTTATGAACAGAGAGTTGTAAACAGGTGGTTAGAGGTTTTCACCCGCACGCGAATCGACGGTAAAGCGCGAAAGTCCTGGCGATGGATCTTTCGGCCAAATGGGTTACTAATGGGATGCGACAATAGATTGTGCAGTTTGTGGGACCGTGGTAGGTTGAGTGTACTCGGCTCCCGAGTACGTACTGGTGGTCGGGGCACGGTATTCGCCGTTCGTCCATCGGCATCTGGACGTGGGGAACGCGGAAACGCTAACACACCCTCAGCGGGTGATAACAAGAAGCTCTCTGCTTCAATGACGGCGATAAAAATGATGCCATCGTGACGATGGGGCAAGGCATAGGGTCGCAGCGGACTCTCGAAGGTGTTGAAGGTGAAGGTGTTGAAGAAGCTGAAACAGCAATCGGATCGCGATTAGAATTGGGCAAATGTGGATACCTAGCATTGTGAAACCTTGGATATACGTAACTGACTTGACATGCATAGCTGTTTTCAACAAAATAAAATACCTATCAACAAAAACAACACTTTTATCGCAGACAAACCCGACCTCATCCTTAGCAGTACATCCACGAGTGGTGCTTTCGCTGTTACTCCCCCTCATACTTCGCCCATCACTCAATCTCGACTATCTCTGCATCATCAACTATTCGCAGCTCCTTATTCACAGCCTTTTCCAGCTCCCTATACAGCCGCCAAAGCAGCGGGGCTCGAGAAGGGTACCCTCGAGGTATCTTCTTAAACGCCTGCCATACTGCATCTACTGCATCCTCCAAGTCTTTGATGTCACTGGTGGCGAGGAAGCGACGTGAGAGAAACGTCCCCATATTGCTGCAGAATATCCTACTTGTGGGGTGGTCTTCCGGGACCACGTCCACCGCTTGAACCGACATGTCCAGACCCTGTTGGAGGTCGTCCAAATTCCTTGTCTGGCCATATTGTGCACCAAATACGCACCCAATCGTGCTGAAAATCAAGGCAAGCTGAGCTTTGTCCGGGATATCAGCATCAACGGCCAGCCGGAACATGTGAATGGACGTGTGGAGGTGGAGCGCATTCCCGGTCTCGTTGAAACTGCGATGCAGGAGTCTTCCGAAATAGCTCAGGATGATGTAACGATCAGGTTCGGATTGCCAGTTGGGGTTGTCCTTGAGAGTGGACTGGGCGAGCGCAACAGCGTCGTGGAGACTGTCTATGTCTTCTGCTGCATCGAAACTCCACTCAAGCTGGTATCCCAAGTCCCAGAGATTACCAGGACAGAAGGGCCCATGTATAGAAGCCACGTTGACGGCTTGCTGCCGTTCGAGGGCGTCGTTACGGGCGTCAAAGTTGGACATGGTGATATTTGGAAGTGCAAGGAATGCGAACAGGCTGATGTTGGGAGGGCAGATGAAAGCAATATGATTGAGGTACAAGTGCTAGATGGTTTGATGACCGTAATGGTCCCCAGGATTCGGCATCAAGAGGGTATCTTATAGCCGTCTTTTACTCATCGCGGTCCCTCGATCATGTCGGCTGCTTTCTTTTGCTAGACTTATTGTTAAGCCGGACTCATCATCAACGACCCAAGCCTTGTTTAACAAGAGACAAAAAAGAAAACACGGCCTTTTTGGATGCCCTCGCATGTATTCACGGCAGGTAGGAATGAGTCTCTTAATGACAGCCATTAGGATGGAATTCTTGGCGGCGGCCACGATCTCTTCGACCATTGGAGCAAGCATATCGATCTTGTACGTATACAGCACAGGCCAGGGGAAAAAGAAAATCCCAGCAATATAGCCATACCTACCTGCAAAAAGTAACCAGCCTCCAATTTCACGCAATGCGCACCGGCCGGAGGATATCCGGGCATTGGCATCTCGTGATTTGTCTGGCATACCCCTAGCGACATGTAATGTGGCCGCTTGAAATCGTACTGCATATACTCGAGTTGATTCTGGATCTGTGTTGTCACTTGCTTTTCCTAAGCAAAGCATTGTCACTTATCATCCTCACGATATGCAAGGCGCCTGCGTCTCTCTGAGAGTAACCGCATTGGAAATACCGTGCATGCCGTATTATCGCAATTATAGCCAAGCCGAAGAAAGCAAAGGAGTTGAGTGAATCAGCGCCATCTTGGTCGATGATCGCATCCTCGCGGCAAGGGAGTCCTTGCAATCCAATCATGGACTGGCTGTCCGTCATCCAATTTCCCGCCTCTATTCCGTACTTGGAAAAAGAAATTCTCACCTTGATCGCGAGACACTTTCCCGCATGCATTCCGAGTCGATGCTTTTGTCTGCACTGAAACTGGGGTTATCATCTGCGTACAGAGTATATTTGCTAAAAGTTCTCTGCATGCCACAGCTGCGAAATGTGGTGGTTGTACTTAATATCACGAGCAGCATGTTTATGAGAAGTGACAGTTGATTGACGGACAACAGCAGAGAACATGCATCATTCATTACTATCCATATTCATGCCATTTGCAGCCCAATCCAACATTGCTTCAATACAAGCGTCGCCATCCTCGATCTCATTGCCGATAAACCGGCCAAAATCATCTCCCATATCATCATCGTCGTCGTCATTGGTCTTGTTGGTGTTGGTGATGGTGGTGGTGGTGGGGGCGGCGGTGTCCTTGTCCTCGTCCTCGTCGCTGCCGGCCTCTGGGGCTCTTCTCTCGTACAAGAGACGAAGATCTTGCACTGCTTTATGTAGAGCGTCCGCCCGCTCCACATCCGTCATGGCATCTAACTGCAGACGCCGCTCTGCATCCGTTGGGCGGACAGATGCAGAGGCCTCCTGCCCCAAGGAGGACTTTCCTCCGTGAACCTGTGGTTCTGGGGCCTCCTCTGGGATGTCTTCGAGGAAGGGTAGGCCATTCTCTCCTCCTTCTTGTCCTTCTTCCTGTCCTTCTGCTCCTTCTCCTTCTCCTTCTCCTCCTTCATCTTGGACATCTGGGACTGTGGTTGCATGTTAGTTAAGATTATCGCAAGAGTATGATGTACATACAGGCGCAATTGGACTTCTGGCCATTGCACAAACAACCAGCACAGCAGCCCTCACCAGTATCCACACAAACGTCCCACAGGTTCTTGTGCTGCACACAACGAGAACACGATTGCTGCGCAGCAGCACTGGACACCTGCAACAGCGCAGCTTTCAGATTGCGGTTGCCACTTTGAGGGGCGCCGGGGGGGAGGTTGAAGTCGCTTCTGCGAACGCTTTGTCTATCATATCGTAACGGTCTCACGACCGGGAGGTCCAGGAGACCGCGGACGCTTCTGGCAGTTGGCCGCGATTGTAGTGTAGGATACTTCTGTCTGACGGCATTGTAGGCGCTCCAGACAGCTTCCCAAGCAGTTGCAGGCTCTACATGTCACCGTTAGCTACCGTTTGTACCTCTCCCATGGGTTAACAGACGTACCGGGGGGAGGTTTGGGCTTCGGTATGGCTCCACGAGCCCTCTTTCGGGGAGGCGGAGGCGGAGGTGGCGACGGCGACGGCGACGAGGGAACTTCGTATGGGTCAATGAGACCCGCGGCGGCGATGGTAGTCATGATGCTTGAGGCTGCCTGACTTACAGCCATGAAGAAGGAAGGAAAAGGAAGGAGCGGAATGATTTGAGTCTGGGGAAATCAAATAGCTGCTGAAACTGATGGCTTCGATTGTTGAAACGGCTGGCTAGAGGACAATCAAAATATGCTGGGGGCTCAAATGGCTTCAAAGCATGCTGCAGCACGTCACAGCATGCTGCAGCACGTTTTCCGACCCAGCTTGTTGTGTTTTAATGGAGATGAGAGATATGGAGCGGTCTTATGAGGCTGTATTGGTAATTGGGTGACGATATCAATATGAAGAGAGGCCTCTATCAAGCAGCCCTGTCAAGCGGCCCAAAGCCAAGCAGCGATCCAAAGCAGCAGCAGCCCAAAGTCAACAGCAACCCTTCAGCTCTTGTTCAAATCAAGTTCTCCCATCTTTACCACCGCGGCGTCCTTCTCTGCGGCGTCCGTCTGAATGCGCTCAAACCATAAAAAGCCTATTCCGCGGTACTGCTGCCAGATTATCCTCTCTTCCCTCTGCGCATCAGTAACATCTTCCCATTCTTGGTACCGATCGGCAGGTAGTGCCTCTCGGCTATGTTTGTAAGTCACTTTAACTCTGGCTGCCCAGCTTGGGTTCAATTGGCATATTGTGCCTCGCAATATTTTCCCATTTGTAGAGTCCGAGAGGAGGCCGTAGAATTTAGAATCTTTCACAAGGGCAATAGTGTCATGACGCGCAGGCTTTAGATCGTAGGTGATACCCTGCTGGAATGAGGTATCGTCCGCGTAAGGGTCATCGTACATCACTTTCTAGTTAGCATAGTATCGATAAAGGGAAAAAGAAAAATTGCTTACTCCGAACCTTGAATTCCCCGATAGGGCAGTTGCCGTTTGTTACCGCCTCTGCAGGAACGCCGAACGGACCTTCAGGGAATCTTTGTGATGAATCGAAGATCCATGGGGTTCGGACCCATCGGTCGTAATTTGCCTGCTGCTCTGGAGTGATCGGCATGGTGAATCTTGGTATATTGGGGCTGTGCTGATAATGATGGTGATAGAAGTTGGAGGATGATGGCGGTTAAGACTAGACGAACGACTCGAGGAGAAAATGACCATTATATCCTGCAAGAGCAAAACAGGTGCCTTACCAAGTCTCGCGGCTGCCGAGAGACTCAGACATCCATCCCCAATGTCACAAAGGAATCAGAGTCGCGCTTGGTCGCTTGTATCGACTTTCGCGCCCAGGTGTCCGTATACACCTGAGCAGTCAGAATATGTCTTATTCGCAGGCAGAACCTCTTTATTCAGGGTGCTAAGATGAGTGTCAATGCTCGCTATGAAACGATGGTTCTTGTTTGACGGTTTGCCTTGGGCGACGACAAGATCCAGGCTGCTCGCTCTCACAAAGTCTCCTATTCTCTTTTGCACCTCAAGACTATGAACAGCAGTCCAGCGAGCATAATGAGTAGAGATCCGCGCCAGTACCAGTGCCACGAGCGTCACGCTGATGGAAGGCTGTGCGGCGCAGTGCTCAAAACACGATGGAACCTTAAGAGACACCTGAAAGAGCAGCACCAATTGGATCAACCGACCCTTATTGCCACACCGCTGGCTGCCTTATCGCCAGCTCTTCAGACTTTGTGGCAGGCTGCTATTCCACATCCATTGCCGGCCTTGGGCAGCTTGCCAGCCTTGAGCAACGTGCCGGCTTCTGCAGTGCAGCTTCCGGGAGTTGCAGCCTTGCTGGAGGCCGATCGTGGCGCGAAAACTCCCCCCAGGTGCCCTGAGCCAGATGCTGGCCCTCTTCCAGCGTCGCCCCCTTTACCATCAATGGCTCCATCACCAACCGTTCACCCTCCACAGGAAGACGACCGCTGGGAGCAACAGCGTGGGATTCTCCGCGAGCGCTACCAAGAAGACATGCCAAGCTACGATGTGAAGCAGTCCAAGGTATTCCAGGCACAGCAGAAAGCAGCGTGCTGGATTCTTCAGAAAGGCAAGGAGCACTTCGATTCGTGGATCGCCGGCTTGACTACGGCTTGGGGAGCATCACCATCTGCCAGCCAATCTAGCATTTGTATCAGCTGCCCACAGGACTGGGTCGGCTTGCAACCACGCGAGATTGCCGATGTGCTGAACGAGAGCAATTGGCCGTTGGCAAGCTCAGGCAGACTGGTATGTGATCGTGTGTGGCTTCACCACGGGTGGCTTGCTAACGTACTTAGATGTTCAAGTATTCGGACCACACGACCACGGCGGCCAGAGCCATCGCCTGGTATAGTAAGTGGCCTCGCAGCGGCATCGAGCTTGACAACTTTATGGAATGCGGCCCCTTCAAACGCATGGACGGCTCCCACTTGTGTCACAATCTGTTCTGCATCACACCCTCTCACATCGTGTACGAGCCCACCACCGTGAACCAGGCGCGCAACGAGTGCTTCCAGCGGGCGCGCTTTCTGAGAAACGAGAATCGTGCCGTTCCGGACCGCTGTGATCAACACGATCCGCCTTGTTTGATGCAGGTAAGGACAGGCTGGCACGCGCTCTGGGAGTTCGCTAACCTGCCGCAGCATGCAGCCTTGACCACATACGAGAGATGCCTCCTCCAGGTGTGGGCGTTGCGTCAATCTCTGGGGATGCCATCGCCATCGCCATCGCCAGCGCCAGCGCCAGCGCCAGTGCGCCCGAGATTTCATCCATACAGCAGTCTAGAGTACCAGCTTCCTCTCACGTTCGGCCAGGGACATGGCATTCGGTTCGGAGCGCTCGATCGGGCCGCGGTGACTCGGCTGAAGAGGAAGGCGCACAAGCCGAGCTTGGCATGCAATCTTTGTCCTCGCATCAGGGGGTTCGAGAGTGTCGTCGCGCTATGGGGGCACATCGTCCGGAAGCATGAAGATCGGAGCGATGGCGACAAGCTGATCGAGATCCGCCGGACTGCAGAGCTGTGGAGGAGCTATGAAGAGTCGCAGACAGGGCTGAGCCGGCGCAGTCGGAAGAATAATACTTTAACTAGGCTGGCTGAGGTTAAGCAGGTGACATTTCAATGGGCGGACGTTGAGAAATGGAACCTGCGATAAGAGAGAGGACCTTGCTCTCTCTGTATTTACGCAATTGTAAATAACCCCAATTAGCATATACACAGTAGATAACGCACGGGCCATGTCCCGTATAATCTAATGTTTCTTGAAAGTCTTTAGAACTCTATAATTTAAAGCTTGCCTTAATATAATACCTATGCCTACATTATATGCGAGTGCTTTTATTTGCAATGCACGTTCCTCGAGAAACAGTGTTCCGCGAGGATAAAACAGCATAAGACAGCATAAGACAGCATAAGACCTGCATAAAACAGTGTCTCTCGAGGAGGAATTAGGCCGAAATAGGGAATTTCCGCTCCCAAACGTCAAATAGCAGGTGCCCGCATATGTACTCGACGTGGCGACTGGGACAGGTATATGGGCTATCGAATTTGCGGAAAAGTTCCCTCAATCGCATGTCATTGGCACCGACCTGAGCGCAATCCAGCCAGAGAATCCGCATGTACCAAATTGTGTCTTTCAGAGGGACGATGCCGAAGACACTTGGGTGTTCCCGGCACCGCATCCCCCAGGCTCCAACTGTGAATTTCCTTGCGAGCATCGCATCATGTTCGACTATGTACACTTGCGTCTGGTATCGACTTGCTTTGATGACCCCCGCGTAGTCATGAAGAACGCCTTCGAGAACATGAATCCGGGAGGGTGGATCGAGTTTCAAGACGCCTCGCTCGAATTTAATGACGATAGCCCTAATTGGGAAGGTTAGGATGTGCTACCTCTGTCGGCTCTGCGGTTTACTGATGGGAAGCAGGCTCCGCGCTTCAGAAGTGGTGCAAGGGCTGCATCGACGGAGCCGCAAGTGTTGGCCGAGATATTCTCGTGCCACAAAAGTATAAGCAGTGGCTGGAAGAAACTGGATGTAAGTCTGAAGAAGAGTGACCTTGACCGCTGCGACTAACTAAGCTCTTCAAAGTCGTCGATGTTCAAGAACGGCCTTTTATATGGCCAAACAACCCATGGCCACAGGACAAGAAACTCAAAGAGGTTGGCTTGTGGGAGCTCAGAAACTTGCTCGATGGACTTCGCGGCATGGGTTGGAAATTTCTCACCCAAGCCGGCTACTCTGCGGAGGAGATTGAGACCTTGGTCAAAGAATCGCACGAATACTTGAGAGATTGCAGAAATCATCCATATGGCACCCTGTAAGTCCTTATCCGACAATTTTACTTTTACATACTCTAATCCAGAACAACTACAGATACGTCGTCTACGGACGCAAGCCCTTTCCTAATGAGGAATGAATGCCTCCTGTACCACTCAGAGGGTGAGATACAACCTAGACATATTCGTAATTGAGCTATATTATATTGCCAGTAATCATATAATGGCAGTTTCACATGAATTGTGCTTAAAATACGAGAAATTAGAGAGCATGCATCGGAATGGCTAGTTGGGCTATGAAAGGCAGCGAGTGAACCATCTGGTTGTTAGGTTTATAGTAGAACTTGCCTTTTTCGCACAGTGGTAATACAACGCTTCGTGAACTCCTATCACGATTTACCATGACTCTAACAGCTACAAATCTACAACTATAGGTCTAAGTATTTATGTATTCATATTCATAGTAGCAGCTGAAACCTCCTGCATATAGTGGCAGGTTTTCTTCGCTGCAAACATTTTGCATACTGCACATTAGTTGGACAAGAGTTTCTCAGGGTAGGTTGAGGCTGCCAGGACAATGCAGGTTTATGTAGCATCCATGTCGCTTTTTCCCTTCCTTGGTTTAAGCGCCGGGACTCACCAGTCGCATTCCAGCTTAGCTGCAGTGAGGCTGCAGCTAAGCGCCTAGGGACTTTCTAACGGCTATAAGCAGCCCAACTGCGAAATATAGCTAACCCTAGGTACCTACTTCATGTTGACATGCATTTATTTAATTACGTCCATGGATAGGAATCTGTTCTTTAACCGTGTTTCCAGTGCCACTCACCGTAAATCTTGCCAAGCATTTCTAGCATTCCCGTAGCCATTCTCACCAACGCCGTACTCAACTTTGAGGACGGTAGCCTCTAGTCAAGAACTTCTTCATACTGAGGCACCATGCGCGAACAATGGGTGTCGCCCAATGGAATGGTTTCAATCGAGTAAGCACAAGTTTTTGAGAGTGAAAACAGTGCACTTTCGCTATAAACGCTTACACCCAGATTAGGATTGTGTCCCTGGAGTCAACACCGTCGCAATCCTTGGAATCATGGCCACCAGAGCACTTGCGTGACTTGGACCTTTACCATTTTATGAAGTCGCCAGAGGACTTTTCGGTCACGTGGCACAATCCTGCGGGGAGTGCTGGCTATGATTTACGCAATCCATGGGCAGGCTACTGTGAGTCAGACATCTTCTGCTGTGCCTAGTCAAAGCTCATGACCTTTCCAGCCGTCTACTTTCAGACCCCAAGCGATAGCGATGTGTTTGTTTGTTTTGCCATGAAGGACTGTCCTGAATGTCTTGAAATAGAAGGACATATTCTGTCGACAGGATTGCTACTCACGACGAATCCTGAGAAGGCAAAAGAAAGCCTCGGCCGGGTCCACTTTGAAGGGCCGTACTCTAATGGGCTTTTTAATGTGCTCCAATTTCCACTTGAGCATCTCAAATCGCTTGTTGAGGCGAGTGTGAGGACCATTGCGAATTTTGCTACCCGAATGAATGAAATCCAATCAATGTTGTCAACGAACGGTGGAGTACTGCAATATGATTTTACAGAGTTAATTCAAGAGTTGCATGTCTGTTATACAAAGCACATTCAGCTTGAGAGAATATGCAAATATGAGATGCATCTAGGAACTGCGATGAAAGAATTGATGGATGGAATGCAGCGCGAAGTCATCTCAGTGGCATGGATCGACGAGCATAAAAGCAAGGTCGAGCGCCAAATGAGTGTAGGCTCAACAAGTGAACACACTCTTGAGATCATTTCGAGGCAAATGGAGAATTGTCGTACCACGGTACGGGCAATGACCACAAAACTCAAGGTGGACCGATGCTAATATGAGAGATGTTAAGGTCTACCAACTAACCGCTCAACGCGACGCCAGAGTTACTATCGAGCTGGCAGAAGCCACGATGAGGGACAGCACAGCAATGAAGACAATAGCTGCCGTCACCTTGATCTTTTTGCCCCCAACATTCCTATGCGTAAGTTTCATCTCTCATGTCGGGGTTGTCAATGCTCATGAACTATCTGCAGTCATTCTTCAGCATGACTTTCTTTGACTGGAAATCCGAACCGGTAGCGACGCCGTGGCTTTGGCTGTATTTTGCAACCATGATTCCATTGACACTCCTTGTGATCTCAGCATGGATCTTATTTACAAGAACAAGCAGGACGGCAATCATGAAAGCTATGGGAATTGCAACAAATAAAGAGGATTCTGGAAATGAAGGTATTCATCTGACGTTGCTCCGAAACCACCGAACGTCACCATAAATTGAGTGGGTGCAAGTTTCACATGTGTGCACGTCACTTTGGAGGATACAAAGCATATGATATTTGTCATTTTCAAACGGCTATTTCATAATTCGCGGGAAAAGATTGCGCATTCATTCTTAGAAATCAACACTCAATTTTATCCGGTGAAGGTGAATTGAGGAATCGAGATTGTATCCACGGTCCAAGTCTTTCCTCCATCAGCAGTCACTAGATTACCAGTGACGCCTGCTCCCTTGTACAGTGTATTGATGTAGTTGGGATCAGCCACGTCCATGATGATCTGGGTGTTGATCCAGGCTGTAGGAAGGTTTTAGCAAAATGTCCGCAGAGTAGAGTCGCATCAGGCACTTACTGTGCGCGGGCATGGTTCCGCAGTTATTCTCGGCACACTCAATGGCGCTGCCCCACCCGAGAGCATGTCCGTCGCTGGTGGATAGTGTCGAGACTACGGCGCCATTCTTGGTGACCGTCTGCGTATAGTTTGCGGTGGAGTCGTCGTACTTGTCTGGATCAAGTATCAGCAGACGATAGAGCGAAGTCAGACGGTGAGACAAGAGCTCTCTTGACTTACAGTGCATTGTAATCTGATCGTTGGCAGTGGCATCGGCCGAACCATCACCGTACACAGGCATCTGCGAAGTGGCTAGCAACGACTCATGTCAGTATGTTCAAAGTAAATGTATTATATACTCCTGCGTAACTCACGGCTAGTGCTTAAGAGTGTATAGGCATAGATATCCCAGGTGCTGGACTGCCAGTTGTCGGCGATGGATTGAATGAGATCTCCATTCGAAGTACCCATGCCAACCCATAGAGAGGCAATGCCATTGTTGTTGCTGGGTGCGGCAGGGAGCACCAATGTAGAGGTTGACTCTCGGATGAAGGAGCCGTCAGCCACGGGTCCAGTACTAAACGCCGGACCCATGGCGGCATTGACAGAAGCAATGCCAACGGCGGCGAGCGAGGAGATGATCTGACTTGAGGAAGGCATTATTGCAAATGATTGGATTGAACTTGTGATAGTCTTGTTCAGACTAGGTGGGACTTCGGACTATACCAACCTTTTTATGCTCCAGCACCCAGCAAAGGAGCGACCAGGAAGCATCATAATTCCCCTTGATCAAGAACGGATGTCGGCTCCTTCATGGTTACGATATAGTGATGATGGAATTACTAGTGTTGGGCTCGATTGGCGGATGATTTTGCTGCTTGCACATAGCCCTTGAATATAACCCCTATATGTAACACGAGAAATCCTCTGAGTCGTGCGGAAGCAACATGGCCCCTGTTCGCGATCCAGGGTCTAGGGAGTCAATTGTGACTGTGGCGGACACAGAGCCCCGAGAAGTGGTTCGGCACATCTACCGCCTGGTGCATTAAATCCTGGGGAATCCCTGGCGCAACCTGGGTCGGGAGCATCTTGGTACACACCATTCAGGTAGCACCATCCAAATCGGATATCTTGGCTATGAATACCTCAGTCCGATTGGCTCAATATCCCTTCTATCTTTTCCAAAGTCTCTGCAACTGAATTTCTGAGACAACATTAACCTACCGATTCGCCGCTAGTCGACGGGAATGAGGGACTGGACCTCTGAGCTAAAAGGTTGACTCGGCTATGGACAAGGGGTGGTGGTGATAGTGGTGTCACTTATATAGTTGCGAATCCTAGTATAAGCTTAAAGCTAATTTATCCGTGGAACACTAATCGAATGCTGGCCTAGACTTTTAGAAGAGCCAGGTCCATCGCTTAACAACGCGACATGACGTTGTTGGATTTCGAGATAACTGCAATCCTCTCAAGAGATTATGTTACCTTTAGTGGATGGTATGTCGTAAGGTTCCTAGGCGAGTATACAACGTTACTTGCACCAATGATGAAATGCACTTCACGTTGGAGCCCTTTCCGTTAGATCTGCTCGACTCGAACTCGCACATGAACAATACTCCTGAGGCCAAGTGGCTACGGAGGCACGTCTCCATGTGGGAAGCAACCTTGACGCACAGTCTGGGTGCTTGTACAAGACCGTCAACCGCCGTCGAAATGTTACATAACGCACCCTACGAGGTTATTGCAGCAAGTCTGATCATTTCATAACAACTAACATTGATATCTCGAGATTCCAACTACAAAGCTAATTGGGCTTTCTCCCAATAATCCACATGAACGATGCATTCACTGCGTCCTTGGCTACCTCGCTAACCACAATTTCCAAGCCAGCCTCGCGGACCTTGGTCACCGTGCCTTCGGCGCCGTGCCCGCTCCAGTAAACCCAGCCTTTCGGGTCCAGCCATTCCTCGTAGACAACACCAGATGTTGCCTCTTCGCTAAAGTTTGCAAGCATATAGCCACCCGGTTTGAGCCAGGAAGCAATCTTCTTGATCATGGCATCCTGCTCGGAACAAGGCAGATGGATCAAGCTGTAGAGACCAATGACAGCGTCCAGTGATCCTTCAGGGAATGAGAGCTCAAACATGTCGCCTTCTACCAGTTCTAGTCGCTCTGCGGGTACCGGACCCAAGTTTTGTCGTGCTTCTTTAATCTGAACTCCAGACAGGTCGTTGGCGACCACGCGAAATCCGTCATGCTGCAATAACCTCTGGGTCACTGGGACCCCGCATCCGCAGCCCAGCTCCAGTACTGAACGATGCGGGGATTCAGTGACATTGAGACAGTCGAGTAATTTGTCCAGGTAGTGAAGTCGCTGCTCAGACTTGGGTATAGTCCATTTGTTGTATTTGGGAGCGATCGCATCGTAAGACTCCTTCAGTCGCTGCTTCAGGTTCTCTGGTGCTTGTTGTGCAGTCATTTCTATTCGTTGGTGGGAATTGACACAGTCACCACGCGCTGTGAGCACTGTTGTTGCTTCTAGGTTGTGCTTAGCAATATGAACAGAGCGCCAAGATATTCCTCGTCGGCGCTAGGGGTCAGTGAGCTCGGGGGCCTTTCGGCATCTACCGTCAGGGTTTATCGCTAAAGATGTGCAACCTTACCCCATACGGTCACCGTTTAATCAATTTTCGGCGGGCGTCAGTAGAGCCTGGTGTGCCGGGGGCAGGTTAAGAGTAGGTGGAATTAACCATATGGATTATACTGCAAAATTCTGATGCATTTATTGAGGCATACAAACTAAGATACCGGACCATGACATGATACTACTGCTACCATGGCTCACAGGCACGTCTAGTAAGCCATAATAATAATATATACCGTCTTTAGTTTCCGTCCCAGACCTTTGGCCCTGGCATAGTGTACGACGTTGGGTTGTTCCACTTGTTGAACGCGATACCGGGATCAGTCGCCTTGTAGACACCGGGGATCTTGACAGCCGGCTGCGGCGTTCCGGTACCATCACTCTCAATCTTGAGCTGGAAGCACTCAATGTAGAATTGCGCCTTGCCCTGGTGTGCCTCGTGCAAGCCAATGTGCTCGACGCGGACGAGGTACTCGCCGGCGGGAATGTTCTTCTGGACTGTCCACTCTAGGCGGTCCTTTTGCCAGGAGCACCACGATGCGTCGTTGCCTGGGGTCGACGGGTTGCATAGGCCAGTCTCCATCACCTTGACCCAGTCGCCAGAGCCGTCGTAGCTGGCGACGGAGCTGGGCGCCTTGGAGATGTAGACAAAGCCTGGGCCGGGATGTTCGATGAATTCATTGTTGACTGGCAGATGTCAGCTTGACTTGCTCCCCAGTACCCGCCCCTTTCCGCAGCGCAACCCAAAGGTATAGAGGTAGAATGGAGAGACCCATGGCTATACGGAAGTTGCCATATTACAATTGCAGATAGATTGTACTTACACAACTTAAAGCCCAGTTTGTCACCGGCCTTGACGGTATAAGTCTGAGTACTTCCTGCCGTAGCACCCTTGTTGCATCGCAGGTCGTTGGAGTTCATCAACTCGCTGGTGTAGGCTGGGTTATAAGAGTTGCTGTTCTTGCGCGTGTAGGCATATTCGCCTCCGATTGATGCACCATTGACAATGAGGCGGTTGAAGATGTAGTGTGCCTCGGTCAGAGGTGCCAGCAGGGCGGTGAGAGCGATGAAGGCCTTCATATTCGGTCGGTCAGAGTTCAAAAGAGGGCAAGAGTCAAGTCGTTCATGGACAAAGAGCTTGAGCCCGAAAATCCAGAATCAGGATTGTCAAATGTTTATGTTTATATACCTGGGTCAATAGGTTCCTTTCCCAACGGCTTCGGAGGAATATACAGTCCTTCATCACCATTGTTCCCGTCTTTTTAGAATAGATTCTTCTCATTCGTGACAACTCCGATATTATATATTTGGAAGACATTGAACAAATGCTTTTTCTGCACCTCGTAGATTGTTATCATATATGACAGTGTGCCACAAGTCCACAGCCAAGCCTTGGACCTCTTTCCGGCTGAAAGCAACCTGTACACAAACCTCCGATATCCAACCAGATATATCCATGATTCATTGCCAAGCACGGAAACATATCACGCGTTGATTCAATCAGGAGCCTTATTTCCATTTTCGATTGCCGAAACCTGGGGTACGCATTACCGACGGTAGATATGTTTTCTCTTTGGGAAGCGGTCTGGCCAGCTGCTGAAGGTTGTCAGCTTGAATATTTCTTTCAGGGTTGTTTTACTTGTATTTCCGGGAGTGCATCGTACGGACTTCCAGGTAACCAATTGTCTAGGTGTGTTCTCATTGCTTTCTCGCACAGTTTAGTCCTTGGCCTCGAGAGTAGAAACACTGATCCGCAAAAGATTCAGAGGTGCATTTATCCATAGTACCAAGGCAATCGAAGCCGATGGTGTAGGATTTCATGGTCTAGAATGACCTTGAAAAGGTTGTGCTCATTGATAAGAGTCTATGGCAGGTAGGTAGGGCGGTATCATTCATTCCAGAGTCCACGGGCATGCCATCAGTAGTCGACTTCAACCTCGAGTATGATGAACAAATGTGCGGCGTAGGCTTCTTATTGAGAAGGAGAATAGTCAGGTGCGGTCTCAAATCTCATTTTCGTAGATCCCAGTCCCAATGTATAATATCATTTGCCACGAGGTTTCAGTTCACATCGTTCTTTAGTCGCAACATTCATGTTCCCTGTGGTTAGTGTGGGAGAGCCGTTGAAGGTCGGACCTTGGTCGTATAGGGCACGTCGAAAATGCACCAGCGCGTTCTAGCGCTCTCGCTAACACTAAATTTCTAGCACATCCAATCGTCTATGTACCACGCACTTCACGTCATTTTCTAACACCGCATGTGCCGCTTACACAGGTGGAACTCGTTTGTTTTGACAGTCAAGTCGATGCGCAATATCTGACATGTCGTCCTGTCGCTCAAGAAGCAGCCGGGGACGATTGGCTTTCCGCAGCATCAGGCGCGCCATTTCGAAAGGAAAGGCCCACTGGAGATACCCCCCCAAGCGCTATTCTACTCTGATAACCATGACGCGTTCTAGCACTCAAATTAGCGTTATTATGGGTGCTTCCGCCGAACGGTGTGGCATTCGACCTCAATTCCTCTCCAAGCATTGTCAAACCAAGCATTGTTATTTCACTATCGAATCTCGCATCTCAAATCTTGAACCCAGGCTAACCACGGAGAGCGCCGTCGCGGGAACTGGCAACTGATCTTGGATCATTCACGACAGTGGGGAAACAATGGCTACTTGGCGACAGCTCAAGATTAGCGACATCGACGCCGTTGTCAGCATCATGGCAGTCATACATGCCGAATTGCCCGAGAGTAGAGACATCTTTGTTGAGCGATTAAGGCTCTTCCCCGAGGGATGTCTGGGACTGGTCAACGAGGTCGGCGAGCTCAGTGGATATGCCATCTCGCACCCCATTCGCTATCGTCAACCACCAGAACTGGACCACCTGTTGGGCCAGATAGCTCGGGACGCCGATCAGTACTATATTCACGATGTTTGCGTGCTGCCTGCCTTTCGCGGACGAGGGCTGGCTCCGCAGGCCATCAAGAAGCTCCTCATCGTTGCCGAGCGCTACCCGAGCGCGTGCCTCATATCAGTCTACGGCACTAGGTCTTTCTGGGGCCGCTACGGCTTCCTACCACCACCGTCTATTGACACAAGCCTTGCGGAGAAGTTGCTCGACTATGGAGGAGATGCAACATATCTTGAGCGCCGGAAAAGCGATCCTTAGTCAGAGCTGTACGATGCCATATCCAGTCAATGTCTCATCCAATCCGGTACCCTCTTCCCGACCGTCAGCTCCGTAGCTCCCTAGAGATACAACATCACCATGATCGATTATACACTCAATTTCCTCTCAGTATGACCAGACTCTTTTCTCTCCTCGAGCATCCAATGTCCCATGCCGATTCATGTGACCATACCAGAACCTCAGGCACACCGCCATGATTGCAACGAAGAAGCTGCACGCAGCGCAAACATAGTTTCCGGTCGGATAACCGTCTGCTGCCTCGTTGGTTTTCCATATCCACTGGGCGATAATCTGACCGATACCCGCACAGGAATTATGCAGGGCTATGGCGAATGGTATCCTAGGAACACAAAGAAATGTCAGTCAATTTTCGCCTTTTATGGGAAGCTTCAATCACACAATCCACTCACGTGAGTAGGCTTGGTGTATTACACGTAACCCAGTTCGTCATGGCCGGTGCGCACGGAAACGCTCCAGCGGCAGCAAGGCACAAACAGCCATATCTCGCTGTGTACGCATCGTGTGGGAGAGATCCCGCCGTCACCCACCCGATACCGCCAGCGATGGAGGCACCAGCAACGTGCCAACCTCGAGCATTGAAGTGGTCTGCCGAGTATGATAGCAAGATTGCCACCACGAAACCCACGACCCATGGAGGCACAGTCATGAGTTGGGCCTGAATAGAAGCATAGCCGAGCCCTGTCACAATGGTCGGGGAGTAGAAGGTGAATGATCCCTGCAGGACAACATTTGCGATCTGTTACAAGTCAGCAGCACGATCTCGAGGTAGGTGGTAATTGGCTTACATAGGCCGCATAGTGTGCCAACATCCTGGGTTTAAAAAATGTTTGAAGAATTTCTTTCTTTGTGGCGTGATCCCTGTTATAACCACCTCCCATGTCCTTTAGCCTATCAACTGCCAACCTCTTCTGATCTTCATTGAGGAAGCGGGCCCTCGACGGATAGTCGGGCAAGATCAAAGCCGTGGGCAGAACGCTCAGCATGGTGATGATGCCCTCGATTATGAAGAGCCAGCGAAATCCCTGCAGTCCAGCAGCTCCATTGATGTGGCCAATACCATAGGCGATAGCACCACCGAATGCGCCAGCCAGATTACAAAAAGCGATGACATAGGCTATGCGGATTGATCTTTCATTGTGGCGATACCATATTGTGATGAAGTAGACGACACCAGGAAAGAAGCCTGCTTCGAACTATGCGACATGAGCGATTGACTATTGCTACTGATGATCCAGGTTGTACTTACAACGCCTATCAAAAGTCTGAGAACAAGGACTGTTGCATAGTTATGTACTCCAGCTTATCGTATGAAACGTCAGTTTTGGGTTGATATGATCTCAAGATGGCTGTTGGGATGATACGGCTTACCGAAACCAATTGTCAAAGCACCCCAACATCCTAGGAGGATTGCGAGCCATAGTGACGGTCTGACATAATGCTTCACTGTAAATCCTGACATCAGTATTTGTTCTCGGGTAGGCAGTACTCCATAGTCAGGGAGAGATGGTAGGCCGAATGTACATACTGATCCAATTGGATGGCACCTCGAAGACAGCATACGCAACCGAGAATAATGACACCGTCACGGCGTAGCCGGAAGCCGTCGTGCCGGTTTGGCTAAGCAAGTCGTCATGAGTTTCGGCATTGAGGACTTTGGCGTTGCCAATATTGCCGCGGTCGAGAAAGTTGAGGAGATATAGCCAGCAACAGACTGGAAGGACGCGCCAGTCCAAGATGCGGTTCAGCTTTCTGTTCATATCCTCGTCGTAGACATCCGTGGTGATGGTATCCGGTCCGGCGCTAGTGCCGCCACCGGCCTAGGTTAGATGGTTTTCTGCATCAGTGAACGATACCCCATATAAGGCATTATTAAACCAACCTCATCCGACTGCTTTTCGAGCTGTTCAACAATTTCCTTATCCATGGTAACAAATCGTACAGTCTATTGAAGATTTAACATTGATAGTAAGAACAACAAACGTGCATGCGAAAAGGTTTGTTGAAATTTGGAACAGCTACGGATTTTAAAACCCGGACCACATTCACCACGAGACGCCGTCACTTTTGTCTTCCCCTCATCGTGAGCCGGATGCCCAACACTTGCGCGCCTACATGCATGCGAGGGTGGCGCACTCCATTTCCGTGTTATACCCCAATGTCTCAAGCAATAATTATTGGAGGCGACATTGCCGGTGCATTATAGTAGTAGTGGTGGTAGTAAGTAGTAGGATGGACTTTTACTGAGGGGCAATTGATGGGTTCCACGTGGGAAGAGTGGGAAAGGATGCTGTTACCCCGAGCTTGGCATGATTATAGCCCGAGTGTTGGCAGTCGACGTTGACGAGATGCAGTGGGTACACTGCTATACTTTGTAGTGGAGTTGCTCCGTTTGTAGCTACAAGGTAAACCTGTAGATATAGTGGTATGCTCGCTATAACGTTGGAGCAATTTGTGACCCCGGAACACAGACAGCCTCGCGGGATTAGCTCCTGAATGCGGGGGAGAGCTTCAATTCGCGTTCGCGCACGAGGAAGTTCTTTAGGGGAAGGGCTTCCCAATCCAACTCCCTACTGATCACTGGGACTCTAGAGAACTGTTCGTCTCGAATTCATTTGATCACCTACCAAATTGTCATGTTCATCACAGAGAAACGTTTTATATACCTTGAGAGGTCTTGCCCGTACCCTCGCCTCACCTTTCCATCATATCTTCTTGCTCGTGGGCATTCCATGGCACGATAAGGCTGTGCCGGTGAAGTAGAAAAATGTCACTGGACAGGTTTGTTGTCAAATTGTTGTAGTGGCATGACAGCTTGCAACTGGCTGCGATCAAGGCTACGCATGCATAGCTACGCCATTATATGTCTTTGCCGATGTGGCAATAAACCCTGACACCCTGTCCACCTGTCAAAGAGGTAAGGAGCTTGCGTCACCCACACAAATACGCAGCAATACACCAGGGGTATCAGCCAGGTGCGAGGTGGGTAGCACAAGGCGCAGCGTATGTTGGTCGCAGGCGTCGAGCTTGGATGATGTTGGAAAACTGCCAAAAAGGAGCCCCGCGCCCATCATAAGACATGAACCTTGCCAACATAACATTTGAAGTGCGCGTAATTCGACTCAACACATGCCATACCTTCCCGCATTTCAATGAACATGTAGTCCTCCCACCTGAGAACACAATATTGCTCCTTACTCGGATGAGAGAGCGACACTATTTCAGCTTCCCTGAACCGCGTTCTGGCAATCCAAAATGTTCCCTGGGGTGCGCGACTATCGAATTGCCTGGGTTCTTCCTTCCTCCGACCAACAAGCGGTGGCTCGGGACTACTTTGATCATGATATCGTCAGCTGCTATTCCTCCACTTGCCGTGTCACGTACACATTTGGCAGGGTTGAGCAACACAAGGTGGTAATGGCAAGCCCGGCTTCAAATGCTGAGAATCAGAGCACCGACTACATCATTGAAGACCTGTTGCGCCATGTCCCTTCCATCCGAGCGGGATTCCTGGTCAGCAGCGATGCTGTCGCACCAAGGGCGGGCATTGCTCGTGTGGGCGATGTTGTTGTTGGCGGTACATCACCAAACATGGAGCGGGGTGTCATTTATCTCGATGCTGAGAAGGCAGGAAAAGAAAAACGTATTCGCATCATTGGTGCGTCACAAACTTTACCAGCTACTGTGGTAAAGGCTGTCCGGGAGGCCATGAACCCCGAAGGCCGTAAGGATTGGGAAAAGCGGCTGGGCCAGGACAGATTCACACTCGTAATGAGATCTGTTGTAAGTAGCAACAATGGATTTCAGCCAGACTTCGTCAAGCACCTACGTCAAGCTTTGATAGGTGTCATTGCGAGTTCAAAACAGGGCATTGAGGACACAACGCTGCTGGAGAACATTGTTGCGGAAAGAGACATCATCTGTTTCGAAACACAGGCAGCAACAATGTGTTCCTATCCATTTCTGGTTGTAACTGGCATTTCCAAATACTGCGATAATGTTTAAAGCAAGGACACGTGCAATGCTATTATATTGTACCTAACTTGTGTTACGAATATGCACCCTTACAAAATAACACCAATATATTAAAAGAAATAGGAAAGATAACGGAGGCGCAGTAATAGCTAACGCAAAGGCCAGGAACCCCTATAGCAAATATGTTATTACCCCTCCACAGCTATAGGCAGCTGTAAACGGAATTACGATTTTAGCGGAGTAATAATTACTCCTTAGCAGAGTAATACTTATTAAACGCCAATAATACTTATTAATAGATATCGTAATAATTATCCACGGGCTAGGTAATTAAGGAATTAGTAAGGGAATAAATGGATATATATTATAAAAGGATTTCCTATATAAATAGTTATTACTTTAGTAATTAATCTAAGCATCTATCTTACTTATAGGTAAAGCATTTAATACGCTTTAGCAATTATATTTATAAATTAGTTTAATTACTTATTGCTTAATACTTTTTTTCGAAGCTACCGTTCCCTATTAGCATAAACCCTAACCCTTATTATATTTTAGGTTTATTTTAAAAACCCGTAATATAATTGTTATATTTTGATTATTTTTATTTAGGTATGTTATTTTTGAAAGAAACCTTAAGCAATATTTAGCAGGATATCGTTAACCGGAAAAACTTTTTTTTCTTTATTTAAATATTCTTAGCGCTTGCTCGCGTAGGAAATAGAAAAAAACGATTTCGAACTTATTAAGGATTAATATATAGAATTAGTTAAAAAGATCCGCGCATTTAAGGATAAAAAAGCAATTTTTATCGCGCGCGAAACCTAGATAGGATAAGTTATATAGGAATTCTAAAATTTTAATAACGCTATAACCGGGGTAGCTAATATTATTAATACTTTAATTTATTCCGAAAAGCTTAAGCTTAGTATTTTAGTAGCCTTTAACGGTACCTCCGGCGCATTCCGAAGATATTTGGCTTAAGTCCGAGCTTATTAAATTTTTTACGGTAATAAGTTTATAATAGAAAAGCAAAAGATATTTTATATTTCGTTTTATTTTAAAGGACGAGTATTTGCTTAGTTCGAACCTTACCTTTTAAATATAATTAAGCACGAATAGCAGATAGAATTATGTAAAGCGGAAATTTAGAATATTTTTTAGGATTATATAAGATACGAAGCCGCGCTTCGATTATTATTCTAGGACTTAGACGAAAAACGATAAGCTAAAAAGGAACTCGAGAACCTTAAGCAGAAAGGATCCGTATCTAATTATACGGCAGATTTTAAACGTATTGTTGCTAAAATAGAATGTACCGACGATATTAGGATTATATTTTATTACCGAGGATTTAAAAATAATATTAAGGATAAATTTAGCAAAGTTTTTAATTTATTAACGGAGTTCGGGAAATATAGCGAATTTATAATTAAAATCGATAATTAGTTATACGTTTGATAAAACGAAAAAAGAGGAAGCAACCTTACGTTACGGTATTAACGGAATTACGCTAATATAGGTAGATAACGAAACGTTTAGTAACCCAAAAATAACTAACGCAATAAAACTTCGTACGAAACCTATAGCGGATAAATGGACTTTAACGCTACTTAGCGCAAAGATAAATTTAAGGTTAAATATTATAATTGCGATAAAATAGGATATTATGCGAATAAGTGTCGTTAATTTAAAAGATTTAGATTTAAATTTGTGCTAAAGGGCAAAAAATAATTTAATAGTACTAAAAAGGAAAAAATACCTTATAAATTATTTTTATAGACGGCGTATTTCGACGACGCTTATCGAACGCATAAATCTAGTAAGGACGATAATGGATAGTACCCTTAAGAACGGAAAACTTTAGCGGTTATACGCCTAAAAAGGACCGTTACCTTTGGTCTAAAAAAATAACTATAAAATAGTAACGACGATATAATATCGGATATTTTAAAGAACGAAGTTTATAATTAGATATAATAGGCCGAATACCGGGTTTAGGAAATAAGGTTAAAAGGATTGATCGATAATATTAATAATAGTAATAAAGATTTTAGCGAAGTCGACCTTTACGCACCTAGTAATATTTGTAGTATCGATAAACTACCGGAAAGATAACGACTAGTACGGCAGCTATAAATTTCCGATAACGAAATTTTCGAAATTATACTACGACGAAATAGATTAATTAAGCTAGATATTTTTTATATTATTATAGCAGTAGAATCGTACGGATTAGGATAATAATTTGCGAAAATCCTTTAGAAGACCACGGATACGGTATAGGAAAAAAGGACCCTAGGAGCTATTTTCGGAAACGACCTAAGACTTAATATTAAGCATAAATAATACTATTAGATTGCGTAGATAGGATATATCGATTTAGGATACGACGAATATTTAGAATTAAAGGTTTAGCAAAGAATTTTCCTTTTAAGAATAGGAAAAACCGTTATAAGTTACCTTTATTTGGCGGGACTTATAGGAAAGGTAGAAATAAGCTATTGCGATATTCGAGGATATATCGTATTTGCTACGTACCTTGGCCTAAGGCGATATTCGGATACGGAAAAACGGATATAGTCGAATTGTATAATAGATAAATATAACTTTTATATAAAAAATAAGGCAAAAATATAGCGATAAATTAAAGAATTACGGGCTATAGGATAATTTAAGATAACCTTAGTTCGCTATACGATAGTAGTCGATAACGCGATTAGAACGACGCAAAAAGCACCGCTACGATATTTTTAACTATTAATGATTTAACCAATTATTTCGGTCGAAAAGACCGTATATGATATTAGCCTATTAGGGATAGGACGACCTTATTTGGAATATAAAGATATAAAGGAGCTAAAAGAGCCCTTTAGGGATAATAGATTATAAAGATAAATCCTTAAAACACAAAAAAAAATAGGCGAATTATCTAAATAATACGGAAATCGACCTTTACGAGTTAGGAACGCTTTAAGCATATTAGAATAATAGGTATATACGGCCGCCGAGCAGCGACGAGTTAATAGGCAAATTAATAAAAGCCTAGGAAAAGACTTGGATTATTTTTAAAGCGATAGGAATGGTCCTTAGAAGAAAAGTTTATATATGCCGCGAATAGCATTAATATTAACGAATATTTTACGATTTAGATTAAGATTATAAACTAAAAGATACGAGCCTTAGTAGATATAGGAGCTTAAGGAAATTTTATTTCGCTAGCAATCGTTAACGCTTTGCAAATATTATAAAAGCAGAAGAAGACGTTTTATGTATTTAATATTATTAATGGAGAACCTATATCGTATAGAAACGGAATTATAAATATAAAAATTGTGTATATTTAAATTTATATTTAGGATTACGAAAAAGGATTTACGTGCGATATTATAAAAATTACGGATTACGATATTATCTTAGGGATACCCTGGTTACGAGCGAATAACCTTAAAGTGAATTAGAATATCGGCTAATTTTAATAAAATATATTAGGAAAAGAGTTAGCTTTTAAAAAGCGCTAGAATAAACCTTTAAGCAACCCTAAGATATTTGGATTTTATTTTATAACTAAATATATTAAGCCGAAATTTGAAACTAAAGTACTAGAAAAGTATTAGGAGTTTAGCGACTTATTTAGTAAAGTACTAAAAATAGGATTATTAAAGCATATAAGATACGATTATAAAATACTTTTTTAGGAAGGAAAGGAATTATATTTTATATTAACGTATTTAGTGAAACCTTAGTATGAAAAGGCATTAAAGGAATATTTAGCGGATATATTATAAAAAAAATAAATTATAGAATCTATTTTACCCGTAAAATATTTAATACTTTTTATACCTAAAAAAAGTAAAAATAGAAAACCCAAATGGAGACCTTGCATCGATTACCGCAAGTTTAATGATATTACGATTAAAAACCGATACCCTTTACCTTTAATTAAAGATTTATATAATAAGTTGCATAAAATTTAATAGTTTATAGCCCTAAATTTGCTTAACGCGTACGGCTTAATACGTATTAAAAAGGGAGAAAAATAGAAAACCGCTTTCCGTTATAAATACGGATATTTTGAATATAAGGTTATGCCTTTCGAATTAATTAACGTATTAGCAAGCTTTTAGAATATAATTAATAACGTTTTAAAAGAATACTTCGATAAGTTTATAGTAGTATACCTCGACGATATATTTATTTATTTTAAGGACCTTAACGAATACTAATAATACGTTAAAATAGTATTATAGAAACTATAGGACGCAAACCTGCTAGTTAACCTAAAGAAAAGCGAATTCTATAAAAAAGAAGTTATTTTCGTAGGATATATAATATCCTTTAGAAAAATTAAAATGGAACTATTTAAGATTTTAGCAATAAGGGATTAGCTTACCCCGATTTCGGTAATAAAAATTAGATCCTTTTTAGGACTCGTAAATTTTTACCGGATATTTATTTAGGGACTCGGAGGTATCGCTGCACTATTTACGCACTTAATAAAAAAGGATATACTATTCGACTGGACACCCGAAGCGCAGGAAGCCTTCGAAGTAATTAAGAAACGAATTACGGACGAATCCGTAATACGTATAGCAGATTTAAAACGAGAATTTGAAATTAAAATAGATGCTTTAGATTACGCTATAGGCGGATAATTTATATAAAAAGATAATAACGGGAAACTATACCTAGTTATATTTTATAGCAAGAAGTTTACGAAAAAATAATTAAACTATTAAATTTATAATAAGGAATTTATAGTTATTATCGAAGCATTTTAAAAATAGAAATACTATTTTAGCGGAATTAAGTACTAAATTAAAGTCTATATCGATTATAAGAATTTAATCTTATTTACTATTAATAAAGAATTTAATAAACGATAAATTCGATAGGTAGAATTTTTAGTAAATTTTAATTTTAAAATCATTTATCGCAAAGGGTTAGAAAACGGAAAAGCCGACGCTTTAAATCGAAAACCAGACTATTTTTAGGAAGTACCGAAGGAAATTAATATTATCTTTTTGATAAACGATAACGGAGATTTAGTATTAATTATAACCTTATACGCAGTTATAAGGGTTATTAATAATAAAAGTTGGATAAAAAAAGTCGTCGATATAATACGATTATTATTCTAAAATTTATTTTATAATTTAATATTAAAAATTAAAAAATTCGAAAATATCGTTAAATATTAAGGCAAATTATAGATTCCGAATAAACTCCGAAAAGACCTTATTAAAGATTACTACGAATTATTAGTTTACGGATATTAAGGAGTTTTTAAAACCCTTAAACGAATTTAGTAGAATTTTAACTATTCGAACCTCCGATAAATAGTTAGTAATATTATTAGAAAATGCGACTTATGTAATAAGGCAAAATCAGCACGATATAAGCAGTATAAAAAACTACAACCTATATTATTACTAAATAAAATATAGAAATTTATTGCATTAGATTTTATCGTGAAATTACCACTTTTAGAAAAACCTTTAATTAGGACCTTTTACGATAATATCCTAGTATTTATAAAACGATTTACGAAATACGTATATTTTTTTTTTATATAAGGAAATTAGCAATATAAAAAAATTAGCCTATACGTTCTTCCGAACGATAGCTAGCTAATACGGATTATTAAACGAGATTATTTTAGACCGAGATAAATTTTTTATATCGAAATTTTGGAAATTATTTATTAGTTAGCTAAAATGCGATTATAAGCTTTTAACGGCTTTTTATCCGTAAACTAACGGGTAAATAAAATAAGCAAATTAGGTATTCGAGGAATATTTTAGATGCTATGTTAATTACGAATAAAATAATTAGGTTATATTATTGCTATTCGCACAATTTGCATATAATAATGCAATAAAGGAATTTATCGGAATATTACTTTTTTATACTAATTACGGTTATAAACCCGATATTATTAAAGAATTACTAAAAGGAAAAGAATTTGCATTTTACGCTATTTTACGCGTTAAATAGCTTAAAAATTTATAAGTAGAATTCTAGAAAACCTTTATTGTTATTTAATAAAAGATAAAACTTTAATACGATAAGAAGAAGATTAAGGGATTAATTTTTGAGAAAGGAAATAAGGTTTACCTCTTACGAAAAAACATTAAGATAAAACGACTAAATAATAAATTCGATTTTAAAAAATTTGGATTATTTAAAATCGATAAGAAAATTTCGAATGTTAATTACCGACTTAAGCTACTAAAGATTATAAAAAATTATAGAACCTTTTATATTTTATTATTCGAATTAGCACTAAAAAACGCTAAAGTCGACGAAATACTAAAAACCGAACTAAATTAGCAAAGCTACGACGTCGAAAAAATTATTAATTATAAGAAAGTCGGACGAAGATATTAATTCTACGTTAAATAGGAAAATTACTTACCTAAAAAAAATATTTAGGAACCTAGGAAATATATTAAGGGCTATATCGCTTTTAACTAGTATTTTTAGTTTCGATAAAAGGATTAAAATTTATAAAGTTATTTCTAAAACCGAGCGTTGATTAATCGAAATCGTTAAAGATACTAAAGGATTAAAAATTTTGGATAACGCGTTGTTCCTGCTAAATAATCCCGTTTATTTTATCTAATTTTTGTATTCCCCGACGAAATGCCTTAGACTTTTTTTTTTTACTACCTTTTTTATTCGACGGAGACGAGCTAAGCGACCAAAAGCAGTAAATAGTTGCGTTTGGAGAATAAATAGTGCCTCTTTCGCATCCGCTTCCTCGTTATTTAATTTCTTTTCTTAAGTAGCAAGTTTCGATAAAAAGGAAGCTACGAACGTGCCGTCGCAGGATCGACCGGTTTAAGTATAGCGCGAGTAGCGCGACGATTTTTTATTTATAACGCAACCCTTGTTTTTACGCAAATAACGAATGCACGTTATTTCGGTCTCGTAACCGGTATCGGCAATTTTTTTCGTAAAAGCAATTCGTTTTAAAAAAGAATAAGATAGCTGTTTTTTAGTTTAATCTGATATAGTAAGCATATATTACAAAAAAAGTATATAGGAAGGATAATTTAGTTAGGAACCAAATAGGCGACGGCGATTTATTTATACGATTTACGTTTTTCGAGGACAAAAGATAATAAAGAAGGGAGCTAATATTACGAATATATACCTTTGCAAAATAATATTAATATATTAAGAGAAATAGGAAAAATAACGGAGGCGCAATAGTAGCTAACGCAAAGGCTAGGAACCCTTATAGCAAATATATTATTATCCTTTTATAATTATAAGTAGCTATAAACGGAATTACGATTTTGGCGGAGTAATAATTATTTTTTAGTAAAGTAATATTTACTGGACGCTAATAATATTTACTAATAAATATCGTAATAATTACCTACGGGCTGGGTAATTAAGAAATCAGTAAGGGAATAAATGGATATATATTATAAAAGGATTTCCTATATAAATAGTTATTACCTTAGTAATTAATTTAAGCATTTATTTTACCTATAGGTGAAATATTTAATACGCTTTAGCGACTATATTTATAAATCAGTTTAATTACCTATTGCTTAATACTTTCTTTCGAAGCTACCGTTCCCTATTAGCATAAACCCCAACCCTTATTATACTTCAGGTTTATTTTAGAAACCCGTAGTATAGTCGTTATAATTTGCTTAATACGCCGTATTGACTATCGTGAACTTAAGCGGGAACCTCTAATAGAGCCTCAGTTTCAGTATAAGCCCATTGACCTGGCATCACGAGGATTTCGCTTATTGAGGCTCCGAGGAGGCTTGGGCGAACTCGAATGCCACATGTTTAATGCATCGTTTGACGAAAACATGCTGGTTCCGTACGAAGCGCTTTCATACTGTTGGGGTGATAATCGCTTGACTCACACGATTCGAGTAAATGGCAAGGCGCTTGCCATTACACACAACTTGTATACGGCACTCATGCATTTACGGTTCAATGAAAAGGATCGCATGTTATGGATCGATGCTGTTTGCATCGATCAGGGCAATGTACAAGAAAGGGGACATCAAGTTGACAACATGGGTGACGTGTACAGGCGCGCTGACCAGGTTCTCTTTTGGCTCGGACGCGTCGAGGACAATGTCGGCACCCTGATGAACGCACTCAATTCTTTCGAAGAAAACGTTCCTAGTGAGGCTTTGGAACAATGGCCCAATGGAGACTCTCGCTTCCATCACATTTGGAGCAAGATATGCAAAAGACGTCATTTCCGCGATCTACGATGGGAACTCAGGTCTTTGATGGATGATGACTGGTTCAACCGAGTATGGATCATACAAGAGGTATTCAACGCCAAGAAGGCTTCAGTTGGCTGTACTGATGGATGGGTCAGTCCAAGAGTATTCGCGCTGGCACCGAGTCTGCTCCAAGTCCGGCCAAGCAACCAATGCCAAGCCATCATCGATATCATGCCTGGTCCATTGAGGAAATCCTCTTGGTGGAATCAGAACCCAAATCTATCAACCCTCTTGTGGAAGTTCAGAGAGAGCCAAGCTACTGATTCTCGGGACCGCGTCTTTGCACTTTTAGGCATTGCTTCCGACAAACCTTTCCGATCGGATTACTCCAAATCCGAAATGATCGTTGTCAAGGATGTGTTCGAATATCTATGTCGGGATAATTTCCCCATAAACTCGATGAGAACTTCAAGTATCGAGGAACTTCAAAACACAGTTCCGAGTCTGGTGTATATGGGTTTAGACCAGTTTGTTTCCCCCGGAAAACATATGGATGTCATGAAACAATTCAGATACCGACATAACAAACAAGTATTCCTATCGGAGGCCGCCGTAGGTTACCTTTGGCACATCAACTCTCCTCTGAAGGAGCAGTTAACGCATGAATCCGGCATCGTGCAGGTAGTTGTGGGTCAAAAATCCGCGAACAGCACAGAATCTCTTTCTACGTATCTGGAACAGGAAAGAGGCCAGAACGCGATTCAAGGCTCTCAGATCCATACACAAGAGAACAGTTTCAACTTTGAATATACGATGTTGGAATCAGGTCAAGACGAAATTCAATTAGCCGAGATTCTCACACTAGAAGCAGCTAGAAACGGCTCCAACGTTTTCGAACGGTTCCTTCACAATAATGGCGAACAAGTTGTGCTCAGTTCGGATGTAATTGCTGCTGCGGATAATAGAGGGCTGAATATACTTGATCTGCTACTCTGTAGGCATTACGACCAAATCAGTATCACCGACGCATTGTTGGTAGATGCCATCCGAAGTTATCCAGAAAAACTCCGAATATTTCTCGACACGTATCGCGACCAGCTAAAAATTACCGAAACATCTATCCTGGAAGCTATTACAGCTGGCCCCAAAACGCTCAAGCTGTTGCTTGAAGCATGTAGAGAATCACTTGTGATTTCTCAATCAATGGCGGAAGCGGGCTTTCAACGCGGACCAGACAATTTCAGAGCTTTGCTTGTTGAGCGCGGCAACCAATTGGAGATTGATAGCGCAATTAGCAATGCAGCCTTGGAAAAAGGTGTTGATGAGTTCAAGGTATTGATCGATCAATACGGCGACAGAGTTACATGCACAAACGCGATGATCGTCAAAGCCATTCGTCAAAAGTCAAATACGCTTAAGTACTTGATTGATCGATATGGCGACCAGATTACATGCACAGCTGAGATGATCCACGTAGCCATTCATGAAGGGTCGGACGACGCGCTCGAGGTCTTGCCTGATCGTTACAGAGACCGAAGTACGTGCACAGCTGAGATGGTCCTTGCAGCCATTCGTTCACGGCCAAATGAGCTCGAGCGCTTGCTTGATCGATATGGCGACCAAATTACATGCACAACCGAGATGATTTGTGCAGCCATTGATCAAGGGAAACTCTACACGCTCAAGGCCTTGCTTGATCGATATGGCGACCAGATTACATGCACAAATGAGATGGTCCTTGCAGCCATTGATCATGGAGGATTCCGGGCACTTGAGGCTTTGCTTGACAGATACGGCGACCAAATTACATACACAGCTGAGATGGTCTATGCAGCCATTGATCATGGGGGATTCTACACGCTCGAGGCCTTGCTTGATCGATACGGCGACCAAATCGATATCAAGAGCATCGCCACCAGGGCTCTCTGCCATTCATCCACCCCCAAAAAGCTCGAGTTGCTGCTCGATAGGTATGGCGACCGTGTAGATATACCGGCGGATGCATTCAACAACATGTTGCGATTCGGGAAGGTAGATAATTTGACAATGTTGCTCGACAGGTGTGGAGACCGAAATGATGTTCTCAAGGCGCTTATTCGGATCGAGGACAAATGGGCTTTTCGGCGGCACGCCGCTCGGACGCTAATTGTTCAAGGACATATGAATGTATACCCATGGTTCAGAGTCTTGGCCTCTGCTTTGGGAGATGCTCTGGCGCAGAGATTTCGGTCCCTCGCCATGCTTATGGGTGGCGAGTTCAATGAGCTCAATGAGCTCCTCCTGCATCCAAGTCTACTTCTTTGACCTACAAAACAAGGGTCTCTCTCGAAATGGCATTTCTTGAATATTTATAATTGATCGCAATAAGATAATGCTGTTTTATTCAACACATCCGCCCATAGCTGCTTTTATTTATAGCTCTGTTTCACTCGTTTCAATCACTTTCCTCTCCCCTAGATCGTACTGATCACCTGGTCGAAGAAAGTAGAACCGACTTTCTGGCGGCGGAAGGTGTTTCAGCTCGCTCAGCTCCTCTCTCGACCAGAAGCCCCCGTCGTAGATTAGTACATATGTTCCTTCGAAAACTGTGGCCTCATTCTTATGAACTAAGAGTGCCGTATTCTCATCAATAGCCACACCCAGTAACTCCGGATGTACTTTGAGAATGTCGAACATGTCGAATTGTCGATTCCTTACCAGAACGTGCTGGTCGATAGCAGCATTCTTGAGATACCCAAACCCAACAGTGTGGTCCCCAATCATGATTTGATTGTTCTCCGTGTCTCCGCGTGCAAGAAACGATGCTTGTACACTTGCGCCAGCAGAAGATCCAGAAATGACGCCGCCACGATCCAGTACAGCTTGGAATGCCCGCTCGGCCTTAGTCCCGGCATAGGCATCCACAATACGCCACTGTCGCCCGCCATCAAAGTAGACGCCCTTGGCTTCCCGGAGCGGGGCCACAAAATCGTCAGTGTCTGCGACCGCTGGATCGTAGGTGTGCAACACGGTGACGTTTAGAGAACCGTTCTTACGCAGAGAGGCGGCGCTGGGCAAGGTGTCGTTGTAGGTCGGCTCACCGCCGGCCGTTGGGATCACCACGATTGATGCATCCGGTCCTCCGGCAAGCTCTATAATCTTTTGCCATATGGTATCGGACTGGAGGTTTCCTCCTACAATGACGAGATGACCGTTTTCGGGACCCACGTAGGTCCCATTGGTGGTGACCGGCAGTGCCATGATGGCAGCGGTGGTAAAGGATACAAGAAGCAGGATAGACCGAAAAATATGCATCGGAACGCTGGTTGAATGATAATTGAGAGCTTAGGCCTCGGCCTCGGAGGGCAGGAGGGCAACATGCACAGAAGCGATTCTATAAAGCCCCGCGGATACACAGTATTGGCATTGCGCAATAGTGGAGCATGATGATTCCGTCGGAGCACTGCCGATACTTGGAGGTGCCGAGAACATAGAGGTGGCCGATGAGATGATCTACTATGTCATACATACCTGGTGTGTACAATAAGGACGAATAGGGTTGCATGTTAATGTCAGCCGACATGAAATTGAAAGTAGGTGAGTTGCATCGAATGAATTGATTCTTTTCTGCATCCCATGTCGTTTCGATAAAATCATTCATCGAAGTGAACTTTTGCTGTCCGGTTCAGGTAGATGGTGCTAAGTTAGCGAGTCTAGCCGCCCAACATGCACCCCCGCCGCCCACCGCTACCAACTCATCACACCCGTGTGTAGAAGGCCCATCACCATTGACTTTTTTCTAGAATAGCATGAGATCCTGACCCTATATCAAACAAGCAGATTCCAATTATCAACGACACCGCATATTGACTGACATGCCTTCGGATTCACTAGCGGTGCCCTCGAACAGACTTATAGTCACCAATGGTGCACTCGTTGGGTTTTGGAGGCATCTCGCTCATAATAGGGCGCGGAATGCGTCAGGGTGCAGCGAGCGCCTTGGCATTCTTCGGCAAGTCAAATACTTTACCGGGGTTCATAAGCCATCTAGGTCAAAGATATAAGCCATCTCTCCAATAACCGATGACAGTCGCTTTCCATGGGGAACTCACTTGGGATCGACTGCCTTCTTGATAGTCTTCATCAAGTTGATTGTATCAAGTCCCAACTCGTCAACCAGACAAGCCTGTCTCGGCTTTTAGCATAGCTTCCAAGTGCGACTTGAGTGCAAAACATGGCACTGACCTTTTTCCCCAAACCAATGGCATGCTCGCCCTATTGCGTCTCTCGTTAGTCAAATTACGCTTTGAATATTTTGTTCTTGTTCCTTCTTCCTACAACTTACTGAAACAGTTCCCTCCATCTCTATCGCAAGGTCCATCATCTTGTGAACGCACGCTGCGACTGAATTTGTTTGTGATTCATTCTTTGGGTCGTACATGATAGCTTGATGGAAGTTGCCATCGCCAACGTGACCTACGATGCTATTAAAAAGGCCAAGCGTGCTGGCATTTTCTTTTGATGCATCTATTTTGGTGGAATTAGCCTTCTAGGTACTAATATGATTTGGTTCACGTTACTCACTAATGATCTCGGCCAGCCGAGAAATAGGGACCGCTACATCGGTAGACCAGAGGTTAAAGCCTTCCGGTTTGATAGACACCATCGTCCAAAGAGCTTCTTTCCTGCCAGACCATAAGTCCACCTCATCTTGCTTGGTCTTGGCAAAGAAGAACTGGCCAGCATTGAAAGGCTTGACGATGGTCTCAACCCGTGAGATGTCACTAGCAATCGCGGCAGTAGTTCCGGAAAATCTACATATCGACTTAGTTTGTCTGGATCATTCTGAAAGAGTGCGGGGACGAACTTCATAAATAACGTGGGATTCTCATCCCATCTCCGTTTCCGAACAGCCTCACTGCCATGCTTGTTCAAGACGGACATTTGCACTTCATCCATCAGCTCCAGGGCTGCCAACTGTAGTCCCGATCGAATGATGCCAGTGGCAGCTTCTGCGGCTTCCTTGATTGTGGGAAAAGAAACGATAGCAACACTTGTGTCTTGCGGGATGACAGCAAGCTTGACGGTGATTTCGGTAACGAAACCCAATGTGCCTTCAGCTCCAACGAACAGAGATGTCAAGTTATAACCTGCCGAAGTCTTTCTTGGTCGATGTCTGGTCCTGATAATCTGACCATCGGCAAGTACCACAGTAAGGTTGATTACCCAATCTTTCATGGTTCCGTAACGAAAGGCATTGGTCCCACTGCTTGCGTTAGATTTCACAAGATTGGAGAGTATCTTCGGGTTCCCTACCTGCAATTCGTTGATACCATACCCCCAATACTAGCTGTAGGCGATGGATCTAGTGGGAGAAACAATCCACTGTCCTTGATTTGCTGATTCAAGTTCATCCAATTGACTCCGGGCTGTACCACTACATCCATGCTGCGATAATGAGAATTAGTTTGTCCTATTCGTACAAGAAGGGCCTAGTCAAGTCATACTCATTGGGATGAAATTCAATAACTTTATCCATGTTGACAAAATCCACGCAAATTCCACTGTATGGCGAAGAGAAGTTGCCTTCAACAGAGGATCCGGCGCCGAATGGAACTGTTGCAAATTAGTAAAGTCACTTACAGCCGAAAGATCTTCAAACGCACTCATTGGTGTATCATAGTGGTGGCATATCTTGGCAATGCTTGAGACTTGCTCGGTAGTCTCTGGATAGACGATTGCTATGGGCCGGCCTGTAGAGTTGGATGTAGACCAATCAGAGTAGCCATGAGCCTCGATGACGCTCTCATCATAGCTGATGCCGTCTTTGCCCAGTAGAGTCTCGATCTCACGTGCTGCCTACATACAGTGTCAGATTATAGGATGCAGAACAGGTTCAGGTACGATCACAAGACCTTTAACATGGTGTCTCTATTTGCGTACTCAATCACATCTGGCTTGACCATTGTCATCGATGCGACAATCAGGCCACCGACACCCAGGCCAGCAACACCAAGCGCAACACCTGGGAGCAGAGATCGGCCCCCGGCACGTTTAACATGCAGAGACGCTAGGCGCCATTGTACACGGCTGGCTGGGCTCCAAAATGGTTCCGAGATCCTTGGGCGAACTCTTGACACAGCTTTGCGCACCGAAAAACTTGCTGTGCGAAACATTTTTATGTGCGAAGGATGGTTCTGTCGATGAACAAGAAAATGTACTTCAAACCCTCGTCCGCTGAGTAAGACGCAACAAAAAGGCGAAGGGTTCAAGTCTCTGCAACCGCAACGTACTGTATGGTTCTCCAACTGCCTATGATTTTGGGGATGATGAAAATGCTGAAAGGTTTCAGTCGGGCGGCTGCGCCTAAACGGATGCACAAGGACAAGCGATGTACTGTCTGGCCCAGAGCCCTGTTGCTTTTGGGCGGGGGTATGCTGAATCGGATCTGGAGTGTCAATACTCGGGTCATCACTAATCGAATCCTGGCAATGCATTGCTAGATCCAGCGCCAACATCCGTGCGAACTAAAAGCCGTCGTTCCGGTCTATAGTGGGTTTACACCGTCGTTTAGTATATCATACTACCGTGTTCATTGGGGCTACAACTGAGCATTTTGTAAATCACGGAACCGCCAGCATAGAAAGTAATTATTGGAAGACAACGACAATTGCCAATAATCCCCAATGATCATGCAAGAACTTGTTTACATGATCGGCAAATGCTAGAGGTCATAGACTGTGTGTGTGTCCGCACTTGCTCTTAGCCTGCATACAGGGGCCTGGTAGGCTGCCAGTGATTTTTTTAGCGGTTCAAGGTCTGTTAAACGACGGGTTTTGTCCCATATCAAGAAGGGTATTGTCCGAGGCGCTCATTTCTACAGCTGAATTTCATGTTTACGCAGTTTAGCATTTTCATACTTATCGCATTAACATTAAGTTCTGTGTCCAATTGAATCATTATCTTCAAAACTATCGTTCAAAAAATGTCACCACTTGTCCTCGAAACGGATAGGGATCTCGTCTACCCAGATATTCCCATTTTGAACAAGCAAGTATATACGCAAGAAGGTAGTTTCTCACATCATACTGACAATACAACGTAGGGCTCATCATGGAGATTTCCGCGACGCACTGAGAGACGATGGTTTCGTCGTTGTCAAGAATGCTATTCCGCGGGCCAAGGCGATCGAGTACCAGAACAGGGCATACGACTGGGTTCGAACCTTCAATACACCTCTCGATTTCGAAAACCCTGATACATGGATGAAAGACAATATACCTCTGACAAACCGTGCCAATGCGTTTGCCGCGTACTGCGCCTCGCATGAGAGCTTCATGTGGGAAGCGAGGATGGAGCCAGGCGTCCTGGAAGCATTTGGCAAGCTCTGGGGCACGGATGAGCTCCTCACTAGTTTTGACGGTCTCAACATTACTTTTCCCAACCGAAAGGATGTTCCTGCGAGGGAGCCCTGGGAGCATGTAGACCAGAGCCCTTCAAAGCGTGGTGCGCATTGCATCCAGGGAATCATACACCTCTCGCCCTCGGGCCCGGAGGATGGAGGATTGGTGGTAATTCCCAAATCGCACAAATACCACGACGAGTTCTTCGACACTCATCTCAGGGAACCTCTCAATGGAAGAGATGTTTACCTCTTTCCAAAGGAAGAACTTTCCTGGTTCGAGAAGAAGGGCCTGCGCCCGCACAAGGTGTGCTGCGAGCCCGGCGACCTGATCATGTGGGACTCGCGAGTTATCCACTATGGTTCAGACCCAACAGAGAGAAGCACACAGATTAGGACGGCGATTTATGCTACATACATGCCAGCACGCTTGGCGACGCAAGAGCAGTTGGAGCTGAAGAGAAATGTCTTTCAGCATTTTGGATCTGCAACCCATTGGCCGTTTGAGCATATGAAGCCGGGCCCTACCCATGCCATACTACCAGATGGTAGCAGAGACCCGCGGGATCGCGATGAACCAATCGATCCGCCTGTTCTCAGTGACAAGTTGTTGAGGCTTGCCGGCTTGAAGGCATATTAGAGTAGAAGATGAACTTCTCGAGATGAGGAAGTAGTCTCCTGGGTATCTTGATGCGGGGCACCACGTGCAGTTGCTATGTACGATTAGCTACCAACTGGAAAATTATATTCATTCTCTAGCCACTTGAACCATTTTTATGAGGGGGAAAAAGCATTTCCCGTTAGAGAAAGTCAGCCTTGATACCGCGAATTTGCAACCTGCCTAAAGTCCCTCACGTATCACTCAATTCTGTGAACACTCGGGACGCGTGGAAAGCCACTGTGATGTGTACGTCGATAACCACACCTCCACGTGGATCGTACCAAACCTCACTTCCGAGATTGAGCTTATGCCAATAAACCAGAGATTCTTTGTATCAACCCCCGAACAATATCTTGAAGTGCTAGCAGTGGCAACGGCTTTCGGATTATGCCCACTTGTTTCTATAGATCCACAATTTTCCCCAAGATTCTGGATTGCCGCTACTGCAGGACTAAACAAGTCAGGTATCTGCTAATGATATATCCCGGCGTTCACTGAGCGCCGGCTTTTTGCTCGTGGGCACTACAGTCCACACCGAACTTGACAGCCGATTTGGTATCTATGGTTTCGTGTTTGAGGCATATAGGGGGCCACAACGGCCGACTTTTGGGATGCCGTAATAACTTTGGGTCAACATCCAAAAAGAGTTGTCGAAAATAAGTCGTGCAAGGTCGTACGATCAGCGTAGCAGAAGATGGGTTTCTTTGACGGGGCTCTTGGCCCCTTGCAGTTCAAGTCTAGCACCACTACCATTCTCTTGATCATTCTGTCTTCATGTGTCTTTGCGACGGTATGTCCTCCCGGATGCATCCACGGTTTGCAAGAAGAAGCTAATTGTACGTCACACAGACAACCGGCTACGATACAGCCTTGATGTGTGCCCAAGCATTTCACCCTTTCCATTGGACTCTGACTCACGGTTTGCAGCAATGGCATTAACATACTTCCGTCCTATACGTCCACCCTGAAACTGACGACCGCGACGAAATCACTCAACTCGGCCGCGTCATTTCTCGGATGGGCAGTCGTCTCCACCTTCATGGGCCCGGTCGTCGACCGCGTTGGTCGCAGAACCGGCGTCCTCATCTCCGTGGCGCTCAAGATCGTTGGCGTCGTCTTGATGTCTTGCGCGCAAGAGGTTGGCATGTTTGTCGTCGGTCGAATGGTTCTCGGCGCCGGCTCGGGGACTTCCTCAATTGCTGCATCCACGTTGGTTTTACATTAGTCACCTTTTTATCCTTGAACGCAGTCAACTAACGGCGGCTTAGATGGCTGGCAGAGACTTTGCCTCCCAAATGGCGAGCGTCAGGCCTGGCCTTCATCTTCTCAATTTACTATGTGGGCAAGTACCAAAACGTTTGGTTCGCGTCACGACTGGATATTAACATGTATGTATAGGCGCTTTGATCGCAGCCGGCGTCACCTATGCCACGGCTGATCTCGCCGGCTCCTTGGCGTGGCGTCTCCCTTGCGCTCTGCAGGCGCTCTTCAGCGTCGTATGCGGCCTCATACTTCTCTTTGTCCCCGAGTCGCCACGCTGGCTTGTTCATAGAGACAGATGCGACGATGCTCTTACTGTCCTGGCTTCGACGCACAGCAACGGGGACAAGGAAGATCCCTTGACCCAGCTTCAATACAAGGAGATTGTCGACACTATCGAGTGGGAGAGGAATACAGGAAAGAAGATGACGTATGGCGAGGTCTTTCGTACGCCCAACTCGAGAAGGAGACTCATGCTCGTCGTTTCTGTTGCGGTTCTGGCCATGGCTAGTGGTACGTTTGTCCTTGACAGTACTTTGGGCGATTTGGCTGATTTCTTCCAGGGAACAACATTATCTCTTACTATCTAGGTGATATGCTGAGCAATGCTGGTATCACAAACACTCATATTCAACTTGAAATTGTAGGCATCTGTCCTACTCCTCCCTCATCGGGAAGAAGTTCAACTAACGGATGAATAGAATATTGGACTCAACGCCTGGTGCTTGGTCATAAGTCTGATCGGAACTTGGCTCGTGGGCAAGGCTGGTAGAAAGACCATGGCACTCTTTTCCATTGCCGGCATGATCATCTTCATATTCCTAATTGGCGCACTTACCAAACGTAAGCTATCCAGAGTCTGCACTGCTTTGTATCCGCTGACCTCGATACAAGTATATGGCAATGGTGGCAACAACCCTGGAATCTACTCGGCCGTTGCGACTATTTATCTTTTCCAAGGCAGCTATGCTATTGGAATCACGCCATTGACCATTCTTTACCCACCCGAAGTACTCAACTTTTCCATTCGTAGCAATGGCATGGCAGCGTGGACATTTGCCATCACCTGCGGCGGGTAGGTTCATCAAGGATATCTGACTAGGTCATGTTGATACTAACCAGGCAATGACAGGCTGTTCAGTGTATTTGTGTGGCCGTTTGCGCTCAAGGCTATTGGTTGGGAGACGTACATGATCAATGCCTGCTGGGACGTCGTCATGTTTGTCTTTGTGGCATACTTCTGGATTGAGACCAAGGGCCTGACTCTTGAAGAGATTGACGCAAAGTTCGACGCCGTCACTGGGGGTGGTGTCGGCTCTGGTGATATCGAAGGTCCAAAGACGATTGACGGATTGGAAATTTCTCATGCATCAGGTAAGCTGAACAAGATGGATGTGGCAATCAAGACCAGCTGCGAGACCCGTGCCTAAGTAGACCGCATCTCAAGGCTTGTACAGTCGTGCTATTCCTCTAGATTGACACAATACATCTCGAGTATAGACAAGTCGCCCCATAATGATCAATCCTACCCACGACTTTCTTGTCTTATAGCTTAGTTGCCATTTTCCGAGCTTAATGCAGTGACATATTTACATGCTCATAGATGTCGCCTGATTTGATTACATGGAAATTTAACCTGTACGATAGTTGGTCTCACTAGAGCTCTACTGACTTATCCGACATGGCAAGATTCGACGATCGGTCACGAGAACGCAGCTAGCATGCAATCAATCCTTATTTCGAGGCACAATTGAACCCAAACAGGAATCGACCGAAAGAATCCAGGAGTCTCTCAAAGGTTCTTAGCTCAAGGTAATGTGATTATATCTATGCGTTGGTTGTCCCACTACTGTTGTAGAAGCCACCCGAGACCTTTGATCCTCTCTTCGTGAAACCTAGTAACAGAGGAGTGGCCGGGAAACATGTACCAAAAAACATGAGGCAGACCAGGATAGATATCCAGCCGAGTTTTGATACCATATTCTTTCCTCAATATCCTTTCGTATATCAATGCATCGTCGCGGAGAACATCTGACCCGCACACTTGAAAATAGGTCTTGGGGAGATTGGCATGCCCATTGCGCCACAGCATTGGATTCCACAGCTCAGACTCCAGGTCTGCCTCAAGTGCCCTCTCGAATATCAGAATTGTTTCTTTTGATAGTCCAGTTTTGCCCTCGTTCTGTTTGCGACTATTGTACATCTGTTTGTACATGTGCGGAACTAATGAAGGTTGCACCAATGCAGGTACGTTGAGGTAGACGCCAGTCAATGGAGGCGACAGACTTTGATCTCTGGCCATGTGCGACAGCGCAGCTGTCATTTGCCCGCCGGAAGATGTGCCTCCCAGAATGAACCCGGAAGCCGGACTTGCCCCGATGGTTGAGGCATTCGTGGCAAGCTTATTACTTGTCTTAGTATGGAACCAGTCACGGGTAGAGGTATGCCTTGACTCACCCATTGCAGTGCTTCCCAGCAGTCATTATAAGCAGTAGGAAACTTGGCTTCTGGCGCCAGCTTATAGTCTAGACTAATAGACACACATCCATACTCTCTGGTCGCGCTGATGCAAGCCGCTGCCTCCATCTCTGCAACTCCAAATAGAAAACCTCCTCCGTGTATCAGCACAAGCAATGGCTTATCACCGCCTGTGTCCATCTTTGGCTTGAATACTAGAGCGCGAGTTTCGTCTCCATTCGAAAGTGGTATCGAGATTTCTTGGGAAGTGACATGGTTTTTGTTGCCGTCGAGCATTTGAATCATATCTGCTCTGCATTTCTGCATCCAGGTGCTTCGTATATGAGGAAGCTTGTCTAGCTCTACTGGGGGAAATCTTCGCTCAACCTTGTCTGCCAACATCTGCACCGTTATGAGTTTTGAGTTCCTAAGCCGATAGCGTCAGTCACGTACCTGAGCAAACTCGTCGTCTACTTTGCCCCATTCGTCCCATGTCGTGGGATCGTCTAGCACTGCCATGTTGTTCAATACCTCTGTTAGGTCGCCAAGGTTGTAGATGGTATTGTAGAAAACAGGAAGAGTCACCAAAATTGCCAAATTAATGGCAAGATATTCCAACACAAGTTGTTCATGTGGAGTGCCCGGCGAATATACTCATGGTGAATTCAGCGCTGGTTTGGCTCAACTTAGCGCACTAGGCTCGCGAAAGTCGCTGGAGACCTGGCGGCACTTGCAACCCAGCATTTGCGTGCACCGGGAACAGACCCGCGCCTACTAGCGCTAGAACATGTCAATTCAGCGAATAGATAGGCGGAATTTAGCCTAGTGGAGATGCAGACCTTCCCCTCAGTACCCCAATAATGAACGACGGGATTCGAGGATATAAACGACGGCTTTTGCAGTCTTGATGCAGTCCGACTCGTTATCCGTGGCCCATTTTCTACTCCTTCTTTCCGGTCTGCATTCAATTGCCATCTCAGAGGGTAATTCTCCACTCGTATTACACAAGGGGCTCTATCAAGAGCCGTTGCCAAAATTGCTCCGCTGAGGCTGGAAGTTGGTCGCGGACAGGCCCGAAGCAGCTTCCAAACACGACCACTCGCGCATAATCGACAGGCATTCTGCCTCGGGGGGCACAGAAACCGCCCGCCGACATTGCTTTCGCCATTATGGGGCGTAAAAGCACGGCTTGCCAGATCTGCAAATCGATCAAATCTCGATGTAGCAAAGAACAACCCTGTGCCCGTTGTGAACGACTCTCGCTGTCTTGTTCCTACGAACCAGGCAGCGTGCTTGTTGCCACAGGTCATGCAAGACCAGCGCGGAATGTGACCAAAGTCAAGCACTCCAAGACTGCAACCGGTTGCTTGAATTGTCGCCAGAGAAGGAGAAAATGCGATGAGGCCAAACCGACATGCAGCGATTGTCGACGTCTTGGACTGACCTGCATTCTTTCCCAAGAGGCAGGGTCAAGCCCAGGTTCAGAGCCAAGTACACCATCTTATATGACTGACTCTTTTCTAGCGTCAGACGCTTTTCTCCAGTGGACCAAGACGGAACTTGGTGGAGATTTTCGCTCGACGAGTAGGGTCGCAGTCTTTTCAGACTGTTTGACGCTCATTGAGACCGATAATCGTATGCACACGGCAAAAGCAGCGCGCTTGGCTGGTAGTACAGCACTCGCGTCACTGGGACTCCCATGTGCTGATGACGACGAGCTTGGGCTCGCCACATTCCTACCCTCTACTGCGCTCAACAATCTTACAGGCGTCACACATCAGGCTCTACGGACATGGTCCATTCCAGAGCGGCATCTTTTGAACCATTTCCTACAATCCGTCTCACGAGCCTTGGTTGTTGTCGAGGACAAACTCAATCCCTTTCTTTGCGTCATCGTGCCGATGGCTTTGGAAAACTCAATGATCCGCCATTCTTTGACCGCGCTATCGGCCTGTCATCTCTCCAAAGCCTATCCAGATTTTGAACGGGATCTCAATACGCACCGAGGTATAGCGCTCGACAAGTTGATGGCCGAGTTAGAAGATCTGGATGACCCAGTGTGGGCTCTGGCGTCCACGCTTCTTCTGTGCCTAGTAGAGGTCAGTTCAAGTTCAGCTGTCCTTTGGCCAAGATATTAACATGACCAAGATATGTGTCGGTAATTCAAAGAAATGGGTGTTGCATTTACACGGAGCCAAGGCCTTGCTCGACCGGACTAACAGCCATACAATCGAACCACCTGTGAGTATTCTGATCGAGATATACAATTATCTTACTTGTATTACTTCGATTACCTCAAACCAGACGCCCGCGAGATTTGGAAAACATTTGAAGGTTCGATCCGAGACCGTGTTAGCCCCTGATGGTCTCACACATCCTTTATTTGGCGTTTCTGTTGACTTGTATGAATCCTTGGCGTGCGTAAACGGATTGGGTATGCATGGGAATAATGCATCAAATCAGGATACTACAGACGTATCAAAGGAGATAGAGCTCTCGCTGCAGAGCTGGGAGCCTCCTAAATCTAGCGATGAATGTCGCTCTCTAGTGGAAGCTAGAGCCTTGGGGTTTGCTCTGCAATGGGCTACTAATATGCACTTGCAGCAAGTAACCCGAGGTCTTGCTAGCAATGCACCACAGATCAAAAAAGCCTCGGACAACATATTATCAGCGTTGTCACTGATTCGGCCCGGATCGGAGATGGAAGCGCACATGCTGTTCCCTCTTTTCATGGCGGGCGTGGGCAGTATGACAAAGCCGAACCGCCTAACGGTAGAATATAGACTGGATATCATGGAAGCTACAATTGGCTTTGGAAATATTTCCGTAGCACATAAGCTCCTGGATGAGCTCTGGAGGAGGAGCAATCAAGGGGAAACTGTCACTTGGCAATACCTGATCACAACAACCTATAAAGGTCTTGTTCTATGCTAATTATTACAAACGTTTCCTGCATTCAGCTACCCCCATCAGTCATGACGGAGACAAGCAAGAATACTTGGTTGTATGGTCGTCTCCACGCCAAAACAACATGAACTGCAGCAACATTAGAATTCAATATGCAGCATAGTCGATTCATGTGATCTTGGTTTGCATGGTAGATAAGCATAACACCGTTGGAATATGGCTATGGAGGGGCGTCTATTTTTAAAATGATGACCAAAATGTGCTCAGGGTTATCAGGAACGCCGGCATTGATAGGGACCTACCTGGGCCATTACATTAGTAAAGAACGCCGCTAAGACGAGGTACGAATCCACTGTAATTCTAGGTGCATTAGGTAGCACGTTTAGGCGCGACACCTACCTAACCTAGTACCTTGCCTGCATGAAGCCACCTCCCCTGTTTTTTCCGTTCCCGTTATCTGCGGCATCCGTATGAGCGGAAGCGGACTCGGTGAACCCCCCGGCATCAGGAGGGATAAGCGAGACAAGGCCGGATCGCCAGCGGGCCAACCTATAGCGCCATCGATCAGTGGGAGAAGCCGCTATTAAACATTGGAGTATAGAAACGAACTACAGACGTCTTTCAAGCCAAGTCGAGTTCTATTTGTTAAACTTCCTTGACTGACAATTAAGTCTACCTAACATGGGCGACTGCACCAATGGACAATTCAAAGCAATTCGGCCGGCGGCACGAGTTGCTGGCCAACGTCAAGACGTGTGGTAAGCTTCCTCGATTCTAAGTCTCAGGTAAAGGTCTGATAGTGATTAGGACGATTGTGAATGATGCCGCGGCAGCGTCACCGGTGAGTATTACTGGTGTAGGTTGACTGAGCTATACTAAACTCTCAATCCAGGTCAAACCCATTGTGAATATGGGGCAGGGCTTCTTGTAAGAGCGTATATATCCTCCTACTTTTGGCCGTAGTTGACCCCCCAAACAGCGGTTACAACCCTCCAGACTTTATCATTGAGGCGGCTCGGGAGGCTGTCACTAGGGTAGACGCAAATCAGTACTCCCCGACAACTGGCCGGCCGAATCTAAAAGCCGCCATCGCCAAGGTCTACTCCAAGAGTTTGGAAAAGGAGATTGACCCGACCACTGAAGTGACGATCACTACAGGGGCGAATGAAGGTTTGTTTATCGACAAGGTCATTGTTCGTGCATACCAACTCACTAGGATTTAGGCATGCTATGTGCTTTCATGGCCTTTGTTGAGGACGGCGACGAGGTCATTGTCTTTGAGCCTTTCTTTGACCAATACATCAGCAACATTGAAATGGCGGGAGGCAAAGTGAGATATGTTCCCCTGGCTCCACCCCCAGGAGGCGACCATAGCACGTCGTCGTCGGGAGATTGGAAAATCGACCTGCAAAAGTTCAAGGACACGATCACTCCGCGCACTCGCATGATTGTCATCAACTCTCCTCATAACCCCGTGGGAAAGGTTTTTACCCGTGCGGAACTCGAGGAGATTGGAAATATCTGCGTGGCACACAACATCATCATACTCTCGGACGAAGTCTACGACAGCCTCTTTTACGTACCCATGACACGCATGGCAACGATTTCTCCAGCGATTCGAAATTTGACCCTCACCGTAGGATCTGCTGGCAAGATTTTCTATGCCACGGGATGGCGCGTGGGGTTCCTTATAGGCCCGCAGCATTTGATCAAATATGTCAGTGCCGCGCACATGAGGATTTGTTACTCTAGTCCTAGTCCACTCCAGGAAGCATGTGCCGTTGGCTTTGCACAGGCTGATGAGCACAACTTTTGGGAGGATTCCCGGAAAAGTCTGCTCGGCAAGATCAAGCGGTTCACCGAAGTGTGCGACGAGCTGGGCCTGCCCTACTCGATGCCAGAGGGCGGATACTTTGTCATGGTCAACTTTGCCAAGGTCAAGATCCCCGAGGACTATCCGTTTCCACCGCATGTGGCCTCTCGGCCGCGGGATTTTCGGCTGAGTTGGTTTTTGACGGTCGAGTTTGGCGTGGCGGCGATTCCGCCGACTGAGTTTTACCTCCCGGAGAATGCGCATTTGGCTGAGAACTATTTGAGATTTGCTATTTGCAAAGAGGACAGCGTCTTGGAAGATGCAAAGTCAAGGTTGAGGGGATTGAGGAAATACATGTAATACATTTAGCCATGCGCAGATTATCTGAAGTCGAGAACAATTGAGACTTTACTTGCTGCATTACAATGAAGTATAGAGGGTTCTGAAGTAGATGTATACAATCATGTATCCCATTTAGATGTGAAACCATAGTTTACTGTCTAGAGTTCATCAGCTGTCTTATTTCGAATTTCTCTACAGTTAAGTTTATTGAGTCTGGAGTTGGAATATCATGTGACATCATTTCGCGTGGTTGTGTCAAAGGTCCCTTCACGCATGGCATAGATACACCATACATTGGCATCGCGGTATGAGTAAGCGTGTTTTCAAAGAGTAGCCTTGCTTCCCACCTCCGTTGCCCATCGGCCGCTGGTTCATATGGTCCTTCATGGTATATTGGTCCAAGCACAGTCGTGAACCAAGGATTACTGGTCTCGTGTCGACTTAATCCGTCCACTGAAAGAAATTCGTTGAGTGGTTTTGCATCCTCTACGCATTGCTTGGTGAATTAGGCATGAGACTTTATTGAATTCTCTCCTCTCTCAGACACGCATTTTGAAGGATTGTTCTTTGCCGACATCATCTCTTCTAGGGATGATAATGCACATGAGCGGAGCGACTGGTTCACCGACTGGTATCAAGCCGCCGATTCCTAATGGCGAAAGCCAAAGCAGTGCTGCTCCCGACCTAGAGTGGCAGTGGCATCTTGCCATATGGCTATCCAGCTTGACATGGGCGGGTTTAGCTTGGGTGTTCGAGAGGGGACGTGCTGCCGGTACCAAGAATTACGAGGTCTGGTTCTCCATTGCTGCCTTCTTGTACCACTTGGCGTATGGCTACAAAGCGTTTGTTGAAGTGAGACTGGACTCAGCGACAAGGTGAGAAATTGCTCCGCAGTTCACGTACATCAAAATTTGTTGTCAAAGTTGGATGTATTTGCTGACGGAATTTCAGTGCTGGTCTGATAGCCATTGGCTTCACGGCAGCGTGGACATTTCACGATACCAGGCGAATGGGCACCAAACAACGACAACTGTGAGTCATTGCATCCCAAAGAGTAATTATGCTTGCCCTGATTATGGACAACAGACTTGGCCTCGGGACAGCCACGGTAGTCCTGGGTTTGGATTGCTACCTGTCAAGTACAGTGAGCTCATCTGACCCTGCAAAGTCGTTCATGGCCTTGCTGGTGCCTTGCATCGCGGGCGCGACGTTCTTCTGGTGGGCATGTCGAATTATGGGTGCCCATATTGCGCCACTGTTGAACTAATGGGATGGCTTCCCCGCAAGAGTCAAATCCCAGACTCTATATCGCTGTCTTCCTACTACTCTGGAACACATGCCGATGTTTTATGTTCATCTATCTTATGCGAGAAAGTGCCCACGTCTTGACGATACGTGGATAGAGAGGGTCATTCTCGAAAGATTTCGCCATAGAGGGTTTGCTTTAGGTTGAAAAGTATCACCCAACTAATCTATTCCCAAACAACACAACCGACGACGATGAAGAATACTTTGAGGAGGCATCAATGACGGAAGAAAGGATCGAGAGAATCCTCTAGCATTGGCATAGACCATGCTCCTAGGAACAAACAGGATAGCGGTTGGTGCGTATTACTTAGGCTGCACATCAACAAAAGAATCATAGGACGGTGTTGGCGAAAGGCGGTGGGGCTGCTGATGCCTGCAGTCAACAAAGGATCGCGGAAGAGTTCAGAAGCGGCTACGGCCGGCTGTCTACAGCTTTGCCACTGTAAGTGACACATATAACGGGAAATTGGCAGTTTTTTGGGGACTGTAGATAGCTCTGTATCTCAACCTTCAATTGATTCCCTTTCTGCCATCGTTTGTGCAGTTCTGCAGTCTCGTGAACCTCGTAAATTTGTTCATAGATAGTGCAAGTCCCGGGATATTCTTCAAAGTCGCCAGATGTGCCCACATACTTCAAGCACATTCGTCAAGACAGATATTCGATCAAATTAAATCATCAACGATTTTAATTTTGTGGATATAAAAGCTATGCTACTTGTGGCATGCGAAAATTTCAATAAGTAAAGCAGAGTAATGATTCGTCATACGCCAAACAAAACCCAAACTCTATCATCACGACTTGTAATGGCCACGCAACTGCAATCAGTGCTTCCTGTCAAAGGTGGTCCTCAGTGGCAAATCTGTATCGATACCCCGACCATCCTGCATGTGTCTGTCGAAGCTGACTGTCGACATCTGGACCTTCTCAAACAGGCTGCCATCCAGGACAGGCGCGGCAGGCGGAGCCCGGCCGAGGGCGTGTGCCGTCTTGACGTCGTCGGCAAACTTGTAGTTGGCCAAGCTGGAGGCGACCTGGAAGGCGTTACGGATCTGTCGGCCGTTCCAGCAGGCCGTCAGACGAGCATTGTCCTCGTAGTGCTTGGAAGCAAAGGCCAAGACATCATCTTCCTTGATAACAAGGGGCTGATCGCCCGTCATGGCACAGCGCTGGGCCTCGATGGCGCGCAACTTGGCAATGTTGAGGCGGAAGATGTCGCGGGTCTGGGTCTTGTCCAAGGGCGGGTAGTACAGCGACATGTGAATACGCGACTTGAAGGCGTCATCGATGCTGCCTACACGATTGGTCGTCAGGAATAGCAGACCGTTGTAGTACTCGAGCACGCGCAAAAAGACCGAGACTAGGGCGTTACGGTTCATGTCATCGTTGGACCGCTGCGTAAGGAACACGTCGGCTTCGTCGAGCAGAAGTACACAGTCCCAGAGGTTGGCCAGGCGGAAGACGTTGGTCAACGACGACTCGACCTGGGACGGAGACAGACCGAGGTCACCACAAGTGATGACGAACAGCGGCTTGCGGTTCTCCATGGCGACTGCCTCAGCAGTCGCCGTCTTACCCACACCGGGCACACCGTGAAGGAGGACAACAAGACCTCGACCCTTACCCTGGATCAGATCCTGGCCAGTACCTTCGACGGGAACTTCGGCATAGCGACGCTCGAGTCCCTTCTTCTGGAAGTGCGAGACCACCAGACCGCGCACAATGTCTTTGTAGTCCTTCTGGATGCTGAGACTCTCAAACACACCCTGGTCGCGGCGGATCGGCTGCAGAAAGTTGATGTTGACCGGAACAAATCTACGCTCGCGTAGAACATAGGCAAACATGCGCCTGGGCAGGAGAATGAGGTCCTCCTCGCGCAGCTCCAGAGCCGTGGGATCCTTCTCATACCGGCGCGTTCCCCTAACCCTCTGGCGCAGGAACTTGTCCACGTTGAGATTCTCGCGACGTTGATAGGTCTCGATGCCGTCCTTGGTTTGAACAAGTTCATTCACTGTATATGCGAGCTTGCCGCGTGCTCCGTCATACCATTGCTGGATTGGCATCTCATCCTCCTCTCCGTTGCAGAGAATTGGCTTGGTCAGTGCCGGTGTGTGGAATCTAGGTCGCCAGTCGGGATTCTTGTGGTAGGCCTCCATCATGTCGACAATGACGTCACTCTCCACAAACTCTGGGTGACGCATCTCAGCATTGTTCTCATCTCTGAGGATCTCATCTTCTACATCTTCGGTATCGAAAGGCGGGTTGCGAGTCAGAGTCCAAGCCGAGTACGACTGGTGACGGTTGCTGGCCTCGAGGTATTTCTGGAAGCTTCGTCCTTGTGACTTCAGAGTATCCAGGGCGTTCTGGCGATCGTCCCAGAAACGAATCGGGAAGACCTCCAGGCTGTCAATGGCACGCTCTCCAGGGAAATTCTCAATCTCAAACTTGTGACGGACGGCACCAAAGCTCGTGCCATCGTGGTCAATGTAGTAGGCATAGATCTTGAACCCTTCGTTCCTCGACTCTCCGAACTCGTCAGCGTAGAACTCGCCTCCCGCCTTGGGATAGGAGATGTCTGCATCTGGTGACTCGACACGGTAGATGCGCCAGACTTCGTGGTAACGACCACCAGTCTCTCCAGCTGATGGAAAGTAGATCAGGTCACCGACACGGAACAGAGCCCAAAGGTCGTCGTATCTGACAGTGGTAGCCGAGTTTCCATCAAACTGCTGGTACAGCGGCATGATCTCCTCGTCTACAAAGTTGACGTAGCAGCGCATGTCGCGGAGGGCCTCGGTGCTGTCCATGAACAAGTCAATGTCCTCAGCATTGGAGTCAACCGATGCCAGGGAGATATCGTCAGGGAAATCTTCACCGGATTCATTCTTCTGAGCGTCATCATTGTTCTCGCCAGATGTAGTGGAGCTTCCGGGCTTCTCAACAACATCAACATCGTCAAAGGTATCGACACCTCTACCAGAGACATCGTCCAGGTCCTCAACGTCGCCCCACTTCTCCTCCAAAGATGCCAAGATTGCCTTCATCTTGGGTTGGAAGTAGACGAGAGACCTGAAGGGTCGCAGGAACGTCCGCGGCGAAGATCTCTTGTAAGTCTCATTGAACAGGGCGGTAAGATGACCGAGAACGGGCTGAGATTGGATCCGGACACGTTGAATCTGTCCTCCAGGAAGCTGAGCCATGTCGGCTCTCTTTTCCTTCCTGGCTCTATCCTCTCTTCTCGCCCTGTCTTGGGCAGACGAACTATTCTGGGGACCTTCAGGCTTGGTTGCGCCCCATTCTTTCATCCAGCTCTCGCGCATGCGGGCAAAGTCCTCCTTGCGTCGAAGTCCCTGCTCCTGTCTGATCTGAGATTGGAGATTGGCGTTGGCCACCAAAACCTCAATGGCATACTCTGGCTTGTCGACATCTTGGAAGTGGTTCTTGAAGTCCTCCCAGTTGACCTTGCGAACTGCGGGGATCTTGGGTCGCCATTTGGCATCAACACGTAGCTGGTCTGCCACAATGCGTTCGTGGCGCTCGGCCTTCTTTTGGGCCTTCATGTATTCTTCATCGTAGTGACGCACACCTCCGTATCTGCTGGAGTTGTTCAGCTGTTTGCGTGGGGCACTGCCACCACCACCACGACGAGCTGTCTGTCTTGTACGAGCCATGATGATATCTACCCAATAGGGCTATTTCTCAAATTTGTAAAATGAAGGGACAAGAAGGACTAGGGTGAATCTGGCCTAAGGTCGCTTCTTGCTGATCAAGGGCAAAGAAGGGAGAGGTTGATGATGCTGGCTTGCTGAAAAAAAAGAATCTCAACTTGGGCATCTCTGGTCCTATATGTACCTTTCGACATATAGGAGCTGAAGCACAGGCAGCAATGCCCCTCCTGTATCATGTATGCAGGCAGCCGGAGCCGCCAGCCAGCCCTGGACCTGGAGTACGGCGTAGCTAGCGGCCGTGTTGCAAGTTGCCCGGTGACTCATTACAGCTGCCGGCTCCGTGAGCTATCGCACCATCTTGTATATGACGCTCATTGGATACTCTGAGCAGCTGGGGCTAACATGCCGCAGCGTACAAGCATTGTATCGTACCATAGCAGAATACTGCCTGGAGGGATCTTCATGCCGATTGCATAGCAGATTGGACCGTGTACTCTCATAGGTCGCAACGAACCTTGATGTGATACTAGACGAAAAGTGCGCTGCGTCAAGCGGTGATGGTGCCAGATATTTTGTGGACTAGGCCGAGAGAATCTGAGTTGAGGCTGAGCTTGAGACTGTGAGACAACACAGCAGAACTGGGCGGATTCCGGCACGGCACTAACGCCAGCCAGTCCATGACTCCAGGCAACCGACCCCACATTTGAACTCTAAGGTAAACCTTCATACCTGCAACATACCTAACCTTAGGAGGATAATGAATGACATGAACAGGCATGACATTGATACTTACAATTTTATGAAACTGGAATTTGAAAAGGAGTCATTAAAAGAAGAAGAAGAAAAGGCCTTAAATTATCTGCACGAGTCTAAGAATGAATTTATTGGTCCTTCCAGCACCACGCGCATCCCATAATAGTTACAGGCGTGTTGAGGTCAAACCAATCTATCAATGTAAACAAGAGAAACTCTTTCCCACATTGTCTGCCTACCTAAGGATTTGCATAGTAGTACTCTTTACTATGCTATCATCTGTAAATCATGACTTGATACCCACACTAAGTCCTTGAATGGAAACTCCGCTCAAGGGACGTGTCTCAAGGCATACAGCTCGTTAACAGACCGGCCAGTGTCTGGCCTCTATGGAGACAAGCACGTATAATAGCCTGATAGTCCAGATACCTGCATCACCCACCTATTGGTGATTTGCTTGATGTGGACATTGTGCCTGTGAGTTGTCAAGCGAGCTGCTGACTTGCGGAGTTGGCGGCGGCCGCATCTTAGTTCTTACAATTGTCCCCATAAATTAGCCTACTTGCTAGGAGCCACGGCAGCCTGCATATGGTATGCTAGGTCAGTGTGTACCTACCTTCCAACAGAAATGCAAATTCATGACAATTCTGCCAAACATTTGACGAGCCCGATCATGACGTTGGACTTTTTTGCCACAATTTTTCACCATTCATCACCTACGATAGGCACCCGAGAGCTTATCGGGCATGTCCATGAAGCTACCAATGCATTTGTTGATGCACAGGTACACACATGACAACGAGCGTGACTGCAACGTACTACCGAGCTTCAAGATACAGACGCTCATGTACAAATTGCGTGGGGACTACCCCAAAGTAAATATGACATTGTTTTGACATTGAACGGATATGAGAGAGGTACAAGCAATGAAAAGCAATCCAGAACATCCAATTATATACCGAATAACAGTACCGGTGCGAGCCAGTCCTTCTGTCCTGAGACATTCTATAGAGTTAGGTTGAGGACCAACCTCCAGTCGGATCAACGAGTTGGCCATCTCGGCAGTTGCATCCTCTTTCCCGGTTCTGGGACTGTGATTCTCTCAAAACGGCCAAACCGGAAGAGTGACAAATAAAGGAAAAGAAAAAGCGGAAAATGGTACGTCGACGCCCGGGAATATTCTTGGCTCTGGTCTTTTCATGTCATCCTTTCTCTATCCGTAGTAAACAATAGAAAGGAAAACCAAGTTCGATTAGAGACGTCCAAACTTGAAATCCAGTATTCAAGTCCCTTGGGAGTTTTGGAATCCACTTGTCCGGTAGTCCGTCCGGTTGCCAATATCCATGGATTTCCTGGGCCAGGGCGCAAGCCTACTGGGTAGGTACCAACTAGGTATCACCAATAGATGATGAAGTGTGTTGTCCGGGGGTTCTGTCCAGCGGCAGGCCGGGGCAAAGGCACTACCCGACCGGAATTTCACAAACACAAGGCTCCTGGATGTGGGGAGGTCCTGAAAGATCAGGTCAACTGCCCCACCAGCGCGTCAACGATCCGTACTGCCCACCAAAAGAAGACTGCACCGGTCACACACGGCACGAGCAACGTCATGAATGATTTTGCAACATCCGGCGAGCTCATCATACTGGTAAGCTTGCTATCTGTTATGAGAGCGATGATAGCAATGCTAAGAACAAGTCTATTATCTGGTCAGGTCGGTAGCAATATGATAATACAAGGGGCTGACTAACAAACGGCGATTATTGGTCCCTAGTCGCCTCGTGTCATGATATGACCACGCGGCAGTGAATACTAGAGCCATCAGACCGGCACTAAAGGCGAATTAGTTGAGATCATTGTGAAACTGGGGATGCAGTTGTGATATGCTTACTTACCTCGCTGCTGAATCCATCCTAAGCTCAATGAATGCTTTGTAACCGTACGCAGCATTGTACAGTAACGCAGCGATGGCATACCATACCTCGTACAACTTGGTGCTGATGTCGCGGTTTCTGTTGAAGGCCCAAGCTGAGCCGGCCCATAGCAGGCCGGTAACGTAAATGACAACATGCCATTGCCATTATGAATCGGACTTGCCATTATTGTCCTGTCCCTTGGGCAGCGCCAAGACATTGTTGGCTGTCGGTGAGGCGGATGCCCCGGGGACCATCAAGAAGACTATCGAAGAGAGTGGTAATGCTCGGAAATTATTCGGCGGGAAGATTTGGGAGAGTTGAAGCACGAAGGTGAATATGCGCGATACGAAATTCTCCCATTTCGCGAGTATGTATTCTATAACGCTGCGATGTGTAGAATTGACCGTGAGAGGAAAGATGAGATTGTGCTTGAGTTGTCTGATGAGGTACCATGAGCTTGAGGGTGAGTTTCCGAGACAACGCTCGAAATACTTTTGTTGGCTGACATTGGTAGAGATACCATCCACAGAATACTCATCTTTCGAGTTCGCATCGAGCACAATCCGAGAACCATGGTTCATACTAATTCTAAATCAGCTTCAGTCAGGAAGAAATATGATGGATAGTAGCAGAGACGTACCTATACACTCGGGGCCCTCCTATACTTACATGCGCCTGGTCATACAATGAAGTAGGCAGGCGCCGTGCTACGAGGATTCGCGAATGATTGCTTGGAAGTGTATGAAATAGGAAAGTCAGGACTTTCAGCATGATTCGCCAAAGGGTTGCCCAAGGGGGAGATGTCACGCTGCCCAGCGCCGCAAGACTGATCGACACAGCACTATCAGCCTTAATGACGCTGGTTCCGAAACTAGACTTGGGGTAATCGATTATCTGGTCCACAATACAACGTGCACCAGGCCCCGTGAAAGTCCTGATGACATCGTTCAAGATCTTGGACTTTACAGTCTGTTCGAGCTCTCTTTTTTGGTTCGGTGAACAAGTGACTAATTCTTGTGACAGGGTGAGATGGGCTTTCGTGTTCGAACATAGCATCAAAACTGAAGGCTGCTCGGGAGGAGCAAAGGGATCTCTAGAATCTCTGCTAAAGTTTGACTGGGAGTAAATTTCATTGCGAAAGATGCAATAGGCTTCGCCGCTGATCTGTGCCTGTGGCAACTTAATTTCGGGCTCAGAAGCACTGGAGTTTGAATCCGTTTCATCGTCCATGGCAACTTTGAAGAGAAAAATGACACGGAACTCCAAACTAGAGAGAAACCTGAACTGATTGCGCAGCCAAAGACGATTGGGAAAAAGGGGGAAAATAGAATCAGGCCTCACCAACTACAACGACACAGGAAGAATTGAAACTGTTGATAATGCGGTGCTGCCCCATTACTTAGTAAAAAGGGGCACCGGCATGAATGCAATGATGACCATAAGCCTGAACTCTCAGGCCGAATCATAAAACGAGGCTCACAGAGTCAGGCTACCATGTAGGACTTTGCGAGAAAAAACCCTACGTGGTCGATGTGGTGATGCCCAATCCCCGCGCCTCGAATTGGACTCACCCAGAGAGATCCCCAAAGTGTAATACCTGCCGGCTCCCACATACATCTTCGAAAAATATTTACCAATGGATTAAACCAAGGCTTGTTGTCCATGCTGTCCAGCACACTGACTGTCTGTGAGTGCCACACGGATTTCGCCAGCCCATGCAAGATATTTGCATAGCCCTTGATCCAAATCACCGACAGTGCGCAGTCATTTAGGTGAGTTCCGGGAGGCAAGAAATATGGAGTATGCGCCTGCTACACATGATACTTACTACTATAATACACATAGGAGCCACGATTTCCTATATCTATGAACACCGTCATGCTACTAAAAGAACGAAAATGCGAAGAAAGCACCATAGAACCTGTGACAGTGCAGCGCTATTCGCGAAACTCCGGTCACTATTATGAGCCAACAAGTTTGACTCCAACGGGACTGAGCAATGGTTCGTCACAAGAACGCTCTGGACTGAGGGACGGCGTCAATTTAGTCGTTCTGGCAATGAGCGGTACGATTTCAGCTTGTACGTCGATCCTCATAGGACCGTCGTTGTTCCCATCCTTCGGAAGCAAGACGATAGCCGTCGACATTGCCGAGAAGCTACTGGGTCTAGATTTCAGCGTATGTGTAACAGTCATCGAATTGCGCAGATATCGCAGTACTCTAACAAGAGACAGTCAATGCTCTCTCGAGAGACGAGTGACCAAAGGGACGCATTCTCACCAACCATCGCCTTTGGATGCATCCAAATATATGCATTGTCGACTGTGGCATTTCACCAAAATTGCCCGCGGAGTCAACGGAGCAGTATCATTGTACTCTTTGCAATGACCCTCGGAATGATGTCCCTCTGGCCTGCAACCTTTGATACAAACTCAGCGCTGAAGCAATTGGTGACGATTTTGCCTCAACTCGTGTCCTTTGGGTTGCTGTTGAGCGTGATTTCGCACTATGTACACTGAATGCAGCGGCGCCGACAACGCGTTGTATGCTATGCAAGCCAGATATGTGTCATCAGAATCAAATGTTTCCTTTGTCACTCTTCGTTACTCAGAATTTCCCCGCGCTGTAATCTGATACGGGTTCAGAAGTGTACTCGGGTCAGATATGACTAGGTGAGTATTTTTTGGTTTGGTAGTATTCGATGAAGCGGGCAAATGGTCAAGAGATTGGTGTCGACCTTCTCCCATATTTCCTATGTTGCTACGAACACCAGAGGTAGCGGTTACACTTCATCTTCGTTTTATGTATCTATCGTGATTGAAGTTTACTTGTGCCTTGTGTAGCATAGCTTGGATCACAACAATATTAAAATTCTTTTACAATTCTAATTGATTCAGTATCTATCTTCACCGATGGCATCAAAGTATGTATGTGGTCAAACCTGGTGACTCTGAAAGACATCACCGGATGTGCTCTTGAATTGAATCCTGTTATCCTTTATCTGAAAATACCATGAATTAGTGTTGTCTCGGCGCCACCTGTTACATTTAACTCTTCCACATGGCGCAATTGAAATTAAACAAATGACTTTGTGGCAATTTTTGGCAAGACATGACAGACTTCCATCAGTGAACTGCATTATAAAAATGAAAGCCAAGAATGTATTGGCGAAAAACAAAACTCTAAGTTTTGTTTGTTCAGTGTGACTTTGTCCTAAGTGCCCAGGTGACTATCTTGACTATCTTGACTATCTTGACTCTCCCTGGAAGCTCTGTTAAATAGTCGTCTCGTAAGGGTCCAAAGCAGAGAGCCAATCAATCAACAGAGTCCATGTCCAGGGGCACCCTGAAGCTTAGCGTCTCCTTATTGGGGCTGCCACCTGGCCTGGCGGCTTCTTCCGCTGCTTAGGATACATGCTGCACTACAACAACCACAAAGCTGTCCACTGTCCAGAACCACGATAGTTAGCTTTCAACGAGACCCCCTCGACCTCGAACCAGACCAATTCGACCTCGAAGAACCACCGACGATCATCATGGATCCCTACAGCGCAGAGGGCGAGCTCGTGAACATTCACAACCACTTCCACCAGGCACAGTACCAAGAGGTCGTCGACTTTGACACTTCCGTCTTCAGCCCCGAGAACGAGCTGCCTGCCAAGGTGCTGGTGCTGCGCGCGCAGATTGCCCAGGGTCAGGCAAAGGAGGTGTTGGCAGAGACCAAGGGCGCATCGGAACCAGAGCTGCAGGCTGTTGCCGCGTTCGCCAACCAACAGCTCGGCGCCACGGACGAGGCGGTCAAGGCCGTCGAGGAGCTCGCTGCCGCACACGGAGACAATGCCATAGTTCAGGTCGTGGGAGGCGCCGTGCTGCAGGCAGCCGGCAAGAGCGAGGAGGCCCTCGCCCTCCTCTCGCAACACTCGGGCAACCTCGAGGCCGTTGCCCTGATTGTTCAGATCCACCTCCAGCAGAACAGACTCGACCTCGCCCAGAAGGAGGTCAAGGCCGCGCGCAGCTGGGCTCAAGACAGTCTACTTGTCAACTTGGCCGAGTCATGGGTAGGAATCCGAGAGGTACGCATAGCCCTAGATTCCGACTCATACCAGGAGATGTGCTAATGAAGAGCTGCAGGGTGGAGAGAAGTACCAGCAATCATTCTACGTATTCGAGGAGCTGGCCCAGACGCCCGCATCATCGTCGACAACCTCTCTCATTTCCCAAGCAGTGACCGAGATCCACCTGCAACGATACGAAGAAGCACAAGCCGCCCTCGACCAGGTGCTGGCAAAGGAACCACAAAACCCCGATGCACTTGCCAACTTGGTGGTTCTGAAGACGCTGACCGGACAAGATCGACAGGAGGCTTTGTCGTAAGTTGACATTTTCGTGGATCATTTTATACCGCCACTGTTCTAACAATGCTCTCAGGGCACTCGAAACAGCGGCCCCATCGCACCCGTTGTTGCTCGATTGGCAGGAAAAGAAGTCGGAATTCGAAAAGGCAGCAGCCAAGTTCAAGCCAAAGGTCGCCGCGGCATAGATTTGCACAAGAAAATACGATACGGCACAACACTGCCGTGGTACGATAGTAATGAACGGCTTGGGGATCTCATCGCGCGAATAGAAGCATATGGCGATCGGAAAAGCTACTATACCAAAAAGAAAGTGCCAATATTACATTATTTACACCAGTCCAGTGTGTACTTGAGAATTTGGATCAGAAGATTGTCAACAATCAGCTAGAACGATTATATTTGTCTCGAACGATTTGCGGCACTTCATTACCCTAGCTATGCTTTTGAGCATGAAAAAAAGCAGCCTCGTTGCAAAAGAATGCGAAATAATGGCAAATTATCTAAGATCTATATTCTCTGCCATGGGAAGACGCTACTTGTTGTGAAATGGTGCAAATCACGTGGCTTTCCATGGGGCGCAGATTCGCAAATTGAGCCTCACTTTGGTGTGAATCAATGTCGATAATATACTGTGCAACGTCAAGCTGACAATATGTATAGAAATAAATAGCGAGGAGGCTCTCAGAAGCATATTTGAAGAGGCGGGAGATCGAGAGGGGATAGAGGGGTTTGACTCATGAGACGTTCGGAGGACGGCTATCAAGCCATATCTGCACTACTTGACGATCTTGGTGAGCTTACCCATAGTAAATGAAGATGAATTACCATGTCGGCATGGTTTTGTGGTTCGCGAGTATCATACAGATCACTCAACGTCATCCCATAACATCATATTGCAACATGGTGGTTACGATCTCTGAAAGATCGAAAAGTTGTGAAATCATAGTGATATCTTCGCCATGGAGATGATACAATGGATGTGATAACCGCTCCAGATAACCCATGGAGGAGTACCGAGTTCTAGGTTCGCATGGCCATAACGTTCTTGCATCTGTGTTCTTGACCGGTGATGGACATGAGCGGTCTGGCTGCTGACCTTGCAGAGAGAAGCCGGCGTTGTGAATGGCTGCTCAGATGACTGCACCGATTGCAAATGATGCAGCAACCATTACATGTATATCCTCACCTCAATAGCTCAGGGATGCCAGTCGTTTGAGTCGTCTTAATAAACATCATTTATGCAGGGACTTCAAGTAGGGCCTTTGCTTTGTTACTCGGTCAGCAAGCAGACGTCATTGTATATCTTGGAGGCCTGCAATCTAACATCGTGACTGCATGAGCCGGCGTTCCATAAGCGATGAACTGATGCCCTGCCAGACATTGTGGTCTTGATGCATTATGACGGTGTGGCATGGAGGGGGGAAAGTGGTGAGAGACTTTTGCTCCGGACTCACCTGCACTCCCATGGCCCTAGAGAGTATGTTGCCTAGCTGGGCTGTCAGCAATTCATATTGACTGGGCTCACAATGTCCATGGCAACACTGGTATCTTGCGAATCGCCATGTCGACATGGGTGGTGGGGTCTCGCACATCAATCCTCCGTCCCTGCCTATGTAATAGCTAGACACGGTGAATGTAGCTCGTACGAAAGACTGAATGCCACTACCTGCGATGTACAAAGAGCTTCTTTGAGCCAGCATGTGTGAAATTTTGCTGATGCCGCTACTGTTTTGATTTTCAATCCTTCTTTCCGTGGGTTCGGACGAATCACCTAATTACAAGAATGCGTGTTATGTTGGTTGAGGACATCTTGTTGTTGGCAGTTGCCAGGGCAGAGCGGAACAAAATTCATAGACTGCCCCTCCATGGCCTTGGTCGATGGATGGATGCCCCTCATTCTATCCTACGTGGTACACTACAATTTTGAGTTGCGGCGGCCTGCATCCAACGTGTCGAGTTGCCCCTCACCGCTCTGCTGGTCAGGGGCTACACCTAGGAGCCACGAAATCTCACATCAGAAACCAGAATTGCCCATGGGGGAGGGGAGCACTTGAGGATCCAAGGTCGCTCTGCATAAGCCTGGAGCCCCCAGTCTCAGTTGGGACTGGCCCGCGGCTGGGGGACAGTTCAACCAGAATCGCTATGTACTATTGATTGCAGTTGTCCCACGACGACCAATGAGGGCTGCAGGACTGTTCGCCGCATAGTGCTGCCCTTGCCCCCAGATAAGGCCGCGCCCGCACAAAGTCGCTCGCTGGGTTCCAAACGCACCCGCAATTCTCTGCGGCGGAGATTTTATAATGACATCATAAGAGTGAAATCCGGGGCACTCGGGCCTTCTTTTTCTTCGACATCGATCGAATCGAACAATGAAACAATTCGTTGCTAGCGAACCAACCCAAGCACATGTCAGTACCGCCACGTCGTGACTCGACAAAAAGTCCAGCAGGAATTAGGTCGGCAAGGTGATATGGCAATCATGGTTGTAGAATTCAGCATTCCCCATGCCCTGATCTCACCCACCAGTAGGGCAACGAGACCAGGGAATAACAAACGCCCAGCAAAACCTAGTTTGCGCCAGACGCGCTGTGTACATACCTGCCCTGGTTGCCCTGGCTATGCGTGCCTATCTCCTCGTCGTATCACAGCGAGGCAGAGCACGTCTACTTGCCGTTAAGGGAAATGGACGATCTCAAAAGCCGCATGTTGTGTGAAGATCTTGTCGACTTGTGGGTGCTGGGATCTCCGGGGCTATAGGCGTCCAGGCGCCCAAGATGGCCTGGAACCTCGTGAGACTGGTTGGGGCTCCATAGGGGGCGACTCAACAAGCGGCGACACGATGCCCGATATGTAACATACTCTGCAGTGAGCCGCATCCTGGAAGCTTGCAAGCCGTTACTCGCAACGTAGCCGACCCGGATCAGCAGCCGTCTCTGATCCTCTCCAGTCTTCTTCCCTTAGATGAGGCACCGATTTGCAAGTGATATTGTAGACGGCCAACACTCACAAAATAACATGTTGATCTTGACACTGAAAATTATGGACCGTGATGTGGGATTGTGTCATTGTGAACCTATGCCAAAGCAGCCACGTCTTATGCCGCACACCATTGCCAGGGCCAACTTCTGGGTGGTTGATATCCAGTTTCGGCGGAGCCCTTGCATTCGTCTTTTTTTTTTTTTTCTGCTCATGCAGGCGAGCAGGATCCTAATCTCCACCTACCCGCGGGCTCGTCTAGCCGTTCGAGCAGACGAGAACTTCATGGGCCTGGTACCATGTCGGTAGCCAAGCCTGGTTCATACTCGGAGGGCACATTTTCTTTACCCCCGGCCCACCCCGACTTGCTGCTACCCGCCGGACCCTTCTAGTTTAGCATAGTCATTATCGTGGCGGACTTGCTCTATATAAGTTGCCTCTTGTCCTCCGTTGTGCGCGCCTCGTAGGTTGGGCTCTGTTGACTATTAGTGACAATTTTCAATACCCGGACAGCAATCCTTGTCTTGTTTCTCACACATTTAGAAACTCAAATAGGTCTCGACCTATACACATCAGACTATTCTATAGTTTTACGTCAAAAGTAAAATCGTCGACATGCCTGCCGCACTCACCCCTCCTGTCCCACAGGTCAAGGCCATTGCGCCTGAAGCACCCAAGAAGAGAAAGGTCATCTGCTTCTCAGGTATGTCTCAGTCATCTTCAAACATGAGAGTGGCCTTCCGCATAACGCACATTATGTTGTCCACTGAAGGTTGCTTTACTTTGAGAGATCGCCCACTGACAGATCCCAGATTTCGATGGAACAATTTTCATGCAAGATACCGGCCACGTGCTGTTCGACGCTTACGGCTGTGGTTCCAAGAAACGCGAGATGCTCGACGAACAAATCAAAACTGGCGAGCGATCCTTCAGAGATGTATCAGAAGAGATGTGGGGTTCCTTGAATGTCCCCTTCGATGACGGATTTGAGGTCATGGAGAAGACGCTCGAGATCGATGTCGATTTCCAGTCCTTCCACAAGTGGTGCCTGGCCAACGAAATCCCGTTCAATGTCATCTCCGCCGGTCTGAAGCCGATTCTCCGCAAGGTCCTTGACACTTTCCTCGGCGAGGAAGAGTCGTCTCACATTCAGATCATTGCCAACGATGCCGAGATCAAGGAGGATGGTTCGTCGTGGAAGCCCATCTGGAGACACGACACTGAGCTCGGCCACGACAAGGCCCTCTCCGTCAACGAGGCTCGCGCAGCGGCCGAGCTGACGTGCGACGACGGTACCATTCCCCTCATTGTCTTCATCGGCGACGGTGTCTCGGATCTGCCCGCCGCCCGCGAGGCTGATGTCCTCTTTGCCCGCCGCGGTCTGCGTCTCGAGGAGTACTGCGTCGAGCACAAGATCAAGTATATTCCCTTTGACACGTTTGCCGACATCCAGACCAAGCTCGAGGAGATCCGCAAGGAGGACGAGGAGAAGACCGCAGGTCATGGTCTGCCGGCCATCTTCAACCCCCGTGCCAACATGTGGCGCCGTGTGTCGAGCAAGCAGGCCATCCCTCGCTTTGCCGTCATGTCGCCCTCCAAGGAGGAGAAGATGTTCCTCTGGCCCGAGGCCTACACGGAGCTCAAGACTCCCGCCATTACCGAGGTCAATGAGATTGATCCCATGACCCGGGTTCAGGCATAAGCTAGTTCTGTTGGGATTACCTCTTTTTTTAAATTTTGCATATACTTGGCGTTGATGGATTTCCCGTATGCTCTCGAAGATTCTTTTTACATATACACGAGCATAAGCAAGGCGTAATGGGTCGTATGAGAACAATTGCGGGCTGGTTGCCTATTAAGAAGACATGGTAGAAATAGATTGTTGAAGACAATAAACCAATATGTTTGGGTTTCACCCCACGATTTTTTCTATTTTTAAAGTGTTTCATCATGAAGTAAGGCATTTGCTGACATGTGGTTGGCAACCTGGAGCTCGTGGAAACCGAGACATTCCTGCATCGACAATAGCTATAATAGTCGTATTAATGCAACAAGGGAAACTTGCAGGTACCGTGAATGGGATTATCACCACTAGCCAGCCAACAGCAACCAAGCCGCGGTCCCAGATTTGACGGAAGTTGGTTGACTTGGCTTACTTTATGCCCGCACATTCGCTTCGGAAAGAGACATGCCAAGCAGTGTTTCGGAATTGACCTGCTTCACAAAGTGCCTGATATACAACACTAAAACTTGTGGGGGGGCGGTGCGCTGGGTTGGCTTGGCTGGTTCGAAACAATGGGACATCAGAGTTCAAGACAGCAAATGCTAGCTAGGAAACTGTGCCGCCTCTTGTTCGTGTTGGCAAAAGGGACGACCAAACACATTGCTGGGCCCAAAATAGAGAAGGATGATGTGGATCCCACCAATCGTCAGCAATGTTAAAAAAAACGTAACTAGTGAATCTCGATTCTAGATTGCAAATGGAAATCTGCCTTGCTCTCAACAGCAGCGCTGCCCCCCGCCATAGCCCGTGATGTAGTGGACACTGTTTCTGATATTGACGTAGCTGGTAAGCAGTAAAGTTTGGACAGCTACATTACCAATTAACGTAACGCTACTACTGTACACGTAAACGAACACTCTAGGATTGGATCCCTATTTAAGCTATCTTGGCCATGTCGGTACCTTGCCTAGTAAGTTGGAGACTTGTGCCATTTCCGAGCAACCCGTAATATTTATTTTTGACAGCTCTCGGGACAGACGGTCAAAAGTATAATGACGATATCATCTCTTCTTCCCTCCTTTCGACTAATAACCTTGGGCTTTCTGGTCTGATAAGAGAAAGTGAAGTAATAGAAGCTGCTATGTACGGGCACTGGGCGCTGGGATCGTGCAAGTCAGCCTTTTTAAGCTGTTGCATTAGGCGGGGGTTTGCTGAGCCCCGAAGGACCGAGACAGTGGCACCGGGTCGCGTGTGTGCATTTGCGTCCCCCGTCTGTCCCGACTCTTCTTCAGCGATCCTGGCCAAACTTCCCTGTCGACGATCATTTCTTTCTGTTTGTGGGTGAAGATGGGAAAGGGCAATCAGTTCAGAGGGTCTAAATTTCTTGCCCAACAGTAAAGATCCACGGACAGGCAAAGTGGTAGCCTTTTGTATGAAGTACATAATGTAAAATCCTGCCTATTAGTATACAAATATCTAGCAAGTAAGGCACATATAGACTTTGTATATGATGATGTAGGAGGATCCAACAACAAATCGATTCTGATGCACACTGCCCCGGCCGGACACGGCTATCCCTTGCCGATCTGATCCTGATTTCACCAATCCAGCGCAGTCAGCTACGGCTGGGTAGGGCGTACTGTGTATATTCGGAACACATATACAGCAACCCAGTGATGTGATGTATCAATTTACTGTATTACTTTCAAACACTCTACCATTGATCGTTTGCGCTGTCGTTGCCCGAAATGGGGACAGCCTGCCAATCATGCATCCTCTGCGCATCTTTTCCAGCCTGTACCAACCATTCTATGATGCACATCTCGCTTCTTATTCCTAATGCTAAAAGTGATGTGATCCTCCCCCTCGGTTGAGTACAGAATCTAGAGATGGTGGTTAATTCCGTGCTTAACCTTTAATGGATAGAAATGGACTTGCTTCATTGTCTTGAACTTTGACCTCTCGCTCTTATCTCATCTGCCCTCTCCTTTTTCTCCACTGTATCTCTCTCTATTTCTCTGTTGCAGACATCAATCCACCTTTTCAGCTCCAGCCTTATTCCTAGTAACGTGCACGTCCACATCCACTGTCCGCTCTGGAAAGGGCGCTTTCACCAGTCTGATCACAATCCGGAATTACAGTACTACGATCATACCCATCAAAGCCAAAACCTTTTCCCCCCTCTTAACCACCGAGACGGTTCCGGGAACAGACCTTCCACTCGACTTCTCCAGAATTCCTGACGCTATCGCTAGTGTGCAAGTCGTGAATGACGGAAGCCTTGCCCCGCCATCGAACGCGCGATTTCTTGGCATGACGGGAACCACCTGGGGGGCTTGACGGTTTTACGCACCGTCGCCAGCCAGCGCCCAGCAGCAAGCTTCTAAGCAACAATCCATCCCATCTCACACTAGTGACCGAGGCGTAAGGGGGGAAAGAAGCTAAGAGGGGATTGAGGGAGGAGTTGGCTCATTAATTAATTTGCTGCTAATAACTAGCAGACAGCACCTCGACGAGTACGTAACATCCCCCCCAAATGGTGCTTCAATAGCTGTCGCATGCCTTCCCGCCAGTCCGACTCGCTCACTGCCTCATGTCCAGCTCCTAGTCCGGTTTTGCAAATAACTGCTTCATTTTTTTGCTTTCCCGATAATAACATAGTTTTTTGTTCATCTTCATTTTCATCCTTATCTCCCTCTCCTTTCACCTCGTCGCAGGTGTCGTCTGGCTCCTTTTTTCCAGCTCCTTGGAACCTCCCACCCTGGCTGTGTGGTTACTCTTGACACCATTCAGCGCCTAGTGCCGGCAAGTAAACCTGCAACAAGCAGCAGCAGCACACGCACGCTTCCCGGATCCCACCTAATACTGTACGTTGCAGTAGGCGGGCAGAGACGCCTCCCAACCTTCAGCTCGCTCTTGTTTGGGGAAAGGCCCCCAATACCCAATAGGATAGGGGATTCGCGGATCGCCCACGTCACTCATTGTGCAGCTCGATTGCCCGTCCCCTCCTTGATTTGCAAATCACAAGAAACTTGGCAGCGCCTGCCCAGCAGCTGGGAGGACGCGCTCCCCTGAAACTGAATTCAAAATGGTCTCCCTCATCCCCAACCGTCTCAAGCGGACAACTTCAAAATCCAACACCAATTCATCCACAAACAGTCGCAGCACCAGCCCAATGCGATCCGTCAAGGCAGAAAGTTCAAGCCCCGAGGCTAAGAAGGACGCTGGCCTGGTCCTGAAAGTCGTCGTTATTCGTGTAAGAGCTTCCCTTGTCGGAATGTTATTAGAGTATAGAGAGAGGAGGAGCTCTCTGGCGGAACCGTGGAGACTAACACATGCATTTGCCAACAGGCAAGAAACTTGGCCGCCAAGGACCGCGGAGGTACTTCAGATCCTGTAAGTTGGCACGTTTTTTGCACGTTTAAATCGAGTCCATAGGCTCGGTCCGACCCTGCGACTAACTTCGAGTGTTCTGCAGTACCTCCAATTGAATTGCGGCGAAAACAGATTCGTTTCACACTGCGTCCCCAAGACGCTGAACCCCGAATGGAATGTCGTTGCAACTTTTCCCATCAGTGGCATTGAGAACCTCCTCCTCGAAGCCATCTGCTGGGACAAGGATCGGTTCGGAAAAGACTACTTGGGCGAGTTTGATCTAGCGCTCGAGGAGATATTCAACAACGACCGGAACGAGCAAGAACCAAGATGGTATCCTCTGAAAAGCAAGAGAACTGGCAGCAAGGACAGTGTGGTCTCTGGAGAAATCCTGCTGCAGTTTACCATATTTGACGGGAACGACACCGCAGCTACTGACGCACAAGTACTGGAGAAACTTCGCGCGCTCGCCAGCTTGGTGCCCGACGTGCCATCTCGAAATGTCACCCCGACGAGAACTCCCATACTCGGCCCAAGGTCGTCTTCCAAAGGCACTACTTCTGCGGCGGTGCCCGACCTTCAACGCAGTGGAACTGACAATTCCCAAGACGACGACGAGGACTATGACGAAGATGTACTCGACGACGATGAGACCCCAGAAGACGAAGACCCTACCAAGCCCGAGGCCATTGAGAAGCGCAAGCGGAGAATGAGGATCAAGGGTCTCAAGCGCAAGAAGAGAAAGAATCCCTATGAGTTTACGAACGGTGGAAGTGATGTCGTAGGTCTCGTGTTCTTGGAAATTGGCAGTATTACCGATTTGCCGCCAGAGTCCAACTTTACAAAGACAAGCTTCGACATGGATCCTTTTGTCGTGGCCTCGCTCGGCAAGAAGACCTACCGCACCAAGGTGGTTCGTCATAACCTGAACCCGGTCTTTAACGAGAAGATGCTCTTCCAGGTTCTGAACCATGAGCAGACCTACTCCTTCGCCTTTACCGTGATTGACCGCGACAAGTACTCTGGAAACGACTTCATTGCCTCCACCTCATTCCCTCTGCAAGAAATTATTGAAAAATCGCCCAAAGCAGACCCTGAAACTGGTCTTTACGATCTCAAAGACCCTCCAGAATTCACTCCCCTCAAGAAGTCCCGCTTGGCCAAGCTGGGAATGTCGAGATCGGCCTCGTCGCAAAGCCTGAACAAGATGCGCCCGCCCCTGTCCAAGAACCCTTCCACCATGTCGGGCCAGGGAGATGCACCGGGAGCTGTTGCAGCCAATCCCGATCCTAATCTTCTTGCGCCTGAGCAGCTGCCTGTGCTAAATGCAGCGGGTGGTGAAACCGGCGAAGCTGCTGCGGATGACCCTGACTTTGTTCCATTCACCGTGCCCCTAAAGATGAAGAACATGGAAAAATGGGAGGCCAAGCACAACCCGCAACTATTCATTCGTGCCAAGTACATGCCATACCCTGCGCTACGTCAACAATTTTGGCGTGCCATGTTGAGACAGTACGACACGGATGAAAGTGGAGAAATTTCCAAGGTTGAGCTGACCACCATGCTTGACACACTCGGCTCGACCCTGCGAGAATCCACCATCGACAGTTTCTTCCAAAGATTCCCGCACAAGGCTGCCAATGGTGAAGAGACTAGTAATCTCACCATGGACGAAGCTGTTATATGCCTGGAAGACCAATTGGAGCAAAAGAGTAAGCCCTCTTCTGTCGGTAACAAATTCAAGGGTGTATTACCAGATGCCGGAAAAGTAAAGGACATGTTGTCCGTGCCTGGCCATGTGGCGAGTAGCGGCGACTCTACCCCGACCGAAACGCCCGGTGAAGAAGGCTCTTTTACATTGAGCTCCCAGGATTCGACCATCCAGGGTGAGCAGCCTTCTACAGCTACGATCGTCGTTCCCACCATGAGCACCCCTGGTGAAGAGGGCGAGAGCCTTGACAAGGACGATCTGAATGTCAACAAGGGTGAAGAGCACGTCGTGGAGATCAGGGAATGTCCGATCTGCCATCAGCCGCGTCTCAATAAGCGCAAGGACACGGACATCATCACTCACATTGCTACTTGTGCTAGTCAAGATTGGCGCCAAGTCAACTCCATTATGATGGGAGGCTTCGTCACTGCCAGCCAAGCACAGAGGAAGTGGTACTCCAAGGTCATCACCAAGATCTCGTACGGTGGCTACAAGCTGGGTGCCAACTCGGCCAACATCTTGGTCCAGGACCGTCTTACTGGCCAGATCAATGAGGAGAAGATGAGTGTCTACGTCAGACTCGGCATCAGATTGCTCTACAAGGGTCTCAAGTCCAAGGACATGGAGAACAAGAGAAGTAAGTGTCAGACACCAATGCTATCATGAGAACTTACTAACCCCATATAGTCCGCAAGATGTTGAAGAGCTTGAGTGTCAAGCAGGGTAAGAAGTACGATGATCCGGCGTCGAAAGAGGATATTCCCGGCTTCATCAAGTTCCACAATCTCAATATGGATGAGGTTCTCTTACCAATTGAGGAGTTCAAGAACTTCAACGAATTCTTCTACCGTGCCCTCAAGCCCGGCGCTCGACCTTGCTCGGCTCCAGAAAACCCCAACATTTTCGTGTCGCCAGCTGATTGCCGTTCTGTTGTATTCAACAACATTGACACGGCCACCAATATTTGGATCAAGGGCCGTGAGTTCACGATTCAGCGACTTCTCGGCGATGCTTATCCCGAGGATGTTCAGCGGTACGAAAAGGGTGCCCTTGGTATCTTCCGTTTGGCTCCTCAGGATTACCATCGCTTCCATATTCCTGTGGACGGTATTCTCCGAGAGCCCAAGCTGATTGAAGGTGAATACTACACTGTCAACCCCATGGCTATTCGATCAGCCCTCGACGTTTATGGTGAGAACGTCCGTGTTCTTTGCCCGATTGACACTCCCAACCACGGTCGTGTCATGGTCATTTGCGTTGGTGCAATGATGGTCGGCAGCACGGTCATTACTCGAAAGGAAGGCGAAGAAGTGAGGCGCGGTGAAGAGCTTGGATATTTCAAGTTTGGCGGTAGCACGATTGTACTTCTTTTCGAGGAGGGCAAGATGGTCTTTGACGATGACCTGGTGGATAACTCGAACAGCGCCCTCGAGACTTTGGTAAGTTCTCCTGTTGGATTCGGATCATGTAAAATTTCACGGCTGACACAGCGCAGATCTCGGTGGGCATGTCGATTGGTCACAGCCCCAACACTCCCCAGTGGACACCTGACATGCGCAAAGATCCCAGCGATGTCACTGAAGCTGACAAGCAAGAGGCAAACCGTCGCATCCGTGGTGGAGGCGAGGGCAGCCAGACCATCTCCTAGGAGGGTACCAAAACGCCGAGAGCAACACGGTGCCACCGCCACTCAGCGCGTAGGGCAATACGTACGCTCAGATCGACCTCTCGGTCAGTGGCAAAAAGAATATCTCGTCTCCGAAACGTGTAGGGACGACGGAAACAAGCCATATATGATTGGATGAATGTTGACACGATGGATTAAACACAGTATAAATAAAACAGTATCACAATGCAATAAATAGATGGTATTTGTTCTACGTAAAGCAGATTCAGAACTCACAGGCAATGCAGAAATTCTAATATTGTTCGTGAGTGCATTCAATTATGAACAAACTTACTATAGTCGCACTAGTGAAAATGCATGCTTGATCTGACTTGTCCGGCTAGTCACAGGATCTCGAAAAGCTTACGTGTCAATCTTGAAGAGCTAGGGATAACATGTTTGCCAGATCCATGAGCTTACAAATCTAATAAACTCTCATAGTCCAAGTAAAAATACATGAATAGAGGAGCCGATATGAGAATACTCCAAGCATCACAAGTCACGAGATTACAAAAGTCAACAGCAGACATTTCTCCTTAGTCTAGGGACAAACCACTTGAGAAACAACCAAAGATAATACGGCGATAATGTCTCCCAGACGAACCAACTACGCAGCGGTGCCAACATTCAGCCGCCCGGGGCGCGAGGCCGTCGTGTACGATCTCTCGGTCCCAGGCCAGGCCACAATTACGCTGCCGGTGGGCTCGGCGTGGTCGTCGGGCCCGCACTGGCACGAGTCGCATACCGAGTTTCTGCAGGTACTCAGTGGCGCAGCCGAGGTCACGCTGGCGGGTACAGTGCTGCCGGCGGTCACGGCACAGGACGGTGTCGTCACGGTGCCGAGGGGAGCGGTGCATGAGTGGAGGCGGAGTAGTCAGCGCACGGCTGGGGACGAGGAGGAATTGGTGGTTCGGGAGTGGACGGATCCTCGGGATGGAGACAAGGAGGTTTTCTTTCGGAATTTAAATGGCATGATTTTGGATTTTGTCAAAAGCAGAAGAGAGATTACTGGAGAGTCTGGCGGAGGAAAGAAGAAAGTGTCATGGTTTGAGTTGTACGGCGGGGAGTGGATGCTGGAGAATGAGTTAAGGTGTCTCTTTTGGAAATGTGATAACTGGCCGGTCCTTCTACGTCAGGACTCTTGGTGGCCGGATTGGGCGCAATGGGTCGTGACGAAGACAGTTCTGGGCGCGAGTCTGGTTGTGGGAAAGTGTGTTGGGAGAGGAGGAGTGTATAGCGAGTATAGTCACTTGTCTGAGCAGAAATAATAACGAACAATCGCGCTCTGAGCATAGAAATAATAATACAGAGAGAAAATCTTTCCATTGCGTCAATTGTCATATTCTATTGCCAACAATTTATTATCCAACAGAGGGAAGGAGAGAAAATAGAGAAAGCAAAAACCAAAACAACTCAAACATTCCTTTTCTAAAATTCCTCCCATCTCTACTCGTACGAGTCGGCCGTAAAGCAAGAGCTTACGCTCTCGCTCTCGCCTCCAACGAGGCCAGGAAGCGCACCCGCAGGCAGGCCAAGCATCTCGCGGCAGGCCTCGTTGAGGTCCTCGAGGACCTCGCGGACCCTGCCGCGGGGGCAGCCCGCGCCGACGGGGACGGGGAAGGTCACGCCCCGGACCTGCTCGCCGAGGTAGATGCAGCCGTCCTCGGCGTAGTCGGTCGGGGCGCTGACCAAGGACCAACCATCGTCCTCGTCCTCGTCCTCTTCGCTGTCCTCCTTGTCGTCGTCATCGTCATCCATCTCGTCGTCTTCGTCTTCGTCGGCGCCGCTGAATGAACAGAGGGCGTCCAGCACGCGATCAGTGCAGGATACAACATCGTAGAGGGTCTCCTAAAATTCCTCCGTCGTGGCGTTCCTGCTCATCTTCCAGTAGTGCGAAGGTGCTTCCAAAAAGACCAGGCTGTTGGCAATGGTCTCCTCGGCCCAGAGCTCAACTACGGCCTCGCGATCTCTCGTCTGTCGCTCAGTGACAGCTTCGGGGTCACCGAGTTCCTCTTGAGCCAGAGGAACTCGAAAGGGCTGTATGTGGTTGGGGGTAGTCATGGTGAGAAAGTCGGTGGTCGGGAGGTGATTGGGAGGAATACGCGCAGTGCTGTTCTTGGCGTTGCCATTCAAATTGGGCCGGCTTCGTTGCTGTAGACTGAGGAAGGGGCAGGAATGAAGACGAAGCTAATCGAGATTAAAGGTTTGTAGCTGGTGAAATGAATGTTGCTCGTCTTGGCTGTAATTCTACTATCAGCAGTTGTGTTCGTGGTCGCCTGCGTGTTGTTGCATCGGGATTTCGAAACGTTATATGTAGAAGAATCGAAAGGCTCGAGCAACAAGGTGGATTTGGTGTCAGCGTGGTGTGGGAGTTGTCCGCAAGTATTGATGTTGTGATTCAGACGAGATGGCTTTAGAGAATGCCAAAATTGAGGGTATAGTGTGATTCCATTCTTGAATTCGAGTTCGGGAGTTCGGGAGTATAAAAGCCAGCAAGCTCTGGTTTGTGCTTGGTGATTGCAAGTCAAGTTGGAGCCGTCTCTTTCAGAGAAATGTTGTAATTATTGTCTTATTTGCCAAGGTGGGACGATTGCTGATTTATCAGGTTCTGGAAGAAGGCAATGAAACCGAAGGAGAGTGCTGAGGGACGACTTTTTTGTTCTGGGGAAGGACCGGAACTCCTGTTTTGATTCTCACCAATTACGTGTGCGTGTTTGCTTGTTCGTGAGCCTAGCTGTCCAGGCCACAAGGCGCAAAAGCGGAGAGTTAAGTAAATCAGAGGGCGGAGGGTAACGAGAAGTAGTTCTCGGCGTGGATATTGATGCTTCTGATGTTTTCAGCTGGTCCACGTCGGCGACGCAGTTCACGATGCTAATCACAAGTTTATATGGCGCCGTACACTTGGGAGACGGCTGATCAAACGAAAGGGTCGAAAAAGGGTTTTTGATAGTATGCAGGAGAACGTTCTTAATCTACTAACATTTGTTCTTTATCATGGCAAAGACCAATTCTTTTTCCAGCTCTTGTTGTGTGATAAAGGAATGAATTCAGTAGCCAAAAGAGCCAATATGCACATGGATTAACTCGAAGTAGTCACAGAAGGTATCTTGGATAGAGACAGTCATTGATTCGCCGAAGATCTCAAGTCACGTATATTGAATCACATCGTAGGGTATGAATGAGAGATCACTTCACTTGCTGTGTGAGATAAGGTTACTAGGGTGTGTATAGTGCCCATTATATACGGATATTTCACAACGCTGGCCAGATACCTTCCATTGAGACCCACATCACCCGGCCCGTTCATTGGCTAGTTTCTAGGTTAGGTAGGTTTATTCTCTAAAGGAACATGGTCGCCATCGCCTACAGTATACACACAAGCCGTGGGGGCACCGTGGTCCAGAATCAGCTCTTCGAGCGAAGGACCAACAGCCTCAAGAAGAAGCTGCCATTTGATGCAGAGAACTTGTTCATATCGATGGCTGGTCTCTGAAAACCCATCACACCTCACATCTTTGCTGGTGTTGCAGCTATATGGATTGACGAGATGTCTTGTGCTGGTTTGCCCCAGTGCTCCTTGCTTATCATGTATCGAACGCCGACAAACGTCTTTACCCTGCCGGGTTAATTCTTTCTGGTTTGGCCTGACTGAACCGTGGCCCTGCTTGGCACAAGTGAGATTTTGCATACAAGTATCCACTACCGGGCATGAAGTCCAACACAGGAGGTTTTACACTCGTAGTGACCTAGAGCAGGATGCAGCTCCGTCAGCACGACCCCGGAAGCGCCAAGTGTGAGGGAGTCACTTGTTAGTACGACTATACTTCGAGGACTTGTTCCTACCCAGAAAATAAGACTCAGTAAGGATGCACACACCTAAGATGCACCTTATGTCGCATCGAGCTCATATTCGACCAATGCGGCGGTGGAGGCGTAAGATTGTTGCCTGAGTATCTGCAGATTGACAGCCTTGTGAATGGCTACCCCGCACGCACTCGATGAGGGCATTTCTTAAATCGTTTCGCTACCTAAGTCGCTGCCTGCATCGTGCAAGCCCAACTTTATGAAAGACCCGCTGTGACCTCTCGAGATGTCTGTACCTGTTGCCTCACTATGCGATCACTGCAGAAAGATTTTTCAGCATCCGATCAGCGTTGATGAAGAAAAGGTTTTACTACGATCCGAGGACGTTCTTACGATATCGTCGCGCTTATGGTGCCGCCTTTGCGCTATTATTGATACAAAACTCATCTCGCGCCACTTTGATCAAGAATGGCAAATATATTACGAAGTTTGGGACTTGGAGTCTGGTCTATCGCTCAGACTTTCTGCTCACAGCGCTACAACTGTTCATGGATCTTGTATTGACCTGAACCTTAGAGACCCAGACAGTGAGCTAAAGATCCCCTTTCAACCACTGGCTGCGATGAGGGATGGCAGCTAACACGCTATGATGAAGAACTTGACGGCATAAAATGCGAAGAATCTATCCCGGATACTACGAAAGCTGCATCGTCTTTTCAGTTCTGCGTCGACCAGCTTCAAAACTGCCTTAAGAACCATGCTGCGTGCCGCACCAAGACTATTTCGCGTCATCTCGCAGACGATCCCCCATCTCGACTTCTCTACGTTGCTGGTCCTGATCGGGATAAAGTTTACCTCAGAACAACTGATGATTTACGATCGGACAGTATTGCTTATCTCACTCTCAGTCACTGTTGGGGAAAGTCAAACGTGCCATTGCTTAACAAGAGCACTTTCGATGGCCTGACAGATGGCATCGCGGCTACCAGTCTCCCCAAGACGTTTCGCGACGCTGTACAGATTACGCGTGACTTGGGTTTCGAGTACTTGTGGATCGACTCCCTTTGTATTTTCCAAGACAGCCGGGACGACTGGAACCACGAATCGTCGAAAATGTGCGAGGTCTACGCCAACGCGGTCTGCAATATCTCGGCGACGGGAGCTGCTGATAGCACAGAAGGGCTGTTCTTCACCCATAGGCAGGAGGTGGACTGCTCGTTCTTGGTAGACGTTCATTGGCCTACAAACACAGTCGAAAAGAGCAGACAGCTCAAGAGATACCTGGTATTATCCTCCACACAGTGGGAAGACTCTGTCGAAAAGCAGAAGTTAAACACGAGAGCTTGGGTTATGCAGGAACGCGTTCTCTCCAAACGAGTTATATCCTTTGCTCGGGATCAGTTGTTCTGGGAATGTCTCGATGTCCATGCCAATGAAGCTTTCCCAAATGGAACACCAAAATCCGTTTATGGGGAACAGGTTTACTGGATGTACAACAAGTTCAAAATGAAGGATTTACTCTATGACCTTATGCCGAACCCTTGCGAATCAGGGGTTGCTCGTCCTAGATCCTGGAAGTCGGAGCTGTGGCATAGACACATGTTCAATAATTGGCGGACTTTTCTCATTTCTTATACGCGTTGTGGATTGACTAAGCCAGCCGACAAGCTGGTGGCGCTTCGGGGCGTAGCCGAGGGGTTTGCACGTTGCATGCAGCTCAACCTCCAAGAAGACTTCGTCGCTGGGCTTTGGCTTCCACAACTTGGCTGGGAGCTCTGTTGGTTTGTTCATTTTGATCGGAATCCGACCAAGCCAGTCCAGTGGAGAGCACCATCATGGAGCTGGGCCAGCATTGATTCCCAGATCCACCCAGGCAGCATCAGGCACCACCGACGCTGCAGAAATATCGTTGAAGAATTCAGCCTTGTTCGGATTGAAAGACGCCTGGATTGGAGTGGCGAAATGGCAGCCGTGGCCTTGCACCTGAAAGGCAAGCTTATTCCCGCGACGTGTACCATCAGGGAGCCTTACGGCGACCAAGACGGTCGAGTCAGAGGCAAATGCTTGTCAATTGACTGTGAGAATGGGCAGTCGATATGTTGGAGAGACGACGCGGATGCATATATTTGTATCGACACCAAATTGAGAGGTACGAAACCGGGGGATGACGTGGCTGTATTAGTGTTGCCTATTATGTACTGCCATCACCCGCCAGCCGACGACGGCGATTCAGGCAATGTGCATGTGGGGAATTCACTCATGGAAGCACTTGTGGTTGTGCCTCACGACACTGCTGAAGGGGAATTTGTACGAATCGGGTTACTAAGTATCGACAATGAGTATGTGGATTGCTATTTGGGGTTGAGCCAACTATTTGTGGAACGCGATATTGTCTTGGTTTGAAATCTACCCGTATGAGCAATCACATTTGGGCTCTGGGAGGTGGCACGCGAGAGACAAGTCAGTTATTGTATTACTTGCCAGTCGGGCAATGGCAACTTCCACTTGCACTACTCTTGAGTTAGACGCCATCCTTGAAGCTCAAAAAGCGTTCATGAGTGTCACTGTGGTGGAGTTCTCCAGGCCATGGGCGTCAGCAGGACTTTGAGGGCCTTGCAAGTTCAGCAAAGGACAGCCTGGTCCGGCAGCAGCAGCCAGAAGGCTACATCGCGCACTGATTCCAAGGAAAGCGAGATCAGAGTTGATAGCATGATTTCTCTCTTTGAACCATGAGTGAAGGAATTGGACAATGTCAGCCTTGTCGAGAATTTTTCGAATCATCAAATTGACTTGTACTATGAAAGGCGGCGTAAAATGGTAATACCAGTGTGGGTAGGTAGGTATCTAGTACTCTGTGTTGTGGGCAACTCGCCGTTCGGTAATAAGATGGAATAAGGTGGTGCGGGGCTGTCAAGAACTGCAGCAACAATCCAAGCCTTCGCACGCATACCGAGAGCCTGAGACCTCGATTGAATTAATCGCAAGTGAAGGGGGACCTTCGATCCCGGTGGACGTGATACATCTTTCCTTGGCATGACTCTCTTACCAAGCCTCCCATTTCATGTCTGCGATTTGCTGTTCTCGTTGATTTCCAGCGGCTGCTACAAGTGTACCTATCAACCATGCTTCGCATGACGAGTATGCCTTGGCCGCCTACCTGTTTCCAGTGATACCGCTATTGGTCCGCAATTCTCTGCAGGCAATCGGCCACGCGCAGATAATGGCATGTCGTGACACCCGAGGAGAGCCTTGCGCATGCCCTCGGGCTGTGCTGCGGGTGGAAGTCAATTACGATTGGACTGCTGCAATGTTGATATCTAGAGCCATCGTTTCGGCTGCGGGGTGCCCAGATCCCGGTTACAGAAGCCTGACGGGCAAAGACAAGACAATATCGTTTCTCTCCTTCAAACACGACATATCAACGCCATTCTCAACTCATTCAAACCCATGGGCATCTTCTCACCATGGCTGATCCCTTGTCTATCGCGGCCAGCATAGCGGGTCTACTGTCTTTGGCCGATTCGGCGTTTCGTGGGGTGTTTCGCTACACTCAAGATGCTTCGAATGCACAAAAGGATATCAAAGCACTCTGCACTGAATTACAATCTGTTGCCGTCGTCCTCCACGGAGTCAAGCTGTTGACCGAGACCTTGGAGCAAGATGCCACACGCTCCTCTCCCTTACGACTGGAACATGTTCACTCGTGCCGGGCCGTTCTGAACGAGATCCTAGGCCGAATCGTGAGATTTGACCCTACTCCAGGTGACAACAAGAGCATCAAGCATGCCATGCAAGCTTTGAAGTGGCCTTTTGGGAAATCAAGAACTATGGAAATGGTCAACGAGCTTTCACGTCAAAAAGAGACTTTGCAGCTTGCGTTGCAAGCTAGCACAATGGCAGATCTCATGGCATGTCTCAGCAAAGTGCAAAACGTTGAAAGCAAACTGAATCAAATACAAAAGAGTGTGGAAAGCCTCAAGGTTTTGACGCGCATTAAAATCGACCACATGCGTTCAAAGATTCTGGACTTTTTCATGGTCGATGACCCGAGTCCCAATCTCCGAACAAGCTGGAATCTACGTCAGCCAATGACAGGCTTGTGGCTCACAGAGTCCCCGAGATTCCGTGAATGGCTTACGGAGCCCCGGTCAAAGCTTTGGCTTAGCGGAATACCTGGTGCCGGTAAGACAGTCCTGGCTGGAGCCGTCATTCGGGAAGCGTTGAGTCGCCTGGAGACCACGCCCAAGGTTGGAGTTGCCTTTTTCTTCTGTGACTACAAAAAGAAAAGTTCATGGGACATCTCGAACATCCTGCGAGCCCTGATGGCACAACTAGGTCGACAACGAGATTCGTCCTTTCAATTGCTGAAGGAATATTACGACAAGATAGAGCCCCAGTTTGGGTTCAGAATGACTCCCGACATTGAAGATCTTCGGGACTTATTTGTGAGGCAAGCCAATGAATATGACCAAGTCCTGGTGGTGGTCGACGGACTCGACGAATGTGGCGACAAGGCTGGCGAAGTAAGCAGAATGCTTTCCGAAGTTGCACGATACGCGAGAACCATATCAATGGCCCTGTGCAGTCGGCACGAGGCTGACATTAGCGATCAACTGGAAACTGACTTTGACCACATTCCAATTGCCGCACATACGGAAGACATATCCTTATTCGTTGGCGCAGAGCTTGAAAAAAGGATTGAACAGAAGCGCTTGAGACTAGGGAATGCGAGTCTCAAGGATGAAATCATGTCAAAACTCATTGAGGGGGCACAAGGGATGTAAGTTCAGATCAATCCATGATTTGAAAATGGCAACGCTTTACTGACAGTTTAGGTTCCGTTGGGTTGCTTGCCAACTCGATGTACTGTGCGAGTGTCCCACGGATGCAGATCGGCGGGCGGCACTTGAGGAGCTGCCAAGAACTCTCCCTGAGACCTATGAACGAATACTACATCGCATAAATCAGCGAAACGGACGCGTTCAAAGACTTGTGCAGCTCTCTTTGAAGCTGATTGCTGTTGAGGAAGACGACTTCAAGCTTACAATTCCACAACTTTGCCAGGCCGTCTCTACCCCGGATGAAATAGGTGTGACTTTGGACAAAGAAGCAATTGTGAGGGATGAAGAAATCTCTCGCAGCTGTTCTAGCTTCATTCGCAAATCAAACGACGGCCGCTTTTTCGAGTTCTCCCACTTCAGTGTACGCGAATACTTGCAAGACTCCTCGCTTCTCCAGAGGCCAGACCTGGCATTGTATCATATTGCAGATGAAAAGGTCTATCAAATCACGGCTATACAGTCTCTTCGATTCCTCTTACTGAAGAACTTTGATGGACCTGTTTCCCGGGACTTTGAGGCTGAGGCGTGGAGCATGCAAAAGACCTGCGATGAATTTCCACTATACCATTTTGCTGCAGTGACATGGCCAATAATGGCACATCGCGCTCAGGCTGCAGGGATGGCACAATCCGGCATGATACTCGACCTCGAAAAGGTGCTGCTTCATCAAAAAAAGACAACAAATTACAAGAATTGGCTCATTGCCTTTTATACATACATCAATGAGCCTAATGGTTCTGACGGATTCAAATTTGTTGTAACGTCAACAAAGATCAAACACGCAGTTGATGTCTTGTTGGGACGAGATATCTCCACACTTCATGTTGCTGCGGCCTTGAATCTTGTTGACGTAGGGTTGTGGCTCATTGATCAAGGTGCTTGCAACTACACTAATACCAAGGCGCCTTCTATGCTGGACTTTGCAGCTTTGGGAATCTCCTCATTCGTGAGCTTTGGCCATGATCCTCTACATGGGTACACTTACCGCAGCATCAAGAAGGATTCACGTCTCTGTGAGGCTCTCCTTGCCCGCGGTGAAACCATTTCAGCTTATTTTGTATGTGGTTTGGGACACACGATTCTTGATGTAGCAATGTTGGACCTACAATGCTACGGCAACTACTCGACTCTACAGTGGACCTTGGCGAGTGGCTGGCTACCGCGTCCTGAGGATATATGGGAAATTCAAAAAAGTCTGCCTCATAGTGTCGCTTTTGAAACAGATGCTCTTGATTTTGTGGTTTACTTAATAGGCACTGGACTGAACAAGACTGATTTTGGGCGTCAGCTCTGTACCCTCATCTGGATCCACGCGATCGAGTGCGGCTACAAATTCACGACTGATGAGTCATTGCTACCAATGGAAATCACAATGTCAGACAATACTATATATTCAACATTAATGACTTCCATAAAAAAGGGTGACTTGGAGACCCTGGCGGCATGCGAGGATGACCCTTGCTTCGATCAGGAAATGACGATTCAAGACTTGATATAGTGCTCTTTTACGCACATTGCAGCGGAATGGGGTTCTCTAGAAGTAGTAGAACACTTGATTAAAGTGTCCAGTCGTACCATTGACGGACCCTACGGTAGTGGAGGGACGTCTTTCTATTACGCTGCCAACCCTTGTACTTGGTTTCGTCCAAATGCAAATAAATATCAATCGATGATAATGCTCATTGATTCAGAAGCATCTCTGGACATGGCGGATGAGAATGGCCGGGGCGCCATTGGTTACTGTGTTCAGAACGCTCAAAACAACGAGGAACACTTGCGAACACTGCAAAATCTACTACAGCATGTAAAGAGTGACGACCACGGTTTCCTCTACAGGCATAATCTTGATGACAGAAATGCCATGGGATCAAGCATTCCAAATGTCAAACAACAGCCCATATTTGTCTGTTGCTGTGACGGAGGGGGGTGTGTTTGGGAAGTCGCAGCCAGTGGCGGGTCTGTGGCTGTCCTGAGAGTGCCCATCGATGCCGATTTCCCACGTCATCCGGATCATTCTGATGGACGTCCATTCCATCAGTTATGATATCAGCTCTGAAGCGTTCGAGTTGCTGCAAAGGCTGTATTCGACCAGCTTGCATGGCCGAAGGGAGGATGTCAATCTCCCAGTGATGACTTTCCTGTCGGAATGCATAGAGGTACCTTTGAAAGACGACTACCAAACTGAAACGATCGATGCTAATGTCATTCTAGCACCTCTAAATACCAGTCCACCACCTTTTCCCACATTACATCAGGCGCTTGACTTCTGTTGCAACCTTGTGCGCGCCCCCCCCCCCCCCCCCCCCCCCCCAAAGTCCCTGTCATCCTTCATGAGCATTGGAATTAGCTCTCATATTGAAGATGCTGCTGGCAGGAGCATAGTGCACTTAGCCATGTATACTTATGCAACAGGCAGCATGGTAATCAACGGAGCGGTACAATTGAAACGTCCAAACCCATTTCCATGGCATCAAATGTGTTACCCAACACAGAACGCGGCATGGATGGGTCCCCTGTGGCGATACTATCGACGCAGATTCCACGTCGAGGATCTTCGTCAAGTTTCCAATCTACATCCTGACCGGGGCTGGAGTCCAATTTGTTCAGCTACATGTACTGACGATACGAGTGTCATGGCACACTGCCTGGAAATGGGCGCCGGCATTGACTTTGAGGGAAGTCCATACAGATCTGCGCTCATGGCAGCAGCATTCTCCAATCGACTCGAGAGTGTCAAATTTCTGGTTCGCAGTGGCGCCTCCATTTGCTATGAGGGGAAGGATGGTTTCAAAAGTGCCGTGGTCATTGGAAAGAGGTGCCAGAGAGTAATCGAGTGGCTGATCATGGGTCGCTTCCGGGATCAAGACAAGCTCGAAGGTATTCCTGCGTCAAGCCTTGAAGTAGACGATGCACTGCAAGGGACGACTGGTGTCTGGAGCTCGACGTTGGCTCCGCTCAGGCTTATTGGGCACTTTGAGCGACAGCCTCATGAGTCTTCTCTAAGCTATCTGCATCGGCTGGCGATCATCAAGAGAGACGCGAGGGGAAAGGTTGTGCCTTTGCCAAGACCCGAAATTCTTTCGTCAATGGTATTTACTGCCACGTACCATTTATAACTTCAAGATTGAATTCATTGCTCGATTCTTTTTTTTTTTTTGGGGGGGGGGGGGGGGGGGAGCTGGTGGGAAAATGCATCTGATCAACAGTCGGGTTTTGGTGTAAAAGGATAGAGGCGTTTGTGGGATTGGAGTACTAGGTATTCAAGCTCTGTGATTTTCAATTCTGTACAGATGCAATAAAAGTGTTCATAGGGCTTCACAAAATACAATGTTATACGTATACTGTCATCCCTTCATTTCCGGACTACTGCCAGACAGCTCAGAGATTCCCCTCCTGCGTTCGATTGGGATATGGCCCTCGGCATGGGGACCAAGCTCGGCAGGCCTCTCACTGCCTTCACTCGGCAGCTGAAATAGTCCAGGGCGACCATTGAGCTCTGCATAATACCACTGCTGTGTGTGCGTCTCTGCCCAGTAACGCAATGGGTCCTCTTTCTTTCCTTCATTTGGTGTATCAATGGCGGTGGAAGCTTTGCTGTTCTTACTTTTTCGCCGTCGCATATACCAGAAGCCAGTACCAAGGATCGCCACCAAGGCCACGACACCTCCAATTACACCACCAACGATGCTACCGATGGAAATTTTCTGGCCATCCGCCTCGGATGCAACAGTCCCTGCTACGCTCCATTCAGTCAGGACTGCTTCTACAGCAAAATGTTTGAGATTCGTGACTCACCGTCAATTGGATCAGTCGTGTTGGTGGAATTCGTTGATTTGGCGGAGTTTGTGAATAGTTGTTTGACGTCGTCACTTGTCCAATTGTTGTTTCTAAAGTCACTGTGTCGATCAGTCAGTGTGTTTGTTGCCAAAAGTCCCTGCGTCAAGCATACTTATCACGGTACCAGTCCTTTACCACTTGTGGTGATTCATATGCCGTCGAGTTTGCGTTGAAACCATCCGCCCAGGTCATGGAGGCGAGATCCAGCACCCCGAGACCTTGGCGCCATTCATCACGGTCGTTGAACTGGACAGACTCGTTAAAACGAACGCCCGCTCCCAAACCCCCCACGGAGACCAGCTGGCTTCCGATAATCACACAATCGTGCCAAGAGCGTTGAGTGCCGGTAACATTGAGCTTGAACCACGTAAAGGCTGGAATGGAGAGTATCCATATGTCGTCAAACACTTTGTTGACCTGGTCAGTACCTCCTTTTTGAATGCCGCCGTACATGTAGCTTGGTAGTATTTTGGTCAGCACAGCGCCTTGCGTTGAGGGAGATGGAATCATGTTCGCAGCGGCAGCTTACATGTCTAATGAACCGTTTTGACCATGAGCAGTGCTGAGGCAGGTTCGATCTCTTTGTTCCGGTGCCTCTCCGGAGACTTTTTGTTTGAGCCATTGGTCAGCGTCAACATCATACAGGGATAATGTACTTGTTTCGAACAGGGTCAGTCCGTTATCGCTGTATGCCGAGAGATCGGTCTCCATTTGGCCTCCAATTGTGATGAACACGCCCTTGTTGCCGTAGTCTTCCAGACAAGTAGCTGCCCCATACACAGATGTTCCATAGTTGTTTAAGCCGGGCTTCGAGGTTTTGTTGCTCCAGGTAGCCGTCTCCATGTCATAGGTCAGAAGCCCTGGTACTGGAAAAGCTTTTGTGTCATCGTTGAAGGCAACGTCTGTTTGTGGGGCTGCGTAGCCACCGAGATAGAGTCCTACGCCACGACAGCTAGCTCGAGCAGCGGCAGTGGTACGACGGATGCTGCTGAAAGTCTCCATATTAGCAGGTTGGGAACTTGTCCAATTTCCTCCTCCGGCTCCATCGGTTGTGAACTGCCAAAGCAGACTGTCCTCAACAGGCAATCCAAAACGCTTCGAGCCACCCCAGGTAAAGAATGAGTCGCCCTGAGGCCACAATGCTGGAAGCCTGAGGGATGGCGCAGAAACAACACTATCCGTTTCAATCCACTGGACTGTGGCATTGTTCCAAGACTCTGCGATTGGCAATGATAAAGTTTTGTTTACTTGTGGGATTCCATGTTAGCAGAAAGTTGCGAAACACAATCACATCGCCTAGACATCGCATGCTTACCTCGGTTTGCATATATGTCCGAAAATTGCCCAATAGCTGTTCCATTGCCCGCGTCCCATGAGATTTCGCCGCCTTGAACATAAAGATAGTCACCAATGACCACGACTGCCCACAAGTATCGCATCAGTGAATGTTATCTGTGACCACATAACATACACAGACAGCACAAGACTCACTGCTATGTCCCATTCGGCGAAAGTAGGCATCTACCGGAGGTACATCATATGATTTTGCGTGACGTGGCAAAACCAGAAGAAGAATAGCGAGTCTTTGAAGTGAAGAATGCATCTTGTTTATTTGCAAGTCTCCATATATCGTTGGTGATTAATCGTGATCCCTCACTATAGACCGAAACTGCTTGTCTGTAAGAAGTGAAGTTGGCCGAACGAAAAGACAGCAAATAAAGGTCTTATGTGGCAAAAGTGTGAAATATCTCCCGAGCCAACATAACGTATAATGTGTCTAGGAACTCTACCATCAAGCATAAGGCTGTCAGCTATGGGGTAATCTAACCAAGTGCTTATGTGGGAAACACAAGATGCTGCTTCCTGCACTTTCTATTCGTGTTCATTTCGGCCGCAAAGAAATTGGCGGGCTTTCAGTGCTGCACACCTGAGACAAGAGGTTACTTTTTTCGGCACAGCTCAAGCCTATTCAAGTTCTCCGGCCAAGTTTACACGATGCACGGCACACAAACTGACCAGATAGGTGCTGTATGGTGGGTCGAACCATTTACAAAAATGGCCTCCCTAAGCTTAGCTGAAGAAAAACATAGCCCTTTCTGCCTGGTTGCTGTAAAAGGCAATTGATTGTATAGAAAGGGGAAATCGGAAACCCCGGATCGGCAGGCCTCCATAAGAAAGCCCAAGCCTAGAAGCGACGATCTTTCAGCCGCACAAGTTCTCGGTCAGAGCTTGAGGGTCGTGCGTCACTCCATTGAGGTGCCTCAACTAATCCAGATATAGCATGGCCACTTTAATCTATAGAACCCGATCTCTATCAGGCTGTGCGAGCTGATACGAAATTAGAAGATCTAAATCATTATATCTTGCTCAAGAGAGGGACTAGATCGGGAACAACATGTTTTGGGAATTAAAAAAAAAAACCCCCCCCCCCCATGGAATGCAAGACTAGTGTGTGGTGTGAATCACTGCAAGTGTAAAGTAATTCAGAGACATGCTATGATGAAATACGCTGTGATTGTGACTGTTGCTCATTTGCAGAAGGATTGTCCCGTACCATATCTCAACGCCGACCCACCGCTTCCGCAAAGTTTTACAAGAAATCCGTGGTGGAGGGTCAATTGCGACTTTTATACTGGAAAGCAGAGTCCACGATGGCGAAGCCAGTCACCGCGAATGAGGAAATCAGGCGCGTTCCACCAGGCTGGAGAGTCATGAAGACCGTCAAAACTGGCCGAGTACACTATCATCACCCGAGGGACGCCCCCAATGGCACATTTGTGCATCCTGTTTTGGGCAAACTCCCACACGGGTGGCAGATGGTCAAGGCACCAGGTTTGTACTTGTACTACAACACCGTAACACGAGAAACGACGAAATATAGACCATCGCAGCCACTCTCTCAGCCAAGCGCGGCTCCGAAAGGATCCGGGGATTCATCTGCTCAAATTGTACCACGGAACGATTCGAATAGACCGGGTTCTATTGCACCGCCTGTAGGCTTTGCCAAAGTCAGAGCAGGCATGAAACTAGAGCGCAACACGATTGCCAGCACTACCCTCGAAGACAAGTACGATGTAGTCAAAATCATAGACCCGGGCGACGGAACAAAAGGAGGCATGAATGCCGGTATCTTTGTAGTTCGCAAGAAATGCACAAGCGAATTGTTCATACAAAAGAACTTCAAATCCGACAACGATTTCATGATCAGCTTGGTCAAAAATGAAATCAAGATCATGCGAGAGTTGAGATGCAACTCTCTGGTAAGTATGAAAAGTATCACGTTACAACATTGACTTTCGTAGCGATCTCAAGCCCATGGAGCAAGCAGACCCCCAAACTTAAGCTAAGTTGCGAGCCCACAGGTACAATACGTCGATGCATTCATACAAGATAAACCATTCCAGGCCACGGTTTATAGTAAGTGACACGCCCCATTCTCGATGTCTGGCAAAACGCCACCACGTCTTAACAACAATGATCATCTCCTAATCACTTCACAGTGGAATTCTGCGACTGCGGCGACTTAGGCCAGCTCATATCGAGTTACAAAAAGCGCAAAAAGGCCGACCCCTCCTTTGCCGAATATATTCCAGAGTCCTTCATTTGGCACGCCTTTCTGGCGCTGATCGACGGCCTACACTTTCTTGCCACGGGCTCCTCGTACCTATCGATAGACCTCAACCACGGAAATAATAATTCAACAAACCGAGCTAAGAAGATTGGTAAAGGGTCAAGTTCTTGGACGCCAATTGTGCATCGCGACATTAAACCCGACAATGTCATGCTCAAGTCTCGCTCGACGCCGGGCTCCAGTAAGCCGCTCTATGTCATCTTGACAGACTTTGGCATGGCGGAGCGTGAGGCAGTCGCCGCTGAAGGACCACCGGTGAGGAACTCGACAAATGAATTAACTAATAATGATTATAAATGCTAACTCTGCATTTATTAGTGGCTCGTGTACGGCACACCAGAGTACCACGCGCCCGAGCTCTGCTTTGCACCATTCTTGACAACTTCCGACCAGCTCAATGAGCTCGCATCGCCGCATACGCCCCGATCCGATATCTGGGCCGTCGCCGCCATCATGCACGCACTATGCGAGAGAAATGTCCTCGGCCATAGCAAGTCAACAATCACTTTTACATTCAACCCCGCAGGATTGCTAACTGTACTGCTGCTAGTGGACATGACCTGCTGGACCTTGTCGGACCCGGCCGAGCGAGAATTGCGCTGGCGCGGTCGGGCGGCCCGCAAGCAAGTCTTGCAAATCACTGATCGGTCCGTCTACTCGGATCGGCTCGAGTACTGTATCAAGTACGCCGGCGACGCGGATCCGAAGCAGAGGCCGGATGCCCGAATTCTCTTGCCGAGATTACAAACGTACATGGAGATTTGGCGGGCGGATCCGAACTGGAAGGCACAGACTAACATCAATTGCAAATTGCCGGACTGGGCAGTAGAGAAGAGCGATTTGGTTTGAGTTGGTGTGATTTGGTTTGGTCAAGGAGATTTGTCCAGCCTGGTAGATGGTTATTGCATGTAATTTCTACCGATTTTTAGTTGATTTTATGTTTCCTGTTTTGTCCTTTTATCATGAATCATAAGTCTAGTGTGATTGACATTTCAATGAGAAGCATTTTCACATATCCCATCCCGTTCCCATGTGGCAGTCCTCCATAACCCTCAATGAGAGGTCGGATCCAGTCCCAGATCTCGTTTTAAACCACGGCTCTACCTTCGGCAACATCTTCGGCATCTTGCTGCAAAACAGCCTCTCCCTCACCCTGACCTCCATCATCCAATCTACTCAAAGCTCTCTCTACCTCCTTATCCCAGTTGCAGAGCCCAACAATAACCCACTCGAGCACACCAACAAGATATAGAGCACAGCACTGTCCAACCCAGAGACCTTCAAGACCCCAACCGTGGAAAGCAAGCCAAATACCCAGAGGCAGTGCGGCACCATAGTAGGAGACGAGATTGACTAGGGCGCCCACCCACTGACGGCCCATACCTCGAAGACTACCACCACAGGAGCCATTCAGACCATCGGCAATCTGGAACAGGGCCACAAACGGCATGACGTGGGCAACGAGCGCCACGACGTCGGCATCGTCATTAAAGATGCGCCCAAAGACATCCTTGGTACCCATGAGCACCGCCAGGATCAGCGCGCCGAACACCACCGAGAGCACCGCGGCACAGTGTGCCGCACGCCGGGCATCGCGGGCCCGGCGGGCGCCCAGGAGGTTACCCAGCCGCGCGCTGGCGGCGACGCCGAGGCCAAAGGGGATGGTGTTGATGATTTGGTCGGCCGTCATGATGACGCTCTGGGCGGCGAGGGGGATCTTGCCCAGCCGGCCCGCGGCCAGGGCGACAATCTCAAAGGCCCACCACTCGGTGCCGACGTGGACAAAGCCGAGCAGGGCCAGGCGCGCAAACGGCCACAGCTGCTTGGGGTTGGCCGCCTTGCGCAGGTCCAGACCGCCCCAGCACTCCGAGCCGCGGACCTTGACGGCGTAGAGGACGAGGAGCAGAAACGAGACCCAGTACGCAATGCCCGTCGCCAGCGGCGCGCCGTAGAGGCCCATGCCCCAGGTGTGGACGAGGAGGTAGTTGAGCCCGGCGCTCAGCGGACTGGTGATGAGCAGCACGTAGGTGCCCGGTCGGTAAATCTCCTGGGCCTGCAGGTACTTCTTCATGCACTCGAACCACACGTAGCCCAGACCGCCGGGGATCAGGATGCGGAGGAACTGTGATGACTGTACGCAAATGAATTCTTCTTGTCCAAGGGCTCGAAAGATTGGTTCCGAACAGGCCCAGAGAACAGCAATCACAGTGTAGAAAGCCGTCAGCACGAGGAGGCCCCTTTGGAGCAAAATTCCCAGGTCATGCTTATTCGTAGACCCGGTGAAACTGCTCGAGGCAAGAGTATCCAGGGCCGTGGTACCTCCCAGAGCAATCAGCCAACCCGTGGCCATGGCAAACATGTAGGAGAAGGCTGCTGTCGCCAAGGCCTCGGGGGATAGGCGGCCGACAATGAGCACACTGACAGTTTGCAGGCTGTTTTGCAATGTGTATGCCAGCATGACGGGTATAGAAGTCCTCGTGAGAAGCCATATTTCCGCCAGCCATTGCTTATACCACGGAGACTCATCCTGTGGTGGCAATGAAGCAGGCTTTGGGAGGAGAGAGGTTGATTCGTCGGGGGGATCCATTGGTGACGATGGAGTCAATGTCCTCGAAGAATTTGCTATTATGGTTAAAGAATTTTGCTACCAAATCGGTTGCTCACTATGATCATCTCATAGACGGATCCAAACTTGTGGCTTTTGACTTACGGCCGAAAGTAAAAATCGAGACTGAGAGTAACAGACCGCCAAGCCTGTGGTAGACGGTCCAAGATATAACCTGCTCTAGACGACCTCTTCACTTTTGCAAGATGGAAATAATTGAAACATAGTAGCTACATAATGAGGGATAAAATCGAGCCGTCCTCGGAATTAGCTCGAAACAGATAAGAATATAGACTCACTAAAACGACTTTTTTTCTTCTTCGAGTATGTACCCATCCCGGCAGCCGTTGAATAGTCGTCCACTTATGGAGATAGGCCAAACCCCACTTCAAGGGGAGGGGGATGCCCTGCCCATGATGAGTATAGCGTCCCGATAAGAAGGGCCAAGTTCGTCAATGTCAAAGAAAACAGTCAGCCCTATGCAAGAGATCGGAATGAGAAAAGACTGAGAAGAAGCAGAGACAAAGACACACATACACGCACACACCGAAATAATGACGTCGAGACTAGACCCCTCGTTGAGCCCGCGAGAGCCACTCCGCCGCTCCTTCGGCAGATATCACCCAAGTCCGTCGTCACCCCACACAATCAATGTTGAGATAAGATCACACGCGGACGGTATTCATTCGTCAATGATGGATACGCCATGCTTGCATTGCTTAATCGACTGAAAATTTTCCTTCTTATTACAGACACCAGCCAATTACCAAGCCACGCTCTACTGGCCAAGACAACCCATACCCGAGGTTTCGAGATGGCTTGTAGACGCAAATACCAGTCGTAATAATCCAGACATCATTAATAGCAAAACTTCCTTGTTGCACGAGAGAGAGACACATCTCTATTGCATTCAAGGTCCGTACTGCAATTCAATTGCCAACCCTATTCCCGGTACTCCTTGTAGAATTCACACCTTGCCCCTGGGTTGCTGCACTGCAACCGGTCTTTTGGGTTTTCCTCAATCCTATCCCTGTCACAGGTGGTACAAATAAAAATGCTGCATTGGCTCATTTCCATGTCAAGCCCGTATGTTCTCAGACAGCCACTCTGACCCTTGGTACTCGGCCAGTCTGGTAACGTATCACGAGCTGAAAATAACCCCGGCACTCCACGGCTCCATCCGTGCCTTGCGCTTGGTACTTTTTCGCTCTGTTCTTGAATCTTCTACCGATCTCTAGTTCGGCTTGCTTTTTGTGAAGCAATCTCTATCTCCAACAACAAATGTTGTGCTGACCAACTTCATATTGGAAATGCATGCGATCGACCCACTCGTCACAGTGTCCACATGTCTAACGTGTTTCACCTGTCGGCGACGAGGCACCGTCAGTCGTTTGTTGGTCAACATGGCCACGAACTGCCTCTTCAGCCATTCGCCTGGTCTCAGTTGCCCAGTATTCGAGACGGTGCTTTTCAACGTGTTTGCTGAGGTTGTTGTCCTCCCATTGCATTGCTTCAAGGAGCTTCTCGCGAAATCCCTTCTCCCTCGTACTATAGCGCTTGTCCAGTTGCTCCGTGTATGTACCAAGAACCTCCGATGGAAGCCACCGGCGATAGTTCCGCGGCTCTCGCTCGTTTTCTAGTTCATCGATTAGTCTAGTTCGGCAGAGAAAAGGAATCCATCGTGTCGACTTACGTATTGTGTACAGCACGCAGTAAACCTGGAACAAATCGGTATGGCTCAGCACATCCCAAATGTCGTTGTCTCCCTTGAGAGATGTGTTGTTAATCTTTGTCCACTCCTCTCTAAGGAGACATCTCCGCCAAATGAGTTTCTCGGCTTGCTCGCGTCGCTCGAGGTCCTTGATTCCCAAATTGGCAACTTCAATTGCTTCAAAAAACTGGTCCGGCATGGTTTCTTTCAAGTCCGAGTCGAATTGGGCAAGCGTGAGGATATCGATTAGCGTGTAAGGGTCGAGTACCTCATGGTTCAGCAGTCTGGAGATGCCAAGCTCAAAAATATCCAAGAGAACCTTATACTTCTTGGGAAGCTTGGGGGCGATAGCATCCATCGCCAAAGTGAGTTGAGCCGAATCATCCAGTGCTGCTTTGAGTACAGGGTGGATCTTTTCGTACAGACGATCCTGGATGCGAATGATGGCCAACTGGTCGTCGATAGCACCAACCGAAGCGTCTGCGCAAACGGCGCTGATGGATGCCTCCTGAGCGCTGAAGGATGTTTTTCTTGCAGGGCTCGATGCTTCGGCCATGCGGGCCAGCTTACCAAGACTAAGCTCGATCTTCTTGTTCCAGAGTTGACCTTCCCTATTCAAACCGATATCAACGAGAGTGTCCGCTGCGCTCGTGATGTCGTGTTCTTGAATGATATCATTGATCCAGGAGAGCTTGGCGTATTCCTTGTTTGTGCGGAGAAAAGAGGTCTTGAAGAGCTTATCGCCGTTGTCCTCCATCAATGCCTCAACACCACAAGCTTCGATTAGATGCTCATAGTACGGGTAGGCAAACCCGGCTCCGTACTTGTCAAAGTAATTGTGTAATTGCTTTTTCTTTGCAGAGATGGCATCATGCAATCGCTGGCTTTCTTCAGGGGACAAGCCTCCTTGGTCGAGTTTATCTTTGTAACTCTGTTCTTCCCCAATCAGGACCTGCCCCAGAGCTTCCAAAGCTCTGTGCTCTTCGGCCAGCTTATAGGCAGCCGACCAATTCTCGGAATCGGCCAATAGCAGGATCTTGTTGTTCCGGTCGTCCTGGTAGGTTAGCTCAAAGGTTTCGCCCAACTTGACATTGACTGGGTCATCGCTTGCCAGGGCCCAACGTGAGAGCTCTTGAAGGGATGTCAGGTACACTTCGGTCAAGTCAGGCAAGAGTGCGCGTATCCGATCAATGAGGGGCTCCTCCGAGGCCGTTGGCTTGGTTGTGTGCTCTTCCGTATTCACCCATTCAGACGAGAGCTCCACCAAACGCTTCAGGTTGTTGGCAATGAACTGATCCGACGTCCATGGATTCGGCAGGTTGGCGTAGTCGTCGGCGAGGATCCCATTGGCTAATTTCTCACCCGATAATCCGTACAAAGCCAAGTGTCTTCGGCGGAACTCCATTGCATCTCTCAAAGCACCGTTCATGACTTCCACGGCTTCGTAAATCAGGCGTGTCAGAGCCGGTGTTTCTGCCTTGGCCTTGTTTTGGTATTTGATGACCTCGTAGGCCCAAGCCAGAAATATGTTCATTCGGTAGGAATCGTGAACAAACCAGTGTCGCAAAGGATCGACTTCACCTTTGGCGACGTTGGGTTGGTTCTTTTCCTCGTCGCGTATGTAGCTGACCATCTGAGTGATGAGATCCTTTTTGGCGTCGTCTGGACGTTCTTGTACAAATTTCTCGTGCTTGGCCCAGACAAAGCGAGCAGCTTGCAGCTTTTCAGCATTCCATAGCAGTTCCCATTTTGTCTCGCGGCTCATTTGTACCCTGAGGCTGTTGAGATGAATAATGAGCTTTTCCAAGGCCTTGACTCGCATTTGCATATTGTTTTCGAGGTGTCCCGCAAGTGTAGAGAGGTGAGGATTGTTGGAGGCTAGTATGTCCTGACTCAACTCGAGCGCAGCGTCGGCAAGCTCCTTATCACTAAACGGCAATTGGCGCGGCACATCAAAGACCAAAGGGTTGTCATCCTTGATGCCAAAGAAGACCGCTTGCTCTAGCTTGCTCTTGGGAGTGATTGTTGGTGGTGTCTCGCTTGCAAAACGATCAACGTCAGTAGTCGCAACTCTCAGCGTTCCCGTGCCGCGAACGAGAAGCACAGCAGCGGGATTCTTGGTTTTGACCCGATGAGAGCGAGACTCCTCTGATCCTGGGGCTTGAGGCTCCTCAATTCCAGACGCCACCACCTCCAGTGTTGGGTCACTTCTGAGATCCACCACATCCTCATAAGTCGGGGGCAAAATGTGCTTCTCTTCGACGTGCAATTGTGAATCTGGCGAGTCGGGAGCCTTGGCAACGGATGCAATGACAGTTGCACGCTCAAACACCAAAAAGGCAACGACGGCTGGTCGAGGTAGATACAACCTTGGCTTGGCCAGTGCATGGGCATCTGGGGGTGTAGTATAGCTATTGATTGGTCGCACAGTACCAACGGTCACGGGCGTCTCCAGAGAAGCTCCTTGTGGAATAACCAGCTCCAAGAGATAGTATCGCACGGCAGGGGTCTTACTGGCTTTACTGGCCAGGGAAGCCAGAACAAGTACGTGTTGCTGTTCACTCGAGCCTGATGTCTGATGCAGCTGGGTCATTTCCAAGTCGTTCGTCTCGAGGTCTTTGGGAATGAAGGCAAAATCGTGGATTTTGAGGGAATCGATAGATCCTCGGTTGTCGATATGCAAGTCGGAAAGAGCGTCGATCATGGCCTCTCTCGCATCGAACTCGGTGAGGAGATCGTGATGGCCACCTCGGTGAATCTTCCAGGCGTGTAGGCGGCCCTTGACGGTGGCCGCAACGACGGTCTGTTCTCCTTGCTTGGAAGATTTCCTTGCCCTCACTGCAGCAATATCGCCCTGTATGGATGAGCTCGATACCAAGTGTCGCAGACTGCCAAAGATACCCCCACCCGAAGGTCCAAGACTGGTTCGCAAGAAGTTTACGTTGATGGCGGGTTTTCCGTGCGCATCTCGAACGCTCAAATAGGCCATGCGGCCGCTGCTGAAGGCCAGTATAAAGCCTGCAGCGGCTTCGGCGCTGACAATTTGAATGACGCTTTCACTAGACCACATTCCCGATATCGAGTCCTCCACTCCATTTCGTTGCTGTCGTATAAAATCCAGAGTCGTCGCGCTCGAGATCGATTCCCAATATGTGATCTTGCCGCTGGTGGGCATAACAACTACCAGACCAGGTTCCGACGAAGAGGCCGACGGGGGCGTGAGAGATCCTAGCGGTAAGGGGTCACTCGAATGTCTCGATGGATATGGTAGCGAGAAGATAAAGGATTCGGGCGACGGAGAAGACGCGGCATAAGGCCATACAACGGCATGAGTGTGCGTGAGGCTCAAGGCGTAGCCGGTTGAAGGGTCGAGGAAACCGTGTTGTCGGCCTGTATTCACATTAGCATCCTCGCCAAAACATGGGATGCGCAGGTGAGTTTATCTTACTCTGCGCATCTGTCCGTAATCTATCAGGGAGCGCCGGAAGCTTGCTGACAATGAAGGCATTGTTGCTCGTCTGGTTGCAAGAGTCAGTAATCATCAAGAAGTGTTTCGAGGAAGGCGCGCCCATGTCTAGCTACGTATAGCGAGCAGTAGGTTCTTGGAATTCCATTGACATACCAGTACTACACTGCCATCGCCCTTATTCAGACGGTCGGCCGTCTTTGCCTTTTTAGAGCGAAAGCTCAACTCTTTGCGGATTTGTGGTGAGGCATGCTCGACGGGTTCGATCTTGTCCTGCTTGGCTGGTTGACGCGCAGGCTTGACCTCGTAGGTCTCTTGGCTGGCCTCAGGGGTTGTGAATGTCTGGTCGTTTAAAGGGATCCTAGCACGCTTCGTCTTTGGTTGCCGGACGGAATCATCGTTACTGACTGGTCTCTGGCGGCGGCGTCCGCGAGTGCTACTGGCCGGGGTGGCTGCAGTGTTGGCGGTGCCGTTGACGGAAGAGAACATGGCGCAAATACGGCGATGTTTGTGGTGCAGGTATGCGTGCGCGTTTCTTGGGTGAAATGTATTCTGTTGTTGGTGGGTCACCCTGGCACGGAGTTAAGATGGGGATTGAGGTGACGAGGTGCCAGGTCGCCGTCGTCTCGGTCGCGCGTGCTGCAAGCTTAGGAACAAAGCTGGTCTAAAGATTCGCGTGTTGTTGATATTGAAAGCAAACGCTCATGATGGGGTGGATAGCGGGTGGCTGGATGGTGGGTGCGAAAAAAAAAAATACACGATCGCGCGGGTCGTCGGTTGGGTCGAAAGAGGGAAAGAAAAAATGATGGATGACGATGGACCACAAAAGGTTTGGGCGACTGCAAGTGAGTTGCAGTTTGGACCTCCTCTACTGCTTTGGATTGGACCTCAAATTGGTCTTGGTGTTGGGGCTTCTTTTGGTTTGGCTCGCAGAAAAAAAACTGACGAGGCGGTCCTAGTCTGAGAGCCTGGCGACAGTGTATGCAGCCTTTGGTTGGAGCTGTCCTAGGTGATGAAGCTCAGGTATGCATGGAACGGCACTGTGGATTGCTCTGTCCAAGCTTCGACGTCTAATGATTGGCTGGCAATCAATGTCCCGGGGGGAAAGAGAATACAGAAAGAAGCCTTGTTTGCACTGCAAGCTCCCTTCTAAACTACGGAACGAGCCTTTTCACACGAATCAACAAGAGCCTGCCTGCGGAACGGTCCAAATTTTTATTTTTTTATTTTGCTTGTTCGTTGCTCAAAGTCTCGAGAGCTCCAATCCAGGAGCTGGAATGCGCTAAACTATAAACAGCTTGGTTCTTCTCCACGTGGAAGAATGCGAAGTTCGCGCGGTTTCCTAGTACCGACAGGGGTCCTGTTTAGAGAAGAGATGGACTGCTGGAGCTCCAGAGTCCAGACTATGATGACCTCAGTACTCTCTGCACCTCTCTTGTCGGGCCAAGCGATCTGCAAGTCCAAGAAATCGATTTTTATTTTCTCACCTCTCTGACACAGTCTTTGTGCATTTCTTTTTGATTGATCAACCAGGATTTCTCCTCTACTGTTTATTTCCATGAGGAACCAGGAGTTCAAACGCGATTGTTCGAGCTCCTAGACCCGGATCTGATATCGCTCAAACCGCCGCCCGGTGCGATTCTCATTCGCGGGGATTGATTCGGTGATCTGTATACTTAAGCTCGGCACTCATGTGATCTATCAAAACAGCATTTTCCTGCCGCATCCAATTAGCCTCTCATTTTTTGGCTGCAGTCACGCCACAGCGTTGGTGCAAATGCTGCAAATGGGTTTCAGAACCTTGATTGGTCAGTTGGAATTGGAACAAGTTTTAAAAGGACTCACTCGAAAATGAAGAGAGCGATTACGTCTTCTTCCATCACCATTACGGACCCGCTGGTCAAGTACCAGAGTCTGTTGGCAACGGGGTTATGTGCCCCGGACCCAGCGCAGCACCGTCTCGCAATACATCTGCAAAAGATTTATCTCCGACTCAAGGACTACTCACCGTCTGAGGAATATCGTACCAGATTGCAGACGCTGCAGGACGCCCTGGACGAATCGAGGCCAAAACGAGTCGAGGGTGCCAGAGAACTTGCCGTCGAAAGCCATCCAATTCGACGGAATCCTTTCTTTGCGCGCTTCTTTGCCCGTAACGAGCCAACAAGGGAAGCTACTCTTGCCTTGACCCGCGTGCTACAAAGCCATGAAGCAGCCATCAGTATCAATTCGCCGCAGGGTTTGTTCTTGTCGGGCGAGGTTGGCACCGGCAAGAGCATGTTGCTGGATCTCTTGGCTGATGGTCTGCCCACCAGCCGGAAGAAGAGATGGCACTTCAACACCTTCATGCTGTACACATTATCGCAATTAGAAAGACACCGAAAATCAAATTCGCAATTGGGCAGAGACGAGCAGTTTTCGTTACTGTGGCTGGCCAAGGACATGGTTGAGAAATCGCCAATACTATTCTTGGACGAATTCCAGCTCCCGGATAGAGCTGCGAGCAAAATCCTCAGCAACCTATTCATCGCTTTCTTTCAACTAGGCGGCGTCCTCGTTGCTTCTTCCAACCGAATGCCCGACGATTTGGAAAAGGCCAGTGGTTTCGAGTACCGTCCACCAACTTCCGGCGGACTCCTCAGCAGGGCACTTGGACTTGGGCAAAAGAAGGGCAAGGGCGAGCTTTTCGGATCGACAAGTGACTTTGCAAACTTTCTCGAAGTACTCAAAGCGAGATGCGAGTTTTGGCATATAGAAGGGCGAAAGGATTGGAGGAGACGGGATGCCGATGAGATGCCCGAGCAACCCTCTACCAATTCGCCTGCCGTAGCTTTTGGTATATCTGGTGCTGATGGTACGACAGATGTACTTGGTAGTGGTACAGATATCACTGAGACTGTGGGCTCGGCTAGAGGCATCAAGACACCATATAATTACATTCTCATTGGGCCGGAAAATCACAAAGCATGGGACCAGGCTTTGACGGCCGTCACGGGTACCTCACAGCCCGCTCCGTGGGCGCCATCATCGCTTGTCGTCTATGGCCGTACTGTCAATATCCCCCAGCAGTGTCAAGGGATCGTACATTGGAACTTTGCGGACTTGGTCTCGGCATATGGTCCTGCCGATTACATTACCATGGCCTCAACGTTTCATACCTTCATCATTGATCAGATTCCAGTGCTCAGCATACTCAAGAAGAATGAAGCTCGTCGCCTCATCACTCTCCTTGATGCACTATACGAGGCGCGGTGCAAGCTAGTGGTGCGAGCCGAGGCTGGTCCGGACGACCTCTTCTTTCCGGAGGCTAAAGCTTCTTCCGCTGGTAACACCCAAACACTAACCTCGAGCAAAATGGGCGAAACTATAGATGCCGACGCCATCCTGCCCGAGACAATCGCCGAAGTCTATCAGGACACCGTCTCGCCGTTCAGGCCCAACATCTCGACTTATTCAGATCCGACCACGGATCCGGCAAATAGCGCATACGACCCGGATGTCGACTCGGACTTTGGCGTCGAGCAGAGAAGCCCACGACTCAAACCTGATTTCAGCAACACAGGCGCCTTTACCGGAGAGGATGAAAGATTCGCGTACAAGCGGGCAGCAAGCCGCCTTTGGGAACTGTGCGGGTCTCGATGGCATTCACGAACCGGCCACTGGTGGAGTCCGCTGCCCGTAGAAGCTAGGCACTGGGAAGGCGGCAGTGCCACCAAGCCCTTGAGCGGCCTCTTTGAGAAGACGAAAGGGAGCGGTGACGTATCTATGGGCGACAGCATTGAGCTATCAGATCCTGCAGGTCTTCAGGGGCTAAAGGTCGAGGAGTTGAGAAACACGGTACTAGGTGATGGCATGGCTCGCCGCAATGAGAGAGAGCGAGCTGGTGACCGATTTGCAAGGAGCCGAGGACAGACCAGTGATGGGTATGAATAGAATATCGTACTCATCTTCTACCGTTCGGTGGTCTGCCGTATCTCCACGATTGTATCCGTAAATATAGACAAAATATTAGTTCAAGCCGTTTAATACATTTCTTTGACGCTGCTGGTCCGATTTCTTTTTCTTAACTGCCTGTAATCGATGGCGAGACAAAGATTCTCGTTCTATATGGAACTAGAATCTCGCAGAAACAGACTAGACTTTATTTTCCTAATGTCAACTTACTCAATCAAGAAGCTTTCAGCATAATATTGGGACTTGAAGCTAGCCGTCACCAAAGTCATCGCTTCCATGCAACCCGAATAGCAGGCTGGCAAGGAGGAGTGAAAACTGCAAAATACTTCTTACGAAGGATATTACTCCCCGCATTGCAAAGGTCTGTTGGGCATGGAATCTCGATTGTGTCTTGACTAGATTCTTCAGAAACATGGCTTCTCTTGCATCCTCTTCCCCCCCCCCCCCCCCCCCCAAATCGAGGGCTCAATTTGAATCCTGTCCACATCAGTTTCGACTCACGCGATGCTAGGGTCCTCTCCAAGGTCAACCAAGTCTAAAAATATCACTCCCAAGTCTGTGGACGGAAAAACAATGCACAGCATAGCCTCTCTGCAATAGGCTACCAGGGGGGTGGTCCACGGCGGAATGGTCACAAATTTGGGGGGGGTGGCGGTCAGGTTACCAGTCTCGCAGTTGGAAAGCTTTTGCGTACCCATCGGGATAATTTGTGCATCTAACAACATGTCAAATGCAGGTACTTCAATAACGACAGATGCCTCCATCCGAAAGAGTTGCAAGGGATAATAGCACTATCTTGGGCTGCGAATCGTTGTTCTCATTATGAGACAACAAGCGGTATCCAAGGCCGGGCTGTTCTTTCACATCCCTATACCAAGGGTCCTGAGAGCAATATTACTTATTCCCCTCCCCCCAGCCAGCACGTCAGGGGGGGTTCAATGGTGCCGAGTGTTCTCACCATTAACGCCACCAGTCTTGCTGACGCCCAGGGCCCATGGCTACTGGCGAAATCCTCCCACGACATATGAACCTAGAAATTACAGCATCCGGTGATAAGGAGAGAGGAGCTATTGGACGACAAAATCCAGAAGTCAAAGCCAAAGCAGAATGTTGTGGTGGAAGGTCTTGAACAGAAACCTGGGCAAAGCAAGTATGACTTTGCGATCGGTTGTCGCAATGCATCTTGGTTGTCCCAGAGGCGCTGGCAATCTTGTTGAGGTGGAAATGTGATAGAGTCGCTCATGCCATGATGAAACTGGCGTGCGTGCGTGCTTGTGTGTGTGTGTGTAATACCAGTCTCGTATGTACCCGTCTAGCTCTCCGGATATTGACAACACGCTTTGGGCATTCAGTCGTGTGTTTACTCCAGAATAGGCTGAGAGAAGACTTGGAGACGTCCTAAATGCATTTATCTCTTTATGAATGGTATACAAAACCTCGAGGCAAGGTTGTTGCATGTCGAATATTGGGAAAAGGTCCTAGGTTCTTCCAAGCATTTTGATTGCACCAATTAAAGTCTCGACCTAGGCCGAACACATAGGTCTATTGTCCTTCAACTTTTGAATCCGCTACTCTCTAGATACCATACTTCCAAATTTCTATATACTTCAGCCTCATATATGTACATGGATTATGCTTTTCCTGTGGCCCTCATTGTAAAATGCCTATGAAATGCCAGGTCCATCATGGTTGCGGCTCGGTGAGCTAGATGATTAATCGCAAGGTCAACTGCCATGACCCCCTGAATCCGTAGCTAATGGACGACATGAGTCTACAAATTTTACTAAACCAGACAGATGGCGTTTTCATCATCTGTCCGTTCTTTTGTAAAAACCCAGAATCAGCAGTCGTCGGGGGCGAGCCCATGACTCCCAGAAATGCTGCCTACCCAGGTAGGAGAGATGCTTCGATTTCTTTTTCCCTTTCAAAGTCGGGTGTGCCACCATCACAAAAGTTGGCCGAGGCTGGCCGAGGCTGTTTCGTATAGGGAAAAAGGTGACAGGCTGACGCGCACACATTTCCCACGCGTGGCGCGTAATTGGACCATTCGGATTTCTTCGGTGTGATTCCGGAGGGCGCTGTCAGACTAGAAGTCGGCGCCATTTTCTTTTTCAACTGGGGGAAACGTAAGCCGCCCGTGGGACCCGCAACAAGCAAGTCACGGGAGAGAGAAGGTGATGGCGAAGCAATGAGGAGACTCGAAACGGCAGTATTGAGAACTTTCCATCCCTTGTGACTAGTCTCCGGAGGCTATCCGGAGACCAAACATGAATTTGTAATTCTTGGCTGTGACGTATCGTTCCTAGACGTGCCCCTCCCTGCTCTCGGTTTTTATCGCTGCTCAGGGATGTTGCGTGCAGTAGAGGAATTCCTGGTTGGCGGTAGTCAAGGGAATCCCGAATTCGCAAGACGGACTGCTGAATGGCATGACCATCTGGTTTGTCTGTGCCCATGTTGTCGTGTCGTGGTTTCGTGGAAATGGGGAGTTGGTGTAGTTTTGTGCACCGCCTTGATACATACTCTGAGGTATCATTTCCGGCATCGAGAGATACTGTTGTACAGGTTGGTGATAAACGCTCTGGTAGTAAGGCTGCAAAAAGCTCTGGTCATTGTCGTCGTAGTTGCTGAGCATCGTCATCGGTGCTGATGTGTTTATAGTAGACCCATCATCAGGCCCGTAACTTTCGCTCGAGGATACAGGTTGTTCCGAAGAGGTCTCTGAATATGCCTCCATTGACGGTGAAGTGACACTCGGTTCTGCAGAACTTGGACGGCTAGATCATGATGTCAGAATACCATCGAACAATTTCCGAGAGGCCGATACAAGTGACAAAGGAGTTCACAGATGGCCTGTGGGCAAAATCACTTTATAACGCACCTTGAATCAGGTTTCAACTGCCTAGGCCTCCTTATAAACTTTGTAGTTTGTGGAACGCAGGATATCATGACGCGGCGACAACTAGAAACCGTCAAGGTTAGCAACAATGTTTACAGGAAGCGCTCACAGAGGACCAAGTGCATGCAAATGAACAGGAACTACTCACCGATCACATCCACTTGCGAGGTCATTGTCTGGATAGTTGCAACGCGCTTTGGCTTTCGAGCACGGCTGGCAGGCTCTCTGCCTCCGCGGTGGGCTAGAAGAGCGTCGATTGTGTCCTTGCGATGTTGTCATAATAAGTAACAAATTCTTCAATGAGATAAGTGATCACTGATTAAGCTGCAGAAGACGTTGTTGGCGGCGTGGAGGAATATGGGTCGAGATATTGTCTAAATATTATCGTTAGATCCAGGTGGATATAAAAAGAAGCTAACTCTTATTTGATGTCACAAAGACTAATTATAAGTCATCTTGTTAGAGAAAAAAGAGAGCCGACCGGGGAGGTTGATGATTATGTGCCTTGCCGGGTTCACCAAAACTGTCATCAAGTATATTGAGATAGCCTATTGCTGCGATCCACTTGAATGTCTTCCCTGTTGAGCCATAACCCCCTGCCATGTATTCTGTAGGGAACTTATTGGCCCCGTCTCTCGACCAAAGACACCACGTTACGACTCCTCCTTGGCGCTGGGTATTGATCAGCTCAGCCAGCTGGATAGAGTCCAAACTGCTCCTACTTCTGCTATTACTACTTACTACCAAGGGCACCATTCTCCGCTCTCGGGCTGATCGTCACAAATGTTACATCTATACTACGAATACCACGTTTGATTTTCTCACGAAAGACATCCTCCTCGTGCTTGCTGGGGTGGCTGACCACTTGAATAATCCAAAAAGACTCTTCGTCAGCCAGCGCAATGGGTTTTCCGTGGCAAGCTGAGTCGCATGGCGGCGCGTTGCGTGCACGCGGGGAGCAGCGGAGACTAAGGTAGCATGAATCATTTCTAATTCACCTCTCGCTTCTCCCTGGCGGGCATTAAGTAGTAGTCACTGTCGAGGACTTTTAGGATGCATGACCTTTCAAGAAAAAGCAAAAAGAAAAAAAGAGGCGTGAGATTTTTTTGCATTGCCAGCCAAGGGTAAGCAAGGTGGCGGGTACAGCCACAAAAACTACATGTGTACCTACCTTAATGTACTCTTGCCCCTCGTGTAACCGAGTGACGGTCTGACATACATGTGGGTAATAAGCACACTTGTTCCCGTCCGCCTACTATGCAACGAATATGCTCGTCATGCCATAAGATTGGTGCAGAAAATACGCACAAGACCACATGATTGCGTGTACGACATGGCGGTAAATGCCTATTCTATACGCCTTTCTTTACTTTCTTATTTACCATAGGTTCATTTCTCTCCAGGCTGAAGACACGCGCACACCCCATCTGGCCTCTGAAACGCTCATTGTCGTCTGTAATCGCAGCGCTTACGTGATCATGCTGGTAACTCTTTTTTTCGCCATGAGTATATATGATTCCATTATGAACACGATGCCAGTGATACGACCGGATACCCACGGTCTCGTGAACAATGCCCCCCCGGGCGGAAGCGGGCGATTACTAAGTCTCGAGGCTATCCGGGCAACTGTCTCTTCACAACTTGATAGCCGGCCCTGAATTTCATCTAATAATCTTCATCTTATGTTATACTGGGATTGTATCACCGCGATGGGTTCCGATTAGAGAGAAAGAGAGGCCGATTGCGAGCCCGATACCGAAGCCAAGACCGTCAGATGTTGCGGAACACCCACATCCCGTTCAGATCCCGTTGTGACCACCTACCAACCCTGTTTACGAGTCCGCTCTTTACTGGAATTGCTTTCGCGGCTGTGTCAAAAAAAGGCGTGCCCGGACAGTCCGAGGTCATGGTGCACATTGCTCTTTTGGAACCATGGCAGACTGCGACGGATGAGTCGATCGGTGAATAATTCAAGAGGCACCCTCAATAACAACATGAGCTCTCGCAAAATACTGCAATGCCGTAAATGTGCTCCAGATCTCTTTTGTACTAGAATAATTCAGATTGTTACCTATGGCTTTCTCCAGATGCATAATGCTAAAGTGAGGATTGGAATCTCGATCATGGAACATCCCTCAAGACACCTGATAACGCCGTACCCAATGCCGAAAATTTGGTTGAAACACGCGGATATCTCCTCACAATCATCTTGCCAACTTTGTTGCTGCTCTTGGGTTTCTATACCTCTTATGCCTCTGTGAGGCTTAGTGCCATTGATCCATGTGCCATATGACCTAATACGTGAGCAGTAAACTCCGACGTCGAGCCAGGGCTATGCACTAAATCCAACGTTACGCCAGAGTGATCTTGGTCGTGCCGTTTCTCAACTCAATACGGCAGCCTCGACTCGCTCGAATGGCCCGGCTCCGTCTCTTCCACATCTTTAATCGGATGCAGGATCATGGGCGGGAGACAAGGACGCCCGTACAAGTCTTCCCAGTCAGGCCCGCCAATTTCAGTGTCCTCCCAGCCCATCCAGTTGAGGTACATACGTTGAGGGGGGTTTGCGCGATAATACCACGTACTCCCTGCGAAACGAGCTTCCTGTCCCCAGCCCATGGCGCTGCCAACACCGCCGCTTTCGCCATTATTACCACCGTTGAACCACTTGGCCAGCTGCTTGCTTGACCAAGGGCGATCGAAGAAGACCGGGATAGGGGCGTATACCGCCTTCAGGCCGTGAAGCAGAGCAACAGTCTGCGCCGTCATCTCCGAGAAAACATGGTTTCCACGCAAGTTCTCGACGTGCATGATATTCAACAGACGCCTCGAGACCCGGGACTGAGTGATTATAGTTGCCCGCCGTGGCACGTCGAGGGAATCGTGAGTCGAGTCGTTGTATCCTAGGATGTCGTTTCCCATGATCCAACCACTGTCAATAGGGTTGAATATCGGCGCAAGAGTGACCAGATCAGCTTCCTCTCCAACACCCCACTCGTAATTGTCGTCTTCCGGCTTCTTCACTGGTGGCTTCGGCCCGACCGGTTTGATGAATGGCAGATTGGGAGGCCCCCAGACCGAACCGTTCACAGCATGGCTCTCGACCTCCTCCCGAAAGTCCGTGTCATAATCACCATGGACTCCAGGAATGTAGTAACGCTCGTTGCGCTCCCACAGACCGCGACGAGGCTGCTTCTTGGCAAAGGCAATCAGCTTCTCCAGGAACTCATAGTGATGGCCAGTGACGCGCGAATCGAGCTCCCAGTTCCAAACGTAGTCGAACTCTGTATACTCTTGTGCAAACTTTTGCACAGACAGCCACTGGGCAAAGTGAACGGTGGCTTGGTCGCCTGTCAGCTTCGGGTATGTAGACTGCGTGGCTTCATCATTCCAAAGGATTGTCATGTCGACAAATTCCTGAGGTACCGCGCTGCGAAGGACTCGTTGGTAGGTTGCTTCGTTTCGCCAGATATCGGCGGATTCATCCTTGACTTGGACGAAGAGGAAAACCTGATATTGGCCACCAGTGCGCAGTGACAACTCTGTGACCAGCGAACGGACAATCTGAATGTCGTTCTCGCTGTATGTCTTCCCAGTGTATGTACGGATGAGCAAAGCAGTTCGCTCTTCTTTGACAATATCCTTGCTCGACTCGGTCAGGCGCTGCGTAGATAGTCGACGCCTGAGTTTGGGCTTGGTGCTTGCATCGTTTTTGCTCGATCCTGATCCTCTCTTGAGCTCTCCATCATTGTCCTCGGTCTCGTCGGAGCTGTTCGCGTCTGTGCGATTATCTCTGCTGTATATGGCTTCTAGGTAAGGGTTCGAAGCGCCCTTGGCATGAAATCTGGCTTGGTTCTTCTCTAGGCACAGCTCTTGCAATTGGCCCCATTTGACACTGTTCCAGTCCTCAGACGTCTTGGCATACTTGCCTGCCTGCGAATAACCGTAAGGACCGAGTCGAGTTTGGCGTTCAAAACAGAGGTTCTGATCCATGTCCAGGACATCATAACTACCAAAGCCAGGCGCCGGCATGGAGTGAGGAGACCCTTTGAAGACCATGATGTCCTCGATGGGCACACCATCTGGGCCGTTGCAGGTCACAAACTCGGCTCGCTTCAATGCTTTCCATTTTGCATCATTGTAGGTCGGGTAGGGATCGTAAATGCGAGGTTTGTCGGCGCTGAATCCGAAGCTGGTCTGGGCCGGCTTCAACGCGGCGTCGTACTTTAGTTTTCGGTCGGCATCCTTGTTGGACAATGTCGCCAGGGTCAACCCATAGATGGCGCCGGCGTTGGGATCACTGCGGAGATGAGTGGTTCGTCAGCAAATAACGATACAGTCGAGAACTTTTTGCTGCACAGGGATATACTGCGCCGCACCCAACTTACGCTGCAAGCGTCTCGCTCTCGCTCTCGAAATCCTTGCGCAGCTTGTCTTCGAATCGATCGCGGTCCTCCTTCTCCTTCTCCTTTTGTCTTTCCCGTTCTTTTTCCTTGTCTTCTTGGCTCTGTTTTATAGAGCCTTCTGTGATCTTACCCGTACTCTTGCCCGTGTCGCCTTCTATGGGGTTTTGTGCAGGCTGCGCGGGCTGTGCGGTGCCCGCATCCGGGGCAACTGGTGCAAACGGTGCTGCATGTCCTGCAGATCCAACTGACGGCAGGTCGGCACTGCGAATCGGGCCTGCTGAGTCGCCAGTGAGGAACAGCCAGTAGAAGGATGCTAGAAAGATCGCGATAACCAAGATGCCCTTGGGCCGCGACAGTAGCCGGCGTGGTTGGACCGTCAACATGGTTGATTACGTAGCAGTGCAATCATTCGAAAAGTCAATGCCGCCCCGACGTTTAGACAACCACTCCGATCGCGCTCGTTCCCTACAGAATCGCAGATGGTCGCATATATATCACGGGATAAAATACGACGGGAAAAGGAAAGGTTGGGTTTCCTGGGTGATGAAATGGACGTCAGCGGACGCCGGTGCTGGAATGCGTGGTCGCGGAGGGAAAGGGGCCGTCACTGAATCGTGTATTGCTAAGGAACGGACGGACTTCTCGAGGAAGACCAATACAGAGGCAAGAGGGGGAGAGTATTGGTTGGCGATATTGATGCCCACGTCTAGATGCGGTGACAGTTTCTCAGGAATGAAGAGATGCCCAGATTGACAAAACAATGACGGCTCAGAGAAGAAAAATCACCATGACTTTCGACACAGTCATAGAAGGAATATGGCGATGGATGGTTGGTGGATGCCGTTTCGTCCGTGTGGGATGCAATCATAATTCACAAATAGTGAGTCTCAAGTGCCTGGCTGAGCCGACCAATTAGTGGAGTAGGGGACCTGTTTGGCACAACCTCCCCGCCCCGCCTAGCGTATAGGTAGGTCGTACAGTACCTACATAAACTTTTGAAAGCGGACGGACTGTGTATTATTAGTACGGGGTACCCCAGTCTATCAAGCACGCAGCAGTGCTGTCCCGTCTGACATAGTCCAGTAACACTCTCAAAGGTTGTAATGTTTCTGTGTCCCAGCTATCATCCTTTTGATGTGATTCTGCTAGGAATCGGGTTGAAATACATCAACGCCTGTAGACCAAATTACGCCATGACCTCCTACATTGCCTCTTAATTGTCAAGTCTTGGTGTATGGACGAATAAAAAGCCACCCAGTCAATTGTTTGCTACTTGTGCTCTCGACTCCCCGAGGTCTCCTTGTGTCGCGATGAACAGCTTGTCATACAGGGTAAGACAAAACAATGCCGACCCAAAAGCCTTGCTTGCCTTGCTAATGGCTTGCAGATGGATATGAAACAGGCGCTTCTGCTCCGCCTGCGTAAAGAAAGTATGCTTTAGTACCTCGCACTCGTCGACCTTTACCATGTTTTCAATTGAGGGTACGGCCTGCGTACTTACAAAACGGACATGATGGGGAACGTAACTCACTGTACGTAGTATATATAGCCACTAACACTGTTACTCGATTACATTTTAGCTGCCAATACCAGTACAAAGGAGCACTGATGCTGTTCGCATAAATAATCACAGACGTCGAAATTTTCAAAGAATCCATTTGGCCAGTTTCAAAAATGTACTACCCCGCGAACGACAGTCTCCCTAGAGGTATGCCAAAGCCCAAACGATGCTTGACCGCCACAGCCATTGTGATGCACCCGCCGCCGTATGCGCGTAGAACCAACTGCAGGTCTGCATCAAACAAGACCAGGGGCAGTGCAATCAGGCCCCTTGAGCCCCCGTACCCCAGGATTTGCAGAGGGATTGATGACGGCGGCGCATGTGGATGGAAAGTGACGAGCTCCAATCGTCATCAAGTTTCTCTCCCTTGCCAAAATTGCCTTGTAAAATACATGAGTAAACAGGTGCTACAAGAGAGGCAGCGAGCGAGCATTTCTTACAAGTGTCATTTAGTAGGTAGCATAGCTGTGCCCAGTATTTTGGACCAATTGTATTGTCATTTGACAGCGACGCCTACATAGTACACAGCAGCACGATGCGCCATATTTGAGCCTAACTCTCAATTACTCTTAGCAACACCCTGACACCCTGACACCCTGGCATCTCCATCTTAGGCCAAGGCTTCGACTCAAAGGGGGATCATGTCAAGGTAAGTGAGAGGCGTGGTTGGGGACGGATACATATTACAGGTTGGAATCAATGATCAACCCGGTCCGCGATCTAGCACCGGAGGCTAAGCAGTGTCAATTGCGTTGTTGCTCCGGCGCTTTCTGGTAGGGGCCGCTCAATAGTCTGTTTCTATTGTTGAAATGCCAACTACATACGAAGTCGTCGTAGCTAGGTTCCATTCGTATCAAAAGTGGCTTGCTCTGGTGGATAACTCGATACGTATTATCGACGTGCTAGAGTAGAGTAGAGTGTACCTGAAACCTAGCATAGGGCCGTGAAATTACATAATACGTATTGTATAAATTCTATTCGAAAGAATCGATTTACTGTGGACGATAAAGTGCTTGGTATTCACGTACTACCGTTATAGTACGCATACCATGGCCAAATCTGCGATCTTTGCTTACAACCATGGACAAACATCTTGAACTGTTATCAAGTAAAATCTTTATTTTGTCTTCCTGGCATGTTCATCTGCTGAGCCTCTGTTCCATAGCAGCAGCAGCATGAGACCCTCTCATGTAGCTTTTCCTGCAAGTGTTTACTCATCTATATCGATATTGCCAACACAATCCCGTTACTTCCGTTTCCTTGATAGCGTCCACCCTTAGGATATGGGGTCAACCTGTCCAACCTCCCGTATAATTAAGTGCATCTCCATGCAGCATGACCCGGCATAGATCCGGTGCCAAAGTCATACGCGAATGATACTCAATATGATGCCGAAGCAGAATGCAACAAACCCATTTACAAAATGGGGGGTATATAGTCGAAAAGAAAGTCCTGGGTATATGCAAGCAATGCAATGCGTCCCAAATAGATCTCCAGAACTCCAAAATGTGAACACAATGTGTCCAAAAAAAAAATCGATGTTCGCGCTCATGATGGGATTAAAACGTGAGGTAAGGGACAGGCGCGTGCTCGAAACTCAAAAGGCGGTTTAACAAAGCAAAAGAAAAAATGTAAGCGAGAGGGTATGAGAGGCAAGGCAATCTTGTCGTAATTCTGGGACAAGTTACATCATGCCTAGTCTTGTCATTCTCTTTTCCATCCTCGGTCTTCCACCGGGAGGAGCGAGTCGGCTGCCGCCGGGAAGTCCCAAACGGCTGCCATTAGGCGGTGGCGGTCTCATACCGCCACGCCCGTATGGCGCCATAGGTGGTGGTTGGACGCGTCTCCAGGCATCTCGTTCGCAGTAGGCCCTGCCATTGACTTCAAAGTAGCCGTCATGTAAAGGCCTGCGGCAGTCGCCGCAGCGGAAGCAACCGGGATGGTGTTTATGCGCAGAGTCGTCCTCGAGATACTGGCCCTCAATACCATAGCCGCAGGTTGTGCACAAACTACCATTCAGTCGGTGGTAACACCCAGCATCATAGGGCTTGTCGTCAAGCACGTAGAATTCTGCAGACGTAAAGGGGCTCTGGCAGGTTGTACAGACAAAACAGGCCTTGTGGTAACGGCCGGTCAAACGACCATCTGCTGATGAGATGGACTTTCCAGTGATTGGCAGCTTGCACGCCTTGCAATTTCCGCGCGAGCGGCCCACGGATGGTTGCTTCATATGGGCTTTACGGTCCGGCGAGCGGCTTCGGGCACTCTGGATAGCAGGGTCTACGCGATCCGGGAATGGCTCGATCGGAGATGCCAATGGCGATTTTGGTCTGGGAGGAGCTCGTCCCCCTTGAATGGCTGGATCGAAGCGCATCTCTTCAGAAGGGCTGGCAGTCTGTTCAGCCTGTTCAGGTTCAGCAGCAGATAAGTCGGGGTTGAACGAATCCATGGATGTCTGGAGGTCGTTCATAAGGGAATCGAAGTTTGCAGAGGTATCTGATGGTTTTCTCCTAGAGCTGACAGAACGAGGTGGGCTCGAGATAGAGCTCGTATGACTCGCCTGCGACATACTGTAGCCTGAGTTGTTTGACGATTGGGAGTCCGAGGGCGTATGATAGGGATTGCTAATGCCAAACTCAGCGGCCAGGTTTATGTTCGCACCACTACCCGCTGTTCCTGCTGGTGGGATCAGACTCTTTCGTGGTGGTGGAGGGCGGCTCGTGTCTTTCATGCCAAACGATGGGCGTGGCGGCCGATCCTTGGTCATGAACGACCCATCTCCGCTGGGGGCCCTCAGCGTACGCTGCGGTCGTGTGCCTGGTGCCGAAGGCGGACGTTCAGGCACGTCATTATATATACTTTGATTCTGTTTAGGGAATGTCTCGGAACGTTGATTGGTGCCAAATGGCCGTGGTTCAAAGTTGGCGTCCTGTTCCTGCTGAGGTGGTCCAAATCCACCATATCCGTTCTTGCGTTGGACCCGCGGCATGCCCCCGTCCTCCGCATAGGTTTCCGGGGCTTGTGCCTGCTCATTCCTGGGTGGCGCAAAAGCATTCTTGCTCGCAGGTTTTCTATTCATTTCAAAAGGTCCTGGAGCGATGGTGTTCATCCTCTGCAATAGACTTGGCGGAGCTTGTGGAGCGGCCGCTTGCTTCTGAGGGCTTGAACCGTAGTACATTGGCTCCGGCTCATATGGCTGCGGCTCCCCAAATCCGCCATAACCTCCTGGCCGCCCATTCTGAGCTGCGTCTGCGATCGCGGGAGAAAAGTATTCGTCGCTATTTGAGCCATTATCTAACCGGCCACTGGGCGTTTTGGGTGAAATGGTTCTCGAGCCCGTCGAAGCGCTCACTGGTGTCAGTTGGTCCTGCTTGGAGAAGGCCTCATCTAGTTGCATGTCAGCATGAAAGTCCGAGGTATATTAGAGGGGGGCGTTTTAGTATCGTACTCGCTGCGTTTGTGTCTACTGTGGGCGGCGCGGCACGACTGCCGAATCCCCATACTGTCTGTTTTAGTGAGGCGAAAGCGCCAGTAAGCATGTCTGACCCGGCCGGTGGTTGTGGTAATGGCGCTGTCAATTGGTCAGTAAGGCTAGGTTACGTGCATTAGGTCGACGATGGACCTCTTGCTTGGGGTGGTACGAACGTTCTGGTTTTGAGGCTGCTTTGCAGACATGCTCGCCCATCATTGATATCTCGACTTCATTACCGCATTGTGAGCATTTGACAGTCGGCATGAAAGCCGACTCCCGTGGGTATGTGGCCATTGATGATTGTTGTTTCTTTTTATCGCTTTCCCAGTCCTTCCTTCTTCTCCAAACCTCGCCCGAGTCGTTTCTAGTTGTGTAGTGCGATTACATGCGCAAATGATGTCGTCGCGAGTTGTATGAAATATCGGCAACAATAGTCGCGATCATGAAAGTTTTGTGGAGTTGCGAAGCAGCAGCAGCAGTATCAATAGAATAGACGGTGAGTTGACAGGACTCGAAAGATGGAGAATCCGAGTCTAGCTAGCTGCAGGCATGAATTAACTTTGAAACATCCAAGACAGCAGACCCTCCACCGCTTGAGCAGGTTCAGAGTCACGAGGCACTGGTTGCACAAGATTTTGTGGTGAGGATGTTTGAGAAACAAGCGCTTCTTCGCTTTGCCCTCGATCTTGCTTCAGATGAATTTTTGGCTGGTACCTATAATGGCGGCCAGGTAGGTATCGGCGGGTAAAACTTAAAATGAGAAAAGGCAGGCGGCTGCAGGGCTGCAGGTCTGCAAGATGGAAGCGCTCGGTCCGGGGGCACAAGCGTTTTGAAGGGCGCCTCTTGTGGTAGGTGAGCAGAATGCAAGAGGAAGGCAGACAGGCCCAAGAGAGACGGATGCGTGAGAATTTGGGTGTAGAAGTCGGACGAAGTGGTTTGGAGATGTTGCGGTATCTGTCTCGAAAGTGTCGAGGGTGTTGATGCCAGCGCCCCTGGTCGGTTTAGTTTCCTGCTGCTGGCTCTTCTTGTAACAGAGTACATTAAGGTATCCAGGCCAGTCCACTACCAGGGCTCCCTGTCTGTCCTAAATGTCTGTCCCCTGTCGTCTCTTTCTCGCAATGGCCGGCTAGTGCCTGAAATGGAATGGCTTTTTCGCGCACCAGCTTGTCCTTTCCTGGAGGCTCTGCTGGCTTTGCATCCCTTTCACCCTTTGGAGCTCAGAACCGAAGGCGGCTTGTGCTGCTCTGGGAGTGTTGATCTTCACGGGGACTCACGGAGCCCTTCGGCGATCAGGGTAGCTGTTGGTCCGTGGAAAAACAACCGGTCCTTGCAGGGGGTGCGGCAGAGGGAGGAGACTCGAGAGGGACGATGGCTTCCAAGGATTCAGGCACCTCAACGGTATTGCATGCGCGAGAAGACCGCGTCCTTTTTTTAAAAACCCCCTACGTCAATCGAGATTCCGATCTGAATGGTTGAATTGAAATACGGCGAGGCCGTTTTCCAACTGCTTCCTCTTTTGTAAAGACGAGTGACTGGTAATAAGCCGGACGATAGCGCTACCCAAGTAGCTGGGATCCTCCCGCGATGCTACAGCACTTCGAGAACGATTCCAGATAGATGACTACAGCCGTCTACCACCGTACCAGAAGTCAGCTAGAATTGGCTTCCTTCATGGCGTCCGTCCACTAACAAGATTTCGACGTGATGAGAGGGAGCGCCCTCTATCTTTGGTGCCCCACAAGCTTTCTGGTTATTAATGAGCTCCTCTCCACGCAGCTAGCGAAGCAAGGAACGCGAATGGTTGTCACGGGCAAAGAGGGTGCGTGTGGCTTGCTGGGCAACTCTAGCGGTCCCCCGAGGGCCAAAGGGACCACTGGAACTAGTGTAGTTTAGAATTGGCATCCACAGTTTTAGTAGTACGTACGAACATTCAAAGATTGATTGATTGATTGATTGGTACGTCCAATGATTATGTACCATGCTCTCTTCTTGAATGTACCTACTTGTTGTCTGTAGCGTTACGCCGACCGCCGGAACGCCGCCTGATAATAGTGATGTGTTTCCCGCGATTTCTGATCAAATTTCCTGATGCTGTCGTGTGCCTACTTGACTGATATGGTCTTATACGTGCTTGGGTTTCTTCTTAAGCCAAGCCCCTTTTTATTTAAGCTCACTGGTCAGATCCAACCTCTCGGTGCCTTCTATGGCGCGCTTAACCATCACAGCACCTATCACTGTTGCAAAGCCAGATACTTACCTAGGCATTCTGTCTCGGCTGAGATACGATTATGCCGCATTCCCCATTCAGCCGACAGCAGCAGTGGTGATTGGATTCGTTGATGTGGGAACGGCATATGTTCTCGACGAGTCACTGGTCGGCATTTGGGAGACAATATGGAACGTCGTCATTTCTGCTTGTACCAGTTGTTGAAAACGATTGGCACATCATGCAAAATGGGTCTTGGTCGCCCCCCGTTGCTAGTGAGATGGGGCCAAAATCCTCGGGGGTTGGTCATGATAAGTCCGGCTGCGGCTGGCTTTTGCTTCCACTGGGTTTAATTTTGTCTTGGGACAATTGCTAGCTGCGAGATCATCAGACCGTCCTCATTTACCTTGTTACTGAATACAGCCCAAGAAGAGCCAAAGCACATCGAACTCTTTTCCACGACGCCATACTAATCTCATACCTGCTGTCATGGGATCGCATTGTGAACGTGTGACTGATTCGTGTGCGCTTTGCTTCGTCTGAATTGTCCACGAACTTGTGACGCAATTGCACACGAATCGTTGTTAATGCAATCCTACCTTGAGGTAAGGGAAAAAAAAGGCCCGTCGCAACCTGAAGCAGTCCAGTCCAAAGCGACGACCTTCGATATACCGGACTCACGCCGCGGCCTTCTGCCAGTTGCTTCTAGCGAGCTTCCTTGACTAAAAACAGTTCCAAGCCACACATCGAATTCTGCTCGATATTGATCACTGGTTGAAATGAATCGCCCTCGTGATATCCCACCATCTCAAGTTCAAGCCACACACGGTTCCGAGTAACAACAAATTGAACCGATCGATTGGACGGAGCATCTCCGGAGTAGAAGCTCAAGTATGCCCATACTCAATCCGTTTGCCTTCTACCTAGTGATTAAGATTGAGCGAATAGGAAGCAGCCTCCAGGGTGATAATTCAAGCCGATATATGTTGCACTTGAAGTCTGACAATACGGCGAACCTGATTAAATATCCAAATATCGTATGGCGCTTCTGAAGGCGCTTGGCCTTGTATGAGCATGAGCGATCATGGATCGTTCATTGGCGAACGGCTTGATAAAGCCAAGACGTTTCATCAGACCTTACAATCGGCCTAATGAGGATTCGAGGAGGAGCGCACCAGCCTCAGGTTGCCAGAAATTCTAACCGCCCATCTTCTGTTTCCGTGAATCTGTCCATGTATTTGATGATTATGATGACATTTCAATATCCACGTGCCCAGTTATTTCCTGGCATGAACGGGGCTGCTGAAGAGGGACCAGAGGACTATCGCGATATGCCAAATCCTAGTGCCCTCCAGGGTTTCGTGGGCGCATTTTACATAATGCGCGCAATCTGGAGATGGGCCTTGATAGTGTCTACCACCACGAATGTAGCGGTCGCGAAGTGTGAAAGGGAGATCTGCGTTCCGTCGCGGCTTTTCTTATCAGTGTTCCCCCATCACCAGGTTCCCACGGGCCGTCATGAGAGCAGTTCGATGACGATCGACATTCGTGCTTGAGACCCCTTGAATACCCCGGGTTTGTGCCCCCAAATTCGGCAACCCACAGGACTGGGTTGCAATGAGACGGCCTCATTGGCTGGGCATCTCCGGAAACCGTATGTCTTTTGTCGTACCTTTTTAACCCAGCAGATCGGGAATAATCGTAATTGACCACAGACAGTGGAACTTGTTGATGTTGATCTTTCAACATCAGTGTTCTTTACCAAGAACTAATATGCGTGCATTTCTCTCGATGGTAGTCATAGTGCCCTGTATGATGGTCTGGTCTGCGTGGTTTTGGCAAGTGCTCAATTTATTAGAATTAGACCTGCCCCCATCGTTTCTTTCCGCGGCTGTAGTCAAAATCACAGTCTTACTCGTGTTCTCGACAACATTCGATATGGTTATTAACTTGCGGTGTCTGCCCTATAGCGAGTCAAGGGATTCGAAAGCTAATGTATAGGGACGATCATGGTTAATTGCGGACAAGCTCAATCAGGTCTTCACATGGAAATACATCTTCATATGCTAGGTACATAATCCCCCAGCTTACTATACTACTCGAGCACCTCCAGAATCCTGTGCCTCCCATTTGAAGCCATCTACCTCACTGGCGCTTCTTATTATTGTTGAGTTGTAGTGTCAAATACTCAGATAGATTCCGCTGCCACCAGATGCGTCTTTTGTGGGCAGAGGGAGGGTCTCTAGTTAATGGAGGTACTGATAGCTAATGCAGCGTGCGTACCTATTGCAACAAGAATCATCTTTATCTGTTCTCAAGTCACGCAGTGCTGCTGTAACTTCATGGAGCGCGAGTCTTCCGAAACATAGACACCAACCGAGGATGATGCGAGTTATCCGACGGTCTTCTGCACCACGACTTAAGCGACGTCGCTTGATGATAACGCCTGTGGTCGCGGCCATTGACCGCCTTTCAATGTTGTGTAAGATGGTTGCTTGGCGGCTGACTTGAGGGCTCATTATTCCGTACCATTCGGAACTGGGTGCTAGCTTGCGCATTGGCAGCCAATCACTGTCCTGTTGACCCCTCCCAAATGGGTATCTTCAGGGTCCTAGCTACAGGATACGGGTGCCTCGCACGACAGTCCACGCAATCGGATAGGCATGTTCGGGAACAAAAACATCACCTTCAACCCGATACTATTGGAAACCGGTGGAGTTGTTGGGACTTGGTCAAGCTGCTACATCTGCATGTTTGTGTGTGTTGGCGTTATCCGACCAGCCGAGGACCGTGGAGAAGAGGCTCCGTTAGTTGATCTGGCCCCGGATTGTTGGGCATCTTTCCCCCGCGTATTCCGTACAGCTCAAATAAATATCCAAGTGCCAATCCGCCTCACGCCTCTCCTTCTCGTCTCTCTTCTCTTTCTCTTGTCCACATAATCAAGTTGTAGATACACACAGACTGTAGTTTTGGCAATTGTTGCTCCGCCTTCAAGGCCCCAAACCTCGTCTTAAACAGTTGATCGCACCCCCGGGTTGCGGTCCCACCAACCGTCAAGACGTTTTCCAACCTTCTCAACTCGTACGTTTTCATACATCCAGAAGTCCAAAGTCTGCCTCAATGTGCACCCAGTTGACCATGTTCCAGCGTCCACAATCCCCACCGAGGAGGCCGCTGCACTGCTTCTGGCGGCGCACCGGACTCACCCTATTCTCCCTAAAGAGTTATCGCCCACAAGACCGATACTCTACTGAAAGCCCGTCAATTGTCAATCATGGCGCCGCACGCCGAGGTCGACTCGGCCTCCTCGAATGGGGATGGACACCATCGTCAAGCCGGAACTGCCGTCCATGAGGATTTGTTCCAGGTGGACTCGCCCAACGTTGTTTATACTGACTCCGAGATCCGCTCCAAGTACACCTACCGAACCACCAGCGTAAAGAAGAACGGCAATGGTAAGTATGTCGCCACTCCCAAGGAGACCAACTACGACTTCAAGGTCGACCGCCAGGTTCCAAAGGTGGGCATGATGTTGGTAGGATGGGGTGGCAACAATGGCACTACCGTAACTGCCGGCATCATTGCGAACCGCCGGAACTTGGTCTGGGAGACGCGTGAGGGTCCGAGGGCTGCCAATTACTATGGTTCCGTGATTATGGGATCGACCATGAAGCTTGGAACCGAGGCCGAAACCAACAAAGACGTCAACATTCCATTTCACGATGTTCTTCCCATGGTTCATCCAAACGATCTTGTCATTGGTGGTTGGTAAGTAGTAAAACGATGAGGCTTGCTAGAAGACGCTCTCTGGAGTATCATGGCTTTGAGAGCCGCCTCAACTATCTCAACGGATTTCAATGCTAATATTCCCCAATAGGGATATTTCTGGCATGAACCTGGCCGATGCAATGGATAGAGCTGCAGTATTGGAGCCGACACTCAAGGCGCAAGTCAAGAAGGAGATGACCAACATGGTTCCTTTACCATCCATTTACTATCCCGATTTCATTGCTGCCAACCAGGAAGATAGAGCCGACAACGTCATCAAGGGCACCAAGGCTTGCACGGCTCACATTGAGCAAATTCGAAAGGATATCAAAGACTTCAAGGCCACCAACTCCCTGGACAAGGTCATTGTCCTTTGGACTGCTAACACGGAGAGATACGCCGACATCATCCCTGGAGTCAACGACACGGCCGAGAACCTGCTAAAGGCTGTCGACGATGGACATGAAGAGGTCTCCCCTTCAACTGTCTTTGCTATTGCTTGCATTCTTGAGAATGCGCCCTTTATCAATGGTTCTCCACAGAACACTTTCGTTCCTGGTGCCATTGAGCTTGCCGAGAAGCATGGCGCATTCATTGGTGGCGACGATTTCAAGTCTGGCCAGACCAAGATGAAATCAGCTTTGGTCGATTTCCTGATCAATGCCGGTATCAAGCTGACGTCCATCGCCTCGTACAACCACCTTGGCAACAATGACGGCAAGAACCTGAGCTCCCACAAGCAGTTCCGATCCAAGGAGATCTCCAAGTCCAATGTCGTCGATGACATGGTTGAAGCCAACTCGGTTCTGTACAAGAAGGGTGAGCACCCTGACCATACCGTCGTCATCAAGTACATGCCGGCTGTCGGCGACAACAAGCGTGCCTTGGACGAGTATTACGCCGAGATCTTCCTTGGTGGCCACCAGACCATTTCAATCTTCAATGTCTGTGAGGACTCTCTGCTCGCCTCGCCGTTGATCATTGACTTGGTCGTCGTGGCAGAAATGATGACTCGCATCCAATGGAGAGCCAGCTCTACTGATGGTGTCGCCACCAAGGACTTCCGTGGCTTCCACAGCGTTTTGAGCATCCTTAGTTACATGCTGAAGGCACCGCTCACGCCCCCAGGCACTCCAGTCATCAATGCCTTGGCCAAGCAGCGTGGTGCCCTGACCAACATCTTCAGGGCTTGTGTTGGACTTGAGCCCGAGTCCGATATGACCCTTGAGCACAAGTTGTTCTAGACTGGCTCCGCCGTGGAAATGAGCGACCGAGACTCGTCGGCAATTTTTCGTTTCGTATCTGGGCCCTTCTGCTTTATTGTAGAAGTTGTCTACTTTAGCTGGTATTCACATCGTTCTTGGTGAGGGACATTGCTCCGTGAGCGTCTTTCTACCATTGCTCAACGAAGATGTTTCTAGGATCTCAACATCCTACATAGTCACACAAAATTGAACATGATCATCCACCCACTACCTTCAAGTGCTCGAAGCGACCCTAAATTCTCAAACTCGTTTGTGACTGCATAATGATCCCAGGGTCACTAGGTCACCCAAATTTGACTCTTCTTGTGTGCCTAAGCTTTAACTTCGGCAGGCTCATAATCCCTCCAGATAAGCCCTTCTGGGACACTTTTCCATTGAAGTTGATCATCTAGCAGCTTCTTCATCTCACTCCACTCCTCACGCACGCGTTCCGCCTTGAAAGCACTTCTCGGTCTGATATCAGCCTTGAAGGGTTTCGGCTGAACAAATGTGCCCTCGATGAGATCGCCCATGTCGGGCAAGATCTCCTGGCCGTCGGGTCCTATGGCCCGGCGGAAGTCAAAGGCCCAGAGCAGGCGGGAGATGGCGAGGAACAGCGAGCGGTCGGCAATGTGCATGCCCTGGCACAGCCGACGCCCGGCGCCAAAGACAAATTGATCGCGCTTGGTCACGTCCGGGTTGGTCGCCGCCTGGGCCGACGTCTGCCGATCGTCGGCCCAGCGCATCGGGTCGAATCTCCTGGGGTCTGGATGCCGTTTCGGATCATTGTGCAAAGTCCTTGCTCTACTTGTTAGTGCCGCGTTCTCATTGTTCAACCCATAATGTATCAAATTAGAGCAACTCGCTTACCAGACATTCCAGAGCACCCCGGCCCCTTTGGGAATCTTGTATCCCATGTACTCATCATCCTGAATCACGGCATGCGGGACCCCGAGGATAACCGTCGGCATCCAGCGCAAGCTCTCCTTCATGCAGCCGCGTATATACTGCAGATCGGGCAAGTCGTTAAGGTCGGGCATGCGGTCCCCACAGACGCGATCGAGCTCGGCCTGGGCGGCGGCAACAACCTCTGGGAAAATGACCATGGCCTGGACGAACCCCACGAGGGTCGCGGCCGTGGTGTCGGACCCGGCCTCGAGCAGCGAGTTGCTCACGTACGAGGCCTGGGGGTCCGAGATGCCCGTCTCCTCCTGGGCCTTGACCAGGTCGATGCAAAAGCACGGCTTGGCTTTGCCGTCGCGCAGGCGCTGCTTGAAGCCCAGCCAGTGGCCCATCCACAGCTTCAGCTCCTCTTGGTGCAGTTCCCGTGCGTACCGTCGCATGGGCAGCAGCGCGTCGGGGAGGTGTCGGAGGAGCGGAAATACGTCGGTCAGTGCGGCCGAGGTACTCGCCAGCACACTACTGAACTTTTCAAAGCCCTAGAAAGTGGTCAGTGACCAATGTTCTTTACTTTCACTCTTTCTTTCCCCCTCATTTTCCAGAAAAATGAACTAATCTGTTTATGCACTGGATTAACCTACATGGTACAATTGATTCATCTGGGGATCCTCGATGCTGGTGGTGCGAATGCCATACATCATCTGCATCGACAGAGAGTTGGTAAAGCGCCGGATATGCTGAATAAATTGGTCCGGAGCCTCCAAAAATCCCAGCAGCATGTCCTTGTTCTCCAAGTCTTGGTATGTTACGTAGGTGCGGGAGGCTTTGATATTGAGGCTGTTGTGTACGATGCCGCGAAGCGTGCGCCAATTATTTCCGTACTCCTAAAATATCTTGTGAGAGATGATGGCAGCGGGTTGATGAGGCTGGTTTCACCTACCATGAGCAACATGCGAAAGCCACCACTGACGATCTGGCCAAGGTACATCTCTGGTCTCGACGAGTAAATGTTACTGCGCTTGTCCAGCAAGTCTTTGATGGCTTGGTCGGTATTCAGAACTACCATGACCTTTGTTCCCAGAATGAGCGAATAGATGGGTCCATATTCATTTGCCCACTTCTGAAATTGAAGATGCGGTTTCTCCTTGGGGATGAGGTGTATGTTGCCAAGTATGGGAATTGTTGGTGGTCCTGGGGGCAGACCTTTGGGACGTCGTCCAACTTGACTCAGCCGGTACAGTAGCACCAAAATACAAGCAACGCCAATGGGATATACTGCGAAGAGTACCATGTTTACACCCACATGAGAAGAGTATCAGAGTATAGGTGCGAAAAGGATGAAAACCAAAGAATGAGACGAGTGGCCCGTCTTTTGAATTGCACCGCAACATCATGTCCGCCTGGCGGAAACTCGCGAACAGCTGCCTGTACTATACACTTATCGGAAGCAAAGCTGGCAAACGCGATAGCCATTGGACGGTAAAGGCTTTGATCGGCAGCGAGGGGGGCCATTGCGTTGGCACGAATATGCCATGCAAATGCAGTGATTGCGCACCGTGAATGGTAGGATTATGCATGACTCTCCAAACTCTCCCTCCACCCTTCTTGGCTCCGTCAAACGTCAGCGCGTCCTCTTGGCGGCTAACGTTTTCAAAGGCTCTCTTGTGATAGGTGAAGACCACCTGTTGCAGCTCTGCTCACAGGAGGGAGGGTATGCTTAATGCAAGAAGTAAGGGACTGGAGAATATTGACATATCGCTGCAGGTAGAGCCGCTAGGAAACAAGGAGATATCAATCCACCTCCAGTCTCGTGCTTTATGGAATTTGAATGCAGCATCCGATCCCTGTGTCACATGCATTACCCACAGATGAATACCTGTTTTGGTGCAAACCCGCAGCCTTACTCTGTTATCGCGATTCGGCTTCTGATGGTGAGCGCGACAAGACGGCTCCAAGTAGATACAGGAGAGTAACTTTGCTGACAATGACCATTTGTATAGAATGCGGAGGCCGCGGAGGAACTATAATCAATTAGATGTGCACTTTGACCTCATATAGTAAGCCCTTGGCCTCGAAACTTGCTGTGGGGTTGGCTCGACGTCCACTTAGGATGTATACATACTATCAAGTCAACTTTTGTGCTTGAAGACCGGGTCACTTGAAGCAGATGAGGCTTACCCGAGACTTTTATGTCCAGCTAGAACCTGGGAGTGAGTACGAGCAATAAAGTTTCGAATTCTCAGACATGCTTTATTCACTTGATGTTCTTGAATGTGCAGCAGCAAAACTAGAACATGAAATCGACAAGACACCAATGAATGAACCATAGCACATTTTCAAGATAATATTCTAGTATTTCACATGTATTTCTATGGAATAGGGCAAGATGACGTATGGTATGTATACATTTGAATAAACAGCTCAACTGTTACTGCCCACTGCCCAGGCCCAAGACGATCCATGGACAGGTCTCTCAAGACGCAATGGAATGAAACTGCATATCTGACACATAAAGTGGGCAAATCTGAGTTCACCAGTACAGGGAAAGATAAACCAAAGAAGATGACAACCCACGATCGTCCAAATCCAGTGCACAATTGTACCATAGAAGTGAAGTCTTTGATAATACTTTAGTACGTACAGAGTACAGGCTAGCCGCTACAGCAGCACATGTGGGGACGGCTATTAAACACGGTGCCCCACATTCCCGCCCAGCTGCTGACGGCGGCGCGTTTGGCGGCGCGTTGCTGCTCGACTTACAAACGCTCCAGTGCAACTTTCTGCCAAACTCTTTAACTCACGCCAAACAAAACCACCAATCGTCTCGCCGACGCCCTTTGGTTTTGTCTAACGAGGGAACCAGTACTGTGAGGTATTGAACCCAAGTACAGAAGTCAACAATGCAGTCTATGCAGCAGATGGTCAGCAAGGGCACCGCCTGCTATCAGAGCGGCGACCTGATTGCGGCGTCTCGTCAATTCAGACAAGTAAGTGCCTTATCCACAAACAGACATACCTACTACTACTGGCCTCCCTTACCTAATGAGCAGCTCCACCCCCCACCATCATCTATTATTCCTGGATATGGCTATTTGCTGACTCTGTCTCACCTTCTGTTCCGTCAGGCTGCCCAAAGCTGCAAGTGTGAAGTCGGCAAGCCGAATCTAGAGTGCAAATGCATCGACTTCCTCCAAGCCTGCCATGACCACACACTGAGCGAGGCGTTGCGCCAGTCTTGCACGTGCCCCCGACGGGCCGCCAAACGCTGCAAAGATGAGTCGCACGCCGTGGCTCTCGGCAGCCTCGTCTTGGTCTGTATCAAGACAAAAGACTACAAGTTGGGCCTCATCTATGGCCAAAACCTCATACGCATTGCACCTCGAGATCCGCGGGGCTATCTCAGACTGGGTCAACTCTTGCGTCTAACAAAGAAGCAGGCCACCGCACTGGCTGTATACCAGCAGGGAATCGCACTGGTGGCGCGCGCAAACCCTCAGCACCCGGGCCTCGTCGCTCTGCAAGAGCAGGAGAAGACTACTTCCAAAGCATTGATACAGATCGACCCTGTGCATGTTCTTCCCACTGAGCTGTTCATCCAGGTTTTGCGCAATCTTAAAACGAAGAACTATTGGTAAGCTTATCACGTGAACATTTCCGACCACTTCTTAATAACCTTGGCTTTTGTTTTTTCAGCGGCATTCTTCGAGTTTCCAAGTCATGGAAGACATTCATAGAGCGGACTCGGGGACTCTGGACGGAACAAGAATTCTACGTCAACGCCAGAATACGGCCCACCAGACTCGTACCGCCTTCCAAACCCATACCGGCTTTTAGACTCGTACCGGCTTCAACCATACAGAAGTGCTTGGTGACATATCCCGGCGGTCAGCTTCAATCACTCACCATCCGGGACTGCGCCGCGTTCCCTCTTTTGATCAATAAGTTGGCAACGATTCTACGCGCATGCCCTCATCTACGTCACCTCTCTCTGGCTGGCTCGGCCGCACTAAGGACAGGTTACGTCCGCCCCGAGTCATACAAGGGTCCCCAATTAAAAACATTGTACCTGGGCCCAAATTTGACGATAGACAACGATGTTGTGCAATACCTAATGCCCAACAATTGTGAGTCTCTTGAGGAACTCAGTCTGCTCGGAATGCCTCAAGGACCCTTCTTCCTCGACCCAGCTGGACCGCAGTATCCGCGACTACACACACTCCGACTTGCAGGTCCTTCAAATCAAGGCCCGTACCCCATCTGTATGCTCACGATTGCGCACATGGCCCCGAGTATTCAGGTGGTATCCCTTGACAGGGTATCGTTGTACTTCCACGAATGGCAAGATGTAGCAACCATCAATCAGTGGCATAACCTGAAAAGTCTTTCCATGGGCAAAGATATAGCATTGGATATGTCTCGTAACTTTCCCACGGTTTTGGTGAAGACACCTTTCCTTCCAGAGGAACTCGAAGAACTTGTTCTTACGAATACAGCACTCCGTTGGAACTTTAGTTGGGAACCTGAAAGACCGCTGGAATGGGGCCAGTGGGTGGTGCAGCCACCACATTCACCCAAGCCATACTTCCCCTCTCTGAAGACGCTTGTTGTTCGTGACATGGATCACCACGCACCAAAGTGTCATGATAAGTGGAAATCTTTGATTGCGCCGTCAGTCGCAAGCGACAAGCTCCGGCATCTTGAAATATGCCCCTTTCCATGGCCCCTCGTGCGCGACCTGGACCAAACTAGACAGTGGCTGGAGCCAGAAGCAGGCGCAACTGGCATCACCGCACTAGGCATCAGCTGCCTCATGGCGTCGGTCGGCCATGAAATTGACGATGCCGATGATGCCTTGCTTCAACTCGTTCAACTCTTCCCCAATCTGCGGGACTTGGATATCAATCAAGAGCCTATTGGACTTTCGACGCTGGCCCGTATACTTGAAGCTGGTGTGGACCGAATCTATCATCGGCAGGGCGCAGCGATGCTGACTCTGAAGGAATGGGCGCAATCCAAGGGCAAAGATGTGATACATGGGAGCATGCCGAGGTCATCCTTGGTCTTGTGAGCAGCAAAGGGGATTGATATCGGTTAGAGGTAGAGTCATGGTGGTTTCAACGTATGTGAATCGAGTAACAAGGCAGAGGAAGACAGTGGAAACGGGACGGAATGAAAAAGAACTGTCATGAAATGGGAACGGAAATACATGATGCTCTCTAAAGAGCTATCATGAATGACATGAGTAGAGAGACCTGCATAATGCCTAATGATGAATGAAAGATGGACATGAGAGATGCCCTAGGTGACACTAATTGAGTGTAGTTAAAGCTCGTTTTCGACCTCCCCACAGTATAGCATGCGGTCAGCTCGTAAAGAGAAAATTCCCATACGCTGAGCCGCCAACCAGCATGTTCCGAGGCCTTCGTGAACTTGCGGATAAGTTGCTAGTCAACATCTTCTAGGTACGATCATCATACCGAGCTCAATTTTTCCGGCAATGAAAGAGCAAAGACGAAGAGAAAATAACCAGAGTTCACCTGTGCTCTCGCTAAAATCCTAGCCTCTGTCGGCTCCAGCTTCCCCGTACCCCAATTCCTCCCCCGCAAATGCCCCCCTGGCTTACGGCTCTTGGCGCCGTTGGAGAAACAAGAAACGCTGAATACCCAGGGGCCTCAAAATACCCCGAATGACATACGAGGCCCAGCCATCGTCATTGGGGATCGCCAGGGCGTTGCTCTTAATAATGGGGCCTCTCGCCCTCAATTCGTCTCGACTTGTGTGTTGGGACATCCTACATTGGTCTGAGAAACAATATATGATCCTCTAATTGGTAATTGGCAGCCATGGTGTTTTCTTCAGCACTTGTCCTCGGCTTGGCCGTGATTAGCGGCGTGGTAGCTAAGGATGCTACGGTCATCATACCCGCCACTCTTTCGAAGAGAGCACTGGGCCCTGATGTATATGGGTACTCGATTGAGCCAATCTGGCTCGACAGCTACATCAACAATACCTTGGCCTCTACTCTGCTTGGTCACATCAAAGACGTGACGGGCAAGGCACCCCCGATTCGTGTTGGTGGCAATACGGCCGATCAGACCTATATTCACGATACGTTGCCGACGGGCAATGCCTCACTTCCGTTGCCGGCACTGCCAAGCGTCACTCAATTCAACATTACCCCAGAATGGTACACGACCTGGAGCGATTACTTCCCTGAAGGAACCGACTTGATTTACACCCTCAACTTTGCCAACAACGCCTCTGCTTGGGCAGACGCAGTGACGGAAGCGCAAGCCGTACACGAGGCACTGGGAGACAAGCTGTTCATGTTTGAGGCCGGCAATGAGATTGATCACTTTATCCACAAGGGCTGGAGAAACGCCAGCTGGGGCGTTCAAATGTACCTTGAGCAGTTCCGCAACCTGACTGGCCAGATCACCGACTCGGACTGGTACAAGTCGGCCTCGAAACAGCCCAAATTCCAAGCTGGTGTCTTTGCAGACCCGCCCTTGGTGCCGGATCAGCAGGATGAGATTGACGATTTCAGCATTGCCAACCTCACGGCGGCAGAGGATGAGGCGGACGCCGACATCATTGGAAGCTACGCCACGCACCTCTATCCACAGTCAACCTGCGACACTACCCGCTGGCTTCGGATGCGTCTTGACTTGCTTTCGAACCACACAACCCTATGGCTAAATGTCTCGCAATATATTCCCCAGGTGGCTGCGGCCGATGCCGCGGGTGCTCCTTTGGTCATGGGCGAGACAAACTCCATTAGTTGTTCTGGAAAGAGTGGTATCAGCGACACATTTGGTGCAGCGCTCTGGGGTGTCGATTACGTCTTGATGGCTGCTTCTCTCGGGTTCCAGAAGATATATTTCCACCTCGGCGCCCAGAGCGAGTACAGTAGCTTCACCCCAGTCCCATATACTCTTAAGGGTGAGGACCTGGTCCCTGGCATCCGGGCCGGTTGGTACGGGCACTACTTCATATCCAAGATTGTGGCATCGGCGAGCAACGAATCATTCAGCGTCTCTGCGATTCCGGACGCGAACTCGAGCTCTCTGAGCGGCTACACCATCTACAATGGCAATGACTCTCTGCAGAAGCTCGTCTTCCTCGACATGGGCGTGTGGAATGGTACCGAAGGACTCAGCAATCCGTCAACCTTGAGCGCGACCGACGGCACCAGCTTCAGCGAGGGAGAGCGACCCAACAGCACGCTGACCATCAACACGCCGTGGGCTGCTGGCAGCAACGTCAGTGTGACCCGGCTCGCGGGTCCCGGCACCAATGCAAAGAGCAACGTGACAGTCTCGGGCGTGACCTTTGACCCGGACACTGGAGCAAAGGTCGGTACCGAAGCCACGGAAATCATCACCGTCGAGGATGATGGTGTCGTCAAGATTATACTTCCCGAGGCGCATGGAGTGCTGCTTGAGCTCAGCAGTGCTAGCCCCAGTAATGGCTCTTCTTCAGGCTCAGAGTCTGGGTCAGGGTCTGATGGAAACACCTCTGGCGCTATTACTCTTTCATCATTGGTTGCATGCCAAGTCGGGCTTTTCGCCATGGTTGTTGCAATGGTTTTGTAGAATAAGAAAATTATAACCTAGATCATTGTGATGAAAAAGATTTTCGGAAAATGTGTTTCATTCATACCTGAATAGTGAGGCGTACACACATGATGATAAAAGTGTTCGATCCAGAAAAAGAAAAAGGAATTCTCTCGGATGTCTTCTTTTGGGCAAATTGCGTAGCTCCCCCAAAGATCACCGAGGGAAAGCACTCTCAATTTACTTGGAGTCATATTGACCGATATGAATCCTTTTCACGGAAGGGACGGTAGGTATTTCAGAGACGTACCAAAGAGGAAGAGCTAGAAGGCTGAGGAGCACCTTGAAGTTGCGTCTTTGATTCTTCCATGTTTCACATCTTGAAGCTTCGTTATGCTCATTTGCTCGCCACAGATTTGCCTAAGCGTTATGCGTGCCATTGACCATTTAATGTTCCCTCCCATTGGCCCAAAGGAAACAGAACAAGGCAGGCAAAGACGCAAGCAAGACCCCGCCCCGCGCCACGAACGGCCGATCGATCCGGAGCCTTGAGCCTTATTCAAAGTGCAGCGAGTTGTATCCCCGGTCCATCTCCAGACGTTAGTCTGCCCAGTCCCTCCAATCCATCCATTCAGCGTGCTGGATTGTCATGCACGGCGTTGGCGCCGGCCTTTACTCGTTCATACCCTTACAAGGGCCCAGCCGTCTTGGGCCGCCAAAGTCGCCTGCCTGCGCAGTATTTGACAAAAGCAGGTCACACGACTGGCCAACCGCCGTCCGTCTCGGTTCCGGGATTCGCTGCAACAAAGAGTCCAAACGCGCCCGCTCTCGGTTTCCGATAAGGCCGCATGCGCACGCGCACCCGCTATCGCTTGACTGGACAGTCACAAGTCACAGCGAGAGGGAAAAAAAAAATTCTTGTGTCTACTTCGGAGCAAATCAATTCTTTCAGCTTCAAAAACTGTCTGTTGAGATCTGAGTTCTACGCAATCGGCCCGGAGCGGACCATACATGCTATTTTCGCCAATAATTCACTAAATTACATTGTTAAATTGGAGTGCAGGCGCTTTCCAAGAAACTTTAAAAAGTCATATGCCAGAGTCCTCCTGCAGGCCCAAGGTTCAATTTTGCAATCGCCGTCATCGATGAGTGGCTCAGGCTCCAGCTCTATCAGCCATGATAACAATGCTACACCATTGGATGAAGGCTTGGACATTGATACACAATTCGAAAATACCGTGAACACCATGGCGGAAGGTAGAATCAACGACGGGGAGACCGCGCATCTCAGACTCCAGACGTCTCTGGACCGAGTCGCCGATATCGAATCCCAGCCTGGTTCGGCCCGCAGCCAGGGCTCGTCAAGAAGCTCCACTGAGAGTAATCAGAAACAGCAAAAACTAAAAGTCGTAGCATGGAGAGATCTCCCAAAGAAGAATCAGTTAATCGTCATTACCTTGGCACGGCTGAGTGAGCCACTGGTGCAGACATCGTTGCAGGTGAGCTCCAGAGAGCTGAGAACTATGATCCAGGTCACTAACGGCGCCCCAGTCTTATATGTTCTACCAGTTGAAATGGTTTGACTCAAGTCTTCCAGATTCTACCATCTCAGGCCAAGCCGGTATACTGTCTGCGAGTTTTACCGCGGCCCAGTTCCTAACTGCAATGGTTTGGGGCAGAGTGGCCGATTCTCCTCGAGTTGGACGCAAGAGGGTCATTCTTATTGGTCTTGTCGGCACTCGTGAGTGTCTTGCAAACTCCCCAAAAGACAATATTTGCTGACGTGACCCAGTAATATCCTGCCTTGGATTTGGGCTGTCCACTTCATTTCTCTCTGCTCTCTTTTTCAGATGCTTGGGCGGGGCGACGAGTGGGAATACTGGTGTTCTGAGAACAATGTAAGTTCAAGCTCTAAGAATACAGACCCGTTCTGGTCGCCTGTCGTCTGGTACACATGTCCAATTCGACTGTGGCCCGCCTTGTGCGTTTGTTGTGGTTTGGGCAAGGTTAACCATCTTGTAGGGTTAGCGAAATAGTTCGGGAGAAAAGGTAATGCAGCACCCTAGTGCTTGTTGATGAAATACTCACTGACACGCTACACACAGGTACCAATCAAGAGCATTCCTGCTCATGCCAATGACGTTCAATGTAGGAATCATCGTTGGACCTGTCCTCGGCGGTCTTCTCTCTGACCCAGCTGCATCTTACCCGGGAGTATTCGGTAGTATACAATTCTTCAATCGATTCCCATACGCACTGCCAAATCTAGTGAGCGCCGGGATCGCTCTATGCGCCTTGGTCGGCGTTTGGTTATGTTTGGAAGAGACGCACGATGCTTTGCGCGGCAGCGTCGACTACGGACGAGTGATTGCCATTAAGATTGGCCAGTTACTTATCTGGAGGCGAGAAAAGTATGCCTACAAGCCTCTGCATTCTCATTCTTCCAGTATCAACACGGTAGAAATGTCGCCAACAGTGGAAGAGCATCCCGCTTCGCTGCCACGGCCCCGGTATACGCAGAAACTCCCATTTAGGCGCATCTTTACCCGCAACGTGAGCATGACGCTTGTCTCACAATTTCTCATTGCCTTTCATTTAGGCACTTTCAATGCGTTATGGTTCGTCTTTCTCTCCACGCCGGTATACAATCCGTCGGACCCTAATCCGCCTGGCTTTCGACCCTCCCTCCCCTTCCGCTTCACGGGCGGCCTGGGTCTGCCCTCTCGAAGCGTTGGCTTTGCCATGGCCATGCTAGGGGTGATAGGCATATCAATGCAGCTCTTCTTGTATCCTCGGCTCTCATCACGCTTCGGTACCCCTCAGATGTGGCGCTTCTGCCTGTTCTTGTTCCCTATGGCGTACACTCTGCTGCCATACCTGTCGATAATCCCATCGACAACACCGCCGCCAGGCCAGAAAACGGGACCGTGGATCTGGTTGGCACTACTCGGCGTTTTGTTTATACAAGTCACGGGCCGGACGTTTGCTCTACCGGCTCAAACAATCTTGGTCAACAATTGCACGCCACATCCAAGCGTGCTGGGTACTGTTCATGGCATGGGAATGAGCATCTCCAGTCTTGCCAGAACGGTTGGACCTGTGCTTTGCGGCTATCTGTACGGACTCGGATTGTCTCATGGCGCTGTGGGAGCTGTGTTTTGGGGCCTTGCAGTCGTTGCCTGTTGTGGGATCATAGCTAGTTTCTGGGTCAGAGAGGGAGATGGGCATGAGATATGGCTAGAGGGCGATGCGGAGGATGAAGGTGAGGAAGCAAAATGATACACTCAGATCGGGAACATAGACTGTGCTTGGGATACAACAGTTATAGATGCATCTTTGGAAACACGAGCGTCAGCAATAGTATTGTGTTTTTCAAGTTTTGGTTACTTGGGAATTGCGTTCGAGAGCGTGCTCGAGATAAATTTCTAGCCAAGCAGTATTCCGCTAAGGGCTGAGAAAAGTCCCAGGAGAACAAGACTATAGCGACATGCAAGTTGATAGGGACTGACAATTTCACATGTAATTGCCAATATCTCTATTTTATAGTATTTATGCACTTCTTCTCTGCCCTTCCAAAGGAGTGCAAACCGACACAATCCACGAAATGACGGCACCACTCGCAATGCAAATGAGCAGGAAATATCTATGCACCATTCACAACTTGATGCTGTTCAATATATCAACAGCAGGTGGCATTGAACTAACCTTAGTGAGGTCATCAAGCCTTTCCCTCTCTTGGATACCAAGAATCTGGTGGATCCAAGGCGGGACTGTAACTAGATTTCGGAGACCACAGACCCTTCCCACGGCCGGTGTCTCGGATTTCCCGACAAGGCAGATTCTGGCCATCTTTTCTTGGTGGAAGGGGAAAAAAAAAATATCCCCGTGCTGAGTGGATTCGAGTATGCCTTATTCGCTATTGATGGGGCATTTCTCTCTCTCTATCCTTGTCCATCATTTTTCCCAATGTTCTTTTTTTGTCCCCCACGTGGGCATCGAATGCTTGCCTACAGGGGGCCAGGGGGGAAAGGTGAGCTCCCAGATGTGCCCTTTTTCACGTTTTTCCTCAACAGCTGCGCAGTATCTAGCTTCCCGCGTGGAGACGGCTAGGGCCACTGCCCGCACATTCGACAGCGCCTTGGTAGATGTGAAATGAATTGTCCTTTTTTTTTTCTTTCTTGTTTTGAAGCGGGTGCGGAAACATGATGACGAAGAAAAGAAAAACCATTGCGAGCTGTTACCCTCTTTCGGATCATGTATCATTCGGCAATCTGGAAGAGGGGCCACGAAGGATGAACGGCGACTTTGGCCAGCCACGTTGTATGCCTCGTTTTTGTCATGGTCATATCCTCGCTATAGCCTATGATGCACTTGTTTTGTGACTTGAGTAATGCAGAGGTAGCTGTCGTATGTTTTCTGTCCCTCTTTGTGTTACCATGCTAATGAAATATTTGCATGCAGGCTTCCAATTATACATCGTCTGATGAACGGCGCCGACCAATGACAATCCAGAACAGGGTGATTTTCAAGGCGACATAATTAAAAAAGAGCGTGGGTGTCTCGACCAATCGGAAAATTCAGTTTGACGTTTTTCTCTTTGGCTCGACAGATGTGTCCCGATTTGGACGGAAAGGCTGTATTACATCCTGGTTGAAGAAATGCTAGTAATCTATCGTCGTTTTGCGGTTCCTTTGCCGGCAAGACAGAAAGGGAAAAAGGCCCTTGCTGTTAGCGGCATCGATCAAGTGGTTTGGCTGTTCCGGTGGAGGATAGGATAGGATAGGATAGGAATTCCTGCCGTAGTAGCTCGGATTCCCATATCAGCACCCAAAGGCGTCCGTTCGGCCCATATGCGGACGGCATTGCCAACCGAAGACGGTGGGATATTTGATGCGCCTCTTCCCGCCTGCTCAAAAGCGGGAAGCAGTTGGTTCGCCCTTGTAGAAAACAGACCCATATCACTGTAGGTACGGCTTGGTCTAGACCACTTGGGACTGCTTACTCGAGCGAGAAAAGTTCAAGGTTGCGGGTGATGGGGGTCGAACGGGCAGTGAGTAAGTGAGTAAGTCGATGTGTATCAAAGCCTCTCGGGTAGATGATCTCACTGCCCACCTCATCTCTCCTGAAGAACGATCGACGCTTCCTCCCCCGTGGAACTGGACTACATACACTACCATGGAATGGGATTCATACAAGCCTTGCAACCCTGGTAGACTGGAAAGGAAGCGACTGGCCAGCAACAAGGCTGCCTGTACCTACCGGTCGGTCCAAGACCCAAGAGGGATTTGCCGCAGTGGCCGTGATGATAGCCGCTACCCCTGGCCCGGCAATTCTAGGGGTCATGGATGGGCTGTGGTGTGCCAGCGCCACGGACCCCATTCTACAATCCTTCGCGCATGATGCAGTGCCATCTTGGCCGTTCCTTTTGTCCTTTTCAACGGCGAGCGACCCGTAGGCGAATCGAAACAATGGTTACAGATCGCCCCGTTGCATTTTTTCTTTTTTAAATGATGAAATGAGAGTTGTGTGTTTCAAGACATATTTCTGGCTCGGTTGTAATACAACGTGGACCTAAGTTTGGGGGAGATTCAGCCCTATGCAATGCGACCCTCTGTTATGCGTCTGGTTGTGTTGTATGTAGGTACATCATGTAGGTACTGTATGTAGGTGTACTGTAGGACTCGTGTCCCAAAAGCAGGCGAAAACAGAGTCGTGCGTGGTACCTGACGAGATGTAGGTATGTACAGGTAGATGCAGTCAGCACGCCCAACGTGTGTCTACATACATACAGCACACGTACACGTGGCTTTGGGAAAAAAAAAAAAAAAGGTCCAGCCCAGATGGACAGAACAGGCTGGGACAATAAGATGGCAAAGATGGAAACACCATTCGGACAATTTTCCACTGAGATGCATTTCTTACTCACCTGTCTACTTACCTGCTTGGTATCCACGCGACATAATCTATATTCAGTGCTGTGCGTGAGAAACAAATTTGGACCCTAGGACAGCCAGCAGCTTGGCAAGAAGAAAGGGTGGCTTGTTCCTCTTCCTGCCCACTTGTGGAAACCCAAAAACCTGCTTGTGGTCAAAAGCATAGACAGCGATTCCCTCCCCTGCATATCTTACTGCCTAGTAAACTGTGTTTGACCACCATTTACCGAGCGTCAATGGGCGTTTATCGCGTCTATTAGGTGGCGGCCTCGCTCGTGTGTGTGTGTGAGTGTGTGAGTGAGAGGCAGACTTGTTTGTGAGTGTGTGTGAGAAACAGAGAGGTGGAGGGTTGCTTTGATTGTCAGCAGAAGCCCTCTCCTCTCCCTCCCACCACACATACGAGACATAAATTAGTGTCCAGGCTAGCCCCAAAAATGGACTTAAGAGTGTACGAATTGGGTATTTTGAGAAGTCCGAGCTAGTCCGAACCGCAGCCCTCTTAGTTTTTTTCTTCTTATTTCCAAAAATAAATTATTGGAACTGGCGGGTAGATGTGTGAGAGAGTTTTATGAATGGGAATTTGAGAGAATCATGGCAAATTGTAAGTTAAACCCTAACATTCCCGTTCCCCTAGTCTATGGTTGAGCTCAGGAGGCTGAATTAATGGAATTGCCAATTCATCGTTTCCATGTTGCGTTTCCCTTGATGCAGCACTTGGGCTGCGGATGCGACTGTTTGCTTGTACGATATACAGCATGGGGGAATGAATACATACCCCTCCATTCCAATGCTAGGTACCTACCTACTGACTGAAGTGTAGGGGCAGAACTTACTTGTTGGTGCCCCTCTACGGCCGGCACTCGGCCAAGGGACCCGCGGTTACGGGGGCTATTTTAGCAAGGCCCAGCGCTGGGAAGGAATGCCCATGCCGTCAAATAGTTCATCCCATCTCTTCTAGGGTTGTACCTGCTAACTGTGAACTGCCCCAGCGTTGACATCAAATGATCCTCGGCCGGCACTACAACCCAGTCGATCTGATGAAACATTTTGATGATTTCTTGTCTCTCTTGATCCATCTGCCATTGTACGATTCCTGAACAGGGGGGATAAATTTGGTTGGGCAGATCGAATGGAGTAAAGGGGGGCAAGGCTTTTTTTTTTTTTTTTTTTTTTTTTTTTAATTCTCTCTCCCCTCCCCTCCCCACCCCCCACCACCACGGCGGGGTGATTGCAACCACCTATTCGTGGGTGACACTGCGCTATTCGGTGACCGATATCACACCTCCATGTTTTTCCGTTGTAGGCATCTTTCATTTGCGGCGCATTTATACCGATATATAAATCCCCAACCTTTCCACACACTTGACGGTATAAGCCGTCTTCTTCTTCCATTGGCATGATTCTTTGCAATGTCCTCTCGGATTTGTTCTGCCAGAAGGGACATTGGGGACATGACCGAATCGATCACCAACAAAGGCAAAAGTTTTGCTACCACTGGAGCCATGACCACTCCATATAGCATACAACATTGATAGTGTAGAAATTTGTAACAAGAAGGGTCAATATACTAGTAGACAAAATTGATTCTCCAAGTTGAAAGTGTATTTATTGATTACTTGTCCCAGCCTGGTGATCCGGCCCTCTTTTTCAGCTCTTTGCGAGCGCCAAAGTCTATGTAGTCTTGTTGCTATGATAGTAGAAAAGCTAGCTTCGTGACCAGACGAAGTATGTCTAGAGAATACAAGAGAGGGAGCTGCCTGCTACGGAGAGGGAGAGAGATAGAAGCAAGGCCAAGGTGTCCTGAAGGGCGAAAAAGGCCAGCTTGCCCTTTCCAGCATCATGACCTGGCTTCTATGAGAAAAAAGTATTCGAACTACTTCCTGAGCAGTCGATGACTTGTGGAAACAGAAGAAGTACAGGTTTGTTGTTACATAAGCTACACCCAGTGTGGTAAAGGAAGAAGAGACAGAAATAAGAAAGACAGATCAAGTTGCAAAATGCAAAACAGGAAGAAGAGAGAAAAGTGAGAGAGGAAAAGGAAAAGAAGAAATGGACAAACGGCAAGCTGCGTGTATCATACCGTGGCTTCCAGCCATAGAAAATCCAACCAGTCTCCAGCCAATCCACCGAAAAACTCCTGGTATATGCCCTAACCCGGCTCAATAGAGAGGTATCAAGTCCCGCCGCTGTGGGTAAATCACTCTGTCAAAATGATAGAGATGAAATAGAACGAAGGGGGAATGGAAGCAAAGAAAAAGAACCCAAGAAACACCATTGTACCAACCCATGCCAACACTTTTCCCCTCCTTCTCCTCACATTCCCACTGAAGTGCAAGAACTGAGCAC